CCCCGCGCATCAGGACCAAACGAAGGGCTACATACTAACCCATTGAAAACTTGGGTCTAATTTCACCTATTCAGCCTTCGGCGGGAGGTCGCGGGGTGCAACGGCCCTAAATGGGGGCGAGGGATTGACATCAACAAGCCCACACCCCCGTCTCCGCCTTGGACATGCAAATGCTTTCCCAATTTCGATACAGGTCCGTGATATGGAGTCGACGGCGCATTTCTAGACAGGGCCAACAAACGCCATGCGTACGCCATCAGCAGACAAGGCGATATGGTCCCCATATGGATGGAGTTCAAGAGCATCGCCATTCGACGCTGCAGGCAAGACTGCTCGGCGCGCTCCAGACAGTTGGGACTGGATTGTGCGCCGCCGGAGCGGCAACCCTGTTCGTCGCATGTGCGCACCGTTGATCGGCATAGAGAAGCGAGCCTCGTCTCTGAAATACCTGTCATTGGATCTACATACTGCGGGCTTATTGTACCAGCGCTGTGCTGCGTGTCTCCAGGACTCTGCGTCGGTTCCAGAAGAGGCTTCCCAGATTTAATTGGTCGTGTTGCTGGCCGCAGGACTTTACGTTCAGTTACCGTGTAACCATGAAGAAGGAGTTCCTCCCGTATTTTTGGCATGCACCGAGCTCGACGTCGAGCGTTGCAGTGGCGCTGAAGTGTGCACCGCGGAATGCGCGCACTCACATACATGCAGGTTGTTTCCACTAAAAACGGCATGCGGCGGCCGGGCTAATACCCAAGCTAAAATAATGAGCCACGCAAATGCTGTCCAAATCAAAGGCCCTGCCGGAGATACGCAGTATGGAGTATGATGTTGTCAGTCGGGGTGGCGGAGTTGTCCCGTCGCCGGCCTGCTGATAGTTGTAAGTGACACACTGGATCACTCCGCCAGCATCTGGAATATTGCCCCTCACAGATCAAGGGCAGCGGCCCCTGTTGATCTTGAGGGATGATAAATACATAATCCTACCACTATCGGAATTTTAGGACTATATCTTGAGTCCTTCTGTAAAAGACTTCAAGTAATTACGATGGTCGGAAATGTCTCGCAACAGGGCTGTTAAAATAAGAATGACTCGCAGTGCCCCATACCGATCAAGATCCCTATTTGGAAAACATTTTCTTTGAGAGAGAGTGAGGTCATAGGTAGTACTCGCTGACAATGATAGCTCAACACCTCCTTGGGCCAAGGGAGAGAGTACATAATACCAGTCCTAAACGGGCATGTCAATTTTAAAATTTTGATATCAAAATGCAGAGCCATGCCGTCCAGTTCTTGAAAGTTCCGATAAGTCCCTGGCGCATGCTCTCATGTGATGCGCAAGGACTTGTCGCTAGCTGGCCTCAATGTCTAAGATGCATATTCCACACATGTGCGGCCAAGTTCTTCCGTACCTACTTATAAGGCTACATTGACGGTGACTCCAGGGGTCTAGTCTCCTTTCAGGGATGGAGGTGTAGTATGTTAAAGGAATTGGGCTTCCCAGAGTCGATCACAGAGACGCCAACATCAATGACAGCTATTTATGTACACGGGTAGACTTCGATTCACGCGATCGTTTCAAGACCTACCTGATGACATCAAATGTTTCTCGCAGTCAGACACTACGTTTGACTGCTAACTGGAAAATCTACACAGTTTAACTTCCAAATGCGTATATCACAAATGACAGCAACGCAACAGTGACTGACACGCTACAGTATCATCCAACTATCCTACCTGTCCTCTCAAACAAGTGATTTGCGGCAATGAAACTGTCCCGTTATTTCCTAGTGACATTCGGACGTCTTTGTCTTGGGTCGCTCCATGTCTTGCGCCCCATCTCGCCTCGGGGAATTGGGCAGTTCTCAGACAAGACACGTCCAAGCGCAACGCACCGACGCGGGGACAACTTGAAAGGCAAAGCAGTTTCTCAGCTTGCAAATGAGAGCTTCAACAGCTTGCAAAATCCTAAGAGTTCATGGCGAGGACATGGGAGCGGTAGATATCGTGGGGGGAGTTGATACTCGATGCCGGCGATGACACGCGGCGGAGGAGGTCGGGGGATTTCCCATGGCACGATGGATGCAACTGCCGTTCCTATAAAGGGCCACCAGAGCTTGATGGTCAAGTGCAGGAGCAGGGGTCTTTCTTCAAATGTTTTTCATGGGTGAAACAACGCAGATCGTCGCCCATTTCTTTCCGTCAAACCCCCTGGTCGTCGGCTCTCCCAGCTTGCGGGCGGAGCACCCCGTCCGGCAATGGGGTATGGCAACTTGTTGAGGAGTAGATGGTACGATCAAGTTTTGCACAATGCGATAAAAAGGAAACAGAAAAACCCCGCAGGAAAAGAAAAAAAAAGAAGAAGAAGAAGAAGAGATGGCACGAGCAAGAGGCTGGCAAGGAGAATAAAAGCGCAGCAGCCCATTTGCCGAACCGTGCTGCTGGATAGGATGGAGTCGGCTCCGACTCGACAACGTGGGGTTTTCATCTATGTTCCTACGTCCACGCCCTATGTTCTTTTTTTCTTTTTTCCGTTCTCTTTTCTGTAAAAAACTATAACATGTTTCAGTCTGTGCGATGAGTTGCAAACTCGCGCATCTCTAAACATTGCGAAAATACGACTGGAACTAGAGCGAATGCAGACGCAGAGGGTCGCCTTATAACTAACTAGTAGGCCTCCACCGTTGGCGCAAGCCACAGGCCAGCCATCAGCACAGGCCAAAGTGGTTAATGAACGGGCAACTGTACGGATACTGTATAATGAAAAGGTGGCTGCTTCATTTTGTCTCGCCCTGGGGGCCAAGAGTTTAGTCAGTTGAGGAGGCAGAGAACCACAGCGTCGGGTTCATCAGGCCAGCGCCACGGCGCCTGTAAACTCACGGTGTGGCTTTCCAATAGCTGTGGGAAGAAGGAGCGAGTATTCCTTTTTCAATTACACTCGGTGAGTCTACTCTGCCCAGGTTCATCTTGCGGCTTGCCTGGGACGCTTCTTGGTCGTCCGACACAAGGCGAGGCGCGATGGCCACTTACCGTACTCAGTGTACGAGCAGCCAAAGGTCGCCGGCACCTGGAAAGGATTGATGAAAGCACGAATTCCGTTACAAGTGCCTGGAATCAACTCTCTCAGGAGTGACTGATAGTGATGTCGGGTGTGGCTGGCAGACACCAGCACACTGTAACCATCCATGTACAGAGGCAAGCCGTTGGGAAATCAATGCGCAGGCACAGGACCTGCCCTAGAGCCTCTGCTTGGCGCAATCTCGTCTATCTCACCAAGATTATTGCTCTTTGCAACAAGTTGTTGATGATATAGAGAGATTATTGCCCTGGTTAAAAGGACTAAGGGTCAAGGATCAAAGATCTTGGCCGCGGTATGTGCCCTCACCCACTCCGGGGTGACAGTTCCAAGTGACAACCACAGGTCTCAGTTATGTCCGGCTTACACTGGGCGAGCGACGTCGAACTCAGGACATCCCCAGATTCTATCTTTGACAGAACTGCCGTATCTGCTCCCGTACACTCTCCCTCGAGTCAATTGAAGGCTGCCGTCGCATTATTCTGTCAACGACCACGGTGCTGGCCAGCGACGAATTGTCCCAGCCCAGCGGGTTCGATGCCACGCGTCCGTGGCGGCTGGGCACCTCTCCCGCCCCCTCGCAAGGCCTATAATTACTTCGAGACTCGCAGGTGGGACAGCGCTGTCTCGAGTCCTCCTGCACACAAGCCCAGCATTTCCTCGTCAAAGGCCGCCAATTGCACGATACCGAGCGTCAGGGGTCCAAGGTGGCTTACATGGGGGGCGTGTCTGGAAAGGACGAGTCAGTGGGGCGCCGAGGCAAGCTGCATTGATTCCGAGCATGAAGATCACAGGAATATTTGCCAACGCTTACAAAGGTTTTTCGCTAAGAGGATGCGAGAATTTGTTGGGATGTTTCTTCGCATTGTTCATTCTGATTCTTTTCTTCAAGCTCGAAAGCATTGGGAAAACTCTCGACGGTGCCGTCCAGGCGCGCGACTAGCGGGAATAAGCGGCGGTTGTAGCGTGTTCAGTTTTGAAGGAACAAGGTCGAATATTGGCATCCCTATTGCCATCACATCTCCAAATCATCTGTTCGTCTGTATAGGAGAAGCCATTGTTTGTGCTATGTGACGTTCCGCCGAAAACTTACGGGTAAGGCGTCCTGCATTGCTGCGGCCGGGAAAGCTTATCGTTGAGCACGGCAACGTTAGCTTGTTTCATGGCTTCGCCTTGAGCCATGACTCTAATATGATCCTCATCCACTGAGATATTTATGCTCCGTTGAGCACGGCCGCTTATTGTGCGGCTATAGCTGTTCATCCGATACTCATGGCCGTTGGGATCTGATAGCCGATTGCTGTGGCGTGTGTGTAGAGAACACGTGCGCTTATTCGCAAGTTGCCAGATGGGTAGTCCGGTTTCAAGACGAATAGACCTTTGGGCGTTGAAACCAGACAATTTGATTACTGGCAGTTGCTCGACAGAATAGCTGGGGCCATCTCGGTGAGGCAACGGAGCTCATTGTCCGGTTGCCACAAGGCTTAGTGTAGGGTAGGTCAACCTTCCCACAATGTGCTCAGGCCAATGTTGCTCAAAATCTGGGATGAGGAGGAACGAATGTGAGCCTCATATTTGACACATAAAAATAGCGCAAGGTTGACTGGGTAGTGTAGATTCGTTATGAGATGTCAGAAGTTGCTGTCTGTGCTGCGTTTGTACTCGTAGGACTTGTCGTTGCACAGGTTGAATTTGCAGTCACGATGCCCCACCAGCAGAGGTCGACCTTATCCCACTTCATCAAAACGGCTTCCGACCAATATCAACCTCTCAGGATTTGCCTTAACCTGCACCAGCTCTTTGTTGTTGTACATACATTCCTATCACCGGAAATCCACGGCGCTACTATAAGCTACCGTCGGAGCAGGCTGAGATACGGGACCCAGTCACACGCCATCAACCAGAAAAAGCGCATGCCATCGCCAGAAACATGGCGGCGCCGTTGGAATCAGCGCACCAGATCGCGCGGGACTTTAACCTCCCCGCACCGTCCACCATAAAGGTCAAGAACCTGCGCGCCACCATCCAGGGCCCGAGCGACGCATGGGGCCGGCCCGACCGGCCGCAGCCCGTCGCCGTCTCGGCCGCCGTCTCGCTCGACGCGCCCTTTGGCGCCTCCTCCGCCACCGACACCGTCGCCGGCGACACCGTCCACTACGGGCTCCTCAGCAAGGCCGTCCTATCCGTCCTCTACTCGCCCGCGCTGCCGGCCCGCAGCCTGCGCAGCCTACTGGACACGATATGGTCGGAGATGACGGGCTTCGACTCGCGCGGACAGGACGTCCGCGCGAGCGCGCAGAAGCAGCAGCAGATTCAGCAACCGCCGTTTCTTCACTTTGCAGCGCTGCGGGCGCTGGAAATCTCGGTGCATCTGCCAAAGGCGACGCTTCTCGGTGACGGTGTGAGCTTGACGGTCACGGGCGGCTTCGAACCGGCGGCGGACAGCGACGCTATGGTAGTCAAGTCGCTGATGCGACAGAGCGCCGTATCGCTCAAGATCCACGGCCTGCGCGTACCGACCTTGATTGGCGTTAACAGCAACGAGAGGCTCGCCAAGCAAGTTGTCGTCGCGAGCGTGGAAATCGACAGACTAGAGGACGACCTGGACGTCTACCCGGAGCTTGAACAGGTTGTGGTCCAGGTAAGTCGTCGCGTTTCTCCGCCAGGCGGGAAGCCAATTTTGTCAGTTTTGCTAACTCTGTTGACAGGTCATGTCCGACTCTTCGTACGAGACTCTCGAGGCGCTGGGGACGCGGCTGACCGTGGCCGTTGCCGCGCACCTCCACAGGAAGCATACGCAACCTCGCGACGGCGCGGGATGGGACATCAACATTTCGCTGGAGAAGCCGGTAGCAGTACCCCTTGCCGACGCGGCGTGTGTAGAGATGAGCACAAACACGGTCAACGTACCGAATGAAGAAAGCACGAGTCTGTGAAAAGCAAAAGAAAATTGGTATTGATGAATCTAGAAAAGCTTGGTCTCTGGAGACGCACTGCATATAAATCTAAAAGGTGAGCATGCGGCGCATAATCTATACAGGCAAAGCTTAAAGCATGCCCTGGAAGTTGAAAAGAAAAGAATGAGAAAAACAAAGTCTCGCTGTCTAAATGGTTTTCATGTCACATAAAATACAATAACGACCAAGGAGGGGTAAAAAACGAAAGAACCCCTCTCGGAGAGCACATGCACACGATCCTACGGAAACGACAGCGCTTGCGCAGCTGAAGGTGAGCCCTCGCACTAATCAATGAACTTGTTGCACTGGGGGATGTCGCCGTTGGTCACCTCGCGGATGAAATCGGGGTTAGGGTCGAAGAGCATGACGTGGAAGTGCTCGACGGCGTGGATGGACTTGAGGGCAGCCCAGTTCTTGAACCACATGACCTGTTGGGGTCAGCATAATCATGCAATATGCGGATGCAAAGGGGAGGGCCAAGTCGTGAGATGGGGCAACAATCGCAACATGCAAAAGTTTGAAGTGCGGAGGGGGAGGAGGGTCGCAACTTACATTGCCCTCGGGCATCCGCGCGCGAAACGTCCTCGAGACGTAGTCCTCAATCTCCGCGCGGGCCTTGTCCGTGAGGTCTCCCGTGTCCGCGTCGGCAACCAGCTCAAACTTTGTCCAGACGACCAAATGAACGATGCGGGAGTCGAGGCCGTACGGCCAGTCGTTGTAGAGGACCTTGTAGTCGTCCGGGCAGGTGAATGGCGGTGCGCCGCTGGGCCGGGAGGCTCCCGGGCCGGCCCAGCGCAGGCGCTCCTCGAGAACGAAGGCGGCGACGCTGCCGTGGCGGCCGGCGGCGGTCTGATGAGAGAACTGCTTGTAGCGGCGCAGCTGGGAGGGCACGCGCTGGAAGCGCTCGAGGCGGTTGGCGGTGACGATGCGGGCGACCTCGGCCCAGGAGAGGATCTCGTACGCCGAGTCGGGCGTGGAGACGCCGCGCAGGTCCTTGGCGCTGAGGCCGCGCAGGAACTCGGGGCACTCGGCGGTGCGCTCCCGCTCGGGGACGTTGACGTGCCAGAAGGGGACGACGTCGAAGGAGCCCATTGTATGTTGCGGTGTGGCGAGGTGTTGGTATTGGTGGTAGAGAGAGGTATTCGGGAAATGGGTAGACGCGGCCTTTTAATTAATATGTTCCCAGAAGCCCGGTGGAGAGTTGATGAGAGTAAATCGATATAAAGTTGGTAAAGTCTCAAGTTGGATTTGAACGGCGTGAGATCGGAAGCGGCTGGCCTGGCGGGATTGCCTATTTCGGTAGACAGCCCGCAGCGGTTGAGGTGTGTTTCACGCAAGTGGTTTTCAACCAACAAAAGTATGAATATAAGGTAAGAAAAGAGGAAACAAAAAAAAAGAAAGAAATGGCCACTGCCTTGGAGAATTTCCGCGTTGATGAAGAAGCAGAAAAAGAAAAGGCAAAAAGAATCAGTCGCGGATGGGGGAAGCGGGAGACAGGTCCATCTTATCCAGTACCCCGGTCCACGATGCAAAGGCGGAATGCTTACTGGTCAGGAGGGGCCGGCAACGTCTATTACAAAGAAAAAGAGAGTTAACATGAGTGGTGTAACGAGGTTGAGTCATGGACGGTCGGCCAGTTGCTGATGAAAGCATGTGTGTGTGTGTGTGTAACCAGCGCGGGCGCTGGCACTGGCAAAAAAGTCTGTTCTGCACAGAACCACCAGCGCAGCCCTGTTGATGGAGGCAAGGGCCGCCGGGCGGATGCAACGTTGTGGCCAGGCTGGGGAAGCTCGCTGGGATGGATGGATGGATAGATGCTTCAGAACAGGGTGGGGGAGCGGACAGTGAGTCGGATTGGCCGCTGGTCTGGCACCTATGCACCAACTTGTTTGTAATAAGTTTGGTATCGGTAACAGAAATCTGTTTTTCACAAGGGCGCTGTCATGAACTGGGGCAAGACAAAAGATATCTTTTGGCCGAGGACTGTCGAAACAGAAAAGCCTTGCTTGCTGATATGGGGGCCAGTTTCGGGGCCGGGCGGGCCGGTCAAGACGAGGCGCCGTCGGGAGCTGGCCCTTCTCTCACGGAGGCGCCGCACCAATGGTTTGCCTGAATTTTACCTAGTGTAGTCGTGAGAATATGGCGGCCGCCACGGGCATGCTCGGCCCTATAATGACGCCCATGTTGACAATGGGCTCCCGAAGGCCTGAACATTAGCTACAGTGCGTGCCCCAGATGCTGCAGTTTTTGGCCAGTGCTGGCCCCACGTGCGAAACAGGCCCAGAGCCGACTGGTTGTGAAAATTGGGGGAGTTGTTTCCGAGCATGGATGGCTGGCCGGTGTGACGGTTGGCCTACCTACACTATTTTGTATGTTTGCCAGCTGTAAATGCGAGTATTCTAGAATCCATATCTCATGATGTTGATGTCTGTCTGATCACTTCTGCTCTCACGGCCTGGTCGGCCTTCTTTGTGAAAGGCAGTACCTGGCCCGGGTAAACTATATTCCCACCATGAAACTCCGACCGCATTAGGACGCGTTTGCCGTCCATTTCTTTGCCCCTCCGTCTTTCACCACGACCTCTTCTTGACTCTGATTTAGAGCTACTTCGACAAGGTTGACGCCAACAATTCCGAGGCCATTGGTATTTAGAGAACGCGGCGATGCACAGATGTCGCCAGCCGCTGTTGCAGAGGTCGACCACCTGCCAAGGTCTACCAGCCCGCAAGTGTTCTAGAATACCTCAATAATGACTTCAGATATGCCTCCAGGATACCGCTCCGCCACCGAGTATCAATTTCGCCAAGAGCAGGCCGACAGCATCATTCACACGACATCCTACCATCGCAAAGACTTTGATCTTGCTGTCATCTCATTCTCACCTCGTGAACACGCCCATGTTCGCTCGTCAATGGCAACATCATTCCGGTACAAGGCCGACAGAGGGCTTGGATCATTGAATAAGCTGCCCCTCGAGCTCTTCTATGAGGTGCTACTCTGCATGGACATGCGCGCCGTACTCGAGCTTAGGCAAACGAGCCGTAGAGCGAGAGAATTAGTAGACGCTTCGCCGCAATATCATACCGTGGTGTCGCATGGGCTGGACCTCTTCTGTGCCCTGCTGCGAACCAGACTTGCCGACAGCGTCTCTCTGGCCGACTTTTACACCGCATTATGCATAAAGGCATGTGTGCTGTGTGGTGAATTCAGCGGCTTCATATCCCTCTTGACTTGGAAGCGCTGCTGTTTCCGTTGTCTACAGATTGCACCTGAACTCCGGCTACAATCTCTTGTCGCTACCCGCAAGCAACTTCGCCTTACCAAGAAGGAAGCGGACCAGTTGCGATCATTCAAGACGATTCCAGGTAGATATTCAATGCTCGATTCGTCGCAAAAGTCGCCAATTTCTGTCGTCTGTATTTCCAGCGCCCTCTTGCTTGTCAAGACAGATACTCCAGCACTATCGCAACTGGCAGACTCAAGACAAAACCTCAAGATGAACTTTATGGGTGCCGTTGCACTTCCATATTACGATAGAAGAAGTGGCGAAATTGAATACGGGCTGTCATGTGCTGGTTGCCAACTTGCTATGGACAAGGGAATCATCGGCGCCAGAGCGGAGCAATGGGCGTTTGAGGCACGGAATAAAGTATATTCACGAGACGGATTGTTGCAACATTTTCGATGGTGTGAACAGGCCCAAGGGCTATGGGAGTCAAGTGATGGAGGCACTATTCAGCCAAGCGAGCTGCCATACCTTGCTCGACGAGGGGGCTTTTTCTTCAGTCGGGATTGACGAGATGTCGAGCAGTGTACATACATAATGACATTGACTGGAAGGACGCATGACCGGCTACTCGCTCGCATTTCTCTGGGGAACAATACCTCCTCCAATTCACGAAATGTGAAAGTCCATAGTTGCAATTTATACATTCCTCTTATCCGGGCGCATAACTAATGACCAGCGCCTGTTCCATCAGTATTAAAGGGGTGGGGAATCGAGTGCAGAATATTCATGGCGCTAAAGAAAGTATAAGGAAGAAGTTTCGCAGACTGTTGTTCAAGGGAGACGGGGGTGTTCGCGCTTTGGCGTGCGGTGTTTTTTTTTTCAACGATTTTCTCGCAAAAGCCTGATAGATTAGCCTGGGTAGAGGTTTTTTGCCCAACTACTTAGGATTAACCTATGAGGCTAGAGATGGCGCCTGCAAAAGGGTTTTCCTGCCTTGTTTCTCCAAGTGTAGTGTGCTGCCAGCCGGCGCGTGCTCGGCGTGATTGGCCGTGGCTTGCGGATAGTGGCAATAAGGATAATCTGTTGGGGCTGATGAGGGAATTGATATCAAAAAATGCCAGCTGGGCATGCTGGCAACTGTCAATTATCAACTGGGCAGTGCTGGGCCAATGCGCGGGTAAATGGGACAGAAAGACATGGGATGTAGCTGTAATTAGAATTTTCCAATAATAAATAAGGTGGTCAGGGGCAGATGCCGTCCGTGTACAGATTGCGGTGGGTGGTGGGTGTTGAGCAAGAAGAAGCTTCAGCTCGAACTGGTGAGGCGCTTTTTATGCTGCCCAGCTGGTATTGTCAGGTATAAGACAAACGCACTCGCCACCATCAGACGAAATTCCCGCTCCTCGTCTCGCCACCACGGACTGGTCTTTTGCATCTCTTCATCTTCACCTGCTTATTATACTGCACATCTTCTCTCTGCCCGCACCGCCTGCCTCGTAAACCAAAGCCAGGCAAGAACCAGGGCCACGCTGCCATCTCATTTGCTGCGAACAGGGGAAGCTCCAACCACCCCGCTGCCCTCATCGAACCAGCCCCGCCTTTTGGTCGCCCCTTTCGCCGCTTCTCTCGTTTCTCTGCTATTACAACCTCATTTGCTGTCTCTGGTGTTTCTCTTTTATTTCAATCGACCTTGCTGCCTCTCCTCCTCCCTCGACTCTCCCTCCTCCCTCCTCTGCTCTCTTCATCGATTGCACCGGACCTCGCTCCTCGGCCGAATCGATCCCGCTCGCCACACTGTCGTACTATCAACGCTTCTCCATCATGGCGGAAGCTATTAAGAGTGCTCTCCCCTCCCACCTCCGTCCTGTCGCCCCCGGCAAGGACGACGAGAACAATGGTTTCGAGAAGCGTCACCATGGCAAGACGCGCAGCCACATGGTAAGCTTTGTCCCTCCGTGATTCAGCAGCTCCCCCGCCTAGTCACTGTACTCGCCTCTGCGCTGTCAATGGCCTGCCTGCCATTGTGCTACGCCTCGAAAGAGTCTAGGAAGGCCTCATTGCTGTTACCATTCGCCCTCCAACCCGCGTTGGACATGTCCTTAGCCTGGTATCTGACGCTGTACACCACCCCTCTCTATGATGCTATCCCGCCCTGCCTTGCTCTGGCAGGTGATGGGCAACTGTATTCACTGGGGTCGCACCTTGCTGTCACTGGAGGACCGCTCTCCGCTCTGGCAAAGCAAGCTGCGCCACCATGGTCTATTTATACTCGTCCTGCCATGCTCCCATGTTTCCTTCGTCTCTCATCACGAATCTGTAATTGCCTCTCATCATGGAAACCCAAATAACTGACCTCTCTCAGGCCTTTGAGAACACCTCGACAAATGTCGCCGCTGCTCAGATGCGCAATGCCCTCACAAACCTCGCCGAGACGGTCGAGGACCCCAAGCAGAAGAAGGTACGCTTCTTTTCTCTAACAACCGGCCTCCACCTGTGCTGACCAGTTACAGCTCTTCGAAACCGAGATGGACAACTTCTTCGCCCTCTTCCGCCGCTACTTGAACGACAAGGCCAAGGGCAACGCCGTGTAAGCAACACTCGCCGGCTCTCCGACCCGCTCTGATATCGATTCTAACAACATTAGTGACTGGGACCGCATTCGCCCCCCTGCGGCCGGCCAGGTCGTTGACTACGAGGACCTCGCCAACTCCGAGTCGGTCCAGTTCCTTAACAAGCTTGCTGTCCTCAAGCTCAATGGTGGTCTCGGTACCTCCATGGGTTGTGTCGGTCCCAAATCGGTCATTGAGGTCCGTGACGGCATGTCCTTCCTCGACCTTTCCGTCCGTCAGATCGAGTACCTTAACCGCACATATGACGTCAATGTTCCTTTCATTCTCATGAACTCATTCAACACCAACGACGACACCGCGGCCATCATCAAGAAATACGAGGGCCACAACGTCGATATTCTCACCTTCAACCAGTCCCGTTACCCCAGAATCTACAAGGACTCCCAGCTCCCCGTCCCTAGCAACTACAACTCGTCCATCAGCGAGTGGTACCCTCCTGGCCACGGTGACGTCTTCGAGTCCCTCTACAACTCTGGCATTCTCGACAAGCTCCTCGAGCGTGGCATTGAGATCATCTTCCTCTCCAACGTTGATAACCTGGGTGCTGTCGTCGATCTGCGCATCCTCCAGCACATGATGGAGACCAAGGCTGAGTACATCATGGAACTCACCAACAAGACCAAGGCCGACGTCAAGGGTGGTACCATCATCGACTATGAGGGTTCGGTCCGTTTGCTTGAAATCGCACAGGTTCCCAAGGAGCACGTCAACGACTTCAAGTCGATCAAGAAGTTCAGGTACTTCAACACCAACAACATCTGGCTTAACCTCCGTGCCATCAAGCGCGTTGTGGAGAACGACGAGCTCGAGATGGAGATTATTCCCAACGCCAAGACCATCCCTGGCGACAAAAAGGGCGAGTCTGACATTTCCATCATGCAGCTTGAGACGGCTGTTGGCGCTGCCATTCGCCACTTCAACAATGCCCACGGTGTCAACGTCCCCCGTCGCCGCTTCCTTCCCGTCAAGACATGCTCGGATCTTATGCTGGTCAAGTCCGATCTCTACACTCTCAAGCACGGCCAGCTTCAGATGAGCGCCAACCGTTTCGGTGACGCTCCTCTCATCAAGCTCGGCAGCGACTTCAAGAAGGTTTCCGATTTCCAGAAGCACATTCCTTCCATCCCCAAAGTCCTGGAGTTGGACCACCTCACCATTACCGGTGCTGTGAACCTGGGCCGTGGCGTCACTCTGAAGGGCACTGTTATTATTGTGGCTACCGAGGGAAGCACAATTGACATTCCTCCTGGCTCTATCCTTGAGAACGTCGTCGTCCAGGGCTCTCTCCGCCTGCTTGAGCATTAAGCGCTTTCTTATTGCTCTACAGGGCGCTATAAAAAACGGAGTATCCTTTTTAGCAGAAAGTCGGGAACTTGCCCGCTATACACGCGATGCCGAGGCTATTAATGTCTCTAAAATCCATTATACATGGTGTAAGCGTTTGCAGAAGGGTTGGGCCAGGTGAAGGCATGTCATTTATTGATGGCGAGGAGACGCTTCTTTTTCTCATTGGCTGGGTTGTTTTGCGAGTCAAGGGACTCGAACACAGTACTGTATTTATTTAATATGTCCATCGGATGAAAGGCACGCCATTTTCTGTTGAACTTGCTATGATTGTGATGTTCCTGCAGACTCGAATGTAGTGTTCCCTTCGAGTACTTGTGCCCCACCACCAAAACTTTCCGTCGTGGTTCTCATAGTTTAACCATTTAAGATTGAATTAGCTATGTAACTGTCCTTAACAGGCTTTGGGTTCCTTTGTTCAAGTGCACCTAAATTCCAGGAGCGCGTTGTGTGATTAAAGTTTACGAAGTTTAAGCCGCTTCATCAGTAATGACAGAATTACGACGCGCTGGTTTTGAAGAATTTGAGTGACAAGCAGCCCCACCTCTTTTTTCTCTCAGATCGAAATGTGGACAATGTTTTAGATTTGGCCCATGGAAGCGAGATTGTGCGATTTTCAGTCATTTTTTTCGACGTGAAAAAGGGGTAACTAGGAGAACGGGATTTAATTGATCCTGGAGTTGCACTGGCTACAAGTTGATATGTTATCATGGAGAATGGTCTTCGTAACAATAAACACGGGCGACGAGGAAGGAATGACAAGGCCTTGGCGCGGAAGACGCGGCGCCACTTGGCTGCTCGCCTCGGGTACAAGAGAGGGTCATTCATAAAGTGACCGTCAAACTCCCGCTGTCAAGGTCGAGAGAGAGAGAGCGATCAGTATTGGTGACGGGCCGCACGTCAGCCTTGGCTGGCATTGCGCTGCTACCAGTAACCTAAAGATTGTGGGTGGTGTTGTTGATGAGGTATGGAAACCCGAGTTCAGCTTGCGCGCAAAAACGAATGGTTGGCGCCGAAACGTAGCCGAAACGATCGGGGGACCAGGACAAATGGGATCAAGTCTTGCTGCACCGGAGAGGTTGAGCGGCCGTTTTCGTCCAAGAGAGCTGCTGAATGTCGTTGCAACCTCGTATCGCAACACTGAAGCTGATGAGTCTGGCGTCGTGGCAAACGCCACAAACAAGGCCAAATGATGGCGATAGCTGAGGTCTCTGTGGCGTAAAATTCTCAAGGTAGCGTGCTGGAGTCAATCAAGCGGCCCGCCCATCTTGGGGGTTCTGGGTTGACAGGGGCCCTAGCGGCAGGACGATGACGGATGCTTGCTTTCTCGCTTTATTGGCGATATACGTAGTAAATCAATTGCGGGAGGTTGTGTCGACTGCCGTTGTCAGTGTCTGTTGACTAGCTTTTATGGTTATTGCTTGTTCTTGGTATTTCGATCCGTACGTCACCTTGTTCCACTGCCATAGTGGTGTATCGTCAACAAGATGGACTATTATGACACCTGCGGCATTGGGAGCTTGGCGGGGCCCGCTGTAGCTTGGACACTTGTGGACGGGGTTGTGGACGAGGATAGCACCACCCGGGGGGGAAGCTTTGGCTGGGAGGGAGCAAGTTGCTTCGAAACGGGCTCGAGGAGGACACTAGACTGAGCCAGGTCTAGGTAGGCGCGTCGCAAGGTTCAAGTGCGCGTACCTGGCTGGCGGCTGTCCGTTCCTTTGAATCGTGTCGGAGCTGATACATAACTGGGAGCAGGGCCAGAGATGTAGCGAAGAAGAAAAATCAGGGTACAAGCATGACAAGATACTTAGCTAGATAGCAGGACAATGGAAGTGAGACAAGGTAGCGATGAAGAAGTGTTTGCCTTGGTAGCGAAGGAATGTGACGGGTCTTGTTTGGTGGGAGGTGGCGGATTGGCGATGGATGAGGGGAGGAGGTGGTGGGACTTGGACTTGGACGAACGGCTGTGCGGCATGGTCTGACAGGTATGTATGTACATACATAGTTCGCGACTCGACCAGCCGGGGTGGATGTCCAGCGCCGCGAATTGATGCACCTGGTAGTCTGATGATTGCATAATTATTAATAGCTTTGTTGGAAATCGTGGAGTGCCGACAAGTTAGTTGACTGGGTAGGCAAGGGTAGGAAGGAAGGTTCTGTGCCTGAGTACCTGGGTACCTGAGTGGAATCTCGGCATCGCAGTTCCCTGTTGTTTTGGACTTGCCTTGTCAGCCAAGAAGTCAAAATGTCCGGCATCCACACCCCAAGCCGTTGCTGCTCTTAACTGTTCGCCCCCCCCTCCCAACCATTTCAAACTCAATTCTTTTCCCCTTTCTTGACTTCCCGCATTGACTTGCATGACTTCTCGCTTCGTATTTTTTACCGTTGCAGTACTATCAGCACATTTACACACCTGTAAGTCGTCCCGGACAGCATCACGGTGCATCGCATAGACCTCCGTCCTTGCCGTCAATACGCAATCACCATCGCCAGCCGATACACATGTACCCCTGAAACCCAATGCTCCAATGAAAGCTACGGTAGAGTCCGCCGGTTTATTAGCTGCGAACAATCGGACCAAAAGAGCGTCATGTGTTGATCTGGCTCACGACTGTGTCGCCTGGTTGTGCTTAGCCTACCACGGCGCAAACACTCGGAAACAAACGGCTCGCCTCCTGCTGTCATCCATCCATTACACAATCGTTTCTAACGTTAGCTAATTTTCTTGGTTGACCATAGTTCCGCAATAGCTCATCACTCATTTGTTCCGTCAAAATGAAGTTTACCGCCACTACCGTCGCCGCCATCCTGGCTACTGGTGCTCTTGCCCAGCCTGCGTTTACCAACAGTGTGGTCAACCCCGAGGAGGGCAAGCCGTTCACCCTCACATTTGAAGGCTGCACGAGCGGCTGCACCATTACTCTTCAGACCGGCCCCAACTCTCAGGCGCTCTCGGATATCCGCACCCTGACCAGTACGTTGTCGACGACCCAGCTCTCGGCGCAACATTGCTAACCCACCAATGCAGCTGATGCCACCGGCGGTTCCTTCGATGTCACTCTCAGCAATCTTGGCTCGGGCTCCTACAACTTCAAAATCACCAGCAACAGTGACGGCTCGGAAAACTACAGCACCACGTTCTCCTACCAAGGCTCTGGAACTACCTCTTCCGGCCTCTCTAGCAGCACGTCGCCGACTTCTAGTGGCTCCAGCGGCTCTACTACGGGCTCAACTTCGACCGACTCGTCTAGTGAATCGTCTAACACCTCGTCCGCTACGAGCTCGAGCGACTCTTCCGCTAGCACCGGCTCGACCACCTCGACAGGCTCTTCCTCGACTAGCTCTGCCAGCTCCACCAACTCATCTCGTATGTCCCTTCTTTCATACTGCTCATTCCCGCTTCTCTACTAATACAAAGACTATAGGGTCCAGCGGCACCACCACTGCTCAGCCCACCAGCACATCACCGCCTAACAATGCTGGTTCTGTTGCGGGTGTCTCTCCCCTCGGCCTTGTCGCTGCTGCTGCCGCCGCTCTCTTCTTGTAATTATTACCCGCTACCGATTGATCTGGCAGACGGAATTAGCTAGATACACATTGGGCATTACTTAATTTGGCTGCATCCATTCTTACTTGATTCTTGGTTGGCGAAACGCAAGCTACACTCAAGACTTGCATGGTAGACACTGGCTATTGCTTGCAGTCTTGGTAATCTAACGAGTCACAAGAGTCTACTTTGCATCCATCTCCTCACATCCTAATAGAACTATGATTACATTTGCACCCTCGGGAAATTTACTGCCGTGACGTCTGCGTGCAGAATCAAACGGTCGAGAAATCAAGTGACTATCAATAATCTAGCTAGGTGTCGGCATGCAGTGACAAAGATACTTGGAAGGGTTCAATGCCAAATTCATACACAAGCTCGCAGAAAACAAGACTTGCGAGTGCGGTATCAGGCAGACGCTACTTGGCGCCCTCAGCCGGCTTCTCCGGCTCGTCTATCACAAGCTCGCACGGGGGATATTTTGTCTCTTCCCCCGGCGGTTGAAGATGATCGGTCCAGGCACCGATATGGGCGAGGTCCATCGGGTCCAGCTCCCACTTCTTCGCAGGCGCCTCCGGCTTTGGGTCCGGCAGCGTCGCGAGCAGGCTCCTCGGCGTGGCGATCTTGCGCTTGCCTTGCGCCGTGGCGCTCTGGCGTTTGTTTCGAGGCATGGCGACGACGACGGCGCGTACCCGGATGATGTGGTTTGGGAGCTGTGCTGGTGATGATGGTAGCTGCGCAGGGTTGCAAAGTTTTGTGCGGAGAAAGAAGAGGGTGGTGGGCTGTTGTCTTTTGCATTCGACGCTGTGGACGACGCTGCGTTTAAATGGCTCGAGGCATCTTGCGTATCCGTGAGATGACGACGGGCCCGTGCTGTGCTTGTGCTCATGGCTGGAGGAGAAAGGTTGAGTGACGCACTCCCCGTGCAAGTTGAGTGAACGACTGGGCTTGGCGGGAACACAGAGGTCGCGCAGGAGGGAAGATGAGTCGACCGTGTCGGTTTCGAAAAAAGTGTAGTCGGACAACGTTTCTTCTTTACCAGCTTCTTGCCCAAAGGCATCCGGCGCGTGATGAAAACGATGTTGCGCGTAGGAGGGCGCAGCCTTATTCGGCCTGAGCCGGAGCCAGCGGGTCCGGAGGGCATGCGTAGGCGGCTTTCCTTTCAGCCCCCTTGCTTCTCATTCTTTTTGTATCTCCAGTAGCGTGATCAAGGAGACTTCAGACTAATATGGCTCGTTATCGTGACAAGGGGCCGGGCCATCGCCGGCACACACGCGGTAACAAGCCCGTCCGAACTGGCGGCCGGGTCTTTGCTAGCTTAATAGACCGGGCAAGGCTGGCGAAATGGTAGCGCCCGCCCTTGTCGAGGCTGGCAGTAAAACATCGTTGATATCCGTATTGGGCTCTGATAACGGCTTGTTAATTTCACGCCCCCTCCCCTCTCGCTAAGGCGCTAACTTGCTGGTCACTTGGAGTTGCCCGTTTTATGCCTTTCCGGGGCCCCGGGCGGCCCGAAAGGTGGGCCTCGGCGTCCGGGGCCGGCCGTTGAGCCGCAACCCACTTGCCCCTTGTTGTAGATTATTGTTGGGCAGAATGAAACGACACAATTTCTGGTCGCTTCCTACACCATAAGTGAGTCCCCCATATTGAGGAACTCGCTAGTTTCGTGGCACGTCTTCAAAACTCGAATCTCGCGTGATGTAGACAGGCAGCGTCAGTTCGGCGCTGGAGTGTCGATGTCAGCGATGCGAGTCACCAGGTTTGCGTGCCCTCGTCTACCCTTCCAATGGCAGCAGGATCCTGCCGCGATGAAAACACGATCCCAAGTGCGGTGAAGCCCTCTCTCGGCTAGTTCCGCCGGCCTTGCTGTCTCTTAGGGCAACGAGCAACCTTTGCCCGATTTAGAAAGCCGAGCACGGGTCTCGTCACTACCTTGCGATTTCCCGGAAGTTGGAGACAAATGGGAAAAAAAGAAGAGGAAAAAATCAGCTAGTCTACCCGGTGCAAATGGCGAACGCAAGGCTGGCCAGGAACTATCTGACAAGCCCTACAGGGCTGCGCCGGCTCGTATCCCCCAAGCCCGACAGTTTCGACCTCTATGGCCTGGAGCGCAATCGAGCTTCTACCCGACCCAGTGCTCGTGTAGTTCTGCACTTACGGGGCAGCAAGCAGGCTCCTCCATGGCGGCCGATACGATTTCAGCAGTAAGTCACCATGATACGGCGTAGCCTCGTTTGCGGTCACGTACATTCTTCCTTATGCGGGCATGGATGCCGCCGTCCAGGCCGCCTGCATAAGATGTACTGTCGCCACGTGGTAGAACACGCGCCAAGACAAAAAGGTGCTAAACAAGCTATTTAACTGGAGTAGTTGTAGTAATTGCATGTTGCTAAACGTATGGGCCATCACTACATGTTGGAATACTCGATAAATGGCAAGAGCTCCTCTTATGAGTTACACATGTACTTAATACAAATGGTTTATATATGCAGTGGGTATCAGTTACTTGTCCGGCCGACTTCACCAGCGGCAGATATGCTTCCTTTCCTCCGTAAGTCGCCCGCCTTTAGCTGCCGCACGACCTGATACGATCTGTCCAGTTCATTCTCGACGGCACACCGTATGCGGAGCGCGGCCACCGCGGGCCAGACGCTTCTTTCTCCGCGCAGTATCCAATAGTTCAGCGCTTCTCTCGTCGGCGTCTCCAACAGCCGCACGAAATCACCAGCCGTCACTTCAGGGACAAGTGTCATGGCGGCTGCGGGAATCTGCTCATCAACAAGAAAGCGTCGTATGCTGGCGGGAAGTAGGCGGAGAGTGTCAAGCTGGCGCAGGCGATGTCGGACCTCGAGACCAACCATGCGCACTACTGAGGCTGATAGTTGGGTTGTTTTGCTCCGGGTTTCAACCATGGACGGGCCGTGCATGTCGGATTGCAGAAAGGGAATCAGATACGGCCGGGCCTGGCTGACGATGAAATGGTTAACATTGAAGAGCTCCGAAATGCGTCGGAGGGGTGAGTCGCGATCCGAATAGGACATGTGTGACCAGTGGTGAAAGTCGGTGGTGTTGGCGGGAGCCCAAGGTCCGACGTTACCGTGCGCGTCTTTGCAGAGAATGGTCGCTTTGCGACGTCCATACAGCGCTGCAGACGAAGCGTTTGATGCAACAGCGGCGGTCCAAATAAGCTGCAAAGTGCAAATTAGTAGGCTTCGGAGTGACATAACAGCAATAAACTTACCACATTAGGGGCCGTGATATAGTTGAGCAGCGTGGGAACGCCGCCCTGTCCTTCTGTTGCGACGGTAATATTTAATATTCGCTTGCTGTAGTTGTAGGCTTCTTCAAAAGTCAAGTCTCCGACATTGGCTCGAACGCAGTCTTCAAGCACCGATACGTCGAGGAAGTAGCCTTCCCGTGAGAACCTGCGGAGGCGGCGCATTAATGTGTCCCATCTCGCTCTAAATGTCTGCGAAGATTCGGCTATTCCATTTGATAGTTTACCTCGCGAAGAAAAGGCAGTCAAATCGATGCCGTCTCCATTCAGCACGCCAGGCAACTCTTCTTCCGTGTGGATAGCGACGAGTGAAGCAATTAAGGCGCCGGTTCCAGTTCCGGTGATAATGCGTGGCAATAAGCCACGGAGGAATAATGCCTTGACGACTCCGAGATGGCACATGCCAAAGATGGCGCCACCTTGTAGGACAAGAGAGCTTCTACCAAAGGCCTGTCGCGTGTCGTGGATAAAGTCGAGCTTCATTTGGTTTGTCAATGACCCTCCGATAGACGGTATCCCTGCGGATGCATTGGCGGGGAGGGTGCTTATATCCTCGACGGTCTCGGCAACCTGTGTGATGTATTCTTCAATGAGATATTTCGTGCCGGAGAACGAGCGGTTGTATAGTTTTGGCACTGTCAAGTTGCCTAGATTTCGTACGAGACCAGATCGCAAAAGGTTTACGAGCTGCTGGATGTCATTTTCTTCCCTGGCGATGGCGAGCGAGTTGAGTCGTTCGGTGATGAGTCTCCAGTCGTAGTACTTTGAAGTTGGGTTGTTCCGCCTGAAGCAAGGGGAACAGTCAGCATGGCTGCGTAGAGTGGCGAGCAAGAAGCAGATGGGAACGTACCATAGATCGAGACCCAACAAGTTGTCGAGATGTAGGGCTGCTTCCTCCCAGTCTTCAAAGGCTTCTGCATGTCGCAGAAGCTCAAGCCACAGGTCGACTGGGTTCTTGCGCGTGTACCATCCGAAGAGTTTCTGAGCCGGCGTTAGAGCAACAGCCATGATGGAACGATATGCGGCGGGGTTGATAACGACAAGAGGATGATGGGAGGAGGGGAAAGAGGGAAGAATGCCTACTTTGCGCCAGAAGGATACCACCTCGACAATCACCCGCCAGACGGCGAGCAATGCGCCAAACATGCCGAGGATCGCTTTCACAAGCAGGGTCGGACGACGGACGAGGGCCAGTGGGTCGACAAAGGCGAGGGCGAGGAAACGGGAGCTAGGCGATCGCTCTGGGGCGCGGGTGCAACGCCTGGCTTGGATCGAAGTTGGGCATTGGACCACGCTGGAGGGACTAAGGAGGTGAACGTGCTCTTCTTGGCCAGGATATGGCGGGAGATGGCGAGTGGTGCAAAGGTGAAGTGGGTGTGCATGACGGCCCGCCACGCCGCCTCACTCAAGAGGTCACCAAGCATGTGACAGTGGCCAAAGCTACGGGCTGGCTACCCGGACAGCTTACGTTAGTGCACGCGACAAGTCGTCAGTTGCCCCAAAGCTCAAGTTAAATCCATTCTTGCACTGAAAATTAAATATTCATTAACTCCCGAAAGTTTCCCGTTCTTATTTTATACATCTGCGAGTTGTTTTGTTGTGAAAAAGAACCGCTCCCTCACTCCCCTCTCAGTCGTCGTCATCGTCCACAACGTTGCGTCGCCTGGCTCGCCCAGACGTTTCCACCACCTCATCACCCGAAGCATCCTCGTCGTCCGAGTGACGGGTTCTACGCTTCTTGGACTTGCGGCGTCTGCGGTCATCCTCGTCATCGTCCAGCAGCTCTTCTTCCTCTTCTTCGGCGTCGCTTTCCATCTCCTCCTCGTCGCTGCCGACAAGGAAGCCATCGTCCATATCGTAGTCTTCCTGCCTGCGAACACCCTGCGGCAGGTCATCGTCAGAATCATATTCTGGATTTCTGCGTTTGGGTCTCGAGCCAGGCTGGCCTCGCTTCCGCCCGGAGCCAGCTCCCCTCCGGCCACCTTCGAGGTCGCCAATCGAGAGGCCGCCTCCCCTGTTGTAGCGTCCGAGACCGTCCATCTTGGCAGCCGCATTCTCGCGACGTCTTTGCGCTTTCATGCGCTCCTTCTCTGCCATTTCAGCTTCCTTCTTCTGGAGCTCAGGATCTCTAGTTGTGCGGATGATCATGTCATCCTCATTGACAGTCTTGCTAGCCTGCTGCATGCGCTGAGCCAGTAGTGCTAGCGCATCATCACCACCGCCCTTGTTCGGTCGAACGTTGTACTGCTCAGCAACATGTCCGACAGTCATCAACAGGTTACTGCTCAATTCTGCAGCGGCAGCGTAATAATGACCGTCCTTAAGTTCATCATAAGGCTGCCCCGGAGCTGGCGCCAAAGCTTTCGTTTGAATTTCAAAGTGCTCGCCGCCGATACCGATTGTTATGGATCCATCACTCCATCGGTATATATTGGCATTGCTGTGCAGGAGCCCCGTGCTATCGTTTCGGCGTACTCGAGCAACGTGAGCAGGGTGTTCTTGCTTGGCGTTGGTGGTGTCGAATTCGGTCGGTTGAAACTTTTCAGAAACGTATTCTTCGGGCATGATTTTGATGAATTTAGGAACTCGCATAACACGAAGCTGATTCGCTGATTAGCTTTGAAGGAAAGGAGCTCCCTAATCGCAATCTACTTACTATATTGTCCTTGGGCTTGGGGACTCGGTGGCGATAGGCCTGCACCGCCATGACGACCTTTTCTTTTGTTTCATGCTGGACTTGGGTATCGTCATCATCATAACGCTGCCGGCCGCCCTCGTCGTCGGGGTCGGAAGCTAGGTCGTCATCGTCGTCGACAACGCGTGGCGTGGGCGAGCCAGCATCATCCTCATCACCGAAGAGGTCATCACCACCCTCATCAATTTGGTCAAGAGGATCCTCGGAATCAGACATTGTCACGGATTGGCCGCGATTTCTAAGCCGTTGTTGTCAAGGGAATGCGACAGCGCTGAAAGTTGCGCGCGTTGGGCTGCAGAGAAGGAAACTAGACAGTCCTCGGATTTCGCAGCGCGCGCATCTCTGCCCGCTGTGGTAGCTTTGTAGCGAGTTTGCACCAGCCACAGTTCGGTGGGTCTGTTGCCTGGTGCACAGGGTACCCGCGGTGTTGAATGGTATGGATGACGGGACGGACTGGCCGTGAATATGATAATTCAACGGCGTGAATTCAAAGCTGAGCTACAACACTTAAAAGAGAGCCGATTAATTTAATATATATTTTATCCCTTCTTGGCTTCAGCCCTGCAGTTCCTGCATCACCGCCCAAGCGAACTACACATCTGGACGAGCTGGGCAAGGCACGGTGCCCTGTAATTTCCACAGCACCGGAACAACAATCTTCCGATACCGCCACATTGACGCTCGCGGCCCCATCGACAGGTCAGCCACTAGCAGACTCCCCAGCCACGCCCTTTTCGTAGGAAGTACCTCTTGGCCGCCCCTCGAGTGCCCGACTTCCAACTTGCTGTTGTCACCATCGTTACTTTCATTTCTCGCTTCGCGCTTTTGCTTCTGCGCGTGCTTCGCTTTTGTCGCGAGCCGAGATATTCGCCTCTGGCGACCGTATTTCATTAATTCTCGACTTCGCGCGGCCAAGACTTTTCTTTTTTGCGCGTTTTATACCGTCGACACGTTCGCGCCGCTTGTTTACCCACCGACCGACGCGGAACTGCACGCTTCGTGTTTGTCCCCACGGACCGCATTTTGCAACCTTCTACGTCCGCCACATCGCTACTTTGCTTCTAAACTCCGCTGCCTGGCTTTTCCTCTCTGAATTATTTCTGCCCTTCGAAAGGCATCATGTTCTACTCAGAAACCCTTCTGCAGAAGTCCGGGCCTTTGGCCCGGGTCTGGCTCTCTGCCAACCTGGAGCGCAAGCTCTCCAAGAATCACATTTTGCAGTCGAACGTCACGGACAGCGTCGAGGCTATCATTACGCCAAACCAGGCGCCGATGGCTCTCCGTCTTTCTGGGCAGCTCTTGCTCGGTGTCGTCAGAATTTACCAGCGCAAGACGCGTTACCTGCTTGACGACTGCAATGAGGCCATGATGAAGATCAAAATGGTGCGTCAACCCCGCGTGTCCCGAAAATGATACCACCTGCTAACTGATATCTAAGGCATTTCGTTCTAGTGGAAACAACGACCTTGCATCCAATCTCCAAGTCTCCAATCGCGAGTCCTTGCTGCTGCCGGATCGCATCACTCCATATGACAACCTCGATCTCCCTCCGCCCCCAGATGCCTCATGGCTCTTGTCGCAAGTCGACGAAATCACTGCTACTCCTGTCGGTCGCAAGGGCCGGACAAGCAACCGGGACATCAATCTCCAAGAAGACTTTGACAACAGTCAATTCCTAAAAGGTCCGGGCGCTCTCGACGACGACTTAATGCCCACGATGGACGATTTGGATCTGGATCTAGACTTTGGTGACCTCGAGGGCGGCGTCAGTAACATGGAAATTGGTCGAGACGCGCCGGCTGCCCGGGACGTTGAGGACGACCTCTTGAGCGAAATTGAGATTGGAGTCGGCAAAGCTACTGATGGTCCATCTACATTCGACCCGGCCGCTGACAACATCCAGATCCTGGACGGCGATGGCGACCTTACCATGCCGGATGGCGATGATTTTGGCTTTAACCCCGAGGACATTTCCAACGTGCGCGATCTCTCTGCGATGCCACAGTCTCGTGCAAGAATCTCAGAGTCGCCCCTGTCAGATATCGATGAGCACTTTGCCAGAGAGGTGGCAGAACAGTACGCGCACAACACGGACATGTATGAGCCTGCCGACGAAACGGAAACCACGATTGTCCGCCGTCCCGCCCAGCGTTCCAGAAGACAAAAGATTTTGATGCCTGACGACGAAATTGCACTCTCCAGCAGTCTCATTAAGCAGCAGCAAACCAACCGCGAAAACATCATCAAGCCTGCCCGATATGTTCCCCGAGACCCTGTTATGCTCGCCCTTATGGATATGCACAAGAATGGCGGCTTCGTATCGTCTATCATGATGGACGGTCGGAGCACTGCTTGGGCGCCTGAGCTGCGCGGTATGCTGACGCTGGACATGCTACGCGACGACCTCAAGAGGAAGCGTGACAGTGGAATTGCGGATGTCGATAGTGACCGAGGTGCTGCCAAATCGCCACGTCTCGAATTTGACGAAGACACCAACATTGGACTCGGTGACAACTTTGGCGATCGCAGCGTTGGCCCCGATGGCACTGTTATCCAGCTGGAGGATGACGGCGGCTTTGATATGGGTGGCGACGCTGGTTTCCCCGACTTCAACGATACAACCATGCCTGTTGTGCATCCTGAGGACAGCGGCCCTGTATCCATCGGCACTAAGCACGCCGTCCACATTCTACGAGACCTGTTTGGGTCAGAAGCTGCCACTAGTGCTGAGAAGCGAACACAATCCATAGTTGTCTTCCAGGACCTCCTGCCGGAGAAGCGCACAACCAAGGCTGAGGCAACAAAGATGTTCTTTGAGTGTCTCGTCTTGGCCACCAAAGACGCCATCAAGGTCGAGCAAGGTCCGGAGCTCGGGGATAACATCCGCGTGCGCGGCAAGCGCGGCCTTTGGGGCGAGTGGGCGGAGAGAGAGGCCGGCGGAGAGATTGCGCACAACGACAACGAATCAGCGCCTCTGGCTGCGCAGCCCGTCGCCGTCAGCGCGTAAACAGCAGACAGAGGATTGTTTAATCTTTGGGCATTTTTGTTTTTTTCTGCCGGCGTTGTATCATGGCGAGGGCTGGTCCTCCCCTTTGTTGGCTTCTCTTGATTCACTCTTCTACTGCTGTGTAGGACTTTGGTACATGGTGCATTTTCTGCTTCTTTTTGTTTATGGGCCTAGTTGGGTCTGGTCTTGCTTGGTTTCGGGAATCGAGCACACACATCGCACGCACTCACGCACACACCCACGAAAAAGAGCAAACAGGATACCAGATCTAATGGCGTTGGTGGCGTTGCCTTTTTCGGTTTGGATACCACTTTAGCTTGGCGGAACATCCCAGGCGGGAAATTGAAGGGAAAATGGATTGACTGTGTGGAAATATTCTGTTGGAAACATTCATGTTAGATGACTGGCCTGGTGTGGCTTGGTATTAATTAGCCTTTTGAATGATAGCATGTTTAAATAGATTCTCAAGTTCCATGTGTGACTATCCGTATATGCCGTCTGATTAACATATTCGTACTCCGTAGGCTCCTGTGCTAAAGTTGGGTGAGCGCCATATGCCTGTAGCGTCCATCTCCTCGACTAACTTCACGTAGACGAGAAGCTTACAGTTTATGCCAAAGCCAGCTCTGCGCCGACTTCATCTACTTTCTACGACTATAATACTCGTAGCCAATTCGTGAATATTTCCTAATTTTGCTTTATCTATTCCCTGGGGCAAGCCTCTGAAGGATTGTAGGCAGCAGGTTTGCAAAGCCGTGATGCCTGCTGTACCGATGTAGTAGGATAGTGGGGGTGGCTCCTTGTCCCGCCAATTTCGATTAACCCCACGTTGGTACCAGCTGCCTTTGCGCAACTCACTCCTTCGAACTTATCTTCCAGACGAATCTCGCGTCCCAAGCTTGCTGAACAAATCACGGCACAGACAGAATCATAACATCAGACGAAGCTCAACTCGCCGCCCATCATGCCCGCCCCGTCGCCCCTCGCCATCACCACCAGCTCCGTGCAGCGCCTGCTCAAGGAGGAAGCCTCGTACCACAAGGAGCTGGCCGAGCAGCAGAAGACGGTCCAGGATCTCGAGGCGAAGCTCAAGGCCGGTGGCGCCGACGACGACGGCAACGAGGCCTTTATGCTGAAGCAGCAGGTAAACATTTTCCCGTCTCTTTCGTGCGTGTGTTTGAGGAGGGGCTGATGCAGGGGACAATGCTTTATAGCAAACTGCCATTGAGCAGACAAAGGCCGTCTTTGGGCCGCTCAAGCAGCGCATCGCTGACGCGGTCGCGAAGCTCGAGGACCAGCTCCAGGCTGCCGAGCAGCAGGCCGCCGCCCCCGAGGGCGAGGTCGCCCATGCCAGGACGGTGCTCGCGCAGGCCAAGGCGGTGGCGGTGGCTGCCTAGACGGACGGCGAACGACCAGTGCGGAAGGATACCCAGATTATGGGAGGAGGCAGAGAGAGAAGAGAAGAAAACAATTCGGCGGCACATAATTATACTAATGTTACTGGTTTTGAGGGTATCTTGACTATACACCTGTGTATTCCCATGTCCCAAATCTGATCTGTCGCTCGCAATAAAAAGAACCCAAAGTACAAAAGTTATGAACTCGCTACTAGCACTAGTCGTCGACCTCCATCTTTTCGGTTTCTGGCTCTGAGGAGCTGCTAGCTTCATGGGCCTCATCCGTATCCATCTCGTTGCCAGACACCTCTCCGTCCTCTTCCCCGTTGTCGTCCTCGTGGTCCATCTCTTCTTGCTCCGGCTTTGGCGTGGCCGCCACGCTGCCGGCTGCGCTGGCAGCCTTCGATGCCCGGCCGCTCGACACACCCGGGACCTGCAGATGATCACCCGCAGGCGTGACCGCAGCGCCGCCCTCCTCCTCCTCCTTTTGCAGACCGGCATCCGCGCCGTCCGGCCGCGGCGTGGCGCTGCCCTGCATCTCCGGCCGCGGCGTCGGCGCCGGCAGCGCCCCGTCGTCCTCGGTGCCCTCGTTCATGCCCTCGCGCCGGTCGACCTCCTCCTTCTCATCGCGGATCTGCCGCCTCAGCAGCATACCCTCGTCCATGATGCGGTTGAACTGGTCGCGGCGCTCGCGCCACGTCTCCGTGTACGTCTCGCTCTCGCGCTCCAGCTCGCGGCACTCCTCCTCCAGCTTGGCCAGGTTCGCCAGCTGGTCCTCGCGCGGCCGCAGCAGCCGGTTCGACGTGATCTTGTCGGCCAGCTCGTCAAACTTCTTGCGCTGCGCGAGCGTCGCCCGCGCGCCCTCGAGCTGCTCCCGCAGCTGCCCGTTGCGGTCGCGCACCGCCTGGCACTCGTCGAGGATCCGCTGCTTGTCGCCGTCGTAGCGGGCGCGCTCGCGCGCGTTGGCGTCGTGGAGGAACTGCAGCCGCGCGATGCTGCTGTCGAAGGCGGCGAAGTCGAGGGTCAGGTCCTCCTGGAGCTGCTCCGTGCTCCGTAAGGTGCCATCCGATGGTGCTTCGTTGTCGGGGAGTTTTGATATTAATGACGAGACCGCGGAGACGCGTTTTGTGATTCTCTTGAAAGGCTTTTCCTCCACGTTAAGGAGACGGGCTTTGTGAAGTTCCGTCTCACTCCGCTCGTCGAGCAGATCCCAACTCGACATGGCTGCTCCTGCGTGCTCCACTCAGTTTGAATGGGGTGTGCCGCAAAGTCGACTTCTGTATCGCTCGAGAAAAATGATTTCCGTTCAAGAGATAATTTCCTGTTTTCGAAAAATACTTATAGCGTTGTGTCGTTATTTGTAGTCAAACGTGAAATGTTGTTGCTTCTTTCTTGATCGCGTTTCCCAGGTCGCCCAAGACTGGAGCACATGACTAAGCCGTGTGTACAATGTTCCTGCGGCTCGCCAGCCCAACTGCAACATGTTCACTCCTCTTCCATACCACGTTGCACTACGAAAATCTGCACAATTTCGTCGGAAGTGTTATCCAGAATGTCAGGAGAAGAGAGAGAATTGCTAGATCGAATCAGCGCGCTTGCTGGTAAGCCGTTTTGGACCACAACACAGCACATCCAGTAGTACTAACTAACGGAGCAGGGCAAATTAATCGCCACAAGAATCAGCAAGCAGGATTCCAGCCATCACATGGATCGCGTGGTTATCGCCGTACGTCCGCAGTGTCTCTTTCGACCTCAGCTTTGTCCTTGACGAATTTTGCAGAGCAAAACCCCCGCTATCGCGGTACCTCGTATCGCGGGCGAGGGTTTCGGGTCGGCCGCCCGCCAGTGGTACATCGCCACCGCACCCTGAACCTAAACGCCCAGCCAAGCTCATCGGATTCATCACCGTCGACCCCCATCAGCTCAACAGACAACGCGCAGTGGGTGTCCAAGACGGATCGGCACAAACAGCTCATCAACGCGAACATCTACCAACAACAAGCGGAGTCACGCGCGCAAGCGATCGAGGAAACGCGCCAGCGTAGACTAACACAGCAGAAGAGCAGCGAAAGAACACGCTTCAACAATTTCTTGAGGCATAACCACGACGGTACTACTCAAAATACAGGGCAGGCCGAAATAGTCATCGCGAACATCCGATTTTTAGTGCGAGACGGAGGCAAGAAGCTCGTGCGTGCGGCCGGTAAGTCAACATTGCACGTCTGTTCTCACATGACCAAGCTAATTATTGTGCAAGATAATTCTAGCGATGCTCCCCCGACGCCAAAAAGCACGGCTGTTGCAGGTGTTCGATTCCACCGCACAAAGACAGGCAACCTAGTCGCCAACAGAGTCATTAAAGAGCAGCGGTATGTCGAAGCTCCGAATCTCGAAAAACATCTAACTCGAGTTCCAAGACGCTCCGGTGCCGTCAAGAAAGTTGACGAGCTATGCAAGATCTTCTCTACGACTGGTAATTTCTCATTCATGGCCACGGACGGCAGCCACCACGATTCAATTTCGGGCGATTTGTGGGCAGAACTAACTTTTATCGCAGGATCCTGCCGCAAGGGGCCCTCATGCAGATACCAGCACGACCCAACCAAGGTTGCTATTTGCAAAGACTTTTTGAAGGAGGGTCGATGCGTGTATGGCGAAAATTGCGATCTCTCCCATGAACTCACACCGGAGCGAGTTCCGAATTGCTTGCACTTCGCCAAGGGCAACTGCTCCAACGCCAACTGCCAATATTCCCATTCTGCCGCGCCACACAGTGCGCCGGTTTGCGAAGCCTTTGGTTACCGTGGCTACTGCGAAAAGGGAGCCGAGTGCACCGAACGGCACGTATTCGAATGCCCTGCTTTCAGCAACACAGGGACTTGTAAAACCAAAGGCTGTAAACTTCTCCATCGTGAACGGGCAAGCGTCCTGCGCCACCGAGTGTGGCAAGAGCAAGACGAGACTATGGAAGACGTTTCGAGCGACGAAGAGCCTGCGGACTCGGACGATGTTGATTCGGACGATGTTGCAGAGTTTCTGGCGGCCGACGAGGACGACTCTGACTTTGAACACGCCAAGGATTTCATTCCGTTGTAGCTGACAGTGCAAATGTACAGGTGCTGGCCGCCGCTGAGGGCAGGTTTGCCTCTTGCTCGAATCCAGTCCACCACCCACTTACCACGGCTAGACTGGGCTGAGTTGCGACTTTTTTTTCCCTTTTCGATTGGCATAGCCAATAAGCATTGCGATCATGCATGGCATGATGAGAGGCTTGGTTGCTTGACTGATACCCAAGACTCCCGCACCGCTGCGGGCAACGACATTTGATACTTGAAGAGAGATAATAAGTAAATAATGAATAGGAAGAGAAATAAGAAGTAAATATCAATCACACTTGCATATATATCGAATGTGTTCCTATTCCATTCACCGTGTTGTCGGTGATGGAGACCACCAAGCCTTCGTCCGATGGTAATCTGCAGCAACGGAAACAATCAATCAATGCCTGACGTTTCTTCAGCAAGCGGGGCACCAGAATACGGTACCTGGTTAGAGGCTGTTGGTGGGCTTCTGGGCCTTGCTTCATCAAGTCTACAGGTACTAACAAAGAAACCCCTCCTATTTGCCCCTCCTTGTATTGTTACGTCAGGGGCCTTCTTCAACTCTGATGCACGCAGAAGGATGCTATGTTGGTAACATTTGTTTTGCTAACATGCCAAATTTGCCTGCCGAATTGACCTTCTTGGCAATTCCTCTGGGCGCTTACACGATTACCCCCCTCCCAAGCCCTCACTCATCCTTGCACCGCCCGCCACCCACCACTGCCACCCCTGAGCCTCGCATTCGCCCGACGACTCCGCCACACGAATCAGACCAACCGAGCACGTTGGGCCTTGTTGCGCGTCCATCATCCAACGTCGGATGATGCTGAAGGCTTCCCCCCTTCCATCCTCGCGCCAAATATAGAACAGGGCTATAGTCTCCGAGGCTGACTTTGACCAGCGTGGCGACCCGCTGGAGCAACCGACCTTGTCGAACAGCACCACGTCAACGTTACTTGTTCAACGAGATAGCCGCCTCGCAAGCGCCCAGTACAATCTCCATGCGTCACGAACAAGACAAGCCGAGACGCATTTATTAACTTTTCTTTCTTACTTTTCATTCTCTTCATCCAGTTACATCATATTTATCCAGTACATATTCGTTTTCAGTTCATAATGGGCCTGCGAGACAAGCTCATGAAACGGGATGGGAGTGGGAGCCCAGAGCCCAAGGCCCCATCCACGGACAGGGGCAACATCATTGGGCAGAATGGCTACGCTCCCGAATTCACCTTTATACGGTCCGACACGGCCTCGATGGAAGTCATCCATCCCGGCAACGGCGGCAGCACCACGTCGGCCTCCGTACCCGCTCCCCACGACGACGGCGGGCACCTCTCGCCCACCAAGGAGCCAAGCACCGGCTTACGGCGCAGCCTATCCATCTTTCACTCCAGCCGCTCGCGCAGCGCATCCGTCTCCTCCCAGGTGAGCCAGCAGTCGTCGAGCAAGGAAGGCAGCGGAAGCCGCCGCCGGCGCCTCTCGGAGCGGCTGCACCTGCGACACCACCAGGTCGCGTCGTCCGACAGCGTGCCCGACAACCTTCCGGCCATTGTGGTGGCGGGCGACGACAAGGACACGCTCGAGTCGCAGTGGGAACAGCGCGCGACGCTGCTGGCCGTGCAGAACGAGCTGGCGCGCAGCGCGTCGGGTTCACCGGGCGTCGGCGGCAGTACGGCGAGCCTCAGCATCAGACCGAGGTCGTCGTCGTCGCAGACCAGCAGCCCGGCGGCCGCCGCGGGAGGGCGGATCAGATCGCGGAGCCTCTCGCCGGGGATGGTGGCGACGAACACGACGACGGAACCTCCGCCGCTACCCAAGGCAGTGTCGTCGAAGAAGATTGACGACGACATCCAAGAGGCCATCCGGCTACACGAAGAGGGCGACCTGCAGCGGTCCACGGCCATCTTTGGGAGGCTGGCGGACACGGAGGGCGCCAACAATCCGTTGAGCCAGGTGTTGTTTGGGTTAGCTTTACGGTGCGGCTTTACCCCCCCACCCCCCTTTATGATCTATGCATGACTGACAAGCGGCAATGCGCAACGATATAGACACGGATGGGGATGTGAACCAGACACCGCGCGCGCGGGCCAGTACCTGTCGGCCGCGGCGACCAACTCGGCCAAGATCGAGGACATGGCCCTCAAGGCGGGCATGCAGAAGGGCGGCGCGGCCAAGGGCGAATTAATCCTGGCCATGTTCGAGCTGGGCAATTGCTTCCGCCACGGCTGGGGCATGCGCAAAGATCCCGAGGCCGCCAAGGAGTTTTACGAAACGGCGGCCAACCTGGGAGACACTGATGCCATGAACGAGACGGCCTGGTGCTACCTCAACGGCTTTGGCTGCGACAAAAAAGACAAGGTACGTTACTGCTCCTGCGTTTCCAAACACCTATCACACAGAATTCACTGCGTGAGAAACCCGTTCTTTATGCTAAAATGGCTCCTTCTTGTAGTTTCAGGCGGCTAAATACTACCGCAGAGCGGAGAATGCGGGCAACAAGACACTCGGCAACTCATGGTGAGCACAAGATCCCCCCGCATCTTCCCCTTCACACGTCCTCCGCCACCGTCTATGAAGACTGTGGTAGATACCCTTCGTACCAGGCAAATATCGCTTCCATTCCTCTCCATCATTTGCGTTCAGTGACGTTGCCCCGGCGGGCCGATTGTGTGGCACGCGCATCACCGGCCTACCAGCATGGGCAGAAGAGAGGGCAACGTGCACTTTTTCTAGAATGACAGCTTATCCAGGCGTCTTGTAAGCAAAACCGACTAACTTGATTGGCGTAGGATCTGGAAGGAAAAGTACGACCCGGACAAGCAGAAGCCGGACAAGCAGGAGAAGAAAAAGTAAAACATCACCAGAGGGGAAGCCCTCAGCCACGTCAGGCTGCGCCATTCTCGGTGAATGTTCTGGCGTACGAGTCCTCCGCGTGTCCCTCGTGGCGTTTGCTCTAGCTCTTTCCTCTTTTTTCCCCCTCCTCGACTTTTCCCTCGCTGGGTTGCTGTACTACCTTTCCTTTAATAGGTTCCTTCGCAGACTCTTTTCAGCTTTGCACGCCCAGGCCAGCCTTGTGGAGGAAACACTGGGTGCGCCCACATTGATGAAGAATTTTCCTCTTCTGCTTCTTTGTCCTTCTTCCTCTTCTCGTGAAGGTGAGGGGAAGGGATCTTCGACTGACAGCTACCTAGTTGTGAATCGTTTGCTCTGTCTCGTTTGTTTCGGTCTGCAGTTTTTTCTTACTATTTGTTGATCGGCTCCTCTGCTGCCCGTCGGGTCTCCCAGTCCAAAAGATATCTTCATATAGCAGTATCATTAAGCGGTATTCTAATGTTGCATTTTATGCGAATCTCTTCCAAAACATGCTCCGTTTGCTGTTCTTGATATCGCCCAATGTCTGCTTTGCGTCTTTCATTCCCTGCGGCTGGTTGTCAGCGCTCCTGGTCCATCTCCAGTCATCGAGTATCTCGTGCTCGATACACTGTGGCCCCATCTTGGAAGTACGAAAAGCGCAACCGTTAGAACCATTTCCCCTCATTGGCAATTGCCATGCATTCTCCCGAGAACCCCACGCCAGCGAGAACCACGCGGCGAGGTGGATGAGGCACAAGCCATACCTCCCCGGCTCGACAACCAGCCCAGTAGACTCGACATGAGATAAATATACAAAGTGGAGGTTTAGAACATGATCACCACAGACGTTCGATTTCCTGCACTATTTGTTTGCTTGTTTCCGTAGAAAAGAGGTAGAATGACTACGGAAAAAGTGGGAGGGCGAGAGAACGCCCAAGCTGGCCTCGGTCAGCCTAGCGCTGCATCATCGAGCCAGGAAGTGTGATGTGGTCTTGTGAGTTGCAACCCACCTCAAAACCCCTCCCCAAGTCAGTCACGGTGTGGTTATTCTGGACGCGAAATCAGCAAGAGGGGTTGCCCATATTTTTCAATGTCTCATGCAACCCAGCATGTCTTAGACAACCTTGTTCGACGACGCACACGATCTACCGCATCCCCCTCCCGTTTACGTACAATGAATCTCATCTTTTGTCTTCACTCGCTTATTGCAGCGAGATCAACCGTTTATCCGCCAAGAGAAAGTTCGAATGCCGCTGCTAACCACATACATCTTCACCGGACACGGCACTCACGAGACTTTAACAAGGAGCTGGCAAGAGGTACATTTAATGGTGGTAACATGAGTAGCAAGTTAATGTTCGAATGCTAGATATATTATTCATAGATCCTCATCCGTGGCGCCCACTGAAGAAGCCCCAGCACATTTAGTCAACGCTAGCATGGAGCTCCATGAGAGCATACAAAGGAAAGACAAAGAGTGTGTGCAGTTGGTTCGAAGAATAAAGGTCATTAAAGTCATATCAGTCCACCTGTCCATCGCTGAATCATAGATCGTTCAGTCATTGCATCAACTGCCGCAAAGCAAACGGCGAGTCGACGCTGGCCGGTTATACGCACAGCGTCTACGCATACCGCTGCTGTACCCAAGACCCTTCTGCCGATCCTCGCAAGCAAAATCTGACAGAGTGACAGGACCTAGGAAAAGCGAAACGGACATGGCGATTTGCACGTCCCAAAAACCGCAAACAGAAAGGCCACCGCCAAAAAAAAGCAATCCCAATAAAATGCACGCTTGTTTCGCTTGCTAATAAACCAAAGGAGAAATGAAAAAAGAAATGACGAAAGATGTTCAAGGAAATAAAAATGCCTCCAATATTGTAAAGTATCCGGAGAAAATGGACTCGTGGGAAACTTTTCTTGCGTGAGCAACAACTCTGAAACTGTGGGTTGCGCGAGAGCGCTCGTATGTAGATACCGCCGCGGTTGCTCGGCAGAAAAATAGCCACGGTCATGAATAGAACAATTCATTATTGCAAAGAAAGAGAAGGAGAGGAGAAAGTGAATATCCAAAGTAGGCCGTAAAATGTAGTCGTAATCGTGAGAGAGTCGTCAGTCTTATTCTTGAAAATGAATTTTGTAAACAATATCATTAGGACATGATTTCGTTGCATTGCTGCGGGTCAATCTGTGCGGAATTGTTCTCCGCGAACATCTTTATGAAGTCTCGCACAATGTCTCGCGGGATTTGGTCCCAAAGAAGTGTACGCGTATACACATCGGCAGATCCAGACTGCTTGTTGGTTTCGCGGATCTCAGCCAGTGCTGCAGCCAGGTTCTTGCGGCCTTGGCTCGGCTCGGACAACCTTTCCGGGTGCCCATTCTGCAGGAACGTTTGATCGCTTACGCCATTGTATTGCGCCGCAGACATTGAGAAGGCTTGCTCGTTGGTCTGCGCGCGACTCGGCTGGATAAAGTCGTTGAGCTCACCCAGCATCGGCGCAGGCACACTGTCGGCCATGACACCAGTCATCGGGCCACTGCTGGACATGCCAGCCCAGTTGATCGCGGCACCCTGGGACGGGAGGGGCTGCACAGCGGCAGATGAGGGCACGGCGGCCTCCTTCAGGACATTGTCAAGCAGTGCCGCCGAGGCCGAGCGAACATCTTCAGAGACGCGAGGGATGGCAGGAGGGGAAGGGCTGGACATGACAAATGCGCCAACAAGGAAGAGCATGAAGAGCAAGCCACCCTGCGTGGCCGCTTTTTCGCCTTCCGTGGAAGGGCCAGCGTGAGCCTTCTTGGCTATTGACGTTGACGGCGGAACGGTCTGCTTGGGGGCCTCGGGAATCATGCCATACTGATGAAGAAAGTTGGCGTTGTCCCAACCACCAGGCATGCACATGCTGTCAACCTCACCAAATGGCCCATTGATGGTTGTGCCAGTAGGGCCAGGAGTGGGCACAGAGTTATTCTCCAGGGCGGCAATGTTCTCGGTGAGCACGCTGACTTTCTTGCGCAGCTCGCGCGATTCGACAGTGTGACTGCGAATCATCTCTTCCCTTTGAAACGTGAGAGTCTCGCAGTATTGCATATACATTTGACACTCGCGGCGACATTCTTCCAGCTGGATTCGTAATGAGTTGACTTCTACGTCCAGCTCCCCAATAGTTGCCGTATACTGCTTCTTTTCATCCTCGAGTCTCTCGGTATGCTGCTTCTTCCGTTGCCTAGAATCCAGGGCAGCTTGACGGTTTCGAAGTAGGCGTTTTTGTTGCTTGAGCTCCTTGATCTCCACCTCATTGGTAGATTCGGCAATGAGTTGGTCAATGTTGTTCAGGTTGTGGTCTGGCGGGATCTCAAAACGCGCATTCCTCTTGCGAACACCATCACGACGGAGGTCGCCTTGCGCAAGCTGGTCCCCATCAGTCACGGCAGCAGCAGTGGCTGTAGAAGCTGTGGGCGACTGATGGATGGACTGAGAAGTAGCAGACCACTCATTCTTGGGGGATGCCTGCTCGTGCTTCTGTTCGCTAGTTATGGTGCCAAACATGCTGGGAAAGGGCATGGGCGCATGGGCAGCGTTCTGGTAGACAGAAGTAGGAACCTCAAAGCCAGCAGCCACCGCTGGGTCGAACTGGGGAAGGGGAGTCTGGGCGGCCATACCCCATGAGCTTGTTGAGGGTGCGCTGAAGGCATGGCTGCTGTGCTGGTCCATTCGCAGGTAGTTGGAGGCTTCCTGCTGCTCGACGAACGGGTTGTTCGAGGGAATGGACTGCATATCCACGGACTGCCAGTCTTCCGTCTTGGGAGAAAATAACGGCGGTCCCGTAGCAAAGGACTCTCTGCGGCTGTTGGCCATGTGTGGCGAGTGTTCTGAAGAAGTGTCTAACGTGTTGGGGCTGAAGAAGTTGGCCAGCTGCTCATCGACGTTGGAGGTATTTGCGGCGGAAACCACGGGGGTCTGAGTGTGCGCGAAGAACTGCATAGGAAAACCCGACAGGTGACGCGGTTGGCAGGAGAAGGTCTGGCGCGAAGCGAGTCGATGCGTTTCCTTTGTTGGGAGGGTAATCCGCGGGATACTTCGAATTGAACGGGGAAAAGAAGCAGCGGTATCGAGCCTGCTGTGGCTGGAGGGGCAGGTGAGGGCGAAGAAAGGAATCTGGGGAGGCAGCGGCGACGATGTGTTAGCAAGTCGAGCGAGCTTGAACGTGTATTTCGTGTAGGCGATCAAGATTTAGGTTGTGCCGGTGGTGGGACAGGAAGAGGCTGGTAACGGGCGGGAGGGGAGAAACAAAGGCAGCGGCCGTCTGGCTGCGTGAGGGGTAGTAAAGCGGTGGCAGAGAAAAGGGGCAAGGCGTTATGAGATCGTAAAAATCGTAAGGGGGAAAATAGAAGAGGACTTTTGTGTATTCTGGTAAAGATGGGAGAAGAAGAATAAGACGGCAGCGAGACGAGAGGCGCATGCATGAAGATGGATGAGGGAGATATGGGATATGGACAGGCGGCAAGAAAGTGGAGAGGGAAGCAGACGAGGCAGGGTTCGTGGCGGGGGAGGGAAGCTTTATTATGGGAGGAAGCATGGTGGAACGTTTGCCCTATCGTCGAACCTGAAAAGGTACTTGTTGAGGTAGGTTCTTGGTGACCAAAATTAGGTGAGCAGGTACATTGACCCGTCTGCCGGTGGAGGTATCTTTGTAGGCGAGCCGGTAGGATCAGGCACTCGGGGCATTTAGGGCATACAAGAACAGGGGATGGCAGTGCACAACAGCACTGTAACAGCGCTGAAGCGGCGGTGGTAAATTCCGCAGCAGCGCTGGAGGTAGTACCTTGGGCGGGGAGCCGTAGCGCAAGAGAGCAGCTGCCAGGTGCTACCTGTGGGAAGAGGGGAGGGAGGGGCGTGTGATTGTGGGTGGGCATGTCTTGCAACTCTCTTCTTCAACGCCGTCTCGTTTTCTGCCTGCAGTCGGTACGTACCAGGGTGGCTAAAAGGTAGCGAGATGAACGAAGAACTCACTTGCTCTCGCAGATCGCTCGGTCCAGATGATGTGCAGGCGGCTGCACCGGCGCCCTCGCTAAAGCTCGACGTTGTGCGTGCTGCAGCGCTACCGTCGATGATGTGCCAAGGAGCCGCACTCGAAGGCGGCAAAAAGCAAAATGTTGAAATCGAAACGGAGTTGGATATTTGGATACACCAGCAGCGAAGCCGTATAAACCCACCGTATCCGTTCACGAGGCTCTGCTAGCCTCAGAAGCCAAAGACAGGAACGTTTGCCTGCAAAATCAGCAATCAGCAATACTATACAGCAGAGAGCGTGGCAGGCGAAGAATTGCCAAATCAATCGTACCGCTCTTCTTTCGAATGGGCACAAAGGGTCTTAATCAGAAATCCAATGATGGAGAAGACTCTATCCATCCAAGGCGGGCGAGCCTTGGCTATTAATGCCCTCGACCTGATGTTACCTTCGCTTCGCACCGCTCTTAGGACCCTTATATCCTATGCCCGAGCAATACATAGGTGCCAGATCTATGCATGGCCTGAAGTGAATGACCGCAAGTGGGCAGTAGAGGTAGGTAGAAAGTGGACAGACGGTTCGATTCCTACCCGCCTCTGCGCCGGAGCAGTGGTGCCGCCATCAGGTACGCTCAGCAGCATACCGCATGCGCAACCCTCTCATAGACCCAGGCTGGTTCAGCTGCTCCCCCCTAACAAGTTTCCAGGCTTTGACTCTTGGTTTTAATCTTCCAGTATTAACACGGGGTGCGAGGCCTTGCTTTCAAGTCACACTGTCGACCTCAACCCTGGCGGCGGTTCGATCCACTTACAGACCGACGACAAGGTCTCTCTCACATCGCAGGCTCATGGCCAGATGGCTCGCGAAAAGTAACGGAACGGATTTTCTTTATGCCCTTCGTTCACGGTTGCTTGCTGCATTCGGCACTTGTGCTCTTTTCTTTCTCCCCGCCCTCCCCCTGACACAAACTGTTGGCTCGAGGCCTCGAGAACAGGCCGGCTCGTAAAGCTTGTGTCACCATGGCCAAAGCCGACGTAACCAGCGAGCATTTTTCTCGCCCATCATTTCTCAGGAGACCGCTGACCTGAAATCTCATCTATTCTGACTAGCACCATCAGGCACAAATGAGCTTGTACTACGTCGTCAAAGGGCTTGCTGCGGTGGCAGTGTGATCCGCTTCATCACACACCTACCTGCCTTGGCTCGGGACCCTGGAGCTAAGCGTTCCGATGTATACTACTGGCCATATCGCAGCGGGCTAGTTATCTATCTGTCGCAAAAACGAGGCAAAATGGCCGTTGGGCTTCATCTGTTCGCCTGCTGTAACAACACCGAAGCCGATTCGCCGGGAAGGCCCGTCATTCCCGCATGCCTGCAGTCACGCTGGCAATCACGCCTCTCCCATCTGATTGTCACATCGAACGGAAGCAGACAGGCGAGAGAATTCCCCACGGCAACACAAGTGTAACAAAGACACCGTGGTTATCGTTCACCAGACGCATTGTGCGATTTGCAGCACACATCACTTGTGAGGCAGGCAAGCTGTACTCGGACATGCAGGGGATATCATTTTACCCCATAAACTGCTGCCATTTGGCTTCTGGCCGGCTGCAGCCTCTTGCACCACGCATTTGGCTCTGACACGGAAGATATCCAGGCTGTGTCAGATCGCAGCAGACTAGAGCACATGATGAAAGGGCTCAGCAGTGTTGTGGGCGAGTTGTGGCGCTGCTCACCTCCAGCCGCAACCAGCTAACTACGAGGAGGAGACAAGCGATGGATCATCCACGGCGCCTCTTGGGCATCAAGAGGGGAATAGCTATAAATCAGGTACCCGATGGTTGGGACTGGCTGAGGGGGGCGTGGCCTGTCAGTACTCCGTACTGTTATTTTTACTTCGACATGACATGCCGCCGTGTGAGGATGAGGATGTAAAGGGTGTGTGTGAGTAACACTTGGGATGGGCGAATAAGGACGCTCAAAAAAGGTTTGCACGACCTCCAGCATGCAGGCATAAGCTACGGACAACGGTTTGACAGGCTGAGAGCTGCCCGTGACTCCGAATTGAGGCATCGACGGGAGGGGCGCTCGTCGTCGCCTGCAGGGCAGCCCTGGTCGTGGGCGCCAAATGATCAGGGCAGATTGAAAGAAAACCACACCATGAACGAAATACGTGCAAGGAAAGACAAAGACGAGATATGAGAAAAGCCTCTGATTTGCAGAAGAGCCAAGACGAAAGTGACACCAGACAAATACCCCACGCCGGGGGAGCATCCCATTGCGTGAGCAGGCTGTCCCGTGGCCACCAAGAAGCGGAAGGCGCCTTGTCTAGGGCCGAACCTACTCCGCGTGGATGGATGTGTGAGTGTGTGTGGGAATAGGTACAGTACATGAACTTCCAAAGAGACAGACAGAGAGCAGAACAGAAAAACGTTGCCGCGGTCGTATCCGACTCCGCAGAGAATCCCGTCACAGGACCGCACTGGGGCGAGAAAGCACCCTACAGTGGTAGGCAGAAGTCGTCGTAGAAGTGGACGGATATTATGGGATGGGGGGATGATGATGCATGGCGCTCATCAGGCGGCAGCCTCTGGGGCTTTAAACCTGATTTGGTTGGATCTCCCGCGCCGCGACATCTGAGACAAGGGATTATTGCAATTTAGTCTGTATTAGTACATGCATAACTTTCCAGCGCCTGCGCAGCCTCGGAGGCACTCAGAGCCTATGTAGAGGCATCATGGAATGGGGCAGTGTGAGAGGAGGAGACTTGGTCGTGGACGCAGGTACCCTGCGCATACTATTTTGCGGTGAAAGGTACTTGGGGCCCCGACGAGACATCGACGCCCACAACCACAAGCTCGCCAAACCAAATCGCACCACTCATCGGAGCTACACCAAACTCACACACTAATAACCACTGCCATGATGCCGTCACCGCCACCTGACTGACTCCTCGCGAGGGCGACAAGAACCTCCCATCGGAAGCCCGTTGGTGCTCAAACACCTGTGACCGAGGCCAGCATCCAAAGTTGTTTATACGCGCCGCTGACTTGCTGCGAAGCCGCTTCCCGTGGCGCAGGCATCGACGAACCAAGTTACCAGTCCAGCAGCAGCCATGATTTTATCTTGTCGTCTTCTTTAGAAGCTTGCGGATATTATTAGCAAACTGGACTCTGCTCTGGCCAAGCCCCTCCCTCCACCACGGTTACGACTCACCAGAGGCACCACCACCGCTTATAATATCACATACACCACGCGGCCAGAAAAAGATGCTCCACCCGGCCTGTTATGCGGCCATGGTCTCTAACTAGTTTGGTCTACCTTGTTACGAAGTACTTCATACTTAACGAATATGACTTGGGCCTTTTCTGGTTTCTCTTTGGTTGACCGTTTCCCGTGCCCCTCGGAGGGATGGAACACAAGGGAAGGCGCCCTGATTACGACGAGAAGGGTGGCCTCGCGTGCTGAGCAATACACCTCGGCGAGGGGCTTGTTTTGGTAGCCCGGCTTTGTTGGGCTCGTTGATGCCCAACCTCAACTCGTCAAGCCCATCCATTCATTTGCTCCGATTACGCCAGAGAGAAGCTGTTGGGGAGTCCTTCGCTATCACCTATGACTCCCACGGTTTGACTGCTCTCTCTCTCTGTCTCGTTTTCGATCCGCATCACCTGATTCAGGCGCCGCGATCCTTCATCCTTTGCTGCTTTTTTCTTTGCTTGATACCCCACGAGCCGGTGCCTATTTGCTGCCCGTGTGTCTTGACTCGGGCCCGTGTACTTGGTTGGCCCTTGCTTGTACGGTTTCCGCTCGTTGTCTTCGTAAGAATCGTAACCCAACCACCCCAGACCATCGCGATTCCTCGTCGCCCCTGGCCTTCCTTCCCCCTAGGCTCAACCGAATCACTCGAGCTGAATTGCGCATCGAGGCCCGGGCCAGGCAACCCTGCTGCCGTGCAAGTCCTCGGTTTCGCAAGGTCCGGCCTGGACGGGCTGCGAGAAGGGCGCGCTGTGCAACCCCGTTTTGGGAAGCACGACAACATACGGTCAACAAACCTCTGTTCAGCCTATATCACGCCCTAGTTGCGTTGATAGTTTATGCGCATCAAGATAAATTGCCTCCTCGAGCATCTCGTTTTTTGACCCGGCTCGTACTTGCGGCGCGGGCCGTGGCAACCTTACCTAGTAAGGCATTCTTAGCCCATCATGACTGTACCATTCAACACCACGTTAGCAGCCCGAGAAAAAGACATGTCTCTAGCCATCAAATCGACGCTTTTTTTTTTTAGCACATCAGGCGACCTCTTCACAGCATCTTGATCCCCCCTGTGCTACTACGTACGCCTTGCTTTTTTTTTTTTTTCGAATCGCACTGCCTCTCCCGTTTACGTACTCCCACGAGGCTTTGGTCTCACCTCGCCGACGCTTGGCGTTGGCGTCACAACCTCGCGCGCCACCCAGCCAGCCCTCGACATCACGTCGTTCCCATCAATGTCCCTCGAGGAAAACTGGCGGTCAAGCAACGGGCCGGGCCCTTCAAGCGACGATGCACTCCATCTCTGGGGCCGCACTCGTTTCAGGGGAATCGTTCATGCCCCCGCCTTTTTTTTTTCCCTTTTCCACGGCGTCGTGAGCGAGGTGAGGAACGTTGAGAAGCAGCGCGGGCAGAGTGCCAGTGACCGCTGAAATGACAAAACTCACACACAAAGAATCTGTTTCTTGTTGCCCCGTGCAGGCGCATTGCACATTTCATGCAGAGAGAAAAAAAAAGAAAAAAAAAGAAAGAGGCGCGGGCTGGCCAACTCCGCCGCCCCGAGGACCATCTTGTCTACCCCCTCGCGCCACGCAGAAGCCAAAAAGGAAGAGACATGCAGATAATGCATGTAGGAACATGGAAAAAGAAATATCCAGTAGATAGCATTGTCTAGGACATAGCAAGGAGAATATCTTCTTACTCCCCCGATCACAATGCTACGTAAAGAAACGAGGGAGAGGAAGCCGAATCATTCGCCGTTGCCCAGCATGCTCGTACATTCCTTTCCTCTTCGTCACCGCTCATTGCTAGACCATCTGGAGGCTGCTCAGCTTCTCGATCGATAGGGTGCCTTTTATTGTTCATGCTGTTGAAGGTACCACCGCATCTGAAACACTTTTTCTGCATGCCTTCGCTCTCGCCGCCGCTGCCGTTGCCATGCAGCTCATCGAGGACCTTGCCTCATTCGCTGCCCCCGTATGGACGTACGTATGGATATAAACTCCGCGAGGCGCGGTGAGTTATGCGCATCCGAGACAGCGACCGCCTGCAGTTTGTTCGCTGGGAGGGGGTCGATGCGGTCTGGCCGGCCATCAACACGTTCTAGAAGCAACGGGGACAAATCAAGGAGCGGTGCCACGACATGTCATGCACACGATATTACGAGGACGAGGTCCTGTAGAGGTAACTTACACATTCACCATTGTGAAAAGCCATGGTAGCAAGCCTAGACGACTATCAACATCGTTTGCTAACCAAGAATGCACCCAAAAAATTTCATTCCGTGTCCACAACTTCTCCTATATTGACACCAACGGTAACAGCTTTCCCTTCCTTCACCATGACAAGAGATATTGCTTCGCGAATTCAAACTCCCGCTTGTCAATATGTATGACAGGTGGCTGCCAGAGCCATAGGCATGACAAAGCCAACGCAACATGGTTTGCACAAGTATGTATGTGAAGATTGGTGCTGCATCGACATGCGGATGCATTCGACAAGTAGTCGCATGCATTTACTGCTGGGCCATGCCGGCCAGCTGCAAAAGACGCTCTCCAGCGCGAAGGTTGGCATACTCGTAGGCCTTGGACTCAGGTGGGAAAGTGCCGTTCGCTGCCCAGAGGTCAACGAGTGGCTGCATGGGTTCCAGTTCGTTAGGACCCAGCATGTCCAGAGCCGTAGCAGTGAGGATAAAGTGCGAGAAACAACTGTTCAGCTGCTTCTCAAGGTTCAAGTGGTAGAATGGGTCCGTGAAATGTGACCAGTACAGATGGGAGTATACACGGAACATCTGACGGAAGATCATCTGAGAGACCTCGAGAAATTTGTCAGGGAACCCAGATCGCTTGCCCAGCCACTCCCTCTCGCCAGGGTTGGACAATTGTGACAGCGGCGTTGTCGTGGTCGCAGGGTTTTGAGCGTACGATACACCAGATGGGTCGGTAGGGAAGATGGCCGGATCGTCGATTTTGCCAGAAATCCATCGCTGCATCAGAGTCATGTATTCGTATGCGGGCAGCTCGACGGGTTCCCGGTCTCTGTTGAGCCAAGTAAACGAATGGTTACTACAAATACTTGTCAGCGACTACCTCCCCAGCTGCGGCAGGATAAGCTTACGCTCCGGCAGAAGTGCGAGGGCATGTTGTGGAGTTGCAGATTGAAAGACCAGTCTCTTCCTTCTCGTGGACGACGCGGACGAAATTCCAAAGGTTTCGATAGTGCTCAACAACTATAGACGCGTTAGCTCTACACATGTCTTGCCGGGGCCGAATCTTACCCTGGTGAGCAATCCATTCTCCTTGTTCAACGGTCTTCGGTCGAGCACTTAGGGTCATAAAGTTGCCCTTGACAATGTGTTTGGTGCAGTTGGCGTTGAGCCATAACGGCAGGGGCTTCGGGAGATGATAGGAGTTGATAATCTCGTCACCGCTCGGGATGGTACCGTTGCTCTCATCCATGCCGATGGTCTGGGCGAGCGAGGGAGAGTTTGGCAGCGGAGGCACCTTGGGGGCAAGGCTGGCTGAAGACTGACTTCCTTGCGACTGAGAATCGGAGATTGGCAGTTGACCAGTTGAGGTGGTTGGGCTTTTCTGAGGGCCGGGGGACTTGTTCGATCCGCCTCGGAAACGGGCGTTACTAGTGACCACCAATTAGTACCAATGTTGAGTTCCCTTGGTGCGACAGCGACCGCGCCAGCGCGCGATGGGTGCAGATGGGCCATAGAGCATGGTACACTGTTGGTGCTAAACACGGCACACGGTTGTTTCAATAAAGTTTGGCAATATGAAGAAGTTACAGCCGCGCATTGTCAACACCAAGTCAGCACTTAGTGCGGCACACCGTTGGTGTGGATGACAACATCGGACCATCCAATTGAGCACTGGTTTGGACAGCGATAACAGCGTCATGCAATACCAGGAGCCGCCGAAGAGCAACGAGGGCCATGTCCGCTCCTTCCGTCGTCAGCCTCGAGGTCCCCTCAGAGAGTTGGATTCGCAATGGCATCCGTCGTCTCGTGTAGCAGCAACCAACCCCTCACTCACCGCTAGGGCGAGATGTGGCTTTGGCGGCTCCGAGACTGAGAAGGCAGACCAGGGGCAAACAGCACCAATGCAAGCGATCGAGGGCGGCGAAAAAAGTGCAGGCAATCGGTAGCACAGCAAAAAAAGAAAATCAATGCAAAATACTTACATCCCAGAGAATAGATTAGACATGATGGATGGGAGAAACAGGTGGTGGAGCGGGATGCAGGTGCTCCGATGCTGCCCAAAGGAGGGGCAGACGACTGTCGCTTCGTCACGGGATTTGGCGCCTGGAACGAGTTTGGAAGAGAGTGCTAGTGAAGTTTGGTTTGCTAGGGGGACTGGCTTAGACGAGAGCGCGATGCTACCCCGTCGAGGAAGCAGAGCAGGCGGCGGCTGATGGTGATGGTTCGCGTGAAAGAACGAGGGGCTGAGATGTAGCGTTTGCGGTTCAGGGCAGGAGACTCTTGCCTATCCGACCTGTAGAAGAACTCAGGGCGTCTGGAATAAGTGGGCTGCCGATTATTGTTAAGGTAAAGAAAGGTTCCCTGAATGGGAGGGCAGCTGCCAACAGATACAGATTGCTGCCCAGCCCAAAGTGTCGTGAAAATACACGCTGCTGTATGCCGAAGAAATGTCGAAAATATAATAAAAACTACACAAGACCCGAACGAATCAAGCGGTTTTTGGATATCAATAATAAAAGCCCAATTTAGATATTTGTTCCCAGCTATGTAAACTAACCCCTTCCCTTCCCCGTGTCATGTTCCGTTTTGTCCAATCCCCACACACAGCTGGTGCCTGAGCCGCTGTAGGTACCTATGTAATTGCCCCTTGTTGGCTGTTTATAGCGACTGCTGCAGCGCTTGCGCAGCGAATTCTGCTTCATTCCCAAACAGGTATAGCGCAACTTTGTCGTCCAAACATCAACAGCCGACAATACACACTGTCCGTAGGATCTTGCGCTGGCAATTGATAATACTTTATACAGCAATGTATTGTTTGCTGAATTTCTTCCTACTCCCTAGTTTTGTTCTACTGAAGCTACCGAACATTCTTCATACGCTGGAGGTCAACAATTGGCGCTGGGTCTGGAGCAAGATGGATAGAGTCCCCGCCAAAACTACCTTATTCCCGGGCATCAAGCACGATGCATTGTGCTTGGAAAAGCGTTAACGCTCAACAGGATGGGCTTTGGAGTTTTATGCTAGTACTTTTCTTTTTTCATCTCTATTTCTCCTGCAGTAGAGCCCTCATCTGCCATTTGTTTCGTGGTCTTCGTCACTTGGCTTATTCGTACTTTACCCAATGTTGCCCCTGTTCTTCCCTGGCGCCCCACCAAAAGGACAGCCTCGTTGGCCTGTCCGCGGATTACCTACATTCATCGGCCAGCTTTGCGACCGACTCCTTTGCGACGCTTTTGGCAAATTCTTTCCACCATCTATCTTTCCAACTCGTCGGTTCGGCTTCGTCGTTGTGCGCCTTCCAACTCCTTCTCGTTCATCGGACTGAGTAGCCGCTGCAGGCTTCGCAGACCGTCATCGTCTTATCGTCCCTGCGCTTCGAGAGCCCCCTAGAGAGACACGTCGTGCATCAGCCCCCATGACATCGCGAGATCTGCGATACCGCGATTGACGCTCCCGCAACTCCCGTCGCGTTATAGAGCACCAAGTTCAGTCATGTCACTTCCATGGTCCGAACGCGGTCGTGCGGACAACCACCCTCTGCTGCCGACCTCGTCAACCCCAACCATCACAGGCCTTAGCTCTGAACCTCTAGACCATGATCAGCCGCCTGCCTCGCGGCCGCGCCACGCCAGAACAACATCAGCGCATGCTCGTGTTAGTGTTCTCATGATCATCATTCTTCTACAATTGACTGACTTTCTTTTACAGAGCGTCGCAGACGAATTCTCGTTTATGACCCCAAGCGAAGCTGCTGCCCGCCTGCGAACGTCCCTTACTTACGGGCTCACCCCGAACGAAGGTCTTACAAGGCTTGGTAGCCATGGTCCGAACGAGATCCCCCACGAGGAGCCAGAGCCTCTCTGGCTACGCTTCCTCAAGCAGTTCCAGGAGCCCCTGATCGTCATGTTGCTGGTGTCTGCCGGCGCGTCGTTGCTCCTGGGCAACGCTGATGATGCAGTCAGCATTACAGTTGCCGTTACCATCGTTGTCAGCGTTGGCTTTATACAAGAATACAGATCCGAGAAATCCATCGAAGCGCTAAATCATCTGGTCCCAAACCACGCCCACCTCTTGCGCAGCGCACCTCAGAAATCGCCTACTACCAAAGGCCCCGCGCTACCGTCCAACATCACAGACGCTCAAGACATTGGTGACCCTGGCATCAGAACTCCTGATGACGCAATTTTAGATGCCACTTCTTCCAAGGTCATGGCTTCTCAGCTTGTGCCGGGTGACCTGGTTTTGTTTACAACCGGAGACCGCATCCCCGCCGACATTCGTGTTACCAAGGCTGCCGACCTCACGATCGACGCTTCCAACCTTACCGGCGAAACTGACCCTGTTAGGCTCGGTACTGAGGCGAAGCGCAGCCAAGTTTTACCGCAGCTCGGCAACGCAGCTCCGAACTCCTCGCTTGCACCGAACACCAGCGCAAGCATGGAGAATATTGCCTACATGGGAACCCTAGTCAAGTCGGGCCACGGCCAGGGCATAGTTTTCGCAACTGGCGGAGCCACACAGTTTGGTGCCATTGCGACAAGTGTGTCTGGAACTGAAAGTCCCCGTTCGCCTCTGCAGCTTTCCATGGATGATCTGGGCTCACAATTGAGCAAGGCGTCCTTCGTTGTCATCGGCCTTATCTCGCTCGTTGGCTTATTGCAAGGCAAAAAGTTATTGGAGATTTTTACCATTTCCATTTCATTAGCTGTCGCTGCCATTCCCGAAGGCCTCCCCATCATTGTCACCGTCACTCTCGCTCTCGGGGTACATCGCATGGCAAAACATAATGCTATTGTGCGCCGCATGCCCAAGGTCGAGACGCTTGGATCTGTAAATGTCGTCTGCACAGACAAGACGGGCACTCTCACAACCAATCACATGACTACAGCTCAAATGTGGCACTTTGGTAGAGAAGTCATCAATATCGAAGCCGAAGCCGAGGCAATCGAATCAAGTCCCTCACAAGCGACCTCCAGAATTTTGCGAATTGGCAACCTTGCCAACAATACACGACTCGCTCATAGTCATACACACGGCGCTGTCCCATCATTGGCTGTCATGTCGTCAACTTTAGGTCGAGGAGATTCTCCTTCGTTCACAAGATGGGCTGGCCAGCCAACCGATGTTGCCATGATGGACCTCCTGGACAAGTTTAAAGAGCATGATGCTCGCGAATCTGTTGGGGCCCGTGTAAGCGACATACCATTCAGCTCTGACAGGAAGTGGATGGGCGTTATTATTGGCAACGAGAAAGAGTACGCATACATGAAGGGGTCTATCGAAAAGGTCCTCGCAGCTTGTGACACATATCTCGACCAAGATGGCCGGGAGATTGTCCTCGACTCAGCTCGCAGACAGGAGGCACAACAAGCCGCGGAGTCGATGGCTGCAAAGGGCCTCCGTGTCCTTGGTTTCGCAAGTGGACCAGTCTCACGCTCTGGTAAAGCCTACACCCGAAGCAACACGCCAGGAATGGATGCACCTTCCCTTCTTCCTGGGGAGGACGCCTTCAAGGGCCTGACTTTCGCTGGCCTTGTTGGCATGAGCGATCCCCCAAGACCTGGTGTCGGCAAATCCATTCGACGACTGATGCGCGGGGGTGTCAGGGTAATCATGATTACCGGAGATGCTGAAACTACAGCTCTTGCTATTGGTCGGCAGCTAGGCATGAATATTGCTACAGCGAGCTCGCACGCTGCTGGGCAAACCACTGTCAAGCCTGTACTGCGAGGCGACGAGATTGACAAGATGTCAGATGAGGCTCTCGCTGATGCTATGCAACATACGACTATTTTTGCTAGAACGACACCCGATCATAAGCTCAAAATTATTAGCGCTCTACAGTCCCGTGGCGATATTGTTGCCATGACTGGTGACGGTGTCAATGATGCACCAGCCTTGAAGAAGGCCGACATTGGTATCTCTATGGGTCGTCAGGGCACCGATGTTGCCAAGGAAGCTGCAGACATGATTCTTACCGACGATGACTTTTCGACTATACTACGTGCTATCGAGGAGGGCAAGGGCATCTTTAGCAACATTCAAAATTTCCTGAGGTTCCAGCTCTCCACCAGCGCTGCTGGTCTGTCACTGGTATTCCTCTGCACCTTGTTTGGTTTTAAGAATCCGCTAAATCCAATGCAGATTCTCTGGATCAGTACGTTTCAATTCGCCAACCAAAACCAGAGTCTCAATTGCTAATCCCATTTTCAGATATCATCATGGATGGACCTCCTGCGCAGTCTCTTGGTGTGGAGGCTGTGGACCCAGATGTCATGAACAAGCCTCCTAGAAAACGGAATGACCCCGTGCTGACACGCGGCGTCATTACACGCGTATTGATATCCGCATTCATCATCATGGTTGGAACCATGCTGATCTACAGCCACGAGATGCTTGCCGACGGGCAGGTTACTCGACGCGACACGACCATGACCTTTACATGCTTCGTCCTGTTTGATATGTTCAATGCGTTGAGCTGTCGATCTGAGAGCAAGTCAATCCTCCGCGGCGAAGTCGGTCTATTCTCCAACAACCTGTTCAACTGGGCCGTGTCTCTGAGCATTGTCGGTCAGATTCTTGTCATTTACCTGCCGGCGCTCCAGGAAGTATTCCAGACGGTGCCGCTAACATTTAGCGATCTTTTCCGTCTGACGGTTTTATGCAGCACAGTCTTTTGGGTAGACGAGCTGCGGAAGTATCTCAAGTACGGCAAGCGGCGTTTAGTCAGTGGTTATAGCCAAGCTGTATAGATAGATTTGTAGATGGCTGTTTAAAGTGTATTGCATAATTGGGTGGCGCAAATAAAACGGCGGCATGAATACAACTTGTTTCAATCTAAAGGAGCCTTGCTTTTTGCGTCCTTTTTTACTCTTCTCATTTTCTACAATTTTATGTTAAGGGATAGCCGCAAGCCAGGTTGTGAACAGACATGCAAGCAGCGGATGAGATGAACAACCGTAACTTATGACCAATTTTTGACAAATAGACAGTAAAGGGCAGCAGAAATCAAAACAATCAGCAAAAAAGAAAAATTACCCGACTCAGTCGCTACTAAAGCTGCCCTCGTCTTTTTGTAGTATCGTCGCTAGTTATACTCTCAAGGTTCAGGGTAGGGCGAGCCCACCAACAGGCACAGGGCCCGCTGCCTGTGTGGGCAGCGACCAGCGGGCAACCGAAATCCAAAGCTCCCCCCAGCCAAGCTTCTATCTTGTATCTCTGGCAGCACACAACACCAACGGGCCAGCTCGGCAGCAATGCGCGGATCAGACCAATCGCCTCTGTGCCAATGTCCGCCCTAATGCACAGCGGTGCCAGTCGCGCCCACGAAGATGATGCGACGACCGCCCCCGCGAAACACAATGACAACCACCAGCACGCCGCTGCGGCTGCGGGGTTCGAGAATGCCACCACGCTGGCCGAGGTGCGCGCGGCCCTCGATGCCCTGCACGCCCGTGAGTCGGGCATCACCCGACGCCTCGACGCCCTGATGGCCTCGCAGACGGACCTCTCGCGCGACCTTGGCCGGCTGGACATGCTGCGCGCGGGGCTCGGGTCCCAGGTCATCGCCACGCGCTCCATTGGCAACGACATGCTGGCCGATGCGGCCGAGACCGCGGGCGACCTGAGCAGCAAGGTCAAGAAGCTGGACCTCGAGAAGAACCGGGTCGAGGACACGCTGCGTGTGGTGGAACAGGTGGCGGAGCTCAAGGCCTGCGTCCACGGCGTCGTGGGCTCCATGGGCGCTCCGCAGGACTGGGAGGCGGCCGCCGGGTACCTGTCCAGGGCGAGCCACGTGCCCGAGGACATCATCAAGGGCCCCTTTGCCGCGGGCATCGTGCCCAGCGTCGAGGTCCCCGACGCGCCGTGGACGACGCTGGAAAACGCAAAGGAGAGCCTCTGCACCCTGTTCCTGCGCGAGTTCGAAAAGGCCGCGGCCGATGGCGATGGGACCAAGGTCACGCGGTTTTTCAAACTGTTTCCGCTGATCGGCCGGACAGAGGTCGGCCTGGACGTGTACGGGCGCTACGTGTGTCAGGGTGTTGCCGGGACGGCCCGGACAACGCTCAAGGACGGCGTGGGCGGCCAGACGCGCAAGGACGGCTTCTTCTACGCCAACGCACTCACGAAGCTATTCGAGCACATTGCGCAGATCGTAGAAGGCCACGGCAGCCTGGTCGAGCGGCACTATGGCGCGGGCAAGATGGTTCGCGTCATTGAGAGGCTCCAGATGGAAGCGGACGTGCAGGGTGGCATCATCTTGGACACTTGGACCGACGAGCGGAATCTGGATAGGAAGATCACCGACGTGAAGAGCTACCCATTCTCGTTTCTGGTGCAGAGCTTCTTGCCGCCGCAATCGCGGAGCAACACGCCGCGCCTCAATTCACCAGCAATTGGCGGAGGGACCAATGGACGTGCCAGCGAAGACGAAGGCGTTAACATGAAGGAAGTGGATGCGTTATTGAGTGAGATTGCGGTCATGCTTGGCCGTTGGTCGCTATACACGAGATTTGTTTCCGGAAAATGCGTCGTGAGTAATCCCGCCAAGCCGCAAGTCTTGCGAGCAGACATGTCGCTAACAATGGTACAGGATCCTGGCTCTGATAAATCGCCATTATCGACCGCGGATGTGATTACGAAATCCAACCTCTACAAAAAGATTATGGGAAAGCTCGTGTCACCATACAATGTGATGACGGGCTTTTTCTTTCGACGGTCTGTGGAAAAGTCATTTCAACTTGACGAATACCCACCTGGGCTGTCGTTGAAGATGAACAAGCCCATCGAGGGCGAAGCGCCATATATTATCTTGGCCGTAGATGATGTCATGTACATCATGAACTCTACGATTCAAAAATCCATCTCAACATCTCAAAGGGACGTAGCATCAAATATTATCCCGACGATTGAGCGAATCCTGACGGGCGATTTCATTGGAATGGTTCAGCGCAAGATGCGTGATGAAACATATCCCAAACCTGTGATCCAAGGCGGATTCCCGCCAGAGGACAAGATTGTTCAATTCATTGTTCTTATCAACAGTTTGGATACGGCGAATGAGTATCTTAACAGAATTATCGAGGGCCGTATATCACACTCCGACGAGAGCCCAGATGTTGCGGTTCCTGGCGACGGACTGAAGGAGTCCTTCCCTTTTGAAAAGGACGCTGTCATGGTCGCAAGCCAGCTACGTAAGCTGCAGAAGACGTTTTTGGCGAAATCTAACGAGTTGCTCGGCGAGGGAATCAATGTGCTATTTGAACGAGTCGTCAAACTCCGCCTGCGACCGGTTCTCGCAGAAACCTTCCGCGACGCCGATTACACAATGACAGAGCAAGAGCTCGCTGATTATGCGGAGCAAAACGAGGAGGATGTTGAGCAGGTCATGGAGATGGTGGCCGGCAGATTTGAGCGCGGCTGGGACATGCTCATGAAGCCCATCGGCCGCATTATGACGGCAGCCACGTTCAGCGTCCTGTCGGAGGCGACGGCCAAGTACCTGTCCCGGGTTCTGGAGAAGAGGATCCTGAGCTACTCGGGCAAGACGAGCGAGTACGGCGCGATCCGTATTGAGCGCGACTTTTCGGCTATTGTCGGCGTCGTTGCCAAGGGACACTATGGCATCCGGGAGGTGTTTGGGAGGGTGACGCAGCTCATGATGGTGGCTAACATGGAAGACGAGGAGTGGGAGGAGCTGGTTGCCCTCGACGGCGACGATGGCATCGAGTGGACGCTGACGGAGGAGGAGAGGAGGAGAGCGCGGGCTCTTGTTCGTCGCACTTGATAGGCAAGCAACTGGTAATTGGGTTATGGGAAAAGCATATACATCTGTTTCATATAGAGCAATTAAACATGCATGTTAAGTCAAACCTGGTCCTTGAGCCAAAGCCTGTTGGGCATCGAATACTTCGATTCGGCAGTGTATTGACATTGTAGCTCCCGATCAGTGATGATGCGACGCAAAGGAAAGTAGAAGCGGGATGCAAGCGCTGATCCACTCCCCACCATCTAATTAAAGAAGAAAACCAAATTTTAACAAAAACCGCAATCAGAGCATAAGAGATCATGTCCGATTCACAAGGCACCAAAGTAAAGTTCACGGCCCCACTAAAAAGTGAAAGCGGATCACAGCGCATCATGAAATTTTTTGTTTGACTCACAACCAACTCGCAACTCATCTAGGTTTAATATATCAAAAGGGGATTTTCAAGCGGCATTGATACAGACTTGGATCTCCTGAAAAGTCACTTCCAAGAGATAGGAACGGCGCGGAAAACCCAACAAACGCAACGCAGAAGCGGCCAGGCTCACGCTGGCATCCACCACTGCGACCCGTCGACTTATATCGACTGCTCTGCGATCGCGCCCGGCCCGGACGCCGCTCACCATGCAGACGCAGGTCGTCAAGATCCCCGCCCAGGGATCCGAACTAGGGCACTTCCGCGACTCCGAGGGTCCAAGCAGGCTGGAGGAGTGGTGCGTGAGCGATGCCGAGTCGTCGCGGGACTCGATCGAGGCGCTCGCCCAGGCCGGCGCGCACCTGCAGCACAGGGACACGCCGGTGGCCTTCCCGACGGAGACGGTGTACGGCCTCGGCGCCGACGCCACGCGCAGCGCCGCGGTCCGGGGCATCTACGCGGCCAAGGGGCGGCCGTCCGACAACCCGCTCATCGTGCACGTGTGCGACCTGCGGATGCTGCGGCGGCTGCTGGGCACCGCCGCGGACGGCACGCCCAACGCGTTGCCCGACCGGTACGCGGCGCTGATCGAGCGCTTCTGGCCGGGCCCGCTGACGATTCTGCTGCCCAACGCGCGGCCGTCGGCGCTCGCGCCCGAGGTGACGGCGGGGCTGGCCACGTTTGGCGTGCGGATGCCGTCGTCGACGCTGGCGCTGTCGCTGATACGGCTGGCGGGCGTGCCGCTGGCGGCGCCGTCGGCCAACGCCTCGACGCGGCCGTCGCCGACGGCGGCGCACCACGTGCGGCACGACCTCGAGGGCCGCATCGAGCTGATCCTGGACGGCGGGCCGAGCCGCGTCGGCGTCGAGAGCACCGTAGTCGACGGCCTGTGCGACCCGCCGGTCGTGCTGCGGCCCGGTGGCGTGAGCATGGAGGAGCTGCGCGCCTGCCCCGGCTGGGAGCGCGTCGTCAAGGCATACAAGGACCACAGCGAGGAGGGCAAGGCGGCGCCGCGCGCGCCGGGCATGAAGTATAAGCACTATAGCCCCACGGCGCGCGTCGTGCTGTACGAGGCGTCGTACGGTGGCGCCGTGGACGGCGGGGGAATCGCGCCGGTAGATGTCGAGGCTGCCGCGCGCGCGCTCGAGAACGGGCACGCGTCGGGTGGCGGCGAGGCACAACCGGCGCGCAAGGTGGGCGTCATTCGAACGCAGCGGTGGAAAGCGGGCGGTGGCATTCAAGTACAGAACTGGCGCGAGGCATCACCCGTGGCGACGGAGGTGGACAAGTCAGTATATGAAGTGTATACGGGCGACCTTATCGGCGCCAGCGGCCAGGTGGTCGGCGAGCTGTTTGACGTGAACCTGGGCAAGGAGGCGAAGGGCATCGCGCAAGGGCTCTTTGCCGCGCTGCGTGAACTCGATAGCCGAGGCGCCGACACAATATTTGTCGACGGTATAGACGGAGAATTAGACATTGCAGCGGCGGTCATGAATCGCCTACGCAAAGCAGCATCGGAACTGAGATCATGATGCAGCCCATATAGAAGAAAAATAGAATTATACCCTCTAAATGCCGCGCATTTGCGCCCTGCGTAATTCATCGTCTTTTTACTGGACGTGCCTCATTCAATTCTCGGTGGATTATCCTTCCTCTCCCCTCTCTCTCGTGGTCCTTCGATATTCATTTGCTTCATATCCTGTCAATGTTGCAGAACGCTACTCTTCCTCCTATACTTTTGTAGACCAATTATAGTCCCTGTCGCAACCAGTCGGCAAGCTTGGACTTGCCGAGCTGGGCTAGATTGTTGACACCCTGTTCGCTGAGATCGATGCCGCGGACTTGGAGGTCTTGGGTCGGCGCACGGCTGACGCGCTGGACAACAATCGTGGGGTCGGTCTCGAGGATGATACCGTCATCGACAATCTCGTCAATGGCGAGCGATACAAGGTCGTAATTTTCAATAATGGTGCGCTTATCGACGGATTGCCTAGGTGCGTCGAGGATTAGCAGGTGTCGGACATGGGCATTTCTGGTGAGCGCGAGCTTCCCGATGACGGTGCGGCCACATACTTGAACAGCAGGTGTAGGGAGTCTCTGAAAGCCAGCAGTGTGTTATAAAGCAGGATCTCGTTCTCGTCCGCAGCACCGACAAGGTAGATCATGACATCGGACTCGAGCTTGTACAGCACGATGCGGTTGTCGTAGAGGATAATGTCGCCGGTCTGCTTGGCCGTCTTTTCGATAAGGCCCTTCTCGAAGACCTTTTGTGACTTAGTATCGGCATATGGGTTCGTGGGACCACCTGCGACAAATGAATCTTGAGTTAGTCGACTGTGCGGTGAAGAAGCCCCCAATTGGACAAGGGGTACGAGAGGCGGCGCATCGTTACCTGTGGGAGCGGCGTGGGGAGGAGTAAAGTATTTGGCGAATATTCTTGAGCCGTCTTCGGTGCTCAGGACCAGCACGGCCTGGACCGAGAATAAGGTCATTCCAGGAGACATTTTGGAAGGCTTGACGTAGGTAGTCGGGCAATCAATCAATGAAGCTATTGCCTGTCACATCCATTGGCGCACTAGCAAGTTAACCAGGTGTCCTAGAAGCCCCTCCAGCCCACCAGCTGCAGCCGGCACAACCTTTTGCCGCTCCGTTTTCTGGGTCGCGTGCGCACGGGCCACAGAATCCTCCATTAATGGGAAACGCGTGTCGGGAAACCACTTTACGCGTCTGTGCCTGACGCGACCCGCACTGATTTGCTTTGCTCCCTTGCCCCTCGTTGGCTCCTTGCACAAATTATTGAGGGCCGCTTCATCTCGCTGCAAACCTGGCTTCGACGCCTCTTTATTCTCGCCTCTTCACCTTCTAAACTCGCAAAGATGTCGTCGCCATCGCAACGCAGGCAACGGAACTCGCAGTCTGCGACTCCTCGTCGCTCTGCGCGCCAGTCATCCGCCAATGTGCCGAGTGATCCCCCCCAGCCGGTCTCGAGCCCCATGTTCTTCCAGTCCTCGTCACCCGGCCGTGGCGATGGCTACCCCGGTGCTAGTGGCGATGTGTCGTCGCCCCTGCGCCATATGACGGACACCCAGAGCACGCGTGCCGGAAATGTTGCTATCCCCAGCTCACCGCTCCGCCAGATGAGCGACACACAATCTGTGGTGGATGACCAAGCTACGCCGCGAGCCAGCCGCACCCTTGGCGGAGGTATGAATGCATTGCGCCTTCTTTTGCGCATCGTGCGAAGCTAACCTGATTCTTTGCAGAATCATCCCCCATCAGATACGAGCCAAGCTCTAGCCCTGGGCGTTCACTACGACACCAATCGGAGCTGCGCAGCGAAGGCAGTGGCTTGTTCCTCGGCTCTGACGCCGGCAGCACTGCCTCGCGTAGACGTGGTGACATCAACTCTGATGCTCTCCGCACCCCTCGTGCGCCACGCCGTATCATCTTGGATGAGAGCGGCCGGGTTGTTCGCCAGGGCCCCGTCGACGGCTCCGATGCTCCCTCTCACACCAATCGCGACACCAATACTTCCGAAGCCGATATCCTTGGTGGACAGGGCGAGACTCTCATTTGGGGAACTACAGTTTCCATTGACGACACCTTCGCCTCTTTCAAGGACTTTTTGCGTAACTTTACTCGAAAGTATCGCATGTACCGTGACGGGCTCTCAGAAGAGGAGGTACGCGCCGATCCGGACGCCGAGAACAAACCCTACATGGAAGCTCTTGAAAATATGCTTCTCCTTGGCTCCACACGACTCTATCTTGATATCTCCGACCTGAACCTCTATCCTCCGACAAGGAAACTCTGGTACCAGACCCAGGCTTACCCCCAGGAGATTGTTCCTGTTATGGATCAGTCTGTGCACGATTTGATGATGGAGATTGCCCGCGCTGAGGGTCTGCGAAACAGAGCTACGCAGAGCAGCAATGGTCAGGACGAGTCTCAGAGGAGCAGACAGAGCTCGGAGCCAGTTTTTCCAAGCTCTGATAGGCCAGATGAGGCTGCCACTCCCCGACCGACACAAGACCCTCAGCCTTCACTCGAAGACCAGGTTTCTGCTTCCATATATGTTGTTCGTCCGTTTGGCTTGGATAAGTCAACCAATTTGAGAGATCTTAACCCATCTGACATGGATCGCCTCATCTGCGTCAAGGGACTTGTTATCCGCACGACCCCTGTCATCCCGGACATGAAAGATGCTTTCTTCCGATGCAACGTTTGCAACCACTCCGTCAACGTTGGCCTTGACCGTGGCAAGATTCGCGAGCCTACCGAATGCCCCCGTCCCATCTGCGGCTCCACAAACTCGATGCAAATCGTCCACAACCGTTGCTCTTTTGAGGACAAGCAGGTCATTAAGCTGCAAGAGACCCCCGACGCGGTGCCTGCTGGTCAGACACCCCACTCGGTATCTGTCTGCGTCTATAACGAATTAGTCGATTTTTGCAAAGCGGGTGATCGCGTTGAGCTTACCGGCATATTTCGGGTCAGCCCTGTCCGCGTGAACCCTCGCCAACGTGCCATCAAGAGCGTTCATAAAACCTACGTTGATGTACTTCATGTGCAAAAGGTAGACAAGAAGCGTATGGGAGTTGACGCGTCGACTCTTGGCGTTGAGGGCGACGAGGATGCCGATAGAGGTGCAAATGATATCCAGGAGACGCGCACCATCACTCCGGAGAACGAACAAAAGATTAAAGAGACTGCCGCGCGAGAGGATATTTATGATCTCCTCTCTCGATCTCTCGCCCCATCCGTCTACGAGTTGGACGATGTTAAGAAGGGGATCCTTCTGCAGCTCTTTGGTGGCACAAACAAGACTTTTGAGAAGGGCGGTAGCCCCAAATACAGAGGCGACATCAACGTCCTACTGTGTGGTGACCCGTCGACGTCCAAGTCTCAGCTACTTTCATACGTCCACAGAATCGCGCCGCGCGGTGTCTATACGAGCGGTAAAGGTTCCTCGGCCGTCGGGTTGACCGCCTACGTCACTCGTGACCCGGAAACTAAGCAACTCGTCCTCGAGTCGGGTGCCCTGGTGCTGTCTGATGGTGGTGTCTGCTGCATCGACGAGTTTGACAAGATGTCCGACGCTACCCGATCCGTTCTTCACGAAGTCATGGAACAGCAAACTGTGTCCGTCGCTAAGGCTGGTATCATCACCACCCTCAACGCCAGAACCAGCATTCTTGCTTCTGCGAACCCTATCGGCAGTAGATACAACCCCAATTTGTCAGTGCCTCAGAACATTGACCTGCCGCCTACGCTTCTCTCGCGGTTTGATCTTGTCTACCTGATGCTGGATCGTGTTGATGAGAAGATGGACAGACGTCTGGCCAAGCATTTGTTGTCTCTCTACATTGAGGATAAGCCGCAGTCTGCCCCGGCCGCTGGTGACATTCTCCCCGTCGAGTTCCTCACCATGTATATCTCATATGCGCGCGCCAACATCCAGCCCACCATCTCCGAAGAGGCAGGCAAGGAACTCATCGAGTGCTACATTGCGATGCGTGCTCTCGGCCAGGATGTCCGCGCCGCTGAAAAGCGCATCACCGCCACCACGAGACAGCTCGAGTCCATGATCCGCCTCGCCGAGGCCCACGCCAAGATGCGCCTGTCGGAAGTTGTCACCCGCGAGGACGTCCAGGAAGCGAACCGTCTCATCCAGAGCGCGCTCAAGACGGCCGCCACCGACGCTCAGGGCCGCATTGACATGAGTCTCCTGACCGAGGGCACTAGCGCCGTCGACCGCAAGCGCAAGGCGGAGCTCAAGGAGGCGACCCTCCGGCTGCTGGACGAGATGACGGCGGCCGGCAACGCCGTGCGCTGGAGCGACGTGGCGCGCCGCCTGGGCGAGAGCGCGAGCGTGCCAGTCGAGCAGGCCGAGTTTAACGAAGCTATGCGCGCGCTGGAGGCAGAGAACGCAATCACCGTTACAGGTGACGGCGCGAGAAGAAGTGTCCGACGTGTCACTGCGATAGTCTAAGGGGATCTAGCTGAGGGCATGCAATATGCATGGGTGTTATACCATTGATGATTGTTATGAAGGAAGCGGAGTGATGCTGTCAACTGTTTTCTGGAGAAATGCATCGCACGTAGTGGGAGTCACGAGGCATACCGGGGCTGAGGCTGGAGGGCTGGGGATAATACAATGTCACGGCGTTTGATGGATATGTCTATAGTTTTTGTAAATGGGCTAGTTTTACATTTGTTGATTTATGAACACTTTGATTGATATCTACCTGAATCACATCGGTTCCAGGCGATCTTTCGACCGTAGTATGCGTCGGGGTGGCCCCGTTGGTTCACAGGCATTCGTACTAGTTGAAGTTATGGAAATGTGAGAATTGTTCTGAATGTTTTGATTTATTAAATATCCTCCGCATTAAGTTTTTCTCAATCATCTTGTCAGTCTGTACCAAACAACCGCGCTATTCAAGTTGCATCATATTTCGTTCGCTGAACGACCTGGGAGGCTGTTTTCATTGCTGTTTTTTTATTGTTTCTTTCTTGCTTTCTCGGGGGTTTTTTTTTTTGGATTTCTATTTTCTTTTTTGCTTCGCCACACTTATGCAACTTCGCAGAACGCCTATAGTGGCCGCCGTTTTGCAGCTTACAAGACGTCCACCTTGCGGACCTCGGTCCACTCCTTGTCCGCCTTGGGCACGATGACGACCAGCACGCCGTCGTCCAGCTTGGCCTCGATGCCCTCGCCGTTGATCTCCTCCCTCGGCGCGGACTGCCCCTGCTCCTGCACCGGAGGAAGGGTAATATCACGGGAGAAGACGCCGACGCGGCGCTCCGACGACCGCAGCGTCTGGAGGAAGGCCTCGTCGCCGGGGCGGTGCACCACGCCCGCGACCGAGAGCGTACCGCGCTCCACATCCCAGTGCACTCCGATGTCCTGGCGCTTGGCGCCGGGGAGGGCGACGTGGAGGATGTACGCGGCCGGCGTGTCGAAGACGTCGACCGGCGGCGCGAAGGTGTCCTCGTCGTCGTCGGAGGCCGCGGCATTGGCGTTGTTATTGTTGTTGTTGTGGTTTTGCATCGCGGCGATGAAGGGCTGCAGGATGGGGTGGCTCATGAGACCTTGCGCTATCTCGGGGATGCTGGAAAAGGCGCCGCCGCCGTAGAAGGGGAAGCCGCCGCGGTCTTGGTGGTGGCGGCGGCCGAAACCACCGCGGCAGCCACCGCGACCGCCACGGCCGCCCCATCCGCCACGGCCTCCCCACCCGTGCCCGTAGCCGCCGAAACCGCCGCCGAAGCCGCCGGCGCCGGTGAAGGGCTCGTTGCCGGCCTCCTCGTACTCAGGGACCATCTCGTCGGGGTCCGGAACGTCCTCTCTCATGGTGTCAGGGGAGCCGCTCTTCTCATCTGCAGAATTGTTCTTCTTCTTCTCGTCGGCGGACTTTTCATTCTTCTCGTCGACGTCGACGGGTCGCTCGCGGGCGCCCTCCTCATCGGTGTCATGGTGGCCGCGCCCGCGTCGGTGGCGACCGTGGTGGCGGTGGCCCCGATCGGTGTCGGCAAAGTCATATTGGCCGTCGGCGTTGAGATAGGCAGCACCGTCGCGGGCGCCCCAGGAGTAGTACTCCGGGTGGTGGAAACGGTGGTGGTGGAGGTGGTGGCGGCCGCCGCGGCCGGGAGGAGGCGGCGCGGGGCCGTGTCCGGGTGGAGGAGGAGGTGGAGGAGGATGGTCGGAACCTGGGGGTCCGGGAGGAGGGGGCGGGCCGGGAGGAGGAGGAGGCGGGCCAGAGGGGAAGCCGGGCCAGAAGGTAGGGTAGCTGGCGTTGTCCGGGCCGGCGTGGTCGACGCCGCGGCCGGGGGCGCCGGGGTGGTTGGGGGCGAAGTTTGCGATCAGTTGTGCCAAGTAGCCCATCGGATCTTGGTTGTTATTATTGTTTGGAGGTTGCGGAGGAGCCATGATTTCGGTGCAATAAACTTGTTGTGTGGTGTGGTTAGGTGGCAAGTGTGAGAGATCGATGCTTCTTCGAGGATGAAGGGTGAGGAGAGGAGACATTTGGAATCACAAGGGGAGCATCAACCAAGTTATATAGTTACGTATAGGCACCCTTCCAAGGCAACCGCTTAGCCGTGTAAGTCATACTACGCAATACCAGGCAAAGTGACGAATGGGTGCCTGGGCGGCTGAAACGGGTGTACGGCATGCGCGTCATCGAATGAGCTAGAATAGAAATGACTGTGTATAGTGTTATCTACCGTGTTGCCACATGCCGAAAAGTAACTTTAGGTGCCGCTTTGCGTTACGTTTAAGTCTTAAGTGACTAGGTTGGCGAGCCGCGCGGCCAGCCCTACGTGTGTGTGGCCTACGCAAGCCAAATTTCCGGGCGGGTCAGTGGCGGCGATTCTCGTTCCCCGGCCCCGGTTGCCGCCGGGGCAGTCAGTCAGCCTTTCGGGACCGAGAGCAAAACTGGAATGTATTTTTTTCTTGGTCGTGATTGATACAGCAATACTCAATCTATCTCAATGATGGGGAATTTGCCCTTGAATTCGTTACATTTTCGTTTCATATTGACTGCTACACCGTGACCTACCACTTACACACAGTGACGCGACCGGCTCGGTCCCGAGGCCCATTGGCGGATGCCCTATCCGGCCTGTGGCGACTTTTCCAGTCTGACATGTCGCCTCTCGAGTTGCATGAATCAATCACAGATAGGAAGGACAATACATGGTGATTTGTAGCAGCAGATTAGGTCGGGTCTTGTTTAATTTGTTGAATAGTCTTGCTGCGACGATAACCCCAATAACAGTCGGCCGAGCTTACACTCCCTCTGGCCAACTCCATACATTGACCTGCCTCTTCTCGACTCGAATCTCCCAGGCTCGTCTCCTCCCGAATATCATTCAATGAGCCAGGCTATTTGACGCAGCAGCCGCAATTCTGTCTCTTCTCGCGGGCCGCCAAGCCGTCCCCGTCCCCGCCGTCGATGCAGCAGCTTTCGCTGAAGTTGCACTTCAGACCACCGCAGCAGTCCCGCTGGCTGTAGCACCCGACGTTGGGGATGGCACATGTCTGTCGTTGCTCTAGGCCAGCTCCCTCGGGAGCTGTCGCCGCCGCGATGGCGAGACCCGATCCCGCAAGGGTGGTGAGGAGCAGAGTCGTAATCTTCATGTTTTCTTGTTGCGTGGACAAAGTAGAGGTGTGGTCGGAAAAGAGAAGGGGGAGATGGAGAGAGAATTTTGGTGATTTGAGGTGCGAGAGCTGATAGACTGGCCTTTTATACCGCTTCTTGCCTAGACATGGATGTCGTGTCTTGGAAGGCGGACCATCGGACCTTGCAGGCTACGTCCCGGTGGTCGAGACATGTATCAGACCAACCCCAAGTGGCAATCGCGGTTGGTCGGCGGCCGAGACACGACATTCGGGCTAGTTGGGTTGTCGCATTGATCGAGTCTTGACCAACGAGCACGTCCAAGGTAGGTGTCGAGGTTGTGATGTGTCCTCGGGTTCCGGTCATGACTTCGGCCGTGTCGCTTTTCTCAAGATGACCAAGCCGATACAGTCTTCCGTGATTGCGACGGCCACTGCGCTATGCAAGCTCACAGACAAAATTTTGGCCCGCAAGACAAAACATAAAATGCAGGATATACTATAATAGACCAGAGTCAAAGTGACGACGCTTTTGCGGGACGCTGTCTTACAAACTCACATTTCAGCCAGCCACTTGCAGATAGCTTCACTGGCTGAAACGGCGGCAAGACATGAAAATATCCAAGAAGTAAGCAAAATTGTGGCCTTTAAATATTTTGTTAACTTTTTATTTTTTTTTTTTTTTGTTAAGAAGAAGAGCGCGGACTTGTAATGGCTGAGTTCACGGCATTGTATTGGCCAGCAAGTACAAAAAGGCTCTCCGTATCTCGTCTCAATGGCCACGACTTCCAGGTGCAAGGGCTAGTACGTGTATATGAACCGCGGGTGCGCGTCGCCCAAGTTGTCACCCTCCTCCTCCAGCAGGTGATCCCGCTTGCCCGCCCTCTTCCGGCGATTCTCCCACCACAGCCCGGCCACGTAGACGCACACCGTCAGAAACGCCACGCCCATCAGCCCGCCGCACAGCCGGAACCCCATGCGGTACCGCGGCGCCGTGCGCGCCTGGAACGCCAGCGAAGCCACGAAGCCGCCCGCGTTGCCTAGGCCGATTTGCATGCCCACCGCGAACGCCGTCTTGTACGCGCCCGCGACGTTGTTGAGCAGAAGCACCCACGCGCTCGGCAGCACCCCGAACGAGCCCGCCGCCACCAAATACAACGCGCCGTACCGGGCACCCGGGCTGTCCTCGGTCAGCAACACCGCGTACCCGGCCAGCGCCACCACGCACCCGAGGAGGGCGAAGCCGGCGCGGTGACGTAGCCGGTCGGAGGCGTAGGCGATGGCGAGCGTCCAGGCGGCGGCGGCGACGAAGATGGGGATGACGAGCGCTTGGATCTCGCGCGCGGTGGCGGTGGCAGGGCGGAGGGCCGCGACGATGGTCGGCGCGAAGAGCGTGATCGAGTACACGGAGGAGATGTCGCCGACGATGAGCAGCCCGCCGGCGTACACCTTCCAGTCCGTCACGCAGCGTACCACGGCCCGGCGGTCCAGCACGTCCATGCGCCCGATGCCGCCGTCCGCCCTGATGCGCTCCTCGAGTATCTCCCGCTCACCGTCTGCCAGCCACCGCGCCTGCTTCGGCCAGCCGCTCATAAACGGCCAGCACGCGCACGTCACGACCATGGTCGCCAGCCCCTCGACGATGAAGATCCAGCGCCACCCACTATAGCCGTTGGACGAGTGTATCCCCGCGACCGCGTAGGCCAGCAGCCCGCCGAGCGCGTTGGACGCCGCGTTGCCGACGTGCAGCGCGCTCAGGCGCCACTGCAGCTCGTACCGCGGATAGTACGCGGCCAGCAGGAAGACGCTTCCCGGGATCAGGCCGGCCTCGAGGACGCCGACGAGGGTGCGCAGGGCGACGAGCGCGGGGAGGTTGCGGACGAGGCCCTGGGCGGCGGTGACGGCGCCGAGGGCGAGGCACTCGCCGCACAGCACGGCCGGGGGCGGGAGGCGCCGGAGGAGATAGTTGCTGGGTACCTCGGCGAGGACGAGCCCGGCGAAGACGACGACGGCGGCGAGGTTGAAGCCGGAGGAGCGCGGGTCGATGCCGAGGTCGCGCTCGAGGCCTTGCAGGCGCGCGGCGCCGATGTTGACGCGGTCGATGAGTGAGATGAACCACAGGACGAAGAGAGGTGGGAGGAGCCGGAGGTCCAGCTTCCGGATGAGTCGCCGGTATTCAGCGGCGTCGGTGGCGGTGGTGGCAGTGATGTCGCCGGGGGTGGTGTTGGGCTCGCTGCGGGGGCCGGTCGGGAGCGGTTCGAGGGAGACGCGGCCGGGGCTCTTTTCGACGGCCGCTTCCATGTCCTCTTCTGGCTGCATTTCTGGAGATGCCGGCCTCGGAAAGCGTCTTTTTCTTTCGCGTAGGAACGGCTTATTGTGGTGTGAGGTGTGGCATTGGCGGATCGATGGTGTGTAAGTCGAAAAGTGCAACAGGTCGGAACGTACAGCAAGAGATTCAAGAATCAAAGGACCGGCTGAAGCAAGACTAAGGCAAAGGTGAGATATTTCCGATTATAAAATAGCAAATAACAGAAAACGAAGAACCAGAAACAGGGCTGCAACCCAGCCGTATGCACAAGATCCTTGCCCCGGCGACAATATGCGTCCAACCTTTTTCTCTTGCACTAGAGTGGCATTAGGGGCTTTGGAGGGGCTGCGACGGCTGCTGTACAGGGAAGGTGTTGTCGATTCATAAGCTAGCAAATCAGATGAAGCGTCTCTTTCCTATCCAACTGGTCAGGCTCTCCTCATTCCGCCAAGGTAAAAGGTAGACGGTACGGGTACAGGTACAGCTGGTATAAGTTGGGGGAGACGAGTTGCCTTTTCTACAACAACTCAGGAATAGCCAACCCTACGAAAAAGAAAAAAAAAAGAAAAAAAGAAGGAAAGTCGCAAGCAAAGTCACATCGGCACAATGACTTGCTTAATAAGTCCGACAAATAAAATAATCCCTGATATTACTAAAAACTCAAGGACCATTGTAACTGCAACCATGAGAGCCTCGCCGAAATCCTTCGCTCCCGAGCCTTGCTGCAGGCCTTCATCAGTATCTTCGGCATATGTAGGCTTCTCGCAAGCATACTCTCGGCCAAGTGACTTATTTTCCAGAACTGGGAGGTGGCGTAATAGTATTCTTATACTTGCAACCTGCATGAACAGATCCGATGAAACTGGTTGTAGTAGTTGGTTCACCTGGGAACAAATGAAGCAAATCTACCCTTTGGCTATGTATCAAGGGCATTTTTTACAGAGTGCCTCATTTTATTGTATTTTAAAATTTTCAGAACCATTGACTTATGGATGAAATATATTATTATATGCTAGCTTCTCATGTGCCTGTACCTGAAAAGCCTCCCGCCAGTAACTCCCCACAGTGCCAAATTTCGGCACAGTACACAGTGCCAGGTGAATAAACAGCTGTTGCAAACGCTGAGAGAGGGCGAGACACCGCAACGTCTAGTGAACCCAGCGAGAGCTGTTTTTCTTGGATACATGAAGCGGCAAGGTTGTCGTTGGCCACAGAATTGCGAGTCGCCATGGGATCAGTGTTAGACCAGCCCAAGTCCATCGATGTCGCCATCATCGGTGGTGGCATTGGCGGCCTGTCGCTGGCCATTGGCCTGCAGCAGTACAGTCACATCAACGTGCGCGTTTTCGAGGCCGCGCCGCAGTTTTTCGAGATTGGAGGTGAGTTTGTCTTACGAGTGGACTGCATGGCTTCATCACTGACCGAGACCCCGTCCCGCTCAGCCGGTGTCTTCTTCGGCGCCAATGCCATCCGCGCCATGTCCCTCATCCACCCGGCCGTCGGCGAGGCCTACGCGCGCATCTCGACCACTGCCGGCTGGCCCTCCAAGGAAGACACCTACTTTGACTTCGTCCTTGGCCAGCCGCTGCATGACCTGCCCGCCGGAACCCCCATCGCGTCGCCGCGGCTCGGCCCGCACGAGCGGCACTCCACCGCCCACCGGGCGCACCTGATCGACGAGCTGGCCCAGCTGGTCCCCGAGGCTCACGCCGAGCTCGGCAAGCGGCTTGTCGGCCTGACGCGGGACGAGGCGCGCGGCCGCACGCTGATGCGCTTCGCCGACGGCGTCACCTACGAGGCCGACGCCGTGGTCGGCTGCGACGGCATCCGCTCCGTCTGCCGCGAGCTCGTGCTGGGTACGGGCCATCCGCTGGCGCGGCCGGTGTTCACCGGGAAGTACGCGTACCGTGGGCTGATCCCGATGGACAAGGCGGTCGCGGCGATTGGCGAGGAAAAGGCAAGGAACAGGTACATGTTTCTGGGTAAGGGGGGGCACGCGCTCGTCTTTCCGGTGGCGGGCGGCGAGATGATGAACGTGGTTGCGTTCGGCACCGCCAAGGATGGGATCTGGGAGGGCGGCTGGATCAAGCCGATGAAGCGGGAGGACATGGAGAGGGACTTTGCCGCGTTTGGGGAGGACTGCCAAAAGATCTTTTCGGTACGTGGACGATCTGGTTCATACACGGATGCTCTCGACTGACGCTTCTCCCGCAGCTGATGGAAAACACCGACCATTGGGGCATCTTTGACCTCTCCGAGGACATTCCCACCTTCACATCGGAGCCGCTCCGGCTGGTGCTCCTCGGCGACAGTGCACACGCCTGCGCGCCGCACCAGGGCGCCGGCGCCGGCCAGGCTCTCGAGGACGCCCACGTGCTGGCGCACCTTCTCGGCGACTGCCGCTCGCCCGCAGACCTGCTGTCCGCGTTCGCCGCGTACGAATCGGTGCGGCGCCCTCGGACGCGCTTCGTGCAGCGCCACGGCCGCCGCCAGGGCGAGCTGCTCGACCTGCACGCGGAAGGCGTCGGCGACGACCTGGAGCAGCTGCGGCGGGTCGTCGACGGGCCGATCCGCGAGATCTGGAACTGCGACCTCGAGGCCGAGCTGGCCAAGGCGCGGGCCAAGATGGCGGAGTTGTTGGTGGAGAGCAGGGACGGGGCTGCCTGAGGTGGCCGTCGACAACGGCAGAGCGGAAAGCGGAAAAGCTAAAATAAAACGGAAGGCACCAGGAGCAAAAGGGGGAATAACGTGGGACAGCAATACAGGAGTCTGAGTCTCGAAATGTACTCACTGTTGTTCTTCATGATGCCAGCCACTAGCCGCTCGCTTGTCTACTGCTTGCATGATCACGAACTCTATCAACATGCACCAGATACACCCGTATCTCTGGATAGACTTGAAGTCTGGGCAAGCGTTACCAAGTACAGGGCCAGAGGGTCTAAATCTACTGTGTCTTTCTCTTTATTCCGGCCACTAGCCACTCGCTCGCCAACTGTTGACGAACTCTCAAGACGCCCCAGGCAGGTCCGCCCATCATGATAGACTTTGGCGTTGGGAAGGCGTTACCATGTCCAAAGATTAACATGTTGTATCTTTTTCTCGTCTGTTATAAAACGCCTGCCAGTGCCAAAAACGCAGGAAGTTCATCTTGTTCAAAATCATCAGCTCAATTCCTCTACCTTGTCAGTATCATCAACTTAATTCCCATTACCTATCAGTATCATCAACCTAATCGCCTCACCGCGTGCACTGGTCCGGCCCTTCTACCTTGTCAATATCGTCAACTCACTTCATTTCTCTTGCCATTGCCAGCAACCCAATTCCTTTCCCTCGCCAACTCCTCCAAACCCCCATTCGCCTCCCCTCCCTCCAGAGGACCTCTTCTCTCGTCCGTCATCATGCCGGCCACACTCTCCTCCCTACCGACAGAGGTATACTTCCTCATCTTTGAGCATATCGACTCGCCGCGGGACCTTGTATCCTTCTCTTCCTCCTTCCGGGCGTGCCGCACGGCCTACGAGTATGACCCGGCACGATGGGAGCTCACCGCCGTCAAGAACGGCTGCCCCGCGGAGCTCTGGTACGACTTTTGTGCGGTGCAGTGTGCCGCGGAGGTATTATTAGAGCCCGTCAGGAGCCATGAAGAGATTGACCGAGACCGTGACTCCGTCCTCGACTTCCTCAGGCAGTACTTTGCCAACGATTTGAGTCACGAAATCGACGAGCGGGACGGGACGGCTGTGCATGAAGCCGCCCTCATGCACGATCGCATCGAGTGGCTTATGCGTGACTTTGTCCGGAGCGCGCACCTCGAGGCTCAGGATCTGTCCAGTCTCCTCTCCAGACTTAACCTACAGCCTGCGACCGGGGTGAACCGCACCCGCTATGCGGTCCGCGCGCACCGGCTGTACCGCGCGTACCAGCCACCACAGCAGCTGGCGCTGACTGCGGCCGGTGACTTCATCAATGGCAGCCAGGACGCCGTCATAGCGGCTGACTTTGGCCTCCGGCCCTCAGAACGACTCCGTCTGTACCGTGGCTTCCTGCGCCACGAGCTGTGCTGCCGGGTGTTCCGCTCGCCGCAGCGCGTGGGCGAGCAGAGGGGGGTGTACAGCCCAAGGCAGTACGAGCTCTACTTCCTCAGCCGATTCCTCGACTGGGAAGTGGAGGAGATTGCGTGCGTGCACCAGTTCCTGAGGAGCATCGTGCAGTCCGCGGGCAACCACCTGGACGGGGAATTCGAGGAGGCCGTCTTGTGGTTCCACGACCACCGCCGGGAGCTCCAACCGGACGGCCGCTTCTTCCTCCTGAACCGGCTGTCCGGGTCCGCCTTCCACCTCCACTCGAGTCCCTACCGCAGCCACGTCGGGTACTACTCCGAGGGCGGCATAATCGGTGCAGGACTTGACTACATGCGTCGCTTTGCCCGCGCCGACGCCGCGGGCAAGGACAGCCTCCTCCGCGACCAGATTATATCGTTTGACCATATCGGTCTCGGCCTTCACAGGGTATCGGGCCCATCGGTCTCATCAGTCTCTCCTCAAGTGACACCTCCGCAGTGGCCTGACGACGCGCGGCGCTCTCAACTCCACGGGCCGTCGGCCATCTACCGCTCCTCGCTCAGCACGTGGATCGTCCAGTCGCGCGCCAGCATACCCCATGACGAATATCTCATACCGCACCGTGCCATTGGCTGCGTCTTCTGGGACGACTGGCGGTTCCGGGAGACGGGCCTGTTCAAGGACGTAGTCCTCAGGCTGCACATTCTCGACAACGCCCTGGAACCGGGCTGGGGCTGCTCGCGGTACACGCGGGCGAGGAGCCTATCCTCGGAACAGCTGATCGGTCACCTTAAAGTACCGGTCAACGCGCTTCCCCAGCTCATTGACCTGCATGGCATACGCACGCCGTACTTTCACCGGCTCATGGATGAGGGGCCGGATTCCGAATCCTAATGAGACGGGTTGGGGTTGGTTTGGAGACATGTTGTAGGATATGCCAGCCTGTTGGCTAAGATGAGAAGATGGGCAAGTTTCATGGGGAACCAGTTGTTCCGGTCAGATGGGAGGAGCTTTTATTGTTTGGATAGTTCATTGTTTGGATACCCTTTGCTAGATATGCCAGCATTTGTGGGATGTATGTTGTCCAGGATTGTTAACCTGGTTGGCGATGTGCCAGTTGCCCTTGTCAAGGGATAATTATGTAGCGTTTCTGTTTGCCTTGAAACCCTTTTTTATTAAATTTACGGATGTTGAAACTTTTACTCGTGCATTCTTCTCGTCCTTGATATCACGTCGACCCAGGCCTTCCACTGGCCGCTCGACTCGGTGCTTTGCTTCCACTGCACCCCTCGTTCCTCCCTTTCAGGAGCTGCTTCCAGAGAAGTTTTAGAGTTCGGATTTTGCTTTTCTTTCCGTGGCAGTAATTCGAGCCGAAGCTCACACAAGCGTTGATGGGTTCGTTGGTTACCGACTGGGTGGCACCCTACCCGCATCTGCCAGACCCAAGGCCACGGCGGCAAGAGCACTAAATAAAGATACACATAGTAATCGAAATAAGAAAACATGAAAGTAACCGCACTTGTAAGGCAGTTTCAGGAGAATCCAGAGTTAAAAAAAGACCTCTAAAGAGAATAGTGCAGAGGCGGGAGACAACGACTCCATGGTTGGCGGCGTTTATACTTTGGAATTAGACGAGATGCGAATGCTATTTACAAGTACATGGTAGTCTTTGGGGTAGATAAAATGGTCTTGATTCCCAACTTTCTCTCTTCCTTGTTCCCGTCTTGTCAGCTACTCACCACACACTCGATACCTCGGCGCTCGCCCAACTCTTCGTACCCTCACACTCATCGCATATTGATAGCCTCACAGAGTACTCTGCACCTCACAGAATACTCTACAACATCTACACAATCACGTCCTCGAATCACATTTGCTATCCCCCAAAAGACACAGCAAAGATGTCCCATCACCAGTCCCCGCTTAGCCACTCGGCGTGGCTGCTGGGAAACCAGCTTCCCAATCTCCAGGCCACCAGAGACGCCGCCCCGGCCAACATCTTCGTCGCCGTCAACATGGACACGAGATTCGTCGCGCAAGACGGCGGCGACGAGCCTTACAGGACGGCCGTCTCCGAGATTGGTCTCACCTTCCTCGGCCCGCTCTCCGATCAGCACCACCATCATCTCGCCAGCAGCACGCCCCGGAGCCTCGCCGCGGCCGCCCGGCACTTCCCCATCTTCTCGCACTGCATCCGCGCCAGTGACTCGCAGCCGCTGAGCAGCACGGAGCCGTTCCACCCCGACCGGGGCGTCGTCAGCGTCGTGGAGCGCGAGGCGATGGAGACGAAGATGCTGGAGATCTTCTGCGAGGCGCGGCGCAGGCTGGCCCGCGCGCCGGGCGAGCCGCTGACCTTTGCGCTGGTCGAGTTCGACACCGGGGCGGGGCCGAGCTTGCTGGACGGGGAGTTTGAGCGCGCCATCCGGCACTTTGACTCGTGGGTGGACGCGCGGGACCTGGTCGCGGAGGTGATGCCGGCGGGAGACGTGGCGTGCGGCCTGGTCGGGCTGGGGTACGCGAGCCAGCGGCCGGACCACGAGCAGTGCGCGGGAAACCTGGCCATGGGAATCATCGCGCTCCTCGCCTCGCTCCTGCACTGCTGCCCGCCGCCCCGGACTGGCCTGGACGGCAGCCACGGGACTGGGTACGAGCTAGGGGGCACCGAGGCGTTCTCCTTGATTCCCCAGAACGTCCCGTTTCCGGGGAGGCTGTACACGTTCGACGCAACGTTGAACGTGCCAAGGACGGTCGTCTGGAGGGAGGGGCACCCGGCGGCACTGTACCACCACTTTCGATGAACTGGTCGCGGGTGGGCTTCGCGAGCCGGGAGGAGCTGGAGAGGTTATTGAATGAGGTTCAGGGATCGCGGAATACGGGAGGACTCGGGAGTCGGACGCAGTTAGTAAGATGCAGATGAAAGGCGGCCGGGGTGGTGAGGAGGAGCCTGTCGGACACGGACATGGTTGGGAAGGGACGGATCTGACAAGAAAGGAAGGAAAGAGGATGCACTGGAGAGACATGGTCATTGTGGCCATTAAGGTTTTGTTCAGGCGGAGGCTTTCGTCACAGGTTGGATACGACCAGCCGGCCTAGACGGCTCAGATGGAGGCTGTCGCAGATTGGAATTGGAATAAGACCTTTGTTAGATGGTGGCCGTTACGGCTGAGAATACCCCCCCAGCCAGCCGCTCAGCCATGATCCCTTATCCCTAGCGGGATGTAACACTATAATTGAGAAAATTGGAAGCTGTTTTCCACCAAATATTGATTCTATATAGTATATGTGAAATTACTCCGGCCATGAACTAGGCGTGTCGTCGTCAAGTATGTACAACAAGTATGTACGTCAACTGAAGGCCAGGGACATGTGCGCCCCCGTCGTCATGTATTTTAGCCAACCCAATTAAAAGAAAAAGAAAAGAAAAAAAAAGTCCTCCTTTGGAAGTAGACAAGCTTCTCATAGCGAAAGGTTGATAATCTTGGATACGCTCGGCACGCCCTTGCTGTTCATCACAAACAGCATCCAGTACCCCGGCAGCAGCACGCCCGGGTCCGTCGGCAGGTTCGCCGAGTACAGCGTGTTGGACCTCTTGTTCAACGTCAGCGGCCCCCGCCTCTGATCCGTGTTCACCGTGTGCGTCGACGTGCCCACGCGCATCAGCGCCGCCGACGCGATCGCGCCGCCCGTCACAATCGTCAGCCGCCCGCCGTTGGCGCTCGCCGAGCTGATCACCGGCCTCGTCGCCTCCGACCCGTCATCGTTCAGCAGATAACCGGGTGTGAAGACTTGCCCGTCAAAGTGGTTCGTCGTGCAGTCGCCGCACAGCCCGCCGCCCGCGCTCAGCACGCGCCCGTCCGGGAGCAGCAGCGAGACGCTGTGGTAGTTGCGCGGGATCGAGTTCGCCGCCTGCTGGTAAAAGGTGTCCCGGGCCGGGTCGTACATCTCCGGCGTCAGCTGCGGGGTGGTGTCCTCGAACGGCACCGCGTAGGCCTGCCCGCCGGTGATGAAGGTGCGCCCGTCGGGGAGCACGGTGGCGGTCGCGAAGGCGCGCGGGGACCACATGCCGTTGCTGGCGAAGCGGACGGCCGGCTCGGCGCCGACGTTGCCGAGGGTGATGAGGTGCGCGGAGGCGTGCGCGGGGCTGTTCTGGTACGAGGGCGAGCCGCCGGCGGTCAGGATGGCGCCCTGCGTGGCGTCGTACATGACGGCGATGCCGCACATGGAGTCCGGGTCGTCCCCGCGGTTCGACGTCCGCTTGCCCGCCGGCTGCACCCCGCCCCCCCCGGACCCGGTGGTGTACCAGTTCATCGCCGTGCTCGGGCCGGCCTGGAAGACGGAGCCGTTGCGCCAGCCGAACAGCCAGGCGTGGTTGTCCGAGCGGTACACGCCCTGCGCGTCCCGGGTCAGCAGGTTGGCCACCTTGGCGCCGGGAAGCGCCGTCCACGCGTTGCTCCGCGGGTCGTAAATCTCGCCGTCCTTGGGTTCCACCTCGCCGCCGCTCCAGGAGCCGCCAATCGTAAACACGCGGCCGTCGGAGCACGTCGCCGACGACTGGTACCCGCGGGGCACCTTCATGTCCGGGCCGGCGATCCATTTCTGGGAGGGAAAGTCGTAGAGGGTCGTCTTGTACTTGGAGTTGCCGCCGGTGACCACCACCCGGCCCTTGCCGTCCATGGAGATGCCGGGGCAGAACATGTCGTGGTCGGTGTCGTCGACGATCTTGGGCTCGACGTCGTTGGTGGCCGGGTCCCAGGAGGAGGTGAAGACGCGGTCGAAGCTGGACCCGAGGTAGTTGTTGTACGCGTAGGCGGACCAGATGATCACCTTGCCGGACAGCGGGTCGACCATGCCGGCGACGGGCACCGTGGGGAAGTTGATCGTCGGGCCCCATCTTCCCTTGCCCGCCACGTACGCCGTCGGCTCCGCGCCGGCATCAAACACACCCAGCTCCGCGACGCTCGTCCACGGGTTGCCCCCAATCTCCGTGAGCGCCTTGACGCGCGCGTACCGCACCTTGCGCGTCTCAAAGTTGGCGTACTTGGTCAGCCCGTCCAGCGGCCAGTTGCCCACCGCCATGACCTCCCAGTTGTTCCCGTCCGGGCTGACGGCGACCTCGTGGCGGGCGATCCAGCCGTGCTGGTTGCCGTCCTGGCGCGGCAGCACGGAGATGCCGTTGACGTTGTGCGTCGATCCCATGTCGAGGGTGATGGTGTGCGGCGGCGGCGGGTTGGCGCCGGTCCACTGGGTGTGCCAGAAGGTGCCGTTGTCGCCGTCGATGGCCTTGGCGCACTCGTTGCCAGCGTTCTCGGAGTCGCAGGTGACGGTCCAGCCGGCGCGGTCGATGACGCGGCCGTTGGTGGGCGGCGCGGCGAAGAGCTGGTTGGCGTTGGGGTTCTCGCCAAAGTGCTCCTTGATCGCCGGGAGCGCGCGGGGGAGGAGGAGCGGGTTGGCGGCCGCTCCGGGGACGAGGCCGGCGCTCAGCCCGGAGAGGAGCCACGGGTATAACATGTTGACTGCCTTCATGCTTGGAAGCAAAAAGAAAACGAATGGACGACTCCGCTGGTTGGAGGCTGAATAAAGCAGAACAAAAAAAAATAGAAAAAAGATTGGTAGCACTGACGGTCCTCCTACTATAAGCCGGGATCCGGGGGGATGGTACTCTGTTTAATAACCAGCAGCCATGTGCCGTCGTGGACTAAGGACTTGGTCTCCGGGTCTAGCAGCACAGGGCAGGTACATGCATACAATGATGACAGCATGGGGATGATGTAGCGTCACCTCTTTTCATTTTATTTTTAATAGTGGACTAATTGGACGTTTGCTTCTCCGGTGAAAGAGGAAATCAAATAAGGCCGTTGCTTGTGCGGCATTGGGCGGGCTGAAAGTCATGCGCAGCCGGGAAGCGGCGTCTTGTGTCGCCCCCAGGACCTGGGCTGCATGAGGCTGGCTTTTTTTTTTTTTTTTGTTTTATTTCCATTTTCATTTCTTTTATAGTTTTTTTTTTTTCGATACAAGATGGATCACAATTGGGCCATTGGGTTGAACGGGCCTGAAGAAGGATCGCGTGATGGTGACTTGTTGTCTCACTTCCCACAGACTGCCGGATAACAGACTAGACAGCTTTCATCTGATCGATACATCGCCCCTCTTGACTGACTTGACAGCTGGTTGACGTCTAACGTAGCGCGCTAAATGAAGAAGCTGAAATGAAAACTGGACAAAGGGGCCAAAGCTGCATGGATAGTGAGGGACTACGGACTGAGTACTCCGTAGGCAGTAGTTAGTTGGTGAGTCGGGGTTGGTCATTCCGGAACCTGCGGCACCGGCGACCCTACCACACCGAGATTCTGGTCTTGGCTCCAGCTAGCCCGGCGAGGATAATCAATGCCTACCTTGTCCAAACGACGACGATTCATCAACTAATAAGGGAAGAAGCAAGCCCGGCGATGGGAAGGATGGCAGGATGGGGTGCAGCACACGAGCGATTTGGTGGGCCAGTCCACTGATGGCCATACATACATTGTATGTACATGTATACAACGTACATACATACATACAACGTACATACATACATACAACATACATACAACATACATACATACATACAACATACATGCATACATACATACCTGCATTCGTAGAGGCAGTGCGGATAATTAGACAGGGTCCTACCGCGAGGGCGTCGTGGCACCGCGGCCGGGAGCACAAAAGACGGGCGTAATTTTTCTTTTTGTTTTCATCTTTCCTTTTTGGCGAATAGGAAGTGCAACAATGCAACCATGGTCTCAGCTAGGCTACTGCTACACTGACTACTCATGCAGCATCCCCAGTTAGTTATCAGTTATTAGTTAGTGCCTACCTTGGCCATCGCCAGGGGTACAAGGACGACGAAAAGCAAGCAAGCAAAAACAACGGAAGAGCGGAAAGTCGGTCGCGCTGATCTCTGCCTGTCTCTGATTGCCTGTCTCTACCTGTCTCTGCCTGTCTCCATGTATGCTTTGTCTCTGCTACTGCTTCACCAAGAGGGCCGGCCCAATGCCGGCCAATGCATGTCTCTGACGCAGCAGGGAAGAGGCAGTCAGGTCAGGCCATGTCAGGCCATATCCCGAACAGAGCAGACTTGGCGACTTGGCGAACCTCTCTTCCTCCGCATTTCATTAGCAGAAAAGAGGCCTGAGAGCAGAGCAAACCGCCTTCTGAACGAGCCGCTTCATTCGCACGGCAAAATGATGCCGCCTCAATGTCACCCACACCACCACCACCACCACCACCACCCCTGCTTACCCGATGCCCTCCAACTCTTTGTGACCACAAGGATTAGCGAAGAAGGGTTCCCAGCGCGATCCAAGCTAGCCAAGGCTGGGAATACGAACCGGGAAGTTATTAATAGTCTAGCCCGAAGAAAGCTTAGCAAACTCTAGCCAGCTCTACTAATCAGCCCTTCAGCCAGCGCCAGAGGAGAAGAGAGAAAGAAAGTCTGACATCCTTCATGTACTCAACTGACTCTTTGGCTGCAGCTCAGCTCAGCCAGCACAGCCAGCCAGCCAGCCAGCCAGCCAGCCAGCCAGCCAGCAAAGCAACCATCATGGCTTGTTGATGCAAGGGTGCCCCGGGCCCGGCGTACTGGCTACTCGCTAGCATGACGCAGTTGGCAGCCTCGCTGTTTACCAGGGCTACTAGTTCTGGTCCCTAGTAGATACTAAGAACCATCCTTGCTTCCCTTGTCTCACTCACCTGAATCTCCTTGCGCCCCCGGTCCCCCAATCCAGTCCCCAGCCGGGAACGCCACGTTGGCGCCACCTGATATTGCTTTCAAGTGAGCAAGGCGAGAGAGAGTAAGGATACTCATACTTGCTACAGACACCGTCAGTGCAAGACCAAGTGACCAGCAGTTTACTAACAAATTTCTTATCGTCGTGTCTAGTTGCGAAGTTTTTTTTTTTTTTTTTTTTTGGCTTCGAGCCGTCGCATTGTGGCGAGCAAGAATCCGGATAAACAGAGACCATGACTAGCCATGCTGTTATACGAATCATCTGTAGATACTTTCACTTCATCCGGCCGATGCCCAAGACACATGTAATGGGCAGTCCTGAGACTAGCGTCACAGTTGGAAAACCTAGGGTCCGTCTGATGTTGAAACTTTTCATCGGACGACGGTACAGAAACTTTGACACTATTGAGAAAAAATAATGCCTCTTCTGTAACTGAGTGCCAGTCAGTCAATGCGTAAGAGTACATACATACATGAGCTGTTGGATGTCACAAGAAAACTCTAAATCCGACGCCACCCTTGTTCATTGTTCGACGGCCAGTTCCGATGTGGTGGAAACGCGCGGTAGGGGAATTTAAGTTGGTGCTGCTGTTCCGTATTAGAATGATTCCGGCCCCAACTGCAGGTGGAAGGGAATGCTCACAGCCGACGACACCCTCAAGATGTACATCCCACCCTTGATACCCGTATATACCCATACAACCGCGCCAGTTCCAGTTTATACCTAACACTGCATCTGCGCAAGTCATGCTAGTGAGCAAGTTCATGACAAGAACACTGTACGTAAATCTAGGCGGGCCAAATCTTGCGCCACGCCGCCGGGGATGCAAAAGTTCTCCTCCAGGGCCAGCTATCAAAGATGCCCAGCGATGATCCCAATCTTGTACATGACGTCGGTCTTGGCCGGGTTTTTATTTTTATTTTTCGCATTGATGAACCGGCGGCGCGCGCGGGTTCGTCGATGGCCGTGAGAAGCTACAACAACGTCCACCTTTACGAGAAGATCGGCGTCGCCTTTGCTGCCCATAGAGGCTCAACGCGGCTAAGGAATCCCACGCCGCCTTGGCCAATCCCATCTCCACGGCGGCGTTTCAGGGCTTGCTCAGCCGGGAATCCTCCAAGCCTCTTATTAATTTCTGAAGAAAATTTGCTATCATTTGGGGAATAGCGATCGGTGGTCGCTGCCAAGCCTAGCTGTGCCTGCATCACTTGCATGCTGCGGCATTTCCTACACTGATGATGGATGAATGGCTCGTCTCGGTATGACACGCATCAAAAGTAAAGACTATGCGAACGAACACAGTTTCAGCGCAAACTTGTTGCGTGAGAACATGGATGTGTTTGAAACGGCCGATGGGCCTTGCAAGAGTCACGACATGCTCGAAACACAACGACCGGGAAGTTCATGAAAAACCCGGCGTGTTCCCACTACTACATTCCAAATTGATTGCTCCGTAGATTCTCACCGGAGATTCTCAAGAACCAGTCCCCGTTATATCGAAACTCGTCCGGTGCCAGCACTCCAGCCCGACTCGTCGCTTTTCATGCTGGGCATGAACTTGCGCCGTCTCAAGTGCAAGCTCCGGCACCGTTCTATTCCGACGATAATCATAAAAGATAAGATGAGTTCTTGAGTCGTTTTAGCACCGACCTTGCACTGCTTTTTGCCGCGTGATTCCTGCGGTAGGCTTGCGTTTTTACGGTTCAAAGCACAGGTTAAGAAAAGGAAACAAAAGGGCTTCATGGACACAAAAAAAAGCGCTGAAATTCTTCGACGTTGCTGCTTGTAGATCTACTACTGACCGTTGGAGAACCCTGGTTCAGCATTGGTAATTAAACACTCCTAATAATTATTCATCCCAAAACACACAGCACCAGAAATTACGTTGCTCTCATCATCAGATGTTTTAATGACCATCCAGCACCTCTTCATGTTTTCGTGGCTTGCGCAGATTCGCCACACTTTATATTCTGACATGGGGCCAAAAGCATGCTTCAACCAGTCCCATCAGACAATGGGGTTCAGACCACTTCTCCCTATCTCTACCATTTTATCATGTACTCCGTAACTACATAGTTACCATCGACGATAAATGAGAACACACAGCCAAGCGGATGGTGACGAGAACAAGGTCTCCATGAAAGCCCCAGCAAGCACTGTTTGTACCGAAAACGACGTGGTCCTTGCCAGCGGGGATGATCAGGGCTATCCGGGACTTGCGCCGACCGGTGATCAAAGTCATCAAGTTCCTCCGTGTCCCCTCCAGGACGCGAACTGGCGGATTTGCCGGCGCACGTTTTTAATTCTCCGCATCACTTATTGCGTTGTAGTTTTTCGCTTCTCGGCTCTGGAGACCAGAACGGGTACTACGGCGGCCGCAGGGCTGCGCCGACCTCCGTTCCCGCTACGAGCTTACCCGGGGCCTGGGCGCAGAGCCGCCTAGACCCCGTGACCCATACCCGTCTTTGATGATTGCTATCCTGTGCAGCTTCGTGTGACCGAGTTTTTATAAATATGATTGTTTGTCAATGGTGAGTTTGCCAGGCTGAATAAAGAACTTATCCAGCGCAAATGGGCTTTGTGTCGATTGGTCCTTACTTCGCAATCTCCTACTCCTTGGCACATTCCCAAATCAGAAGCAAAGCTGCTGAGGTCAGGCACGATTCTGAAGTAGGCCCATTGTTAGCGAAAACGAGGACTCAAAGGCGTGCTCGGAGGGTAAAAAATAGTATCAACGAGCTGACTGGTTGTACATGCGCCTGGAAATATCGGCTGGCAGCACCGGCTCAGCGTGTTAGCCGAACTTTGTCTGCAGTGGCCCAGACGTCTGAGTCTTGGCCGCATGTAGACCCATTTTCTCAATCGTTGAACCATTTACACGCATCTTGGAATACTGAGAAACTGCTATGCTAATGTATTGCTTATCTACTGTACTGGCGCTCGTTGGCGCAGCCTTACCACGGGTGCGATTACGCTATAGTCCGCCGCGGCGGCATCGGACTAACGCTGTTGGTCGACACGATTGGGACTGCGGGCTTGAGGGCTTTCGCAGTCTACTTTAACCCAAAGTCCGAAATCCGAGACAAGAAAAATGAGGAGTGATCTCGAGAGACTTCAAATCTTGCGATTGGCCTACTTGGGCCGGGAGACACCCTGCAAGGTAACGCCGCGAGCAAGCTGAGTCGCCTGTCGTATGCACCTGCTGCATGCCCTTCTACTATTAGTTGCGAGACAAATCATAAATCTCTAGGATAAAGATTTTCCATGTCAGGGCGGAGAAGCCCCATCGACGGAGAAACTCCATGGACGGAGAAACCCCATGGATGCGATGTGAGAGTACCATTGGCTGTTCCACGTGCTATCACGAGGCCCTTGATGCGTTGCCTGATGCCCTTACCCACAAACTTTAATGAACATGATAGCACGTCCCTGCGGATCTTGCGGAGAACGGACAATAACAAGCGAACATAACGAATTCGAGGCCGGGTCTCGCTAGAAGGACTCAGCTCAGGGTGCCCCCATATTCGCGGAGTGTTCTACCTGCCCGATAACAACAGCGACAGGGCCCCTCGGGCCGAGGAAATAGCCTCATTTCCTGTCTCAGTATGCTATATACTATGTAGAATAGCAACGCATTTTTGAAGAACCTGCCAGTGAAATACTTGGCTTTTATGGCATTTTCATCGTAATGGCTGCACCGACACCAACAACACCGACCGAGCCGGTTGCTTCCGGGGGACTCGGCGATGGCGCCAGCCACAGCCGGCGCGGCTCGGAAGCCACCTCCAACGACCACATCACCAAGCAGCCAACCAAGTCGTCGCAAAAGAGCATAACCCAAACGGTAAAGAATGCGAGAACATACTCAATCAAGAGCTTCAAGGACAATTGGAAATGGTGGCTGCTCGGCCTGCTCATCTTCCTCGCCGTCTTGTTACCGATTTTGTAAGCCAACCAGGGGGAGACTTGACGAGGAAACAAACCTTTGCTGACAAGCTTGGCAGCTTCAAAGTCATCCTACCTGCCATCGTGCAGCTCATCGTCAACCAGCAGCCCCTGCCGGTCCTCGGCGGCGACTTTTTGTTCCAGACGCCCACCTCGATGCTCATCAACCTCAACTCATCCTTCAGGTCACCGCTGCCCGCCTCGCTGCAGCCGTTCAAGCTGCAGCTGTACAACCGGGACGCGCCCACCTTCACGCCCTGGCTGTCCATGAAGATGCCGCAGGTCAACATCAACGGCAACACGCAGATCCACGTGCTCGACCAGATGCAGACCGTCACCGACGGCGACGAGTTCGTCAAGTGGTTCGGCCGCTTCGTCGACCAGGAGGAGGTCAACCTGGACGTGCGCGCCGACGACACGACCGTCAAGCTCGGCGCGCTCGCCTCGCGGCCCGTCCTCGACAAGACCATCACCTTCAAGGGCCTGAACCTGCACCAGGGCATCCGGCTGACGCACGCGCAGCTGGTGCTGCCGCCCGAGGCCGATGGCACCAACCTCCGGGGCATGCTGATGATCCCCAACAAGTCGCCCATCGCCTTTGGGATTGGCGACTACACGCTGGACGTGTTCGCGGCGGCCGGCGCGGTCAACATTGGCCACATCACGATCCGCGACACGGTGCTGCGGCCGGGGAACAACGCGCAGGCGCTGACGGGCGTCATCGACATCAAGGCGATCCTGGCGAACCTGGGCGCGATCCTCGCGAGCCAGGCGGCGCCGCTGGCGGACGGCATGATCGAGGTGACGGTGACGGGGCGGGAGTGCCGCATCAACGGCGAGCGCGGAGAGTACGTGGAGCGCGTGCTGAACCACCGCAGCCTGGTCATCCACGCGTCGATAGCGACGGTGGCGGCGGACGTGGTCGGCGGGCTGATCGCGCCGCAGGTCAACTTGGGCCAGGGCACCAACGACGGCTCGTCACTGATCGACGCGCTGTCGTCGGTGTTTAGCAACGAGACGCTGATGGGCAGCATGGCCGGCCGCTTTAACAAGACGAGGAAGCGCAGCGAAGCCACGCAGGAGCGGATGCTGAGGCTCGGGGGGTATATCTGAAGACGATGTTGACTTGCGTTTTAGCTTAATGATTACGTATATACTAATTCAGACCTGTAATGCACAAGGTGGTCCTTTTGTGCTCTGCATTATTCTGTGATCAAGGTTGGCGTTGACGGTTGAGTCTGGAGACGGCGGTGTTTGGATCCAAGAAGGCCCCTATTAGCAAGGGGGGGGGTTATTACTTTCCATGAGGACATCATCCGAGGATTAGTTGATAAAAAAAAAGAAGAAAAAAGAAAAAGAAAACTGGCAAAATAAAGATTGAAGGTTTCTTTTTTTTTGAGTATTTTTTATTTTTTCTTTACAGGAAAGCACCGCAGATTGAGGCCCTGAAGTTGATTTCCACCTGCGCCCAGCCACAGGGAAGCTGGCTGTTATTAGTTCAACATCGGACATGGCGCTGATTGGCTGCGCAAAGCTTAGAAATCGAACCCGGACAAATCTGTCGTCACCACCATCGACCCTCTGCCAGTCCTTTGTCGTTCCTCACTTTGCATCACGACATCTGCAATTCCACTTCGCAAATAGACACAATGGACGCCCAGACCTGTCCCATCCGTAGGTCGCAACGATTCGCACTTCCAACCAGAGCCAATCGCGCTGACCTCTTCCCCAGCTTCCGCCGCTCCGGCTGCTTCAACCTCCAGCGACAGCGCCTCGCGCCCCAAGGTACGCGCATCTCATCGGTGCCTTTTCCTTTTGTCTGGAACGTGGCGCCAGCTAACGCATTCTCGCTCGACGTATAGCCCTGCTGCGTGTGCAAGGACGAAAAGGCCAAGCGCGACGAGTGCATGCTCTTCTCCACGGCCAAGGACCCCCAGGCCGACTGCCAGTCGCTCGTGCAGCAGTACAAGACGTGCATGCTCGGCTTCGGATACAAGGTATAAGCGCGCGATGGACGGGAGAGGCGACAACAGAAAATAAAAGCGACCGAATTGCGAGACGATCAAGCCGTGGACGAGGCTCCCTCGCTTGTGCGGACAAGACGATCGACGACGACGGAAAGAAGAGCAAAAGAACATTCGTCAGCCCTCGGAAATTGCTACCGGCGCTGTGTACAACATTTGATACAATTACGGATAGACTGGACAGGACTCAATCTCCTCTTTCTTTACTACGGAAGCATCGGTGCTAGTAAAACCAGGCACGGAAACCTGTACAATAGAACCACATCACCAAGAAACATAAAAAAGCTCTGTACCCTTGCGCACGCCTGCCGTGCTTGATCAATCTTGGCCGTCCCGCAGCAACTGCTGCACCTCGCGCTCCTTGCCCTCGTAGACCTCCATCACGCGGTCCTCCACCGCCGCGGCCGCCGCGCCCACGCCCGCCACCACCGCCGTCATCTCCTCCTCAATCGCGCTGCGCCGCTGCACCGACCGGGCAATCTCCGACAGGATCCGGGCCGTTTCCTGTCTCCTTTTGGCTGCTCGTCAGCCAAAGGCGCGACTCGGGGTCGTCGTCCCGCAAACGAGTTACCTGCGTCGTTGGTGCTCCTCCCGTTCCCGCGCCGCTCGGTGCTTGATTCCGTCCAGGTCGGCCGTGACCTTGTCGACGACGTCCTGGATCTTCTCGTCTCGCTCCTTTTTAAGCTGGGGCGGTGGGTGAGCGGCGTGAAAGGGGCCAGGATCGGGGGCGGGCTGACAAGTTACCTGGAAGATGCGCTGCTGTGCCGCGATGGCTGCGGAGGTGCCATCCGAATCCGCAGCGCTTCTAGATGTAGTTCGTCTGGCCATTGGGAATTCCGATTCTAACGAAAGGGTATCTGGGACTGCCAATTTCGGGTGCTATCGCTCGAATCACGGTAGAAGCGGGTTGCAAACGAATCACTGTTGGTGGGCTAAACGTCTGCCAGCTGGCGACTTCTCTGCTGCCTTTTGCAGCACAGCTTTGCCTCTCAATTGAGATTCTCTATTATAGTCTCTTTTGATTTCCTACTCCACTGATCGTTTTATGTACGTCAGAAACACCTTTTTTGGCATTATCATACATCCACCTCCTGCACCTATCTCGTCAGGGCAATGTCGTCTATTCTCAGTATCATCTTCACCGTCTCTGCCGCCAGCTCGATAGCGCTTGTGCTAACCAGCAGCGGCTGCAGAACATTCTCCTTTGAAATGTTGGAGTTGACGCCGCCGGACTTGATGCTGACGCCAGCGCTCTTCTCACCCATCTCGTGGCGATGTCTTAGGTCAGTCACGACCTTAATGCTGTTGAGGCCGGCGTTCTCGGCCAGCGTCGTGGGAATGACCTCCATGGCGTCCGCAAACGCCTTCCAGCAGATGGCCTCAGTGCCGGTCAGGCTGCGGGCTTGCTTGGCCAGCTGTGCAGCAATCTCAATTTCAGGAGCACCGCCGCCAGCGATCAGGGCCTTCTTCTTGACAAGGCAGCGGATGACGCAAAGCGCGTCGTGTAAGCTTCTCTCAGCCTCACCCAAGATCAGGGAGTTGGCACCACGAACAACGACAGACACGGTCTTGCCCGTCGCCTTGGCACCTGTGAACTTGACCATGCGCGCTCCTGCAGACTGAACCTCCTCAACCACATCAGCGGTTCCGAGCTTATCCTCGGTAAAGTAATCAATATCGGCAACGGGCTTGCAGCCAGTCGACTTGCAGATGAACTCGACCTCGTCACGCTCAATGTCCTTAATAGCCATGATCCCGAGCTTGGCGAGGAAATGGAGTGACAGGTCGTTGACGGCATCTCTGAGGATCGACTTCTGGATGAGAAGCACATTGCACTTGGCCTTCTTGATCTTCTTGGCAAGGTTGAGCAGATACAGTCGCTCCTCCTTGACGATCTTGTCCATCTGGCGGTAGTCGTTGACCTCGATCGTGTTTTCCATCTGCATCGCATTAGTCAGTATTAAGAGTCTAACAGGACAGCACTGTATCGCATACATCAGGTTTGGGAGGGCTCAGCTGGAACTGAATGAGACCAATCTTGGCCTTCTCGATTCGGACAGGTCCGCCGGCGTTCTTTAACACGGGCTGGGTAAGAACAAGGCCGTCCATTAGTTCGCTGTCTTCGATTGTGCCCCCGACTTTCCTAATGATGCGAATGTTGTTAAGGTCGACATTCTCGGCCGTCTTGAGATCGATCGTTCTCGTAACAGCATTGACAGCCATGGGGCCGAGAAGGTTGGAGTACTGCGAAACAATCTTGGAAGACAGAGACGTGTTGGCAGCCTGCAGCAGCGAAGCAGTGTCGGTCAGGGAAATAGGCTGTGACATGTCGTGGAGGACCTCGACAGCGGCGGCGGCGGCGCGCTGGAAAGACTCGGAAATGACAGAGGGGTGGATGCCCTTGGACAAGAGGCGGTCGGCGGCACCAAGCAAGCTGCCACAGATAACGACGACGGAGGTAGTACCGTCGCCGGCCTCGACATCCTGAGAGCTGGAGAGTTCGACGAGCATCTTCGCGGTGGGGTGAATAACTGACATGCTCTTGAGCATGGTGTTGCCGTCGTTTGTGATAATGGTCTCCCCCTTTCCGCTGCGGATCATCTTGTCCATACCGCGGGGACCGAGAGATGTGCGGATGGCATCGGCGACGGCTGTGAACAGCAGTCAGCATAAGTTACTGTCGTCCTGTAGGCATTGGTGTTGCGCTCGTACCTCTGGCGGCGACAATGTTCGACGAGCGAACTGCCATGGGCTTTTCCTTATCCTACGCATTGGTTAGTGGGGGAGCTCTGGGAGCTTGCGGCGGGCGTGAACTGACTTTGAAGGTGGCATTTCCGCCCTGGCTGCTGCTTTGAACCTGTGGCGCAGACATTTTCGAGAGATTTCCCAGACCTAGACTCAAAAAAGATCCTGTTGGGAGCGCGGTTGTTGACTGAACGTAGAACCACTGGTGGGACAGGCAGCATTCAATCGAAATATCCCACCTTGTACCCTCTCCGCCATTCGCAGGACGCCTGGAAATTTTGGGCTTCGGAGGTGGGGATTATCCATCTTCCGCCACCTTCCATTCTGCGCTTCTGCTCTGTGTCGTACACGCAATCCCGAAGCGGCCTAGCGCGCTTAGGGAAGCAGGTCCAGGCGCTGGAGCTGTCAGGCAACTGAGATTACGGAATGCTTCTGTGCCTCTGTTCCCTGCCAATCCATCACCAAACACTCCAAGTTGCGCCTGTGACGTCGATGCACCTATAGTATTGATACCAATCCGCACTGCAGCTTGCACTTCAATATTCAACACCGATCTGTATATCACAAGACTGGCGGCGCGTCTACCGTGCGCGTTCCACCATGGTAAGCAACGCATCGCTTCGTCAGGGAGAGCATGTCGCTGACCGTTTCAGCCTTCTGCCACCGGACAAAACTGGGAGAAGTACCAGAAGAACTTCGCCGATGATGAAGTAGAAGAAAAGAAGATCACACCTCTCAGCGATGAGTGCGCGCTCAACCCTCCCGAGCATTCGCTGTCGTCATGCTAACCGGCCACCAGGGACATCCAAGTCCTCAAGACCTATGGCGCCGCGCCGTACGGAGCTGCCATCAAGAAGCTCGAGAAACAGATCAAGGAGAAGCAACAAAGCGTCGATGAGAAGATTGGCGTCAAGGTGGGCCTCAACGTACCAAGGCTGTTGCGACTGAAAGCTAACGAGTTTAGGAATCCGATACTGGCCTGGCACCACCACATCTCTGGGACACTGCAGCCGACCGCCAACGAATGCAAGAAGAGCAGCCTTTCCAAGTTGCTAGATGCACGAAGATTATCGCCGACGAAAAGGGCGACGAGTCCAAGAGCAAATACGTCATCAATGTCAAGCAGATTGCCAAATTCGTCGTCCAGCTTGGCGACCGAGTTAGTCCCACCGATATTGAAGAGGGTATGCGAGTTGGTGTCGACAGAAACAAGTATCAGATCATGCTTCCACTTCCGCCTAAGATTGATGCCAGCGTCACCATGATGACTGTCGAAGAAAAGCCCGACGTTACCTACGGCGATGTTGGTGGATGCAAAGAGCAGGTCGAGAAGCTGAGGGAAGTTGTGGAGATGCCGCTGCTCTCGCCGGAGCGCTTCGTCAATCTCGGTATCGACCCTCCCAAGGGAGCTCTGCTATATGGTCCTCCCGGTACCGGAAAGACTCTCTGCGCCAGAGCCGTTGCCAACAGAACAGATGCCACGTTCATCCGTGTCATTGGAAGTGAGCTGGTGCAGAAGTATGTCGGCGAGGGCGCCCGGATGGTCAGAGAGCTGTTTGAGATGGCCCGCACAAAGAAGGCCTGCATCATCTTCTTTGACGAAATCGATGCGGTTGGTGGCGCTCGTTTCGACGACGGCGCTGGTGGTGACAACGAAGTCCAAAGAACCATGCTGGAACTGATTACACAACTGGACGGTTTTGACGCGCGAGGCAACATTAAGGTCATGTTCGCCACCAACAGACCTTCGACTCTGGACCCTGCGCTGATGCGTCCTGGCCGTATTGACCGCAAGATTGAGTTCTCGCTGCCGGACCTGGAAGGCCGCGCCAACATTCTGCGCATCCACGCCAAGAGCATGTCCGTCGAGAGAGACATTCGATGGGAGCTCATCTCGCGTTTGTGCCCGAACGCCACCGGTGCCGAGCTTCGCAGTGTGTGCACTGAAGCTGGCATGTTTGCCATTCGTGCCCGACGAAAGGTGGCGACGGAGAAGGACTTCCTTAGCGCCGTCGACAAGGTCATTAAGGGTAATCTCAAGTTCAACTCGACTGCTACATACATGCAGTACAACTAAACTAGCGTATGAGAACTACAGTCATAATGTACGATTACAATTTGGTCATGGATGGTGGTCGCGGGATTGTGTCTATTGTTTGGTAGTTTGGGACTCATTACTAGGAAATAGACAGGGCGTTTATCCAAGATCAAGACCATCATGGCCCAAGCGTGATACTATTCCTATGCAAATGGGTATTTGTTTGCTATGTGATTAAAACTCATTATGTCCCGTACGCAACTAAGCCCGTATATGATGATGCGTGAATAATAAACATCATCCAACCCTTGCCGCCCAAACGCCGTCATGCAATGTATTGAAAATTGCTCCTGAAAAGCCAATGTAAGTAATGATTTATGAAACGATGCCAATCGAATCCTCAGAGCGTCATATCCTGCGGGGCTTCGTCCCCAAAGAGACACCCGAGGCAGACGACCTCGCCCTCAGGGCCCTTTTCCACACAGCAGCGGCTGCACACCACCGACCGGTGCCCGCAGGCCGCCCAGCCCTGCTGCTCCTGCTTCGTTTGCTCCCGCGTCTTCGTCGCGGTAGGCAGTGGCCGGCCGTCATCGCGGATCGTTGGCGCGTCGTCGTCGGGGGCGTCCTGCATGTTGAAGGAACGCGACAGGGCCTCCTGCTCGGACAGCACGTCGACGTCGAGGGGCCCGCCGTGGCACTGGCGAATGCAGACGAAGCAGGTCTGCGCGCCGCAGCCCTCGCAGCGGGCGAACGAGTCGAGATCGGAGCGCTTGGTCGGGCGGCGGTGGCAGATGTGGCAGGGGGCGAGGGCCGCGGCGCCGCCGCCCTTGGCCGGGGCTGATGTCTGCGTCTTTTCCCGATCCTGCTGCTGCGGAGGACCGCGGCGGTGGGACGGCATCAGGTCGCTATGGCTGTGGTCGTCGTCGTCGCTGATCCGTGTGCGTTTGGAGACTGGTGCGGCCATTCTCCGCGTCGAGAAGGGGCAGCAGGATTCGCTGGCGTGGTAGATGGAGAAGACGCCGCGCGCGTTGATGTCGTCGTCGTCGTCGTCGTCATCGTTGTTGGTGTGGTCCTGCCATCGCCGCTTGTTACGCGCAGGAGGCGGAGAGTCGCTGCCACCGACGAAGGGCATGGCGGCGCTGCATCGGCCCTGGTGGAGCGAAGGGGGCGGACCACTTGCGAGTCCCTGCAAGACGATTGTGTGTCGTGTGGAACAGAGTAGAGATGTAGAAAAAAAAATCAGGTGAGGAAGGCGTATTTGGCACTGGACCGCTGCAGTGTGTTTGCCTGATTGCAACAGATTGGGACGACGAGTTTGATGGAGGTGGTGACCACTTTGGTGGAGGCCGGACGATTAGTAACTACCTAATAAATAGGTAGTAACAGGAGTGGCTGAGGAACCAGGCCCAAGTGCCCCTTTGTTGCCTGTACTTTTTGCAGGCAGCCTTCACGTGCAGTTCAACTTAGAACTGCCATTTGATAAGCGAGCTCGTTCGATGGCTATGAAGGCACCTCCCTTGACTTGATTCGGCCCAATGATTCCTAGCTAGGCAGCTTTGCCAGATCTAGTCTTCACGCATCGCATCACAGCAGATCTCACAGCAGCCCAAGGCCGCTATGTCGCAGAACACCGCCACATCAGTAAACTGTTCTAAGGCTTTGCCTTTCAAATAATTATCGCTCAAGTAGCAATCATTATGAATAAAAGCTGGCGAAGATGAAGATTATACAAGTATGAACATCGTGGAGTTGTCACAAGGCAAGCTCAACAAAGTGAAGGAGCAACTTCAGTCCCGCCACTTTTCACAAAATGAAGAGACTACACAATATGAAAGAACTGCCATTCTGAGAACTCCAAGAGATGCGCGCTGGTATTCGGCTTTTATAGTCGTCATTAGGCATCTAGGTACTGGTGTGAGCTGTCTTGGGCAGCTGAGACCTTTAACCTGAAGCATGGATATTCACCGCCGCGGCGAGATGGAATTTTTTCGAGAGCGCCTCTTTTTTACCCTTGAAATGCCACGAACTGCACTCCTTGCACAATTATTTCTCGGATATGGAGGGGCATGGTTGCGGTATCGGTACACCGGACCTTGCTGGTCGGCGATTGGAAACAACGCGGACGTCAAGCAGTATGGGATTCCAACACTCAGTTTCACTACATGACCTGTTTGTCTAGTCGCTACCCGGTACACCGCCCTAGTCGACGTTCCCACTGTCACTTTCCTAGAGAAAGGCGAGGAGGTTGGCCGTTGCAAGCATCTATATGTGCGGTGGAATCAAGTATTACACTCAATCGAAAGGCTGCACCTTTTTTTTTATTTTCTAGATCTGGATTGCTCGCCGTGCAATGCTAGGCCGACAGGATTGGAGATATATGTCACAGCCGGACCAACACGTCCTCTTACATGTGTCGACCCCATTCGCCCAGGAGCTTCTTATAGTCATGTGGCCCGATGACTCTGCCGGTCCTGGGTTTAATGCCGAGACAGGTTGCGACATGACAAAGTGCACTGTAGTTGCGTTAGTGCAGCGCTGATGTGAATCAGCGTGGAGAGGGGTGGGCTGCGATTTGTGCGATTGTTTGCGGCAAATTTGTTAGCGTCAACCACAACGAACAAGATATATAGTTGACTTATAATGTGAAACTACGGGATACCAGTCTCATCTTCCCAGGTGCGGTCTTGAGCGGGGGCGATCTATCATCCTTGGCTACGCGTTCGATTATCCAGGTATATATACCAAGTCAATGCTGCTGCAAGACGGGTAACATCTGCATTGTTTTCTTCTTAAGCTACCCGTTGACGCAGTCTTATTTCATCCGAGGGCATTAACGATGAAGACCCTACTACTCTCTTCACTGTTTGTCAGTGCCTCGTACGCGTAGGGTGTAATTTTGATGACGAGAGGAGCCAACGGTGTGAAGGCTCCGGGAGCTTGCGGTATGCCTGATAGCCGGTCAGAATTGCTGCAGAGCTCGCAAATCCCTCTTTTGCTGCTGTTTAGTCCTGGACGGTACTCCTCGCGACTGCGTTGTGAATGCGTGTGGTGCCCAAGCGGACACTGCCATCATCCGCGATGGAGAAATAGAGAAGGGTCAACACGGGCCACTGGGCTGGACCCAGGGCGGTGGTGATTGCCACGCTGATGCAGTGATCGGTCAAGACATGGGTCTAGGTGTAGCACCCAAGTATACTGGCGGAAGGAAACCGACCGGCAAGGAAGATGACCTCTAATCCGTCAGCCGGCGGCGTCGGGAGGCCTATGAGGAGCATGCACACCACCTCTTTACCAGAGACACCGCAGCGAAGGGCGACGAATCCCCAAGCCCTTCCCGACCGACTCTCTAGGCCCGAGTGGCAATCGTACGTCTTACGACCACGAGACTATAGTCAGAGATTACTCGGGCTGGGGTTGAGACCATGGTCTTCCCACTACAGACGAAAGTGGTGTTGTGTCTTTGGTCTACCGCCAGGTGAGTAAACTTCAACTTGGCTGCTCTGAAATCGGCTGACCCATGGAAACCTAGATCAGCGAAGATGGGGCTGTGCCGCTCAGCGCGACGGTCGACGCTACCTCGGCGGGGACGGATGCAAAGGCGTTCAAGCCGGCAAAGGTTGTTCAAAACATTCCTGGCGATGGCGTTTCCAGCGCGACGAACACGAACTTTGCGGTGAAGGTGAAAGTGCCGGACGGCACGGTGTGTGAGGGACAGGTCGCTGGCCTGGTAACGTCTGCTTTGTTTGGCTTCGGAACACTGCATCCGGTGGTCCTTACGGCGGCGCGGCCTTCTTTACGCAAAGTGACGGCGCGCGCAAGCGAGCCGTTGAATACCGTCTAAAGAGGCGTGCAGACTAGAGTTTGAATAGTCAGTAGTGAAGTGACCGGGACATTGTGGGCTGTGTCAACACGCAACCTGACGTATAGCTAATGAGCATTATATTCACTGAGATAGCATTGAATCTTTGGAGTCTTCCGTTCTCTCCAGCGCTGGCTCTCCTCGACACGTTGCCAGTCCAAAGATCCCAGCGCAAATGTGACACACAGTAAGCTCGCACCTCAGCTGGTGCGACGTTTGTCACCCTCAATCGGATACTATGTGGTCAATAGTATTGAAAACTACCCATTTTTTCTCGTTTGTGGCACCATATTCAACCAAGAGTAGATGCAGCTGCAGAATGTTTGCGGGGATGGTGGTTTCGAAGTGCTGCGCTCTGCAGACGCGGTCATGCATACAGTGCTCTTTTTGTTTAGCACTGTACAATACCCTGCCTCCACCGGGCGCGGCACAGTGCTAGCCGTTGTTCACGCTTCCCCATAATCTCAACAGTTTGCCGCCAGCCTCCTTCGACTCAGATCCTACACACCTCAACTCCAAACAGCTTCACTCCCAGCGCAGGCCGCGTCATTGCTGTCTTGCTCGAGCGGCGCGCATTATACAAGTTCGTTTTCCATATTTTCACTTCTCATTATCCCCATAAGCTCGTCCCATCATCTTCAATCATCCCCTGCCCTTGGCCCGTATCCTCCCATCTCGTTAGGAGCGTTCTTGCCTTCCTGTTCAGCCTTTGGTGCCAACTCCCGCGCCCACTTTATCTAACAATCCTCCCCTCTCCGCGCGATCCTTCGCGGCGCTCTTTCGCTGCTACCACTTCTCTCTTCTTTTTTATTTTTGTCTTCCGGCCGCGCTGCCTACCCAGGAAATCTTCCATCATGTCTACAAGTCTAACCATGTCGCTCCAGCCATTCGATAGGCCTCTCCACGATTCGATTCGACCTCGACTGCGAAACGATCCCTGACATCGAGACGAAAATTGATCAGCATCTATCGTCATTTTGTATTTGTATATAGCGACGCACCTCTGGAGCAGCCAGCACTTGCGCTTGCACAATGGACTCGTACTCGTCCTACAGAGATACTAGGGACTCAGGTCGTTCTCCAAATATGGAACGTGCCCCTCGCGCCCGCGACGATTCTCGAGGTAGAGACGATCGTTCTGATGGGTTCTATCGCAATAGATCACCTGGTAAGGCCGTTTGTTGTCGTGGAAGCTGGGCCACCGAGCTGACCTTTCTATTCAGGCAATGACCGTCGCGACCGCCGTCGCTCTCGTTCTCCTGTTGACAGATATGAACCTCGTTCTCGCAGAGATGACCGCGACAGAGATGATAGAAGACGCGGCGTATCTCCTCCTTCAAACATCGACCGTTATGTTCCTCACATGGACAATAGTCCGGCTGGAACTCTTGTCAACCCTATACCGAATCCTAGCCAGCTCCCATATCAAGTAGGGTTCTCTTTTTTCAGCGAATGGTGGCGCATGAATGAAAAAGTCAAAGATGACAAAGAGCGCGCCCGTACCGGTCGCCGCCGCGAGCCTGAACGGCCGCGAGGTGCTCGCGAATCGCAAGAGGAGCGAGAGAAGGAAAAAACACAAATACAAGCTGCCTACGACTCATACAAGGAAGAACTGCAGGCCAAGATGGCTCGCACCTTTGTCAGTGAGCATAAGAAGGAGCAATGGTTTAAAGAACGATATGTACCCGAGGTTCGAGATGCCTTCAGAGCCAAGCTCAATGAGGTCAGACGTGGCGCCTACAGCCAATGGGAACAGGACCTGGAATCTGGCACTTTTGACGAATTCTCCTTGGAGGGCATTCCCAAAAGCGAGAGCAACGGCACAGGCGGCGTTATCGAAAAGGAGGAAGGCGAGGCCACCGCTGCCAATGAGATTCTTGGCGTCAGCGATCTTGTTCCAACCAATGGCGCGGATATTCGCGATGAGAACCAATTTCAGCCAACGCTACTCATCAAGACAATTGCGCCTCACGTTAGTCGTCAAAACTTGGAGGAGTTCTGCAAGGAGCACCTTGGAGAGGAGGAAGGTGGTTTTAGGTGGCTGTCGCTATCAGACCCTAACCCAAGCAAGAGGTATCACCGCATCGGTTGGGTAATGCTCCACCCATCTTCTGAGTCTGCAATGCCAGTCGATCGGGCTGATCCTAAAGACGGCGACGACGGCGAGGCTGCCGCTACGCCTCCTCCAGCCTCTACAGCTGAGAAGGCATTGGAAGCTGTCAACGGCAAGACGGTAAAGGATGAGGCAAGAGGCGATTTTGTATGCCATGTTGGTGTACACAACCCGCCTAGCAACCCAAGAAAGAAGGCTCTCTGGGATCTGTTCTCTGCACCTGAGCGTATTGACAAGGATCTCCTGCTGGTGCAGAGGCTCGTGAACAAGTACGAGGAAGATTTCGGCTCCGACTTCCAAGCCATTATCAAAGTTGAAGAGAAGGTCGAGAGCCTTCGGAGTTTGGGTCAGTTGAAGCCTGCAATTCCTCCTGCACCACGTAAGAAGGCTACAAAGACGAAGGAGGTTTCAATGGATGAGGCGATGGATGGTGAGGAGGAGGAGGAGGGCGCCGCAGCTGATGAGGAAGAAGATGATGGTGCCGTAGACGAAGACGAGGTAGATGATGAGGATATGCTGGTCAAGAAGAAGCAGCTTGATCTTCTCATCGAATACTTGCGACGCGTCTTTAACTTCTGCTTCTTCTGCGTCTTCGAGAGCGACTCGATTCATGAGCTCACGCGCAAGTGCCCTGGTGGCCATTTGCGCCGCCCTCGCAGCACACTCTCGAGCTCGGCTAGAGAGGTTGCAAAAGCTAGTGCTGACGGCAGCCCTTTCCCCGAGAAGAAGCGAGCCGAAGGCGACGAGGATCTGGACATGGATGCCCCAGAGAACGAGAAGAAATTCCGCAATACGTCCAGCAAGACCGAGCAGCAATTCATGCGAGCTTACAACTGGGTCAAGACATTCGAGGACAAAGTTCAACAGATCCTTGAACCGCAATCATCGGATATCCGGAAGTTAGGTGGGCGACCAGTGGAAGAGGCAGTTGAGGCTGAGCTCATGAAGCACGTGAAGCAGGAAGATGAGCACAAGTGGCGATGCAAAGTCCCCGAATGTAGCAAGTTGTTCAAAGAAGAGCATTTCTGGAAGAAGCATGTCGAGAAGCGGCATACCGAATGGTTCGATGGGCTGAAGCAGGAGTTTGAACTGATCAACTCATATGTTCTCGACCCATCGCACATTGCGCCGTCTCGCACTGACGCAAACTCAAATGGGCATTTTCCCCAGCCCAATGGCAACTCTGCAACGGGTACACCTCGTGGATTTAGCCTGCAAAACTTCTCGTCCAACCCTATGATGGTGCCAGGCTTCCCAGCCGGCGGTGTCCCCCACGGCTTCCCAGGCATGCAAGGCAGTGGGTGGAACGGAATGGACAACGATCGCTCTGGTGGGCCTATCCGGCGCGGAGGCATGTCCCACAGGGGTCAGTACCGCACGGGGCCCTATGATCGTCGTGGCGGCCGTTTTGACGGCGGCCGACCCCGAATGGGGGGTTCTCGCTGGGGCGACGGCGCAGGTGCTGGCGCTGGGGGACCACGCGAGGCTGTTCAAGGACGAAGCTTGAAGAGCTACGAGGATCTTGACCAGGTCTCTGGAAATGGTGGTGGTGAATTGAACTATTGAAGGATACTTGACCGCACCCGGCGTTGGGATGGGCTTCTGTGAGTGAGATTCGAGTGAGGCACCACCAAAAGCAATCGATCAGTCGTTCGTGGGGCGTTTTGTGTATTATTGGGAGTGCGAATCGTTTGGATCCGAGTTTTCAATTTGACAGGACACGATGAGCCATGTACTTTTAACCAGTCTCTACAAACATGACATGAAATTTGCTACTTGATTTTATCGTTGAATCCAGCAACTGTTCAATGTGACAATGTCCAAGTATTTCAGTGCAGTGGTGCCTGGTTCGATTAGTTAGTAGACGCCGCAGGTGCGGCCCAATCATGGTGTCCGATAACGCCACTGCCAGCCACTACAGACCCCACGCCTCCAGACTTTTTCTTCCCACCAGCGACATCTCATGCTCTGCGATTCCCATCCATCAACCGAAGCCCTGCAACTGAATTGCAGATAACCCGCCAAGATGGGGATGCTTCAGGATAATAAGAGGTATGTCTTGTTTACCACCTTTCTGTCGGTTCACTTCTAACTTGGCTGGCACCGCGCAGTCGCAAGAAAATCTCCAACGACCCGAACAACACAAAATGGACCCGCGACACCACCACCTTTGGCCAAAAGATCCTGCGCGCGCAGGGCTGGCAGCCGGGCCAGTTCCTCGGCGCGCAGGATGCCCCGCACGCGGCCCTGCACTCCGCGGCGAGCGCCTCGTACATCCGCGTGGTGCTCAAGGACGACATGAAGGGCCTGGGCTTCGACCGGGCCAAGGAGGACGAGGTGACGGGCCTGGACGTCTTCTCGGATGTGCTGAGCCGCCTCAACGGCAAGTCCGAGTCGGCGGTGCAGGAGGACCGGGACGCGCGCCTGGCCATCAAGACGCACCGCTACGTGGAGATGCGCTGGGGCCCGATGCGCTTCGTGCGCGGCGGCCTGCTGGTCGGCGACAAGCTGGAGGAGGTGGCGGTGGCGGCGGAAGCCGAGGGTGGTGGGGACAGCAGCAGCGGCGGCGGTGCTGAGGTGACGAGGTCGAAAAAGGACAAGAAGAGCAAGAAGCGCAAGGCCGAGGAGCAGGAGCAGGAGGAGCGTGAGGACAGCGAGGCGGCGAACAAGAAGGATAAGAAGCGACGCCGCAAGGATGAAGATGAGGACGCCAAGGAGGACAAGAAGAAGAAGCGCAGAAAGGAGGACAAGGACAAGAGGAAGAAGAAGTCGAAAAAGTCATCGAGATCAAAGGACGGATCCGACGACTCGGACGACGACGACGACAAGGATAGCGACGAGAGAGCGGCCAAGAAGAAGGCCAAGAAGGAAAGGAAGAGGGAGAGGCGTGAGAAGAAGGAGGAAAAGAAGCGTCGCAAGGCCGTCCAGGCCGCTGACAGCGCCAGCAGCAGCGACGACTCCGACTCGGACGCGGACGCCAGCGGTAGCAGCCGCAGCGCAACGGTCACGCCGGCCGCAACGTCGGGGACCTCGACGCCCCTGGGCAACCGCAACTTTGTGCGGTCGCGGTACATTGCACAGAAGCGGCAGGCGGTGATGGACGCCACGGCGCTGAAACAAATCTTCATGGTCAAGGCGTGAATGTTGGCGCGTCTTCTCTGTTCTTTCTGGCGTTTTTGGCGGGCAAAGGTCATCATCATATACATCATATCAGCGCTGGTGTTTTCTTCTCCTCGATTCTCCGGCGGTATAAAAAGTGTTGCATTGCATCGGGCTTGGATAAAGCTGCAACTAGATAGATACACTGCAAATGACATCTCTCAATCGTCTTATGCTTAAACTTTCTTAGATTTAGGCTCTTCCTTGGTGATATCTATACTCTTTGTCTCATGTTATTTCTAGTCATGATCTCTTCAGAAGATTATTTTGCATTTCCAGATTTTTTTTGGTATTTATTATTCGTAACCCGGGGTCCCTTTCTTTTCTCTTGTCTTTTTTCCACGACTGCCTTCGCCACCTCTACTCCTTGTCTAGTCTGACGGCCGGGTTTCGCTCGATGAAGTTGAGGTCGACCTTGTGGCCGAGCAGTTCACGAATGTTGGAGATCTTGTACTTGATCATGGTCGGGCGCTCGAGGCTGAGACCCCAGCCGAAGACGCGCATGTCCTTGGGCAGGCCCATGGCCTCGAGCATCTCCGGGCGGAACATGCCCGAGTTGCCAATCTCGACGAGCTTGCCGAGGCCCTTGTGGTAGCTGAAGATCTCCATGCTGGGCTCGGTGTAGGGGTTGTAGGCGGGCTTGAACTTGAGGTCGGTGATGCCCATCTTGCCGAAGAAGACCTCCATGAACTCCATGAGGCCGCCGAGGGTCAGGCCGTAGTCGGCGATGACGCCCTCGACCTGGTGGAACTCGGCGAGGTGGGTTGCGTCGACCGTCTCGTTGCGGAAGACGCGGTCGATAGAGAAGTAGCGCGCGGGCGGCGGGCGGCCGTCAGGCCCGCGCTGCGAGGCGAGCTTGTGCAGGAGCGCGGCCGAAATGGACGTGGTGTGCGTGCGCAGGACGAGGCGGAGCGACTCCTCGGCGGCCCAGGGGTACCGGTACCCGATGGAGCCGTACTTGCCGTCCTGGTGCACCTCGCGGACGTTGTTCCAGTAGGCCTCGGTGTCCTGGCCGGGCTCCTGCGGCCGGGGCCGGTCGGCAACCTTGGGGTCCGAGATGTAGAAGGTGTCTTGCAGGTCGCGGGCGGGGTGCTGCTGGGGCACGAAAAGGGCGTCGAAGTTCCAGAAGCCCGTCTCAACAAACTTGTTCGCAGGCATCTCCTCGAAGCCCATCTCGAAGAAAATTTGACGGAACTCTTGACGGACCTTGTTGAGGGGGTGCAGAGCGCCGGCGTTTTGGTCAGCCCCGAGGGCCTTGAAGTTGTAGGGCTTGAAGTTGGCCGTCTTCCAGGCGCCTGAGGTAATCATTTCCGATGTCAGGTCGGTCTCCTCCTTTTGGATCTCGAGGGCGAATTTGGGGCCCTTTTCGACCTTGAAGCTGATGATCTTCTGCATCTTGATGAGTTTGCGCTTCTTGAGGTCGGTGAGAGTTTTGGCATCGCCGGTTCGGGTCTCCTTGATCTTTTGGAGCTGTGCTTGGGTAACGTCTTGGATCGAGTCGGCCTGAGGTGGGGGGGTTCCGTGAGTCTGAATTCATGGTCAAATGCATGCTGGGAAAAGACGACGTACAGTAGCAATGAGCTTGCCGTCCTTGTTCTTTGCAATCCACTTTTCCCTAAAGGCCTTACCCTGGCCCAGCTTGGTGACGTTCTTGTCGCCAATGGCGGCCTCGAGTTCCTGGACAGACAGGCCGTCCATGGCCTTACGCAGGGCCTCGAAGACGCGGGCTTCGTGGCTGCCATGCTCGGCAATCTGCTCGGCCTCGGGCTCGAGGATAGCCTCCTCACGCTCAATGGTCTCGTAGGTGATCATGGAGCGAGAGCCAAGCCTGTCGAGCGCGGCCTTGACATCCTGCGATGCTAGCGCGGGGAAGGCTTCGGCGGTCAAAATCGGGCTTTGCGTAGACAGTGCCAGCAGGATCTGCGTGGCGAGGTCCCCGGAGGTCGCCATGCTGTCTCGAGCCGTCGTGCAGGGTATTGTGTATGTCGGTGCACTCGTTATAAGGCTGATTGCTGGGAGTGGTGGTGATGTTCGGCCGGCTGGTAGAAAATGTTCTGAGTCACCCTGCCAAAATGGTGGGCTAACCAAAACGCATGCCACCATGTCCCTCCAGCCCACCTCCTACTCCCACCAAACAAATGGCGGGGCTCAGCGGCGCGATGAAGCGGCCGGAATTAATGTTGATCCAGGGCGGCTCTGTCACCTACAGTATGTAACTAAAACATTCAAGCACATGTTGCAGACAACTCAGATCGCATCTGCCAGAAACATGAAAGCAGTACAAAATATTTCATTTTCGTCAATATTTTCATGCCATGAATCGATTTCTCTGAATTTTTCCCTCCTGTTATTCTCCGCTTTAGTGCGCTCTATTATCCGTTCACGTCATCTGCCGAGTCCCATCTAAATCGGCGTCCAACAGCACTGCTGCACGCAGCTGTGGCTCACTTCCCACCACTGACACCACTGACTTGCTTCTGTAATAAACCGAAGCTCGAGCTTCTACCGCCATGCTGGCTATAGCCGCAACTCCCAACACCAACGACTCCCATCTACCATCGCCAGCTTTCTATAGAAGAAGCTTACCCTATCTACCGACTTTGCTTTCGCCTCCAAATACAGAACGCGCTCGCATCCCTGCCCAATGAATACTCGCGACTATGAACGATGATGCGTCGCTCAGCTCCTCGGCGCAAGATGAGCTCTGGGACGATGACGACGTCGGCACCTCGGCTTTGGCGCAATCGCAAACTGACGCCGAGCCTGCGCAACAATCTGAGCCCCGCGCGCAATCCGCACCGCAGCAGAGACGGCCGCATTCGAAGAAGGACATGAAGAAGCACTGCCCTGGGCTCAAGAAGAAGCTAGCCTTCCTCACCCACCTCCTCAAGACGCTGGATCTCGTCGTCTTCGCCGAGTTGAGTGCCCTATACTACATGGAGTATGTACATCTCTACGCTACTCACCAATGGCCATACCAAGTTAACAAAAGTCTTTCCAGATGCTCCATGTTCCGATTCCTCCTGCGAGCTTTTGGCCAACACTTCCACCTCAGTCCCAAAGATGAAGCGTTCCCAGTTGTAATGCCTGCATCCCGCGTGCAGCTCGTCTTCGTCATGACGCCCAATATCATATGCATACTTTTGCATCTCTTCACCTCGCTCCCGGTCGGACGAGACGACCAACGTGGGTATCAACACGGTGGTCTCGTGATTGACTTCATCGGACAGAAGCCATCCACGTCGAGAGCATACTACGTGCTGGCAGATATCTTGATATTGGTTTTGCAGTGCGTCATGTTGACGATACATGCCGAACGAGAACAAATGCGCGTCACTCTCAAGACATTCCGTCCCCTAGCCGCCGACCTCGCCCAGCAAGCCGCCGCCGGCCGCACCCTGCGAGAGTTGGATGAGGAGGAGCGGGGCGTTTCCGCCATGCTGGATGAGGAAGCCGGAGACGAGGCGGTCGACGTCGAGATGAGGCTCCTGGATCAAGGTGCTGACAGCGCGACCGAGGAGGCTGGCCCCAGCAACAGCAACAGAGCTGATGATACCGACAGCACAACACACTTATCCAACGTCATGGACTCTGGCAACGGTGTGCTGGGACCTTACCATGTCCTTCAGTCTTATCGTGCGCTTCCCAGATTGCGTGACACGGCCATAGCCGCGGACAGAACAGTTTTACCTTCACTGACGAGCATGAGCTTCAATGCAACCTTGGCGGCGCTTCGAGCGAATAGTCAGCGACAACCAGTATCTGAGTCAACTAGCACCCCTGTAACTTTATAGAGCATGTATAAAACGAGCGATCTTTTCTTCTTCTTTTGGATTTGGGCACCAGGGATAATACAATGAAACAAACGCTAATTGAATTTTGGATACAAGATGACGTCTAATATTTATGCTATCTTCCGGCCAACGTTGCCTACCCCACTGCCCTTTACGGATACAATGATGTCGTCCGACTCATCCTCTGTCACATCACGAAGACCCCAGCTGCTGGCGCCAAACGTCTTCAGATCTCTTGCCAATGTGACCATATCTTCTGTTCCAAGCACCCTTCTACCAATTCGTATACGGCCGACATCCTCAGAGCCCATGGCCATGAGTATCATCATACTGCTTGCTGTGCTCTGCGCTACGCAGCCACCTTGAGAGATGGTCTCGAGCAATTGGTATGCGCACTGCTTGCCAATCTCCTCGGGTACCTGACCACCAGAAGGCGGCACCACGACATCGGCGGAGTAAATCACGCCCACCGAGTTGGACTCGGCCACCAGGCTCAGACCATAGCCGATGCCCAGCCGACGCTTGCTGCCGGACTTGTCGCCGGTCGGCACCAGCGGCGCCTGGTCGTACTGCGCCGCGATGTGTATATCGCTGACCAGGGGGTTCAGCACCTCTCGCGCCGAGTGGATCATGCGACCGTTGTTCGAGGCCGACACACCAGTGCTGTAGGCGACGCCGCGGATCCTCTTGACCCGGCCGGGGTTCCGGTTCAGGTGCAGCGTCTTCGGGAGGCGGACCTGGCTCGCGAAGCGCAGCTCGACGACGCCACCGCCGCCCTTGCCGCCAGGGCCGGCGCAGGACCTCTGCAGCACCCGCAGCTCGATGCGCGCGGGCGGGATGCCGAAGAGACCGAAGAGGGGCAGGATGGCGGTTCGGAAGGTGTCCACGGACACGTCGCCCGTCTCGGTGGCGGAGGTGATGACGCCGGCACCCGAGAAGCGCACGTTCATGTGCGCCTTGGAGAAGGGTGCGAGGAGGCAGAGCGGGAGGAGGAAGTAGGTGATGCCGCGGGTGACGGTCGGCGGCAGGCTGTGTTCGATAATGTCGCCTTCCGAGGCGCCCTGTCCGGCGATCGTGCCGGTTATGAGTCCGGGGTGGTAGGTGATGGTGGTACCCGTGTATGAGATTTGCATGGAGCTGCCATTGGTGATGGCTTCGAGCAATCGCAGGAAGGAGATTTCGTGGTGCGCCAGACCCGGATTCGTGGGGGACGAGCTTCGGATTTTTGATATGTGGACGGGACGGCCTGTCAGTGTCGAGAGAACTAATCTTCTTGTGAAGGAGCGGTGTCCCGTAAACCGCAAGAAGTCTGGCGCCGAGTCAGCCATCTTGTCGTGAGTATGTGATTGTATCGTAGCGCAGATATTTGCAGAGAAGCCGACCTAAATTGGTTGTAGTTCAGGAAGAAAAAAATAAATTCTGCCAGTCCTGTCCCGCCGCCTCCACAAAAGAGGAAGGCGGTAGCAAGGACAGCGACAAGAGCCTCAACAACTTCTATCATATTTTGAAGAGAAAAAGATAAGAGAATATTTATCAAAAGTCTTGATAAAATCCCTCTTCAATTTCCTAGTTTTTCAAGTCCCTCAGTGCTGCTGTCTATGCGAAATGCTGCCCTAGGTGTCCTATCGATAACGATTTTGTAGTGGCACCTTGCCTAGAACCAACCTGGGTGGCAGAATGCCTGGATTCAAACAGGGGAAGCTGGACAAGACAAACACCTGAGGATGCCTGGCAGAGCGCTGCTATTGGACTTGCGCGGTCCAGGGGAATCCATATGCAGGGCCTGCTTGTCAAGTCTCTCGAAAAAGCCAGCGCAACCATGGACTGCAGCCTACAGCACTGCTGCGACTCGCAGACGAGCACCGCGCGCCCAGGCCAGGAGGCCAACTCCTTTACGCCAGCGCGTAGCAGCGCGCGATATCGATGGTGCCGCGATGGAGGAATACATGGCAGCGGCAAGAAATGCGACCACAGTCAACGGCAGCATACCCGAGCCGGACGGGGCAATTCGATTCTTTGAGCAGAGCGGCCGGACGCGCCAGCAGCTCCCCGACGAGACGGCTTTTCAGAAGTCGATAGACGCCTTCGACACAAGCGAGCTCAAAGGGGCGCTCGAAGATATGAAGAGCACAATCAAGGGCGAGGATGAGAAGAAGGCCTTTAGCGAAGTCATGGGCCAGCTCGAGAAGGTCTTGGGCCAGATCGAAGGCGGAAAGGATCTAGAAAGGTTCTCAGAACAGATGGATACATTCTCGAAATCGATTGACCGCGATATCGAAGAAGCGACCGCCGATTTACCACAGGACATGCTCAAAACGATAGATTTCGGCCTACCTGAGCTTTCAGAAGACCTCCCGCTCCCGATCCAAGGCATGAAGAGCTCAAGCCCGCAAGTTGTGGAAGGGCCGTGGACGCTGAATCAGCGTCGCAAGATCTTCCGTCTCAATAACGCTATTTCCGGAGTCTATAAACGCATGCAAGAGGTGCCCGGGCCAACAAGGAAGGGGATTGTGGCTATATACAAAACGTACCATGCGGCAAGGCTCACTCTAGCTCACAGCTGGAGCCATGTGCCACTCGAAGTGTGGGACTTTCTTTGGAAAGTCTTTTCAGTTGACGAGAGCGTCAACGTGCACCGGCTCGCACACATTTCCATGCTTGCCAGAGACATGACTGAGGCCAAGGTCCCACTAAGTCCGCCCCAGCAGCTCCTCGCCATCGAAGCAATGTTTATGGAAGGTTGGGAGGACAGAGCCGTGGACAGCTGGAAGCGATGTATAAGTACCCTTGGTCAAGAGCGCGCCGAGACGTACAAGGACTTTTGGGAATTAGGCGTGCGGATGCACTGCCGATCTGGAAGCTTGGAGCAGGCCCGGCGAGCCGCGCGTAAGCTCATCGATAAGCGCATGGACGCTCGCATCCTGCTTCCGCTCATCGGGTCGCTGTCGGAGCAGAACACTGAAGAGAGCCATCGGGAGGCGTGGGACACCTACCGACAAATGCGAGATTTGCTCGGAAAGTCGATGAAGCTCACCGACTACGACAAGGTTGTGGCCTGCTTCCTGACTACCGGCCAAACCGAAAACGCGCTGTACGCATTCGTCGACATGATGAGCGACGGCCAGATCGACCTGACGGTGCAAAAATACATGCCATCCGTCGTGGCCAACAAGTTCTTCGTCGGCAAGTGGCTGAAGCGCCTGATTGGCGCCGGGGACATGGACGGGGCGCACAGCGTGGTCGAGTTCATGCGCACAAAGGGCGTCGAGGCGTCGCCTATCCAGATCAACGGCTTGATCGGCGCCTGGCAGCGCTCCGGTGGCGCCCGGGACCTGGAACGCTCCGAGCAGGTGGCGTGGGAGATGATCCAGAACCGCATCGACTTTGTGAGAGCACGCAAGAGCGCGTCCGCCAAAGACCTAAAGAAGACGGCGGTGGCTGCAGCTGCGGTGCGCGCGCCGTTACCGCGCGCCACACTCGAGACGTTTTGCATCCTCGCCGAAAACTATCGTCTCCGGGAGCGGCACGAGCGGCTGGCGGCGCTATGGGACGCCTCCCGCGATGCGGAAATATGCCCCGACGCTTTCATGATGAACCAGCTTCTCGAGGCGCACATTCAGGCGGGCCAGCACAGGGAGGCGCTCGCGCTGTACGGGCAGCTCGTCGTAGAGGACCGCGGCGTGCGGCCGGACCCGTACACCTTCAGCGCGCTGTGGAAGACTCTCGCAGTGAACCGGCTGCACGTCGTGCCGCCCGAAATGGCAGACGAGGCGGTCGCGGCGTTGCGGCGGCTGTTCGCGGAGACGGTCGCTCAACGCGCCGTGTTTGGTGGCAACGACGGCGCCACCACCATGGACGGGCAGCTGGCGCGCAAGATCCTGCACACGTTCCGCCGCGCCAGGGACCCCGCGGGCTTCGTCGTCGCGCTCGCCGCGCTCCGCGACGTCTTCAGCTTCGCCGCGCCGGCTGAGGCGCTCGTGCTTGAGCTGGTGCTCGGCACCACCCGACTCGCGTGGGATGCCCCCGCGCCCCGCCGCAAGCTGCTGCAAGCGAAGCGCGAGCTCGATCGCGAGCTGCTCGCCGCCGGGGGTGCTGGCGACGAAGATGGCGAGGGTCGCGGCCGCGCGCTGGCCGCGCATCTGGAGCGCCTCGGGCTGGAGCAGCTCGGCGGCACGGAGGCGGCGCGGGAGCCGCTGGCCGCGGCGGCCAGGGACATGGGTGTGGACGAGCTGCTGAGGCCCGGGGCGGTTGCGGGTGGTTGGGCATAGGGCGCCGTGTACCAATATTGTATGCTTTTTTATTGTTTTGCAATGGAGCTTGCAGTTTATATAGTAGACTCAGACGATGAGCATGTACCACATCAGTCATATACTACACACATTTCCACTTGAACTAGGGAACTTCTAAGCTTGTCACAGATTTCATTTCGAGTCGTCAAGTAATGTCAGTGAAGCTAGTAGATGCTGTTGATACTGTTGATGCATGCATCACTTTTTTGTATCCAGCTAATTATCTTCAAGGCAACGTCCCAGCACCCCAAACAGAAGAAGAAATGAATTAACAATAGTTTATCATCGTCCCTTTTGCTTTCCTCGGTGGAAAGGACGAGGTATTCAACTCCGGCGCTATGCAAAACAAGATCCCAGAAACTAGAGAACAAGGGAAAAAAAACACAAATCCTGAGCCTCTCTTACGATAGGTCCATGGCGTCTCCGTGGCCTGAAACGTCGCGCATCTCGCTGCCCACCGAGCTCAGGCCGGAGCTGCTGCTCCCCCCAGACGACCCGGGCCGCTGCCCCCCGCCATTGACGCCGTTGCCGTAGTCGTGCTCGGCGCGGCAGCGCATCAGGTCCGGGCTGCGCAGCGCGATCCACTCGTCGATGGTCGTGACCGGCCCGCCCTCCACGAGCACCTGCGAGCCCTCGCCCGGCCGCCCGAGGATGGTGTCCTGGAACTTGGCGTCTCCGGCCGCCTGATTGTGCTTCTTTTTGAGTGCTAAAAAAAAGTCAGCTTCTTGTTTCTTCTCGGAAAGGGCGGGGGGGGGGGTTACCTGACAGGTAGTCGGTCGCGTCCGAGTCGCCGTCCGCGTTGCCAAACTCCATCAGCTCCTTCATGCGCTGCCCCGCGAACCACGCCACGAACTCGTCCACGCCACGCGTGTCCTCGTCTTCGAGCCACAGCTCCGCGGTAGGCGTGCGCTCCGCGCCCAGCGCACCCATTTCCTGCAGCGCGAGCCGCACGTCCGTCAGCGTGAAGTCGTCCGGCTGCGCGGACACGCCTGCCGCCGCCGCAGCAGCAGCAGCTTCGCGATGGTTGCTGGCCGCGTGCGCTGCGGTGTGCTGGCACAGCAGCAGCATGTAGCGCGCGGCCAGGTCGGTCAGGGCGTCGAGAACGGCGGGCCGCGTCGCGTGGTAGCCGGTGGCGCGCAGGACCTGCAGGATCGCGGGCCGCAGCAGTGCGTGGAAGAAGGCGGGCGGTGTCGCCATGGGGCGTTGGGAGGAGGATGAGGAGGAGGGGTGGTGTTTGTGGCCGTGCTTTTCGGAGAAGGCGGTTGCGAAGGTCGTCGTCGTTGGTTGGAAAGGGAAGAAGAGGCAGCTCGTTGTGTTGTTGAGTCGCAGGGAGTGAGGGGTTTAATCGCTAGAAGAAGTATTTGGGGGTCGTCATGAATCATATAACAGAGCCCCCAGCAACCAAACGTATCGAGGGGAACGTGTCGTGTCGTCGATGGTTGGATCTGCTTCGTCGTGCACAGTGAGGAAAGCTCAAATCCACAAGTCGGCCCCCAATACATAGTTGATACCGTGCCAACTATGCGTCACTCGCACTTCGCACGGTGCACTTACACCTGCAGAAAGATCAAGCCGCATCGATTATTTTCCAGAAACAATTATAGTGTAGATAAAAGTACATGGCGCTTGTAGATTTGATGTTTTCTTTAGATATCTTTACCCCTTTCTAAACTTACGATGACACACCGCTATACTTGTTGATCCAGTTCAGAACCTCTCTATGCCAAACTAGAGAGTTCTCCGGCTTCAGCACCCACTATGCTAGCATTAGTAAACACGATTTCGCGACACGCCGGCTCTGGTCACTTACATGGTTCTCATCTGGGAACATGAGGAGCTTGCTAGGGATGTTGCGCGCTTGCAGCACGTTGAACATGGCCAGGCCCTCGGACACGCTGAGACGGTAGTCCAGCTCGTTGTGGATGACCAGCATCGGCGTCTCCCAGTTGCCAGTGAACCGGGAGGGATCCCACTTCTCGTAGTTCTCGCGCTTGTCCCAGAGGGTGCCGCCAAAGTCGTGCTCGGGGAAGAAGAGCTCCTCGGTGGACCACTGGCTGAGCGTGGAGAAGACGCCGTCGTGGCAGACGATGGCCTTGAACCGTCGGCCAAGAGGGTGGCCCTGAATCCAGTCTACATATATGTTAGCAATGCATTGTTCTGAGAGACCAGTAGAGCAACTTACTCATCATGTAGCCACCGTAGGATGCGCCCAAGGCGACGGAGCGATCAATGTCGACGTAGGGCATCTCCTTCTCGACGTATTCAAACGCCTTGACGAGGTCTTGGTACGGCGCTCCGCCCCAGTTGCAGGCAATGGCGTCGGTGTGAGCCTGGCCGTAGCCGGTGCTGCCGGTCGGGTTGGGGCAGACGACCACGTAGCCCTGCTCCGCAAAGACAGCCGGATTCCAGCGGGTGCTCCAGTCGTCCATCCAGGCACTCTGCGGGCCGCCGTGGACGACAAAGGCGAGCGGGTACTTTTTGTTCCTGTCAAAATTTGACGGCTTCATGCAGAGGGCGTGGTTGTCGTACCCGCCAGAGCCAGGGTACCAGATGTCAAAGCACTGCTCCTGCGTCAGCCCAAAGGCCTTACCGTTCTTGGCGCTCGAAGAAATCTCCGTGATCTTCTTGTTGTCGTGGTCTAGGGTCGAGAACCTGCTGCTCTCGATGCGGCTTCGCGAGGTGACGAGGAGCGACGTGGTGTTGCCCAGCAAGTAGGCGTCCACGACGGTGCCGTCCTCGAAGATGGGGGCAGGCAGGTGCTTGGCCTCGGACGGGGACGAGGGGACCTTCCACAACAGAACCTTGCCGTGCTGCTCGGCGGCGAGGATAAGGTGCTTCTCATCGGCCGTCCACAGGATGGACGACGGGCTGCGGTCCCAGCCCCCCCTGCCGTCGCTGGTTGGGTAGAAGACCTCGACGCGGCCGAGGTCTCCAATGTCCGGGATGACGAGCAGCTGGTGCTTGTCGGCCTCATTCTGGCGGTCCTTCATCCGCAGGAACGCGAGCGACTTGCCGTCGCGCGAAAAGGTCGGGTTGTGGGAGTAGCCGACCAGGTCGCCGGTCTTGACGATGCGTGGCGCGCCGGGCGGGTCGAGGAAGGATGTGAGCGGTACGAGGTACAGGTCGGTCTTGGTGTAGCGCGCGAGGTTGAGCTTGGGGTCCTTGGCGACGAAGGCGACGCCGTGCTCGTGGATGTCGAAGTCGGTGGCGCCGCCAAAGGGCCCAACGGGCGAGGCCAGCTCAATGCCGGCGAGCAGATTGAAGCTGTCCTTTTCGAGCGTCCAGGCGCCGTCTTTGCCGCTCCTGGCCAGCTGGCCATACCAGAGCGCGTTCTCGCTCTTGGTCTTCCAGGTGTCCCAGTGGCGGACGAAGAGCGAGTCGTAGATCTTGCCGCTCGAGAGGGGCTTCTTGTGGTCGGCGGCGAGGAACATGGTGCCCTTGGGCGTGGTGACGGCCGCGGTGACGAGGGCGACCTTACCGCTGGAGAGCGTCTTGGTCTTGGCGCTGGACAGAGAGCCCGGGAAGCGGTGTACCAGCTTTGGCCTTTTGGGCCGTTAGTCGAGTGCTGAACATAGTAGTGCTCGCGCTGCCGTTCTGTATCTCGACTTACTCGGGTGTCGGTGCATCGATATTTTGGTACAAGAGGTCGGTACCCTTGTCGCTGCCCTTAAAGAAGGCAACTTCTGTGTCGCTGAGCCAGACGGGGCCGCTGGCACCTGTGTCCTCCGAGACTAGGTGAGAGGCGCCATCTTTGAGACTGAGAATGCGAATTTGGGCAGACTTCGAGTGAGTCTCAAAAGAGTATGTCGAGATCTATTGCAGGATATCCCATCAGTGGATATACTTGAGCGCTGCTGACCCCCCTCCATCCCCCGTCACCAATTGGCCCAACGTGGACAGCGTACCGTGTAAAGGATTAGATCTCCTCTGGCATTTGGCACACCGGGAGAACGACGCGGCGCCGAGATGAGGACCTCGGGAGTGAGTTTGGACGCTTGGACCGTCATATTGAGTGGGTGTGTCGTGTAGGAGGAGGTATCAGAAAGCAGGTGCTGGACGTAAAGCAGGGCCTCGTCAATGTCATACGGAGAACAGTGCTGGCAAGGAGGAAGATGAGGGGGAGGGGATGGGCAGAAGAGAAGAATCGCGGCATGAAGCGGATCTTATAAGGTAAAGGTAAACTAACTAGTTTGTTCCAAAGCGGAAGCCAGCAAGGTTCCTATAGTACAGTAGGTGGTAACACTATCCGTGACCCCGCATCAAACTAAGAGGCTCTTCCGTCTTGAAAAATAGGTACAAATCATAATTAATCCCAGCAATTCACAGTGTGATGGGTACTGAGTACTTACTACGGTCGAGAGGCTACCTAATTAAGACAGATACAGACACAGGAACCCCTCGTCACCCCCCTCAGCCTACAGGCGCCTCACTTATCAAAGTGCGTGCAACCTACTAAAAGCATGCAATTTGAGCCTTGTTATTGCTCATCGAGAATAATGATTTTCAAAGAGGGTCTGTCGAAAATTAGAATTGCCTCTTCGATCAATATTCCACTGGCTCCAATGAACGTCGCAGCTGCAACACCACCAAGCTTTGCCATAACGCCCAAGTAAACTGCAGAAAAACAATAATAATAAATTATCATTCTGCTTCTCTGACCAAGGTGGTATCTATGAGTGTGGGGTGCACGAGAACAGATTGGCGGCAAAGATGCAGGCTGGGAAGCCTCTGCAGTGCCTCTACAAGTGATTCACACTCAACTTTGCCCAATATGTCATCGAAAGTGGCCCAGGATACACATGAACTCAGACGAAGCCGCTGAGTTCGCATACATGCTGAACTTGCCACCGCTGCCATGGGCGTAGATGTCTCCCGTGCGGCTAAATGCAGACAGCCCGGAAGAAAGAAGTCAGAAAAGCTGAAGCCAGCATAACAAACCGAGTATATTGGTATATCCATACACGCCTTCATATCCCATGCCCATCTTTGTAGAGTACATTAAAAATACGTTCACCAGCTCCGAACCAGGCCGCTCTACTTCCTCGCCCCAAACGCCGTACGCTTCTTCCCCGTCTGCGCGTCGTTCTCGCTATCCTCCGTCTCCTGCTGCTGCAGCTGCTGCTGTTGCTGCAGCGGCTGCTTCTTCTTCTTGGCGTTCTTCGTGCCGCCGCCGCCGGCAGCCGCCGTGGGCGTCGAGCCGGAAAACGACGCGGACACGGGTGTCTGGGCGTGCGATCCGGGCGTCGATCCGGGCGTCGTCGATTCCTGCAATGTTCGTTTAGTCTGACAATCTCGGAGAGGAGAATCTTGTGAGGGCCCTCTTACGCTCACGTTGGGCCGGTAGGAGATGGAGGACCGCGAGAAGACGCGGTTCTGCTCCATCGGCCCCGTCTTGCGCCGCTGCGCCGCCGCACCGCCGATGCCCTTCATGTAGTTGTCGAAGCCGGTGATGATGTTGCCGCTCAGCGTGTTCTCCAGGTACGCCGACTCCTTTTGCGCGATGCCCTCTTCGACTTGGTTCTGTGCGACAAAATGTCAGTCCCGCTTCTTCAAAGAATTGTTCCTCACACCCTCGCGCTTGTGTTGTCTTTCCTCAGCGCTGGGGGGAGGAGGGGGGAAGCCGTGTTTCTCGTACCAGTCGTCTCTCTAGCAGCCGCCGCTTCTCGACGAGCTCCCGCACGCGCGCCTGTGACTTTTTGTACTCAGTCATGGTCGGTTGTGGCCCGCCGCCGCCGCCGCCGCCGCTGCCGCCTTCGACGGCAACGCTCTGCTGCTGCTTGTCAGCCATTGGTGGCTTCGTCGTCGTCGCCGTCGCGAGCGCGCGTGTATCGCCCGGTCGGGACGGTTTCGTCGGTTTCTGCAGTGCCGTGCAAGACTAACACGCCACAGGTTTCGTGAATACCGCGCGTCTTTGATGAGGTTTTTTGTTCGCGTGATGGAAGAGACTCCGAAGCCAGTATGAACAACTCGAGATGGTTCAACTTTAATGTGGGGCAACTGATGTCCAACACACAGCGACAAAAGGACCGAAATGAGATGACAGTGAAAAACAAATAAAAATATAGAACTAAGATACAACGTATCATTTATTTGATAGCAATCTAAAGTAATAGTTCTAAGCAAAGGATAGATACCTAGCAAATGCTGTCGTCTCAACTCTCCAGCGACCCCCATCCGACCAGTGATAGATAGGAACACAACATGTCTATATCCTTGTTATAGCTTAGCCATGGTAGGAATATGCTTACTTTGTATCCTGCAATCTGTCCAAATGATGGCCCATTGACATTTGCGGCTCATAGTGCTTCATGTTGAACGGATACTGCGATAAGAAACACGCGTTAGCGATGGGTCATAGTACCAGGCTTGGTCATTCCCTTCGTTCTGCTAGCCCAAGACAACAGTTTCGGTGTTTCCCAAACACATTGTCATTCAATGCAGCAATAAGGTTATCAACTGCGGCGAGGCGATGCAGATCCTGAAGAGCCGCTGTGCCTGCGAGCTGGCGATCTCCAATTGCCTCAACGTCGGTCACCCGACTCATTTGATGAGCTTCTACTCCTTATCCCATGGCTTCGGCTTCGACTCTGACTTCGGCTTCGGCTTCGACTTCGACTTGGACTTCGGGTCCGGCTCCGACTTCGGGTCCGGCTCCGGCTCCGGCTCCGGCTCCTGCTCCTGCTCCGGCTCCTGCTATGACTGCTCCGCGACGAATAGCTTCGGGAGCGACTGGACGCAGCAGATGCAGACGAAGATCGACCTCGACTACGAGATCTGCTTCTTGAATCTTGCCGGCGTGCCTTCTTCGCAACAGGCGATCTATTTTTACCTCCACGGCTAGGTCGATCTGCGCCTCGTCGGGGCGAGCGGGATCGAGACCTCGATCGCTTCCTTTGCATGGGACCACGTCGCGGCGAGTCTCTTCGTCGCCGCGGGGGTGTACGGGACCGGCTGCGAGAAGAAGAGCCGGATCTAGACGGTGAGCTAGAAGGGGAGCGCTGGTGTCGGCGATCCCGCCCTCGTCCACGCTCTAGCCCATCTCGTCCACGTTTGGGCTCATCTCGTCCGCGCGGTACGTAGCTATCGCCATTGTATGATCCCCTGGGTCCGCGATGTCGCGGTTCGGGAGATCGCGATCTACGCGCAGGTCTAGGTCCGCCGTCACGGTTGTCAACTCTGCGGTCATTCCATCGCCCTTGGCGATTGTCGCCTCGATCTCGCGGTCCGTCTCGTCGATCTCCCCCGTGTGACGCGGAAATATTACGGTCGCGGCGGTCGGGTTCATCGCGACGCTTCCTAGCATCATCAATTGCTTTGCCCTGCTCCAGCTTCAACGGATTAGTATTGTGACAGAGTAGCTGCAGTCCAGCGCTCACCTTTTCTTGCATGAGCTCGAGTTTCTTTGCTTCTAGGAGCTCCTTAGGCACACCCTGAGGGCTGTCCTGGGCGCTGAGGAATAGCTTCCATAATTCCTTGCAGAAGACTGCCGTATCTTTGTCGAGAAATCCAGTAAGTTGAATCTGGAGTGCTTTGATGTCGGGCTGGGTCGAGAACTACGATTAGCGGAGAACGGGAGGACAAAACGGAGTACGTACGTATCTGGGCCCGTCAATTAGATTGAAGCATAATTCGATCACGACATCATCCTCGTTGCCCAAAATCTCGGAGATGCGACTGGCAATCCATCTGCTGAAATGTTAGCTCACGCGACGCGCTGATCGGCAGGTTGCGGATGCACCAACTTCTTCATGACGCCCAGGTTCACTTTCTGCATATCCACCTTCTTGCTAAATTCAGGTGGGAATTTGGTTGTCTTCAACAGCCGTGCATCAGTTCTCGACGCCATGATGATAGCCGCGTGGGTGTAGTGTTTGATGCGAGAAGAATAAAAGCTTTTGTTGTGCGGTGTACCATAGCGAACTGGTTAAAAAGAGTAAAGGCACTGCACCAAACACCAAACCTCCGAAAAGTGGAGGAAGCGCTCTCACTGGGCCTATAAAAAGGTACATAGGTCGATGACCTCGAACACTCTCTCTCAATAAGGACAATTGGTAGTTACAGAATAACTGAATCGGCCGCAAAGCCTTTCCAAAATTAGCAATTTCTCCTGTCTACCACCTTTATTTTCAGGTTCACTGTCTTCTGCGGCTTCCGAGGCGGCCTCATCCCACTGTGGCAAACACCAGCACAGGCAATCAAGTCGACGTAACTCTCACCCCGCAGCTCCCAGCACCACTCAACTTTGAACAAGCCTACTGCAATACAGCCATCATCACCCACAACTCTCAGCTCAAGTTGCATAGAGCATGGGCTTGCCGTTACCAATGAAGAACTTACATGCTCCCACCGTACCCTCTGGGCCTACCAGCGCTCCTGCAACCAACGGAACGAGCGCCCATCTGAGCTTCGCCGAGCTCCAGCAAAGGAAGGACAATGTTGAAGCTGAGCTGAAAGCCCTCGGTGGCGTTCTCGATTCAGTAAGCATCGCAACATCGTTCAATGCATCTGTGAGGACCTATTTCTAATGATACCAGCATGGCGTGGATATGAATACGCCCCTTCTTACAAGGGATGGATATCCGCGCTCCGACGTTGATGTTGCCCAGAGTAAGCAGCAACCCATCAACCAGCCCGGTTGCTTCTAACAAGTGTGACTAGTTCGGACTACGAGAGCGCGCATTATCCGTCTCAAGAATGACTACAAGGAGATCATGGCGAACGTGGAAAAATTCTTGCACGAGCATTTCGCGAACGCAACAGAAAGCACAGAGCTGAGCACGCCAACAACAGCGGCCGGTGCATCTGGAATTTTACCGGATAGCGATACGCAGTCTCTAGACCCTCCATTTGCCAAGGTCGAAAGCGTTGCTACCAACAGCCCTGCAGAGCTCGCAGGCCTCAAGGTGGGTGATGAGGTTCGCAACTTTGGCTACGTCAACCGAGCAAACAACGACGGCCTAAAGAAGGTGGCGGAATGTGTCCAGGGCAACGAAGGGGTACGCCTTTCCCTCCTGACTCTACGTGAGACCGAAATCCCGCTAATGCTGCGCAACAGAGTAACATTTTTATTCGAGTGTCACGACCCTCCGGTGTTTCCTCAAGGGAAGACCTGCGGTTAACGCTGACACCACGGCGGAACTGGGGCGGTCGAGGCATGTTGGGCTGCCACATTACGCCAATATGATTATATGTACCTAGCTCGTGCGTCTTTGTATGATATTGCAAGGCTGCTATAGAAAAATAGCTTGATGTGTCGATATAAATGGGAGAGATACTTTTGGCGCCTAAGCAGGATGCCCAACGGTCATTGGTAATCGGGCTCAGCTTAGGCACGATGGCTGCCCATGGTTGGCTGATTGCTGGTCATTTGAAGCTGGAATTATCGGCAAAGCGACCCAAGCCGACAGGTATTTTAGGCCCATGTGTTTGTTGTAATAATGCCGGTGCCGACGGCTTAATGGATGAGTTCCCACGCACCGAGCGGTTAGAGGAGATCTGTAGGCGCCTGGTACAGTAGGTATGTGGCCTAATACTAATAAAAGTCTGGTTCAGGAGTTTCGTATTTGGCAGCAATTTAAGCGGCAGTAATGAGTGAATAAATCGAACGACAAGCAGGGCCTAATAATAGTTCAACAGTTTTTTTTTTCGATCCATCAGGCCCGGTAGAAGCCCAGTCGCACTGCATTTGTAAGGCAAGGTCAGGGTGTTCTGCAGGCACTTTAGTGGATGATACCTCGCAATAATGGGCAAAGAGCTTTGGCTGCCTGTACAACTGTGTCACGTGCACCAACCCGCCACCCCAGCGACTGAATTTTTTCGTTTGATAACCACTCCCCTGCCCGTCCCTCCCCGCCGCCAGCGAAAAACACCAAAGGTTGACCGATTTGTGCATTCTCAATCCTCCGGCCGCAACCGTCTCTTACGATACCCCCCCCAGGTAAATTCTTCTCCCGCCGGCTCCTCCACGCTCCTCGGATCTCGATTCGAACGAAACGAAGCGCTCAAGGCACTGCTCCTCTTCCGCCCCGCGAGATATTAACCCCCCTCCAGAACCCCGCCTTGTTTACAACCTCACAACCGGTTTCGCACCGTCCGACTTCAAATCTCAACATGGCTGAGCAGCAGACTCCTACCTTCAAGCTCGTGCTTGTCGGTGATGGTGGTACCGGCAAGGTGCGTTTTTATCCCGGCAATGATTCTTTTGGTCGCAAACCAGGGCTGCCCCGCGATAATGGATGCCAGCATGATGTCACCGCTTCGTGCCGCCACTTCGGGGAGACAGTTTCGTTTGACCGCATTGCCGCCTCCATACAGCTCTATTGCTAATCAGATGCTCCATTCAGACCACCTTCGTCAAGCGTCACTTGACTGGTGAATTCGAGAAGAAGTACCTTGCCACCCTCGGTGTCGAGGTCCACCCCCTCGGCTTCTCTACCGTAAGTTGCCAGGCGCGAACCGAGCAGACGCGATCACGGCGACTAACAAATAGCAGAACTTCGGTCAGATCCAGTTCGATGTCTGGGATACCGCCGGTCAGGAGAAGTTCGGTGGCCTCCGTGACGGTTACTACATCAACGGCCAGTGCGGTATCATCATGTTCGATGTTACCTCCCGCATCACCTACAAGAACGTCCCCAACTGGCACCGTATGCGCCCATGACTATTCAAATCTCAGAGCCACAAAAATGCTGACCCATCGCAGGTGACCTCGTCCGTGTCTGCGAGAACATTCCCATTGTTCTCTGCGGTAACAAGGTCGACGTGAAGGAGCGCAAGGTCAAGGCTAAGACCATCACCTTCCACCGCAAGAAGAACCTTCAGTACTACGACATCTCCGCCAAGTCCAACTACAACTTCGAGAAGCCCTTCCTGTGGCTCGCCCGCAAGCTCGTTGGCAACCCCCAGCTTGTACGTACACCTCTCAATGATGGGTTCTTGTGAAGCTCGACGAAACTAACCATAGATTACAGGAGTTCGTTGCCGCCCCTGCCCTGGCTCCTCCCACCGCCCAGGTCGACAAGGATCTCCTTGCCAAGTACGAGGAGGAGATGAACCAGGCCGCCACCACTGCCCTGCCTGATGAGGGCTCCGATGATGATCTGTAAACGACTCGGCATGACTTCGAGCCGTACTATGGGCCAATTTTGACATGTGTCACGGGGGAATGGAAGCTCGCGCCTCCTCTGCGGGACTCTCCTCTGCGGGACTGTCGGTTGCCTGAATGACCACTTTACGATACAGGATGGGAGAATGTTCAGAATACGGGGTACTTGAGCATGGTAATGCCGTTTGTGTCCCTTTTGGGGCAGGGGAATAAAATGAGAAAGGAAGCATAAATTGCTCCCGTCGTCGGGATACATCTAGTTAGACTCATCATAAATACAACCCGTCAGGCGTATGCGCCTTGGCTAAAAATTGTTGGCACTTGCGGTTGAGCGTTTGGCTGTTCTCGCCACCTCTTCGGACGGGTTAGGGCTCTACTAGCCGAGTTGATTTGTTCTGCCTACGCTTTCATCCTGAGGCGTAAGATTGATGCTTGTTCACTGATTAACGTTGGAATGGTAATATGGAGTGCAAAACATCCAACTCCATTGTAGTGAGTATGTATGAAGTGACATTCAAGATCCACTCTACCTGCATATTCCCAGCATCGGGTAATCAACAGCCGAACAGAGTAGACGATTAGAGAGCAATGAAGGATGCAATGCTTTCTTGATTGAGTACACAGAAATTAAGCTATTGATAATTGCAGGCTTAGCAGCACGCTACCTACGAGGTAACGAGTACCATGCAGTGTGACCGCTCGGCGCGTACAGCAGTCGTCCACGCGCTACAACAAACTTCCCACAAGTCACAGTAGCGAGTATTTGAGGATCGGATCGCAAGAAGAAAATTGTAGCTAAAAAAGGTCCTCGCAGCTTCGAATGCAGAGGACGGAGTATGAAAACAGATATTGCGGAGTAGAAAGGTAGCATATGTATAAATTAACAGAGGCTGATTGATGGTCGTGGCGCAATCTCATGCAAGCAAGCAAGGTGCATGAGACAAGACGAATGGCTTCATAACGACACACCCTGCTTAAAGAGAGAAAAGTGACCAGGGGATAGCAAAAAGACGACGAGAAAGGAAAAGAGATGGCGGAATTGCTCGTACTAATAAACGCGTCTCTCGCGTATGCTTGCGGGGACCAACCACTCTATTTTTTCGACGAGCTCGTCACCCCTGCCACGCCTCCACAGGTCCTTGTTTAATAGTGGTTTAAATTGGGAAAAACATTCTAACTTACGGCACTGGAATACAGAAGGGTATAATGGTTGTTTTTTTTTTGGTCCTAACCATTTGTAAGGGCTCACATTAGCCTTCTTCAGAAACAATGCTTAGGGGATGAAGGCGGTGAAATGAAAGCACAAGCCTTGCTGTCAAAAACAAAAACTACTGCAGTTACTCCGTGGCAACAGGAAGATAATCGAGAATCCAATACTCGAGACACCCACCCAGCCGTAGGTTGCCCTTGTCAACGTCCTGCTTGGCGCCAGGCCATTTTTCGTCTGGGGAAGAAAAACAGAGAGAGAGAGAGAGAGAGAGATAAATTAGGGCCGGTATTGAGGACGCGGAGGGGGCGGGTGAAATGGAAGTTTTCCGTGCTTGCTGGGGACGTCTGGCAGCATCTTGATGATGAACTGGGCGGCCTCCTCCGAGCGGTTCGTGTAGTCGAGGTGGTTGTCGTTGAGGATGAGCCTGCCCTGCTCGCAGATGATGTCCTTCTTGTTGCAGAGGGAGAGCGTCTTGTTGCGGGGGAAGTTGGCCACCGTGTTGTTGCTGTACTTGGTCCTGTCCATTCGGTGCCGTCAGCTTGACATGCTCCGTTCTGCCGCCGGAGACTGCCCCCTTTTCATGTCCTCTTCTCTTACGTACCGGGTGTCGCCAAACAGAACAATGGCGTTGGTGCGGTCGATGACCTCCTGCTCTAGCGTCTCGAACGCGGCGTGCACGACGGCGGCGCCCTGGCTGTACCCGGAGACGATGATCTTGGAGTGCTGGCAGGAGACGGCGGCCTCGTGCAGGAGTTGCTTCATCAGGTTGATGCCCTTGGCGTCGGTCCCGTCCTTCATGAGGTTGCCCAGGACCCAGGCGCCGTACCCGACGCCCTGAACGGAGACGTTCCGGAAGCCGTAGTGGTCGCGGAGCAACTTGGCGATGAATGGGCCGGGCTTCCTTCCCTGCACGCAGTTTTTGTCCAGGTTAGCTGTTTTGCTTGCCTTCTGTGTTGGGGGGGTGGGGATCATACCATGTTACCGAGTTGGCTGGAGCCACGGGCAAAGAAGAACATGACAGGGCGGCAGCCGAGCTCAAGGAAGTCATCGTTGATGAGGCACGGCCAGTTCAGCTCGAGGCCGCTCCAGGGGTCAGGCTCTGTCGGATCCGGGAGCGGGTGGTCCCTCGTCCTCGTCGGCGAGGGCGCAAAGATTGGCTTCTTGGTCTTGGTCGCGTTCTTGTTCGACTTATCGGCGCTGAGGAGCTCCCACTTGCTCTGAAGCCGGTCAAAGCGGATGGTCGAGTGGTTGAGCAGCGCCGGGAACTCGTCCTCGGTGAGGGCGGTGGCCAGAACGCAGGCCCCAAGGGCCAACGGTGCTAGAACCTTCATCATTTGCCGCCCGGATCACAGAGGCCACGGCGTTGTTGTTGTTGTGTGGGAGCGGATAGAAGCGCTTTTTCTGCCAGCCGGCGTCGCTGGCGAATAGTAACTTTTGTGTAGCTAAGACGCGTCAGGGCAACGCTGGCGCTTGACAGATTAGCGAAAGCTACCTATACAGAGGTCAACTTTAGTTGGCAATGCTTAGGCAACTTACATAGATATCGTCGCGATACTACAAGATATGATGAAAAGCGAAGCCAGTGTCAATCCAGCCCTATGCTGTCATTGAGAAGCCACGCCATCGCCCCTCTATTGCGGTGGCGGGATCGTATGCTGTATGAGATTTAACTGCATGAGATTAGCTGCATAATTTTGAATGTTTTTTTTTCCATTGAGTATAGGGAATAGTCAAGTGAAAGATGTTGATGGTGATGCTCAGAGACCTGCTGTTTCAAACTCGATACATCGGCGAACGGAGGTGTTTGTGTCCTGCAGCCAACTGAGCATCTTGATAACAACCGCTTCCTAATTACTTCACAGCGTCAATTTCAGTATTGATTCCACCGAGAGCAGAAAATGATAACTGGCTGCTGATATATCTCTTGTTAAAGTTTGTGTGTACAGGGTATAGAGCAACGGGCAGTAATCTGTACAGATCGGGTTAATTGTGATCAATATGACGAAAGCCGGTGAATTGAGGTATGTACGCTGTGAGCCAGATAAAACGCCACTGCTATTACACATACGTGCACTCTATATATATGTGCCTTATAAAACTGAAGGTGTACAACTGCTTGGGGTTGAGTAGTGAGCTATAGGTAGAGGGTCAAGGTGTAGGCTGTGGACCACCAATTAAGGCGGCATGAAGCGACTCAGATCGATCTACAGATTATGTATGGAAAGCTGGACGGAAAGTAATAAAGGAGCAGTACCGCAAAGCAAAGTGGAATAATTATCCCGAGTGCCTAGGTAGGTAGCTACCTGTTCGCTGCGGTACGACCTGGCCATGCCTGTGTGGCCTGGTTGCTGGGTACCTGGGTAGGGATGCAGGAGAGGGAGGCGTGGCGCGTTTTAAAAAAAAAAAAAAAAAAACAGACACAGAATTTCCAACCTGACGTGGCAGAAAAAAATCCAGCGTGATAATAATGCCCCGTCCCCCGTGTCGGACCCCCAGACGGGCTGCGGAGGTGCATGTGCAATCACTATATTTTTAACAGGCGAGCAAGGTGAGCAAAAGCGGTGCGGCCCAACGCGTGTTGACATGGATGCTTGTTTGGGCCTGGGCGACAGGCGGCGGCGCGGTATGATTGGACGGGTACGGGACGGGCGGGAATCCACCGACGCGGGTAGAGCCACAGTTTACCTGACCTACTAGCCACAGCGGAGCTGGAGCGAAGCCACAAGCACTTTACGAAGGCCTGAAGCGTCGACCTGCCTGAGAGCCGTGTCTCTGCAGTGGACGAACCACCTGTAACTGGCAACCTGCAGCGGCGCCATCGTAGCAGAGCAGGGCAGGACAGCTCAAGACAGCTCAAGACAGCTCAGGACAGCTCAGGACAGCTCAGGACGGCTTGGAGCTGGGTAAGCAGTTGGCTACCTACATATGTCAGCAACTTTTAAATTGCAAGCAACTCTATTTATTTATCCCGTAATTCAGGTCAATTGCATCTGTAATTTGCAGATAATCACCCATCATTCCTCCTCCTCCGCCCACACGCACCGCACGCCCAAACCCAAGCTCACACCCTCCACACGTCCATCCACGTCCTGTCCAGTCCACGCCCACCACATCCACATCCACGACCCACCTCTGCTACACGTCCGGTGGAACCCTCGAACCTCGTCTATGCTTCTTCTTCTCTTGTTTCTTTCCTACTCGATATTTTGCACTCTTTCTTCTCTTCCTCCCCCCTCAACTTCACCTCATCTTGTCCTCGGGCTCGTCGACCTTCTGATTCCTCCCCTCCTCAACGCCCTTGCATCTCCGAAGCCCTCCCCCGTCCCGTCCCGGTCCGCGTATAGTGATGCCTGGTAGCCTTTAAGCACCACCTGTTTCGACCCTACTCCTCCTCCAAACGAACCTTGCACCGCTTCTTCCCACCTCGCCATGTCCAACTCGTCTCCAGACTCCTCCCTTGTCGCCTCGGAACCTCTACATGATCCGTCCTCGCCTGCTCGACACGACTCCTCCGTGCTTTCCCAGGATGTGCCGCACGCCGCCCACTCGTTCGACTCGGAACCGGCCATGGAGAAGCACCCCAAGGGCAAGCGGAAGCGTACCGCGTACGTCCACCACCATCTATATATACCTTTAGGCTTCTCTCGAGCTGTCCACGCATAGACTAACATAAGTGGTTTCTCTCCTTAGTGCCAAGGACAAGGTCATTCTTGAGGAAGCTTACAAGTCGAACCCAAAACCCGACAAGCAAGCGCGTCTTGATATTGTAAACCGCGTTTCCCTCAACGAGAAGGAAGTTCAAGTATGAATGGACCATAGCAAGCTTGGCAATCGACACGTCAAATACGCGTGCAAAAACTCCACTCCCGGACAATTGTTGACATTCATTTTGCAGATTTGGTTCCAAAATCGTCGCCAAAACGACAGACGAAAGTCGCGTCCGCTCTCGCCCCAAGAACTTGCCGCTCTCCGATTCAATGGCCTGCATCCCGCCGCGACCGACCCCATGGCCGCTACCGCCAGCGTAGCCAATGCCGAAGCCCCGGTCCCCGTGTCCGCTCACGTCCCCGCGGATACCCAGGCCGTCTCACCGCCACACACGTCTCCGAAGCCCGTCCCATCCACGGCACAATTGTTTACGGCTACCCCCCGAGCTTCTGGGCCCACAAACCCTCAATTGCCGGAGACGACTCCTCAAAACCGCGACCTCTCTTCCTCACAGAGCAGCCAGGATGGGCCGCCTTCGATCACCCACTCCTTCTCCAGCTCTGTAGGCTATCTCGCCAACAGATGGAACATTGGCAGCTCGTTTTCCACTCCTGCCGGCCAGACCCGCAGTGCTGATGATTCTCCGAGGTACGCACGCGGTTGTCATGACGCGTATATACACGCACTAATTTGATCCATCGTAGACTATTTGCTCCATCATCTTGCGTCTCTGACACAACTCATAATGCCAGCCAACGGCAGAGTCAATCCAACGTCCGACTCTCCTTGTCTCTGGAAGGCAAAGCTGAACTCGTTGACAGCGCGCCTTCCCCAACGCGTCCATCACCTCAAAAATACGCTTCCGGTCCCGAATTTCCCCGCCAGCGCGGCCTAAAGCGAAGCTACAGCGCTCTGCCTACTGTAACTCTCCCTCCGATTTCGACGCTAACCAGCTTCTTGCCGCCTCGTCTGGCTCGTGGCCGCTCACGGGACGTACAGGCCTGGCAGTCGTGTGCCGATGCACAAACTCGTGATGAATTGACGACTCACGCAGAGCACGAGTCCAACGGCTCTGCCGTGGCCGCGATCAGCCTGCTGCGCTCCACGAGCGGCGTGCTGCAACCGAGCAACTCGAGGCGCAACACTCCCGTGACTACACCCCGTGACGGACACTACGCCAAAAAGGCCAAGTTTAGCCGGACCATGTCGAGCGTCGCCCGCCTGGAGCACGTCGGCAAGGAAAACGACGAACCGTTGGTGAAGGGCGATGGGAAACCCAAGACCAGCCTGCTCGAGTCTCCGACCGACTCGGACAAGGAAAACTGGAGCCCTGATGAGGACGGGAACGCGGCCGGGGCGGGCTCTCGTCGCCCACCAACCGCCGCATCGGCTAAGCCTAAGAACCCCCGACGCGTTGGTGCCAGCGTGCTACAGAGCCGCAGCCCCGGACGGCTGGGCAACCGTGCCAACACGGCCCCTTCGCGGCCCCGCGGCATGAAGGACAGCGTCGACATCTTCGAGGACGAGGCTACCCGCGTCTCGCGCGACGCCGATGTCGAGAAGTTTATGCGCGGGCAGGTGAGCCCCAGCAAGAAGCCCGACATGGACTGCGTGGCCGGCCTGTTGTCCCTCAGTCAAGGCGCGTGGCGATAGCCAACAACTCGTCCACACATGTCAACGACGATGAAGCGTAATGAATGCGGAAAAGAAGGAGTCACTGGTTGACAAACCAAACCACTGGGAAAGCGAGTATGGGGGTGCTCTCCCTTAACCCACAGGACACGACGGAATGAATGAAAAAAACTCACAGAGATTTTCTTTTTGTCAACTCGAATTTCGGAATTTCTAGGCGCGGTTTTCAGCGAAGCCATTTTTGTTGGGTACAGAAAAAGGACATGGCGGTGTTTTTGCCTTTTTATTTTCTTCTTCTTCTTCAAAGCTCTAAGTAGCACAGCAGCAGTAGCAGCAGCAGCAGCATCCACGCATACGAGAGAAGTTAGCATGGAGTTGCAACCTTGGGAGTCGAGACGACGTGGTGCTCGTCTTGACGTCCCGGACGGTCTTGGACGGCCTTTGTTTTGTTTTCTGTTTCTTGTTGGGGTTGGGTTGTTTTTTTTTTCTTTTCGAATGTTTTGTTCATTTTCTCTCCATGGCATCATGGGCAAACGAACGTCTTTGGCGCATATAAAAAACACACAAGGTGCAGTGTTTTGGGGATATATTTGATTTTTGTTCTTTTCCTCTTTTCTTCTTTCAAATCTGGGGATAGCAGCGGTATGTCTGTACTTTTATTGATCTTGAACAACAAAGCAATATATTGGACACTTTGTCAGAACTGACCCTGTCGGTGAACTTTGAAATCAAGTAAAAGTCAGTCAATATGCAGAACACGGTCAACAAAGCAAAACCCGAAAGATGCGTGGCGCAGAAAATCCAAATATGCATGTGTATTGATGAATGCCCGCTGTATCTATGCTCTGTCCATGTTCACCAGGAACAGTCGAAACCCAATGTGCCTATCCTTCCTTGTATCCAACTACCTGCCCATCTGGCCCAAAACGCCCATCATAAGAGAAGGAAGAAACGAAAATCTTTAAACGTGCTCATGCTAATGTATATATAACTGTTGATCGCTTCGATATGCCAATGTAGTATTCTTTTTTTTTCCAAGCATGCCTCACAGCCCGAGCATGCTCATCTGTCTCCGGATGGGACTCGTGCTGACACTTCCCTCCTCGCTCGCGTAGTACGCGCTGTCCGTGTCAATGTCCCACGCCTCGTCCTCGTCCTCCTTGCCCTCGCCCTCGCCCTCGCCCTCGAACGGCTTCTGCGCCGCCGCGCGCGTGTTCCACCGCAGCGTGCGGCTCACGCTGTCGAACCACTCCGTGTCGGTGCGTGTGACCGTCGGGAACGGGTACTGCGAGGCGGCGATGGTGACGTGGTCGCCCTGGCGCAGCTCGACGCGGCCCTTGCCGTCGAACGCGCAGTAGGCGGTGGCGCGGGAGGCGCGGGGGACGGCGACGCGCAGCGCCATGGTGTCGGCGAGCACCATGGGGCGGAAGCTGAGCGTGTGCGGGCAGATGGGGGTGAGCAGGATGGCGGGGATGTCCGGGTGGACGAGGGAGCCGCCGGCGGAGAGCGAGTAGGCGGTGGAGCCGGTGGGCGTGGAGAAGATGCAGCCGTCGGCCTGGACGACGGTGAGCAGCTCGTCGTCGCCGTAGAGCTCGAGGTTGGAGACGTAGGGCGAGGGCCCGCGGTCGATGACGAGCTCGTTGAGGACCTCGAACTGCTCGACGGGGTTCGCGGTGGGCGCGTCGTGGCGGAAGACGGTGCAGGTGAAGCGCATGCGCAGGTTGATCTTCATGCCGTCGTCGCCCATGACGCGGTCGAGGTGCGCGCGGTAGCGGTCAAACTCGAACGTGGTCATGAAGCCGAGGCTGCCGAGGGAGAAGGACAGCACGGGGGGGACGATGCGCTGGAAGAGCCAGGAGGTGAAGAGCACGGTGCCGTCGCCGCCGAGGGTGAGGACGAGGTCAAACGCCTCGGGCCGACCCCAGCACAGGTCGGGGGTCCAGTAGCGCAGCATGTCGGCGAGCGCTGGGTCACCGTCGATGAGGCCGGGGGCGTCGAAGCGGCGTGAGCTGCGCAGCTTGGCGTCGACGTAGACGCAGACGCCGCGCGAGCTGCCGTAGCGGGGTGTGCGGAGCAGCCAGGCGGCGAGCTCACGGGTGAGGTGAACCAGCTGGTTGTCACGGGCCTTGGTGACAATCATGACGCTGCGGACGGCGCGGCGGACGGGCCGCCGACGCAACTGCTTGGATACCTCGCGGACGGAGGTGGCAGTCTGGACGAGGCGCGAGTGCGACATGGACGAGGGCTCATCGCCGCGAATCTCCTCGAGGACGCGGTCAATGTCGACAGCGTCGTCGAAGCGCTGGTGGTAGAAGCACGGGGAGCGCAGGGCAGCGAGGGCGGTGGTGGCCGTGGTGGTGGAGGAGCGCCGGCGGTGGTTGCTGGCGGCGATGGTGGCGGTTGTGGTGGTGCTGCGGGCGGCGGCGAGGTTTTGCAGCGCATCGGCGAGCTGGAGGGAGGCGGCGGAGAGGGGCGGGTTGGGGAGCGTGCCGTGCATGCTGGCGGCGATGGACGATGGGGAGGAGAGCATGCTGTTGAGGGAGAGGGCAGCGGCGGCGTCGTCGGGCTTGGGACGGCCGAGGGCCGAGATGTCCTCGGCGGCGGCTGAAGGTGCCTGCGAGGAGGGCGGCGGCGACTGGCGAAGCATCAGAGGCTTGGGGGTGAAGCGAGCGCCGGGCAGCTTGTCGCGGCGGCCGGAGATGGTGGTGCCGGTATTTCTGGTTGGGGTGGTTGTGGTGGTTGGGGTGGGAGAGGAGTGCGGAAAGGCGGCAGTGCGAGGAGAGATGTCCTCGTCGGAGATTAGGGCTGCGGAAGAGGCGGCGGCGATGGTGGATGTGGTGGATGTGGTGGTGGTGGTGGTGGTGGTGTTTGATGCGGCGCCGCCCCACGTTGGAGATGGCGATGGTGTAAGAGCCGTGGTTTCAGCCGCTGGAGTCGTCGTCGGCTTCACTTCTGTGTCTTGCTCCGTTGCAGCAGCGGCACTTCCCATGATGGACACGGCAGACAGCGGTGTCTTGGCCCGTGGCTCGTAACACAGAGCGGCGGCGGCGGTGGCTTTTGAGGTGTTGATGAAGAAGGAGGGATGCTGATGGTGGTGCGAGGGTGTTGCTGACGCTGACGAGGAGGACACGGGCCGGTGGTCACTGTTGCCACTGCCACTGCCACTGCCACTGCCACCTGAAGTACCCGTAGGGGACCAAAGCGCTGGGTGGAGAGTGGGCGAGTCGAGGCTATCTTTGGTTGGCGACAATGGTGATGTGATTTGAGGTGCCATTTTGTACTTGTTTTTTTAGTAGTATTTTTTTTCCCCTCTCAGAATGATGTTCGGTATTATCGTGATAAACTCCGGTGAATATCTCGTGGCGGACTTTGGTAGCGTAAGCCTAAACGTCGTACTAGAAGAGTCCGTCCCGGCTCGATGAGTTGGCAGGCCACCAGCCTATCACGGCCCCTGTTAGTCTAAACTCTGGCCGGTTTGGTGAGACAGGACTGATGAGATCCATCACGCTTACACTTGTGACTTGCCGATTCGTACCAAAAAAAAGTATCCTGGTAGGTATACAAGTGCGGGATGTGGCTTCCCGGCGTCTGCGACTGGCTTCGAGTTGGTTTTGGATTGGCAGGCCTTGTTGACGGAAATTAAATGAATTTGTCCTTTCGAAAAAAAAAGGGCAATATCCGAGTTTTGTATATGAAATTTGGCAAAAAAAATAAAAAATAAAAATAAAACGCTATGCTGGTTGGTGTCTTGATTAGTCTTTGTCCGAATGCAAAGTCAGATACTAACTTACTGATGAAATGTGCTGTGGAAGAAGAATGACTGACGATGGAGACAAGTCGTTGGTTGGTTGGCGAAACACACAGGTAAAGCCCTCGGCCAGCGAATGAGTAGAAATTGAGTGAAACGGTAAAAAAAAACCCCCCCGAGACAAAGAAGAGAATGTAAACAATAAAGTAGAATGAAGTGCAACGGTGGAACAAAGACAAAAAACGCAAAGGCTAGACAGAGATCAACTCTGGCATCACTAAACACTGAAAGCACAAAATCTCTCAACTCGGCCGAGTCTATCAGCACCGGAATAGATAGATCGACGACAAAGAAAGGAATCCCATCGAAAGGGGATGGGCAGACGGGCTGCATATTAAATCGATCCTCCGTCTCTCCTCCAGCTACGCACCTAACCCAGCAGAGAAGGCAAAGCAAGCGCCCATTGTTTTCGAGGCAAAACGCTTGCTTGTGCATGGCGTTTTGCCCGGCCCGTCGCGGAAACAAGGCGGCGTCAAGTTCAAAGTCCCATTGTGACCACGGGCTACCCGTAGCACACACAACAACACAATCAAATCTCTCTCTCTCTCTCTCTCTCTCTCTCTCTCTCTCTCTCTCACACACACACACACCAACCTTCCCCATCTGTCTAGTTATCGCGCGCGCGCGCGCGGCGACCGCTGAAGCAAGTGTGACCCTCTCCAAGCTATAGGACCTGAGACGGCCCCAAGACCTCACTTGTCAGCGCTCCTACTCGCCCTGTCTTGGGAGGAGGAGGGGGAATAGGCGGTCGCTGCTTGGCCCTCTCAGTATAGAAGGGGGGCGGGGGGGCGTCCAGCAACATCAGACGACCGCTCTGACACGGCTTGTGACAGAGCGGCCGAACGAGTCGAGGGCAGTGACATAACTCGGCACGGTGCAAGAACACCTCGGCAAGCTCCGCCGACCTGTGGGCGGCCGGCGTAACGCTATAGGTAGTTGGGCTGCCACGGGAAAGTCTGTAACGACCGGCGTCGTCATGGCCCTCCCTCCCGTAAAGGGATGAACGTAGTTGTTGGTTTGCTTGGGTGTAACAAGGTACCTGCTTAGCATTATCTGGATCCCGCTGCCACCCACCTACGGCGCTTCCTTCCCTAGGGCTAAGGGGGACCGCGGTTCACTAACTTGTCGAGACGGTCTTGGCTTTGTTAGATCGAGCTATAGTTGGCATCTCTTTATTAATAGCCGAGTCCCCCCTCCTTTGCTATTTTGTACTGCTCCGTACATCTGGATGAATCTGCGTTGGGCCTCTTACATGCAAAGTAATTGTTCCCTTTTTGGGGAATGGATTCCCTGCGTGGCGTTGTAAGCTTATTACCGTATGCACCTAACTGGGCCGACCAACGTGGTGGCCTTGGGTCCCCCGTTACTACAACTTCCCATCTTTTCTTTTTTTTCCTGTTCCCTTTTCTCTTCTTCCGAGATCCATCCCGTCGAAATCTCGCCTCTTCTTATCGCCAAGACCTACCTGCCTCCTCCTCCCCCAACCAGGGAACCTGACGGCGAGGTGAAACGCCTCCCTGTGGGCGGGCAGAGCCCATCTGCTGAAACGTCCGCAGTCTGTGTGAGACCTTGGGCCGCGCGCGCGCGCACGCATCGGGGGATTTGATGGACGGTGTTGCGTTAACTAGATCAGACCAGGGATGATCGTGCAGCGAGGTCCCCCCACTAGCAGAAAAAAAAGGGAAATAAGCAGGGCGAAGGGGGAAATCAAAATGAAAGGAGCGTGAATCTTGGCGCAGTGGTGAGGTTAAGGCTGAAGCCAGACGTAGCCAACAACAGCAAGCAGCAGCATTGTTGTTATTGCTATAGATGTAACTGCGTTTCACCCACATGGCGAGTATCATTTCCAAATGACTAGTGACAAAAAAGAAAAGCAAAAACAGACAAGAAAGTGATCAAGTATGCCAACGCCTCTACACCCAATGATGTCCTTTTCGACGCCTATAACTTCATGCCATTTTGCTCCATTGCATAAACCACGTGAAGCATGCGTCTCTCCCAATGAAACAGGTATGCCCAGAGCATATTTGCCTTTTTTTCCCTCCCATTTCCTCTCCCCTTTCTCTTCCTCTTCCTCACTTCCATGACAGATCCTGCGCAATCTTGGTCTCCATCACCGACCGGATAAACGCGCGTATGCTCGGCGCCTCACCAGCGTCCGCCATGGCCGTGTCCTCCTCCTCCAGCCCCCGCCGCACCGCCCGGCAGCACACCTCCTCGCCCTTTTTGAGCACCGCCTCCCACTCGACCACCGTGAAGGCGCCCTGGCTCTCCGCCAGCAGCAGCTCTCCGTCGTCGGCGTCGTCGCCGCCGTCGGCGGCGGCGTAGCCCAGGACGTGCAGCGACCGCGCGGTCTCGGCGGTCCGCGCGTCCGGGTCCGCGACGACGTGCCCGTCGGCGGCGCGCACGGCGAGCGTCACGGCCGTGGCCACCGTCTTAAGAGGCACGGAAGCCGTGAGCAGGCCGAGGATGGCGGCGTGCAGCAGCGCCGGGATGATGGCGAGGTCCTGTTTTGCCGTCAGCCAGGTCAGTCCGTAGAGAGGGGTTAGGCAAAAGTAGAAAGGGGGCAGAACGTACCAGCTGGGCTTGAACCACTTTGGTGTTGACGTAGGCGTTTTCGGGCGTCTCCGTGACTTGCAGCGTGATCTGGATCATGGTCCGCGGGAAGCTCCTGATGGGGATGAGCTGCCGCAGCGCGCGCTGCAGGATGGACTCGAGCAGTCTCTCCGCCGTGCCTGCATTTGTCAGCCTTTCCAATATCGTGAATAGAATCATCCGCAGGTGAGGACGTACCTCCTACGCCTGCCGCGGGACGGACGTTGACGTCGACGATGGCCTCAAACGGATTCTCATCGCGCCGACCAGCCTCGATCGGTCCGTTGACCGCGCTGGTCACCGTGTAGCCGCCGTACGAGTATGTGGCGGAGCCGTCCGCCTTGGGGAGCGGTGCCAGTTCGGCCCTTGGTTCCGCACTCGGTGCCATCTTTGCGTTATCGATGAGGTTGTCTGTTGAAGCTGCTAGGGAAATTTCAAGTTCAAGGTGGGTTGGAAATTTCAGGTGGGTATGGTCACTGCAAGTACCGCTACGGCCAATTAGTGTGGGTAGGTACTTTGGTATCGTAGTACACGCAGTCATGAGACAGTGAGGCAAACTGCGAAAGTTTCAACACGATTAGTTGACTCCCTTAATAAAATAGTATTATTCGATATACTCATACTAGTTGACGTCGCAGCAATTCATCTGACTTTGGTTGTTGCAGTGGCACGTTCCGAACATCGCCCCCCCCTCGGCATCTCAGAATATTGTTGGCTCGATTTGTTCGGCAGATTATATCCACTGGTGCAGAAAAGAAGCAGGATATGTATAAACGAAAATCAAAATAGATAATCGACCGATACAGTTGTCTGGAGGAACTTTGGCGTACCAAGCATGCAGTTTATGCGCCCTAGGTACAGGTAATGAACCTCGGGGACTTGTACGTTGCGACCCAAGAGCTTTACACCACGCGAGGTGTGTTTATGTGGCGTCAAACATGACAGAAACATGGGTTTTAAGAAGGAGAGAAAATTGACTGCAAGTTTACTTTCTCTATTTTTTTTTGGCGAATATCCACAAGACATGACGGTTTCAGGATCGTGACATGCTCTCGATTATAATTAGTGCATTCCTCAGGTAGGTTACGCCCGTAGCGATATTGCTTTCTTGATATCTGGCATGTGCTAGAGCCTCGGTGGTGAAGGGTCAACTTGAAACTTGCAAAAAATTATTATAGAATAGCAGTTTTGAAACAAGAAACCTGTTTCTCTACATTGGCATATTCTTGCTCAATCATGTGCCGTTGAGCCGCATCAACGTTGTCGGTGCACGGATATCGGAAAGCTTGTAACCAACCTATGGTGGGGCACTGGAGATCGCCACTGCCCCTCGCCTGTCAAGGTCTCAAGGTGCCAAAATGGCAATCCCCGACCTGCACATCTCCCCTGCGTTTCCATCTCCCACACACAACCAACACAAAACATGGCATCCAGCGGGCCCTTACCAAGCCCGGCAGCAGCCGCCCCGTCGGCTTCCTCGATACCGAACCTCAAAGACCGCCTCCCCAAGCTCGAGCCCCGTAAGCGCCGCCCGCCACCCACCAACCCGACCCCCGTGCCCCCGACGCCCCCGCTGCCCGCCCAGCTCGATGACCCTGCCGGCTGGACCTACGCGGTGCCCTCGCGACGCATCCTCACCCGGGCGGACCTCGAGCTGTTCCTGGCCTCGCCGACGTACGACCTCCTCGTCGGGTGGGTGTTTGGCCTCGCCGACGCCGTCGTCGACACGCCCCGGTCCGCGCCCGCCGTCCGCGACGACGCCGTGAGCGAGCCCGTCCGCACGCTCCTGGCCGTCCTCGACGAGGCCAAGACCCTCACCGAACTGGCACCACCCAACGAGCAAGGCGGCTCGCGCTTCGGCAACCGCGCCTTCCAGGGCTTCGTCGACCTGGTGCGCGCGCGCGCGCCCGAGTGGCACCTGCGCCTCAGGCTCGACGGCGCCGCCGCCGCCGAGGCCGGCGCCTACCTGACGCAGTCGTTTGGCAACCGCGACCGCATCGACTACGGCTCCGGGCACGAGCTCAACTTTGCCGTGTGGCTGCTGTGCCTGTACCGCGCGCGGGCGCTCGGCGCAGCGGACCTGCCCGCGCTCGCGCTGCGCGTCTTCCCGCGGTACCTGGCCGCCGTGCGCGCCGCCCAGACGCTCTACTACCTCGAACCCGCCGGCTCCCACGGCGTCTGGGGCCTCGACGACTACCAGTTCCTGCCGTTCCTGCTCGGCGCCGCCCAGCTCCTGCGCCACCCGTACATCACCCCGCGCGCCGTCCACCACGACCTCACCCTCGAGGAGGCCGCGCCGGACTACCTCTACCTCGACCAGGTCGCCTTCGTCAACGGCACCAAGACGGTCCGCGGCCTGCGCTGGCACAGCCCCATGCTGGACGACATCTCGGCGGCCAGGTCGTGGGCCAAGATCGACGCGGGCATGCGGAGGATGTTCGTCAAGGAGATCCTTGGCAAGCTCCCGGTCATGCAGCACTTCCTGTTCGGCTCGCTGGTCCCCGCGGCCGAGGGGATGTGCGCGGAGGAGGAAGTCGAGGCGGCGGCGGGTGGCGAGCACGAGGGCGAAGAGGGGCATGCTGGGCATGCGCACGACGGCAAGGGCTGGGACGACTGTTGCGGCATCAAGGTCCCGAGTAGCATAGCAGCTGCGCAGGAGATCCGGAAAATGGGAGGCGCCGATGCGCTACGGAGGATTCCATTTGACTAAATCGCCGCAGCATGGTCAACGAACAAATATACAATAAACAAACAATATAGTTAAAACAGTCACAGCCAGGTCCGGGTCTAATGGAATCATAGCATGGTTTGAAATACCCATCACCAGCAAGCAAAACTTTCTCAGGTCAATTGGATTCAATTATGTCCCTTCATGCTAAAAAATGACAACGACGGTTTGATGTACTGTTCAACCTTGCTCTGTAAGTGCCAACCAAAAAACAAACAAAAAAATACACATAAATCATCAACATAGCTCCGACGCCTTCCATGCCGCCTTGCAATCTTTGAACAAGGCCTTTTTTAGTTTTTACCGTCCCCCCATGCCGTTCCAACACGCCAGGAAAATGGTCAAGATGAGAAGCAAGCAAGATGAAAGAAAATGTGCAGCAATATGCCTCGAGTCCAATCAGGAACTTGACCATGTACATGTCGGCAGCATGCAACAAACTATGTAAAGAGAATAATAAAAAGCAAAAGTCAACGCAGGTCTAGGTCATAATCATATTCGTCAAGATGAGAAAAAAAGTTGAGAGAGTGTGTCAGATCCCAACTGTGGTATCATGGGATGCAAAGACATAAAAAAAGGGGTACTGCAGATGGGAGCTGCAGACATGTGGGCGCCAGGCCAAGGTAGCTTGCGGTATGCCAGTCTATGCCGCAACGAGTTGCTGCAATGGCATGGGACCAGTCTCCTCGGTGGTGCGAGAGCTGGTACGTGGCTGACGAAGGCGGTTGGTGACGTGAATATCGATCAGCATCTCCACGAGGCTCTCTGCCTCTCGGTGAAGCTCACCAAGCTCCTTATCATCAAAAGAATGGCCGAGACGGTCGTTGCCTGGGCGGGGCTTGCGGTAGGCGGCAAAGACAATGCCACGGTCAATCTGCTCGGACAGGCGGACGCCAGAAACAGGAGTAGACGTGTTTCCAGATAGGCTCCTGGCATACTGGCCCGTGTAAAAGGCACTGGCATAGCCGCGGGCCAGATCGTGCGGCCGAGCATCAGCGTTCCGGTACTCAATCCAGCCATCAGAGCGTAAAATGGTGGTGTGAACCAGGGAGGATATTTGGAGAGGAGAGGGAACGTGGTGTAGGCCGTGGGCGGCAAGGAGACGTCCAATCAACGGACGCTCGCCATTCGACTCCATCGGACCAGGCCAAAGATTGACGATGTAAACAAGGTCAAAGTCGTAACTTTTGGCGATTCTGGCCGCGACATAAGCCGCAGCTGTGGCGGGTTGGCTTGCTCGGGGCGGAGTAAGGGTGAGCAGGGTGGTAGCAAGCGGCCGCAGAGAGGGTGCGATTTGCGTTTCAGCTTCAAGAGTGGCAAGCTCCTCTTCGGCGTCTTCAGCAATGTCATCATCACTCAGGCTGAGGAACTCGTTGACATCAGGCTCGCGGAGAACAGAGCTCGCGGTTGATGGAGCTTCTGATGGTGCAAGGCTGTGCTCACTATTGGATCTGCGCATGGGCACATCTTCGAGAGCGTCACCAAAGTCCAAGTTGATGTCACTGAACATCATCTTTTCCAGAGCACCTGTAGATTGAGAATGGCGAAGTTGAGGCGGGCGCGGTGGATCGGGCAACGGTCCGAGCTGGGGAGACTCGTCGGGTGTTGGCGGAGCTCGGTGAGGAAGTTCGGGCAACTTCTTTGTGCGCCACGGCTCGGAAGAGCTGGTGTTATCCTCGGGGTCCGACGAGGGGGGCGTGTCGATTCTATATGGAGGAATATCCATGTGAAGAGGTGAGCGTGATCGTGGGCTGGGAATGCGAGGGGCTTCACTCGACTTGTCGCTGAAGGTGGAGGACTGGGGAGAGATTTGGCCGTTTTGGAAAGTTGGCTTGGGAAATTGAAAATCGCGGAGGCCGGTGACTAGGCGGTGTTGTCTTCTACTGTTAAGAGAAGGCGAGCGGACCGGTCCGTTTCGGGAGCACGCGCTGCCAATCGAGCCGTTCTCCCGAGAGTGGCCGCGGATGGAGCCTTGCGAAGTGAAGATGTCTGGAACGGAAGGAGAGCGGCCGGTGACTTCCCTGAGGCGAATTTCGTCTCGTGCACACATCCGGAGTTTCTTAGGGCGGATGAAGGACGGCGAAGGAAATTGCTGATCGAGCTCCGAAAGACGGACAGTAGGGCTTGGCGGTTGAGGCTCGCAGGTGACGACGGTAGGGAGCGAGCCCTTGCGCTTGTAAGCAAAGAGCCGCTCAAAGCGATCAAATCGGTTCGACATGGCGACGGGTAGCTGTATCGAAACGGTTTCAGAAGTCGATATGGTATTAAATCTCCGAGGGGGGTGGTGGTATAGTGGTGGCTAAGAAACACGAGCGTTTGCAGCCGTAGGTTACGCCAATGTCTCGAGATGAGGCACAAGTGAGCGGCAAGACGAAGCACGCAACAATGGCGTCTTTGAGCTAGGGCTTTGAGACGAATTGGAGTGTAGATGAGTCCTGATCAGAGCATTTCCAGGACTAGTATCCAGAAGATAGGTCAAGCGGCTCGAATCGCTGATGGGCAGTGACCAAGAGCGACATGCGAAGAAGCGCCAAGAGAGCAAGCAACGCAAGTATGGATCCGAAGAGTGGAAGCACCTGACGAGAGCCGAGCGGTGGACAGTGGAGAGGTCCTTTTTTCGAAGACGAGTCAATCAAGTTGCCGAGTTGAGGCCAGGGTGCTGGGTATCGTTGGCGAGGATGAAGTTGGTCGAGGCGGCGCGAGCGCAGGTGTAAGTTAATAGTTGCGGCGCAGTAAGAGTAATAAGAGCACAACCAGGTAATAGTGGGAAGTACCTGAGCCGAGCGGGCAGCGGGCAGGGGAGCGGCAACGGCAGATGGAGTTGCCAATTCCGGAAGAACCGCCGGCAGCTGGCGAAGTGTCGGTTGGCAGCTGGCAGGCAACTAGCAGTCGAAATGGTGATGTAAATAAAGCGTTGGCAGCTGGCAACTGGCAGCATAAACAGTTGACAGCTGACAGCAGGATGATTGCAGAAATGAGGTGCAAACGTCGTCCAATTCCTCGCTTCTACAACCTAGTAGTATGCAGAGATTCGCATCGTAAGGAGGACATTCCTTCTAAACCCCATGCCGGAGGGGGTCTGCCATTCTTTTAAGAACGAGGCAAGGGCAGCCAGCACACCACCACCACCGACCACCCACCCAGTGACACCACAGTCAAAAAGCAAGCAACGGTCCGGTGGAGATGCAAGGAAGGAAGCCACCCACTACACAAGGGTGAAGGGGAGCTCTGCATGTGGATGCCCCTGGTACAACAGCTGGTACAACAGCAGCCCAGCCAAAGAAACAAGAGGGCAGAAAGAAGCAAAACACCAAGGCCAAAAAAAGAAGACACTAGCTAACAAAAATGACAGGGGGAAACCATTGACTCTCAGACCTGGACCTAGCCTGACGCGCAATTGGCACCACCAGCCAGTTGAGATGGCGGCACACATCCACCTCCTCTCCACCTCTTGTCTCTCCTCCCACGCTGCTGGTGGTGGCGACATGAGCTGTTCGAATTGCTCTGCGGGCGATGCTTGCAATCCAGCACTGCAAGTCTCATCTTCCGGCAACCACACGCCAGCCAGCCTGATGAATGGCTCCAAGGCCCTAGTTAAGACCAACGAGACACGATGACTCTAAAACAGCAACGCCGCCACAATTGACTTTTCGGCCAATCGTCACCCCTATCTGCCAAGACGCAGCAATACCAACCCGAATCACTGCTGGGAGACCTGGGCAAGACGTCCTTCGGAGCCTCCCCGTCGGTCGTCGCCTACAATACAGAGACTCTTGCGGCAACAGGACAGGATACCACCTCCTAATACGATTATTGTTGATGCCTTTGAGCTTCGCTGCCCTTGGGTCGGAAACAATTGACAACGAACGATATTCCGGCCCTGATGCTACTCCAAGCTTGCTTTTTCCTGGCCAGCAGACTGCTTTGTTGGAGGATGTTCGCGCCACAATAGGTTAGTCCACACCAGCAGCATACCAGTCGGGCGATCACTTGCCCCCTTGCCATCATCTCTCACTTTTATTTTCTTGTTATTCTCGTGTGCCGCTACATTGGTGCGATGGGGCACCAAAAGCACTCTTCTTACGGAGTCGACGCATCAGCTCCCGCAGGCAAGGGCCGCACCTGCAGGAGGGTGGCTAGCGTCTTTGGCACAGCCGATTGCGTCTCCAACTACCACCAGTGCGACTCAACGAAAAGAAATATGTTCGTACTTGTGCAAGGTTTAATAACGTACACTGCTCGAGTCTCGTGTCCTTTTCCACGGTTGACTCAAGGAACTCTGATATCAGGGTTCTCTTGGAGGTGCTCTCTTCGGCTGGACCAGGCTGGGCCAGCAGAATCCCCGAAGCTCCGCACGAGGCGTCTAATAATAACCGACTATTACAGAACTCTCCTCGCCCGTTCGCTTCTCACTGAACCCACAAGGATGCGAGGTACAGACCAAAGAAAAACGGTGATGACGATGTTGATGTGACAAGCAGGGGGAAAACGCGGACGAAGTGATTCCAGAATGTACGAAGTGCTCATGTTGCGTCTGCGTATGCAACAACAAAAAGAAGTGCGGCTTGATGAGGCGCACCGCGTACCACAAACCTGGTTCCGCAGCCACTTGGAGCCAGTTCCAACGGTCCACCCGCAGAGAATGGACAAGGGCCATGGGCAGAAATGACGCGAGAGACGACCGGCTAGCGGACAGAGTGCGCACTAGTTACCAGTGGGCTGGAGGGTCGTCGTCCTCAAAAGCAAATCCTCCCTGCGCGCGAGCTATCACTTTCCCAGCCAGCTGGAGAGAGCCCCTCTCGGCTCGGTCTCCTGCCCCAAGGCGACGATGAGCCGAAAATCCGGGTTGCCTCTGCCAGATTTCTGGTACAGGTAACAAGGAATGACATTCGCACTGGCATATATTCTACGTGAAATGAGAGACCATTCGGACACTGCAGAGCACATCATACGATCGACGCGGTATGAGCACGGCCATAAGATGCGCCACGGCCAACGTCCCTGGCGGCGCGATCCTCAACTCTATCACGGTCGGCATAATAGGTAAAGAGCGACAAGCTTCTCGCTCTGCCCCACACGGAACGCCTGGCAGTATTCCCGCCCACAATACGGTTGTCATTCCGGCGAGCTTGAGCATTGCTTTGGTGGACCAGGCCGTACCAAGCCGTCCAGCCCCGGGGGCTCAGACTTTTCCACAGTGACAAGTTACAACTGGAGTTGGTCAGCCCTCGTTGCGCACGGTCGTGGCTGTTTTCTTTTGGGTCGAATGCCTGTAGTAGCCTGCAATATCTGTTCAATTTAATTGCCACAGACCAGGCTTACAGTGGTATCCGGCAAGGAGTCCCTTGTCCTCCCGGTGGCCTAGAATTTCGCAAAGGCCCGCCCAGGCTTACTTGTGAAAGCCGCAATACAGTCTGCGCCCGCAAAAACCAACGGTGAGAAAGTTACGGTGCCTTGACCGTGTCTCATCCGAACATAGGACACCGCCTAGATTCATACAATTGCTGCTGGGAGAACAAGAAAGCAAAATTGCATCCGTGGGCCTGCCTTCATGATTTTTTTCCTTTTCAAAAGCCTCTGGCTGGTTGGCGGGACAGTCGGACAAGTCGACGCTGTACTTGTGTTGCCACAACAGTTGGCTTCAACTAGTCCGGATTTCCTTTTGCGCTGCCGTCCCATGGCTGTGCTGCTGGAACGCCCTTGAGCACACTATTAACACCTAGTGCTTCCTTCTCCCCGCTGGGGCTTGGCTTCCCGCCCTTACGTCTCGCCAGCAAGACACTGAGAGGTTCACTTTGGACGGCGTACTCTGATAAGAGGCGCTGTCATTCTTGAGTTCAACAGCACACCATGATTTTTCAGGGTATATGGTGCTAATAAAACTATGATCATCTACCGCGAGATTCGCCTAGCAGACCCTGTATATGCAAATTCATCTACTCGGCATGACGCGACCCTGCCACTGTCGATCCCAGGTCGTGCCAGCGATTGCATGATTTACAAGGCATATTGCCTCCTTTGCCTTGTGGAGTGCGATTAGGTTTCCGACATCGTCGCTCACCCACACCCTTTGAAGAACGGCTCCCCAGAAAGGGACAGACAGGTGCCAATTCATCACAGTCAAGTTGGCGAGTTCGGACATGGATCCCCAGGCGCAACTTTAGATGAACGTGGCAGGTAACTAGCAAGAGCGAAACAGCGAATGTAAGGATAGTCTATTTTGCTTTGTCCCAGCTCATCTCGCCCCGTGCCTATCTCTATGCTGTTTAGTGTGAGGCAAGAACAAGCTGCTCTCACACCACCGCTACCCTTTAGCTCCCATATTTTTGACTTTCCTTTTGGTCAGTTTTTCTTTTTCTTGCTTTCTTTCTTGTTTTCTTTGTTGTGCCAGCGTTCCAAGAAGTGACTTGCTATGAGGACATTTTTCATCCGATGACTCTATTACAGTTGACTCAAGTTGCCGTGTCCGAAAAAGTATGGTTTGGGCCAGTGGAAGTGCTTGCATGCAACCAGCACCAGCTACTGCGCACAGCGAACTCACCTCTGCCGCTTTCGACGGGGTAATACTGATGCAGGCCAGCAATTATCGGGCGTAGCTAGATATGAATATCAATACTCTTATTAGATGTCTAATTGGAAGTTATCAGATACGTTTGATCTTGTTCGAGTCAGCAGCGGGATCAATCTTTACATCCCACTCACTCTCCTGCGTTCCGTCTTTGACCTGATAACTGGCTGATGGCTTCCGGCTCTTCAATCTCTACCGTCTCGCGGCGCGAAAGGCATCCTTCTCCCTACCCGTGATGGCTCCACGAGGATCCCTGAGCGGCATCCAATGCCTCGGGGTCCCTGACCCAATATACGAATATGCAGGCCGTGGATGACAGGGAACTTCTCCCCAGCGGCTCCTCCTCCTCCTCGCCCCTGCGAAACTCCTGCACATCCGCTATCCAGCCCTCATGTCGGGGTGCTTGACCCACAACTCCCTCTGCAGCTCCCAGAGCTTCGGCGTCTCGAGGCACGCACCCGGGCAAGTTCTCTCCATCCGGGGTGATGATTCGCTAAAGCGTGAACAAGAGCTGCCCTTTCATCATGGTCCGGGGGGTATAGTACTAACTAACCTGATCATGATGGCATGCCTACAAAGTCAAGGATGCGGAGGTTTGTCGTTTTTCGTCCACGACGACATGTACGCGGGGCAACATCCTGGTTGCATAATGACTCCGTACCGATAGCTGAGGTCGTTAAGAACCATATGCAGGAGCTTCTGCAGCCGCACCGAAGGGACGCTGGGCCACCTTTGTTCTGCTAGAGACGTTGGAGGGCTCGCGAACCCGAAGTCGCGACCTCTCAGACCCAACATCACCGAGCACCGCGTCGAGGGCACAATTTACACTGCAGATTTGTCTCGGGGCAGCCGGCATCCAGCACTGAAGCTCGTACCACTTTCTTTGGATGCTGGAAATACGCATTTTATGCACGCTGCCGGCGGCGGTTGGCCGTCCGTCCGGCTGCGTTTGGTGCACAATGACCAGATCCACCTCCGAGGGCCTACCTCTCGTGATGCCCTCGAGGCCAGTTGTCTTGACCGCACAGGGCGGCAGTCAGCTGCTGGCAGTTGACCCAAAAACGTCGCGTTCTCAACGTCCCCCGTTGGAGACGGTGAACGGAGGAAGCCCAACCTCGGGCTCGGAGAAGTCGGAACGCACTGCAGCATCCTGGCCAAAGCTCGCGTACTGTGAACTCGAAGCTTGGGCCAGGCAGATAGAGATGTCCGCCGTAGCCGCCTTTTTCATCGGGCTTGGCGGAGAGTCGAGTCCAATAGGCCCTCCGCGTTATCGAAATCGGTAACTAATGTGTAGGGCCCTCCCAGGCGAGCAAGGTCTTGCCCCATGCCGTCCCCCCCCCCGGGGATGACATGATGTTGCCCTCTTTTACAGGCGACGTGTGAGACAGCAGAGGTTGAACGGCAAGGGAAAGTCGCAGATTGCAGAGAAGAGAGCCGCACGTGACGATTGCATGTTCACATCTCCAGAAAAGGTCAGGGATATTTTGAGCCACCATCGATCAAGAAAGAGTGTGTGATCATGGGTTCTGAGACTTGATTCCCTTCTGCGTATCCGTACCTGGCTGTTGAACCAGGGGTGTCTCCTCATAAAGTCAATACTTTGAAGGGGAATTTCCTGAGAGTGTTTTGTCGCAGCTAGAATCAGCTCCCAATGCTGTCTCTGCTTCCTCAGAAACATTAAAAAATTGTTATTATTGGCGTGCCGAGACAGAACGAGGTGCCTGGCGGGAAGGGCAGCAGGGACGTCTAGTAATGACGCAACTCGTTTGACTGCTTTTTCGACAACAGCGGGGAGCAGACGCGGGGAGAGGCCAATCTCCCTTGTTCAAACCCATGTTCAGAAACAAAAAAAGGACTTCCTTTTTCGTCACCTCCCCCGGGATGTGTGAGACCTGCACCTAAAAACAGACCACTTCGTCACTTGAAGAGGGAACCCCCAACCACTTCCCTGCAACAAGACGGATTTCTTCTGCTTTGAAGGCATTGACTACCCAAAATGTCGCTTTATTTTCTTTACGGGTAGCCGCAGAGCCAGTAAGATTGTGCAATGCCCCCGGTCTACTTTTGCCAAGTGTGATTGTCTGATATTACCGAGTAGAGTGCTCGTTCATCCTCCAGTCAGAGCCCGTACATTTTCGGGCCGGGCCGAAACTTTTCAGACAAAGAGACGTCTGGGGTTCAAAAAGATTGCTCTCACATCTGTGAACACACGACTTTCTCTCTCCACGAGGACGGACAGAACCGGATGTTTAAGGCTGCCCCTGTACCCAAGGACAGAGTGAGTCACAAAGGTGGCTTACTTGTAAAAGTTGCAAGTAAGAAGAGCGCGAGACAAAAGTCTGCGGCAGGCAGAAAAAGTGCCCCCGGCGAACAGAATGAGACCAATTGTTCTAGTCTGCTTCCTTTTGAGGGGGAGGGGAGGAAACTTGCCGGTTTCTTGTCCTATTTTCGGGAAGCTCGCACCCCGGTCATTATTGTCTGCTACTTGGGATCAGTCTTGGGGGCGGCGCGCGTGGCTCCCCTCTCCCAGTAATCTGTATCCGTTCAACCACAGACATCGGCCAGAACCGAGATCCCAGTACAGATTGCCTATTCGTACCAAGTAAGTCCTTGACCGCCACCGCTGCGCGGAGGGCTTTCCGCGTTGGAGATGACTTGTGTGGCTGGGCCTCGCTTGTATTTTGTGAGCCGGCCAGTTGCGTGCAGTATGCAGAGAACTGATTGTGATTTGCTCTGGGGAGTAACGTTGGCAGCATGTCGTGTAGCCCCCCGTCCGACCCGGTTCGTGGGACATGTGCTACCCAAGAGGAAAATAAAAATCAAACATGTTCGTTTTTCTTTTCCTCTTTCCGTTGTGGTTTGCCGGTTCGCCAATACCGCATCCTCAGAGTTATTTCCCTTTTCGTCAGCATGCCGCGCGTGGACAACCGCTCTCTGCATCATCAAAGACATACAATCCAACATTTCCAATACTGTCTGTCTGTCAGGCATTGTTATCACAGCCCATAGGCCGGTGAGCATGCAGCAAATGTTGCTTTCTTTTTTGCGCGCAGCAGAATCGGGAACGGCATGAAAGCTGGGCTGGCATGTAGCTGCCCAACACCCTTGCAGACCACCCCAATCCAAAATGATAGAAGCTGAGAGAGAGCAAGTCGCAAAGGGAACAGAAAGAGTATGGCACACGAAGGCAGTCAGATGCAAGTTTCAGTTCTGTCAGCAGAAAGGCCTGCTCTCTCTCTGTTTTTTTTTTGTTATTCGGACTGGTGTGTCCGTACCTTGCTGCGCTGAGCACATGCATCTTCCTCATCCGGCTCCCGCTGCCTGTCCATCCCAGGACGTGCATGAAGCTTGATTCAGCGTGCAGCAGGGCGGAGAGGCTTGCATTCAGCGCTGCATACACAAGGGAGCGACGGATTTCGGATATGCATAATGCACCAAGGCGCGCGTCATCGCAGCCCAACCGCGCCGCAGATCCTAGTTCAGGTACCCGCGCCGACCCGCGTTGACGTCCTGTTTTGGTGCCTTATTTCCTGCAAGCCTCACCTTTTTGTCTTGGTTGTATATATCATGCAGAGTGCTGAAAATGTCGGTAATTCAGCCCGGCCCGCAAAGGCCCCGTGATATAGAAGTCCATTTCCATTAATAGCTGGGGGGCCGACAGCTTTTTCCCTGCACCGGTGAGGCTGAATCACTGGATTAGGTGGCGTCCGTAATACTTGCCGCTGCTTTTATTGGTACCTGCATGTTTCCCAAATTCTCTTGCTTTCGGGCTACTCAATAGTTGGATGGCAAGACAAAACTGATAGCAGCAGATCATGCATGCATGACACAGAATGCAGGTCATTTACAACTCTGCTATGCTGTGTCTCAAGCCTCGCGGTAGTAATGTGATAGCAAGGGCACCATGCAGAACTGACAGGTCAAACAAAGAAGTGAGCAGATTGTCATACAGAAAATAGCGCATGCGAATCCTTCTGGCAAAATCAGGGCGCCAAATCTGTGCACAATAGGACAAAATAGGACATGGCGATTCATGGACAGGCTAGAGTGGTGCGTCAATTGTTGGATATCAAGCGAGATCCGATGATTCATTCCTGAGAAGTTATAGCGTAGAACAAGCCATTCATATGTTGCGACCAAATTCGGCCTAGATTAGAGCTTGGAAGTGCTGTCATTCTCGTCGACCTCGCCAAAGAGACCAATGAAGGCGTTGTGAATCTCGTCCGTGAGATCACTTGCTTGTAGGCTCCTCCCGCGTTTCAAAAAGGCGATTCGGGAGCATTCCTATAGGGCGAATTAGCAAGCCGGGCCGCCGTAGAACAAGCCGAGAAAATATATCACCCACTCTTGTGATGGCGCTGCCACCAAACGCTGCCAGCCCGACCATTTCCTCCTGGCCCAAGCGAGGTGTCTCCGGATCGTCCCAGAGCTTGTCAACGTATGCTCTCCTCCAGGCAAGAAACGTTGCAACGCTTCCCGTGAGCGTATCGCCCTGGCCACCACTTCGCTTCCTGCCACCTTCGAGATCAACAGTCAATGTAACCTTGCCGTTCGAGATGTGGTCCTGCTTCCCCTTTTGTATAATGGTAACACCTCCGAGGGCGTTGGATAGAGCTTCTACTCTGTGCGTTTCGCTCTCGCTTTCGCTACTTTCAACTCCTACCGCCTTCCAGAGTCGATCGAACTCGACCACGTTCGGTGTCAGCACGGCTTCGGTGTAGCCTTTGATGAGGTTCGCGTCCTTTTGAACGAGCTGGAGGGCATCCGCATCGAGAACCATCGGGATCTTCTTGTCTTTCGCCGCACGGATAACTCGTTCCACGGTATCTTGCATCAGCGGATCACGGCCGAGGCCGGGGCCGATGACGAGAACATGGAGGCGAGCAAGCATGTCGATGATTGGAGCCGCAATCTTGTCCGGACTGGCGGATGACTCCTGTGCGGCACCCGATTCCGCGGCATCGGATGGGCCCTGTCGCATCAAAGGGTGAACCATCAGGTTGGGAGAATATGTCTTGACCACGGCAGCTGCGGCTGGCGTGCAGATGACATGCGACTAGACATTATCCGGGCGTTAACAAAACAGACAATCCAGCTCAGAATTCATCCAAGAAGGAGAAATACCAAGTCACAGCCTAGCCTTGCGCTGGCCATGGCCGAAAAATACGGAGCCCCGGTGTAGTCCTGGCTGCCGCCGATGACAGCAACGCGGCCGAGTTGTCCTAGAAATGGCGCGCAAGATTCATCAGTCAAAGCCGCCGTGCGAGCCGCAAATTGGACCAGTTCATCAAGTCCTTACCTTTGTGGAATGTCTCAAGCATTGGCGGAATCATGCGCCTTACTTTTGAGAGCACAGCAGTGGTAGTGGCCGACATGTTTGGGCTGGAAGTATGATCCGGCATGTCGTCTAGTGGTCTCGGCTGCGCGGAACTGCGGGTTTTGGTCCCGTCTTAATTAATCAGCTGCGATATCTAGACAATTGCAAGTATATTTCTGATCAATGCGAGGGCGTTTGAGCGATTGTGGTTGCTTCCGGGCTCCCACTCTGGCGTTTGTTGGACAAGAGTGACGTAGCGTGCCTGTCATGTTGATGGGACTTGATAGCTCGGCATTGGGTCCGCAGTTGTGCGTCGTCGTCACTGAGGGCCAACAACAGCCAGGTGCATTCTTCTATTCTTTTGAGCTACTGGTTACCCAGAAAATTGTATGAAGGTGAGAGAGGTAGAATTGGAATTGGCGGGCGCCGCGCAGCTGGCAGCTGGTAGCTGGCAGCAGGGCAGACTGTATGGCACCTGCAATTCCGCTTCTCGCCTTCAAACACCTCGAAACGGTCACCACCAGGTTTGTTAGTCCACAGGCAGGTATTTTAAGAGAGTATTTTAAAAAGAACAAAAGGAATCGAGGGCGTTAATTGAGTTCTGGGCTCTATTTTACAAGTGGCAGCATGTCTGGCGAATTCCCTCTTTTCACCCACATCGCTCCGTCAGAGGCAACCCCCTCGGTTATTCCTCCGCTAGAGAGAAACAAAGACTACAAAGATTTCGGTATAGACAGCAACATCCCAACAGCCCTGTCTCTAATCTGCACAGAAGCTTCTCCGTATTATGACTTAGTTAAGGAAGCTCTTGATGAAGGCCGGCGTGACATCCTTCAGCTTGGCCTCGAGCTCCTTGCTGATGGCACCCTCCTTCTCGATAGTGGCCAGGAGCTCAGGCTCGTTCGTCTTTAGGTGAGCAAGGTAGTCCGACTCCCACTGCAGAATGCGGTCGACGGGGACGTTGTCCAGGTAACCGTTGACACCAGCGAAGATGAGAGGAACCATCTCGTTGACAGCCATGGGCGAGTACTGCTTCTGCTTGAGGAGCTCGGTCAGACGCTCACCACGGGCCAGAACCTGCTTGGTGGCGGCATCCAGGTCGGAACCGAACTGGGCGAAAGCGGCGACCTCACGGTACTGGGCCAGGTAGAGCTTCAGGGAACCAGCGACCTGCTTCATGGCCTTGAGCTGGGCAGCGGAACCGACACGAGAGACGGAAAGACCGACGTTGATGGCGGGACGGATACCCTTGTAGAAGAGCTCGGACTCAAGGAAGATCTGGCCGTCGGTAATGGAAATGACGTTGGTGGGAATATAAGCAGAGACATCACCACCCTGGGTCTCAATGATGGGCAGGGCAGTCATGGAGCCGCCACCGTGCTTCTCGTTGAGCTTGGCAGCACGCTCGAGCAGACGAGAGTGCAGGTAGAAAACGTCACCGGGGTAAGCCTCACGGCCGGGAGGACGACGGAGCAGGAGAGACATCTGACGGTAAGCAACGGCCTGCTTCGACAGATCGTCGTAAATGACAAGGGAGTGCTTAGAGTTATCACGGAACCACTCCCCGACAGCCGCTCCAGTGAAAGGGGCGATGTACTGCAGAGGCGCGGCTTCGGAAGCGGTGGCAGCGACGACGACGGAGTACTTCATGGCATCGTTTTCCTCCAGGGTCTTGACGAACTGAGCAACAGTAGAACGCTTCTGGCCGACGGCGACGTAGACGCAGTAGAGCTTCTTCTTCTCATCAGCGCCGTCGTTCCAGCGCTTCTGGTTGAGAATGGTGTCGAGGCCGACAGCGGTCTTGCCAGTCTGACGATCACCAATGATCAGCTCACGCTGACCACGACCGACGGGAACCATGGCGTCAATGGACTTCATGCCAGTTTGGACAGGCTCGTTGACGGACTTGCGAGGAAGAATACCGGGGGCCTTGAGCTGAGCACGGCGTCTCTCCTTGGCATTGATGGGGCCCTTGCCGTCAATGGGGTTGCCGAGAGCGTCAATGACACGACCAAGCATTTCAGGGCCGACGGGGACATCGACCTAAATTATCATTAGCTAGCTGTGCCAACATGCATGTCCATCTGTAGTGTATACTCACAATTTGGCCGGTACGCTTGACGGTCTCACCCTCCTTGACGAGACGGTCGGAACCGAACAGGACGACACCGACCTGACCAGCCTCCAGGTTCATGCACATGCCCTTGACACCAGAAGAGAACCTTTAATAATGACTGGGTTAGCTTGGCTTCGGATTAGGTCCAGGGGATCCAGGGCGTGGCTTACTCGACAAGCTCCTCAGCCTGGACGTTGGCCATGCCGTGAACACGGGCGATACCATCACTGTGGGGGGCTGGTTAGTACATGTTCTGTTCTGTTGCACTCCAATAGCTGTTGCGCAGTGGTAAGAAGTCGGGGCTGGTTCGGGTCCTCGCGACTCCTCCGTGTGCAGCAGTCATTCTTCTCCACATACCCGACAGAGAGGACACGGCCAGTCTCAGCAAGGTTGCTCTCCTCCTGAACACCACGAATACGCTGCTCGAGAATGGAAGAGACCTCGGTGGGAGAGGCCTTGGCTTCGGCGTAGGTACGGGCCTGGATCGAGGCAACGGCGGGTGCGGCATTTCGCTAGTAGGAAAAAAACAAGTTAGCCGAAGGTCCAAGGAGCAACCTCGGAGAAGCTCGAAAACCGGTGAGACAGCTCGAAAAAGCTTTCCGCGCGTGTATCCCGGTGGTGTAGCAATCCAATTGGGTCGTCAAAGCATTTTTCTGATGAAGCATGCTGTTTTGCGTCGAATTCGATGGCTTGCTCGGTCGGGTCGGGGGGGCTGAGGAGACACTCACAACGGAGACTCGGCTGGCGGCACTGACGGCGCCGACAGCGCGCGTCGACTGACGGAGGGCGTTGCGGAACATGCTGAGGGAGGGAATTGGAGTCTAAGGTGAAAGAGAAGCAATTGCAGCAACGTGCAATTGGGGAGAGGGGAGATTGAGAGATGCAGTGCTGCCTTTGCGGGAGAGCGAATGGAGATTTTCGGGAGGACAGAGCAGAGTCTGTGAGGGAGACTGTGGAGCAGTGCTGACAAGCCACCCAATCAGGGGGAACTGCGCGGTTTTGCCCGAGAAAACCGCTGCCGCGACAACGATAATCCCCCTCCGGTCTCATTTTACAGGTACACACCAGGGTCAGTGCTGGTGCCTGTCTATCCTGACTCCTGAGGCAACATTTTTATTACAGGTACAAGTCCATGATCCCGACTAGCCAGCGCCTAGCCGGTCAGTCAACAGGACATCATCAGTTTTGAAGAATGAGTATTTAATGGCAGTCCTACACTAGAGCTGTTAAATTGCTACACATGCTATTTTTCTGAGAGACGCTTCATCATCATTAATCATCAAATGTGCCTTTTCAAGCTCAACAGCAACAGCGCCCCCCGCAACACTGCCCAAAGGGCTCTCAGAAAACCTCAAAACATGCGAGAAAAGAAAACCTCAGCCGCGATACTATCAAGCAGGATCACTTATCTCTTACCTAGACCATGGTCCAGTCCACAGTCGTCGCCGGCGTGTCGACCAAGTTGCCGTTGAGGCTTGGGATAGTCATGAGCCTGATGTTTCGGCGCGACTGAGTAAAGCATTGAGATGAATTCAAACGATTTTTCGCACTCAAAGCGGAGGAGATAGGATGTACTGTGTCGGATGCCGCTTTATGCGCTGGCCCAGGGCGCTGGTTCCCTCGGCTGGATTCGAATCAGCAACCTTCCCGGAAGAAGGTCCGCCATGACGTTTCACCAAGACTTCGCGAGGGTGAAGGAAAAAGTAGAATGTAGGTTAGTATGTTAGCAGACAGTTAGTAAAGTACCAGAGGTGTGTTCGTGATGGGCGCGCGCCGCATGCGCGCATCGCGTATGTTCAATGACAGGATGTTGCCAAGAATCTCCTTCTGAGCCGGAGTATTATATTCAACTGACACGATGTTACCAAGAATCTCCTTCTGATCCGGTATTATACTCAATTGACACGATGTTACCAAGAATCTCGTTCTGAGCCGGAGCATTTATATTCAAATGGCGCGATGTTATTGAAAACCTCCTTCTCAGCTGGCGTATGAAGCTGAACAAAGCCTTGTCTGCTCATACGCTGGCTCTGAACACTTTAACACGTATTTTTTGTGCCCACATGGCTGGTGGGTTGCTGTTTGGGTCCCCCAGCATGCGAGTCAGCGGCAGGTTGGAGATGTTCGCCCTGCCAGCAACAACATGCAGGTACCGATCCCCCGCAAGCATGAACTCCAGCTTGTCGATGGGAGTAAAGTCGTCGGACACCCAGCACTCAGCAGCAGCCTCTCTCAACACCCTCCCAGCTAGGCTGAGGTACCACGGCCGCGACGGTAGCTCCTTGGGGAAGTCCTTCAGGTAAGTCGCTGTTAATTGAAGGTTAAGAAGCTGCACAGCTTCACTGCCTTCCCCCGCAACGAGCACAACGATCTCAGCACCACGCGCAGCTTTTTCGTCTGCGATTGAATGGTGAGAGATAGCTGCTGAGCCGGGCAGCCCAGGTGCAGCGACGGGGGCGACGGGAGCGACAGCAGGAGCGGTGATTCGATCCAAAAGCACGGCGAGCGGCTGTGCGAGCGGCGGCCGACAAAGCGAAGCGGGGTTGCGGCTGCCTCACTTGCAGCTTATTCAAAGGTGTAGTTGGTGCAAGAGAAATGTCGTGGGCATACTTGGTGCTGGCTCAAGGAACGTCCGTTGGAGAACTAGCTTGAGGTTGCTCCTCACGTCAAGGTCTGGAGTCATATCTAGAGAAAGTGTTAGTACACATGCTCAGAGAATTGTTTCAAAGTGACGAGTTGGCATACATCCAGACGAAGCACCAGAGTCACTCCTCTGGTGCGAAAATGGATACGTGAACTGCCGACGTTCTGGCGTGGCCATCGTTGGAGCCGTTTCCGGCCTGTATCGCATCGTGTTTGCTGTTAAATGATTGCTGCTTCCCGGCGTAAAGGCTCTTATACTTGTGTTAGTAGTACACTCATGTGAGACAGACGGGAGGCAGACTCACTGGTGGGGGGGGGGGGGCCGGGTTGCCGTAGTCGAGTGGTTGCTGTTCTCGAGTGGTTGCTGTAATTGAGTGGTTGCCGTAGTCGAGAGGTTGTGCATGCCCAGCTGTGAGTTCTGCGTTAGTCCAACCATTAACACAGCGCGGGACACATTAAACTCACAAGGGCCCAACTCGTTCAGTGGCGGATGAAAGTTGTTTCCATCCTCGTAGTATGGGTGTCTGTCATCTCGCGCGGCGGGGGGCTGGTGCAGGAGCCGCTCGCCTGCCGACGTGGCCGGTCGCCCGGTTGCTTCCACGCTTCGCTGGTTTCTTCTGGGCGCGGGTCAGGCATGGCATACGTAAAAAAGGTATTGTATATGAAGATTTGAAGTTCGAGGATTGTATAGGATGTAAATTTTAAAAGGATGTGAAAAAATTCGAAAGAGTGTGGATTTCTACGCGCGCATATAAACATATAAACACGTACCAGTAACTGCGTCTACACACAACCCCCGACTCTGCCAGCTGCCAGCCCCGTTTGCAGTTGTTGAGTTAATGTGCGTGCATTGTTTGCCCTTCACCGCCCCGTTGCCAGTGAATAAAACCTTTCATTGGAGCTCGGGGGTCGTGAAAAAAGCTTGCTATTGAATACTCCAAACACCGTACCATTTGCCCTCAGATGCAAAATCCTGCAAGTGTCCTTTTCTTGTTCTGGACATGTCGGTAGTTCAGTCAGGCCCGCAAGTTGGCGATTCTCGATAAAATCACCCCATTTGATTCTCAGCGGCCACCAATGTTGAAGAGATGCTGCGCTGATGGTGCGATTAAAGCCCGCGCCTACGGCTACGCCTCTGTTCTGCTACTGTCAGGGTGAGTACGAATAAACCACCGCTAATCCCATCTTTGAATGGACTAACCTTGATTACCAGGTCGAATGGGCCACTCTAATCCTTCTCTCGAATGGGCAGCCTCTGATTCCGCGTCGGCCGCGCTGGAAGCACCACCGAGACCACCAAACAAAGTGTGAAGAAAAGAGTAAATAGGCGGGCAGGCTAATATAAGGCTCGTTTCCAAGCGGCGGTGTGCAGCCAAGGTGGCAAGCATTCCTTGTTCTTTATGGTGCTGGCGGTTTCGCCGTTGCGTCGAGCCCCTCGCCCCGTCTGCTGGATAAAGTCGACAATCCCGTACGGCAGTCCGGCGTGGATGACGGATACGATCCCCTCGATGTCGATGCCTGTCCCCAGTCCCGTCGTGGCGGCGATCCAGCGATGACCCTTCCCGGAAGCCCACCCGACCCGGGCACTCGCCTGCTCCTCCGCCACCATGCCACCATGGTGTGCTGGGCACCCGATCGCCTCGGCCACTGCCTTGCACTGGTCGATCGAACGGCAGTAGACCACACCCCGCTGGCCGCTGACCATGGTGCTGCTGATCCCCGACACGAGCTGGACCACTCGATCGTCGACGGTAGCTGTGCCTGGCTTCACCATCTCCACCTCATACCGGCAGTTGAGCTTCAATGCCTCGTCGCGGATGGTCACCGCGTCCCCGGCCAGCAGAGCGCGATGGAACCACTTCTCAAACCGCACCGGCAGTGTCGCCGTCAGCAACACGACCGGCCGCCGATACCGCGCGGCCGTGTTGAGCTGTACGAGTTTCTGCCGGAATGTGGTTTCTGTAATGGCCACATGCGCCTCGTCAATAAAGATGCGCCCAAGCAGCTCTTCTTTGTGAAGCATGTCCAGATACGCCCGAACGCTCTCCACCTCGCACGAGTCGGCACTGACAATGACCATCCGCGCCGTCCGCGGCATTTGTTCTTGTTCCGCGATGGCGGCCGGCTCCAGCATGATGACGTCCACCCCCCTCTCTCGGGCCTTCTCATATAGATCAAGCCGGAGTGCTGTGTACGGCACAATCACCACGCTAGTCCCGCCCTCGTCCATCACAGCCGGGATCATAAACAATAAACTCTTTCCGGCACCGGTGGGAAGGATGCACAGCCCGCATCGGTCGCCGTCCAGTGAAGCGATCATACGCATGCACTCGGCCTGCTTGGCGGACTTCCATGTCGCACTCGGCCCCATGAGCCTCTGCAGCCCATGCACGATCCGCCTTTCGAAGTTCTCGCCGTCCTTGTCGTCCTTGCTAACCCTTCGTCGCTTACATGCCCGCTCGGACCCGCCATCATCTCCAGCAAGCCGCCGCTGTACGCCCCCTGCCTCGAGTCCGCCTTCGCGTAAAAACTGATGCCATAGTCGGCTGATGCTTCGGAACGTAGCCAGTAGCTCGGGCTGTAGCCGACCTGGTACGCCGATGTGGACCGCGTACCCTTGCCGTGCAATCTTCGTGCCGTGCGTGCCCTGTAGGTCCCACACGATGTTATAGCCGCCCTGGTAGCGGATGACTTCGCCGGTAAAGTCGTCAATCTCCAGCTCCTCACCATCGTCTGCCTCGCCGGCCTGGCTCTCGACCTGCTTCATAACCAGCCCGCGGACCCTTCGCCCTAACTCAATCGCGACGACTCTGTACCGGGCCACGCCCATGCGCAGTTTGACATGCTCCTGCGTGAGACGACCAAGTATGTTGCTCAGCCGGTCGGTATCCCATGCCTTGGATGCGCGGTGCCGCCACATAAACTCGACCTCGCTTGCTTCCGGCTCCGGCAACGAACATCGGCGTAGTAGCATTTGCTCGGCCGGGAGCAGCCACGCGATATATGCCACCACCAACCGCCCGGCGGGGTCGGGTAGGAACCGGGCCACTTTTCGCCCGTGATCGCGGATGGCCTTCATCTTATCACGATCCGTAATAAACGTCAGTTGCCCATCAAGCACCAATACATTCCGTGTGAGTTGCTGGCTGTCGCAATGCCGCATAGTGGCAACCTCGGGACCACGGCCCGGCTGACCGCCCCATATGTGCGATATGGCATACAGCAGCTCCCGGAATCGACGCAGTCTCTGTAGCCATCTGTGCACGTTGTTGTACTTCCATGTGGCGGTCGTCGGGTTAAAGACGGACGTCTCGATGGCCCGTAGTACCTTTCCGGGCCCGGGCTCCAGCCATTGGTTGCGGTCGTCGTGCACAAACGACTGCCCGGTGCCTCGTCTCGCCATGTGATCCTTGATCCGGCTCATAAGAATGCTTTGACTAAGCTCATCCCATTGCCCACGAAATAGTTGGTTGGCTATCGTGTCAGCCTGCACAATCATGTCGCGCGCCATATGCTGGAACTCGCTTACTACGAGCTCGTCACCGTTGTGGTAAAGCGTCGACTCGTCCTCGCTCCAGCGAACCGATGGCGTGCCACCCGTCTTGTTCCTGTGTCCCTTGCCATATGCCATCCAGTTGATGATTCGGCTCATGACTGTAAATGTACCAACGCACATCCAGCGTGCATGCTCCTCGCGAAAACCCTCCATAGCGGCAACGTCCACCTCGTCCAGCGCGAGCGGCCGTCCTTGCCAGTAGTCCTCCAGAAAAAATAGTCGAATCAGCCACTGCAGAGCGGCCAGCGTTCCTGTATAGAGCCATGCCTCTTGGTAACCCTCGGACGCTCCATGGACCCCAGCCGCGGCGCAGAAACAAAGCAGCGCATTGCTATACCATGTACCTCCGACTTTACACTTGATGGACGCCGCCATGAAGCAAAAGACCGCTTGGTCCAGACTTGTGCGAGCCTCAGCTGCCATGTGGCCGTCGTATTCGTCCTCCGCACCGATGTTGCTGTCCTCGCTCAAGTAACCGCTGTCGTCTGTTGGCAGTAGTTCTTTGTTTCTTGGGTTCGACAAACGACCTAGTTCGGTCCTGATCTCCTCCACGATATCGCTGATGTGGCCCCATTGTTCCTCTGTGAACACCATGCCCAGTTCCTCTTTAGCCCGTACTCGCCCTAGTTGGTGTGCCCGCCAGCAGAACCCAAGATAGCGGTAGCCAATAGCTTTGTACTTCTGCCTGGATCGTTCTCCCTTATCATAGCTGAACGGTAAGCTATTGGGCTTGCCAGCTTCTATCCCATGGAGATACTGTAGCACCTCCTTTGGCACAGCCTTGACGCGCCAGCTGCAGCGATCCACCTCGCGATCTAAACTCTCGCATAGTAAGTCGAGCGCCTTAGCCTCCTGCTTTGCTGCCTCATCATCCGGTTGTCTCTTCGTCCCCTTCATACCAGCGGACCGAATAGAATGCGTTGCTTCGTGTATTTGGCGGAAGTTTTTACCGCTGAAATGCTGTGCCCATTTCATCTCCTTCACCCACGTAGAGTCATTCGTCAATCCAGTCCGCCCGTCGCCAGTCTCTAGCCTTTGTCTCCTTTCTTCATTTAAGTCGAACATCGTTTCCTCAATCATAGTGTCCATCAAGCTAGGTGGTTGATCTCTGCTTGGCTGAGACGGGTTGGTCGGGTTCCCTCCGGTTTGTACAATCCAGTAGCTGGTATCTCTGCCCCGCCGCCAGCTTTGCAGTAGTGCATGGGTGCATTTCTCGCCTGAATTGGTATGCCCTGACGTGCGCCAATGCCTTGTTACTGCATCGCGCGTAATTGTCAAGTATCGGCATGCAGTGCAGCTAAACCCCATCTCTGTGCGTAAGAGTGTGTGTGGTTGACTATAATCTGGACGTCGCTGTATGCTTTTTATGTCGGCAATATCGAGTAGTGCTGTATAATCTATGATCTCTTTTAAATCTTGTCCCTTAATGCCGTGTGTGTTGCGTAAGTGCCGAGCCATCGATTGCGCAGGCGGGATGGCAGTGCGGCAGTCCCTGCAAAGTATCACCTTATACTGATCGTCATAGTAGACGTGCCTGTCTGTAATCGCAGACATCGCTAGTATAGTTGTATAATAAAAGTGAATAGTCATAAGACTACAGATGTGTAAAAACTAAGTGGCCCAGCTTATTGCACTGAATAAGTTTAGTCGCGTCGTGTGCGCGTTCAACAGGCGCATCTCATCTAACTTCCTTACCGCGCGGTCGCCAATCACGTAACCCTGCTTGCTAAACCTAACTGTTCTGGTTTAACTAATTGGGTAATTAGTGGTCCGTATCTGTTGACACGTTCTCACTGTCAAAGCTCGGGCCACCTTGGGTGGGGCCACACCAAAAATCAGGAATGCCTAGGCTCCCGATGTCAATGACAACGGCTGCGAATAATGCCTAGGGGAAATTAGAGACGTCTGAGAAAGGAAAGGTAACGATGGCTGTCTACAAGGCTTATACATCAGCCTGTGGTCATTTCCAGCTCGCGGCGTGGGTGTGTTTCATGGTTGTATCCCAAGCAGCAGCAATTGGTAAGGATTTACCACGACTAGTATTTGCACGCTCTGCTGACATCTTCCAGGCAGTGGGTTGTGGATACGATACTGGACTGACAAGAATGTCAAGTACGATGGCAATTACCAGCCAGGCCAGTTTATTGCCGTTTACACAGCACTCGGACTCTTGTCTGCTCTGTGCGGAGCTGCCACATCGATTGTTGTCAATGCTTTCTGCCGAATCAGTGCCTCCAAGAAACTGCACGACAACATGGCAGCAGCCATGTTCCGAGCACCTTTGAGCTTTTTTGAGACGACCCCAGCTGGACAGATTCTCAACAGGTTTGGCAGCGACATGTCAACGATTGATGGCGAGATGATTGGGACACTTACGCAAGCAGTGAGCTGCCTGACGTCTATTCTGTTCACGCTTGCAATAGTGTGCTGGAGTAAGTAGTCGATCGCATCGTTGCAGTATCAGTACTGACGGAGGCAGCATCGCCCTTTTTCCTAATCTTCGTTGGACCCCTGGCCTACATCTGTGTCGTTCTTCAACAATACTACGTGCGAACATCTCGCGAGCTCTCTCGTATGGACAGTTCCACTAAATCCCCCATCTACTCACACTTCCAAGAATCCCTAGGTTGTGAAAGGCCGCTAGTAAGTTGATTCAACTATCTAGTTCCTATGCTGTTTTCTATCAAGATGAAGAGGAAAGAAAGTGAATCAACTTTATGAGAGCATAACAGCACTTCTATAGCTTCGATCAATGGAAGGTTCTAGAAGCTCGGCGGCACAGCCGCCGCTCAAGCGGCTTGCCCGTTACAGGGGTCGTGAATCTATACTTTTTGGAACCAGCATTATGGGACGAGCAAACGGCAAGGAAACCCCCAAGGACGGTAACATGGCTGAGTTTGATCACCACCCTGACAGTGTCCTCCATTTTGAGAAGAGAGAGGAAAGTTTTTAATTAATCGTCCCTCCAGTTTTTTGTGTCTGAAGGGCTTTCTATTGGGTTGCGATCAAAAAAGACGGAACAAAGTCGCACACATGTACGTCAAGCAAAGATTAATACAAGCATAGCCACTCAAAGATCGAGGTCCGTGAAAGCACGACAGAGTTAATGGAGAGTTCTGATCCATGGGAAGAGAATTCAGCGGTTGGTTCTTTGATGTAATGTTTGTCGTTTCGTAGCCACCTCTCGTAACAAAGACGTGCGGTGGCGGCTGGGGGAATGGGATCATCCTTGGCTGGCGCTGCTTCACCTGTTTTTCAGTCGGCGGCAGTGGCCAAATGCGGTGCTCGTTGTATCTTGTCACGATGAGCACGACTAAACCCCCCTCCAACCCCCCCTCCAACCCCCCTCAGGCTCACCTTCGAGCCCGGTCCAGCGTCAACTTGCCTTCCCATGTATATCATATGGTAGCACGTGCTGACGCATGGCCCGAAGACAGAGCTGCATGTTGAAAGCTGAAAGGCTTATAAAACACAGCAATGAGTACAGCCGGAACAGAGTAATTTATCTGTTAAATCCAGTCAATTGTTAACTAACTAAAGCGCGAGCTCTAGTTAATACTCGTTCCCTACCTTAATTCCATAGGGAAAGAAGTATTAGAACTAGCCGCTTTATAATTTAGTACCTAAACTTCCACTAAAGATACCTACATAGCTTAATAGCCGTGCTTGCTCCCTAGGCTTTGCCATTCTGCTTAATACTCTGGCCCAAGCAATTTTCAAAGGTATGGGTCTTCCAATAAGTCCAACCTTCACGGCGGACGAGCTGTGCTTTCTCGTCAACAGTGTTTGCCACGAAGCCCTCGCTGTTACTCTCTTCCAACTCCTTGATAAAGGCAGGCATGTCGTCCTGGATAATCTTCATCTCAACGAGGTCATCGGCGGGATCCTCGCCGAGGTTGTTGGGGGGTGGCAGGGCTCTCCCGGACAGGGCTCTCTTGGACGCGACTTTGCCATTCTTGGGGCAGTTCTTCTTGAGGTCCACGGGTTCGGGCAACTCGGCGCGACGCACCCACTCGTCAGGGCTATCCTCGTCGGCGGGGGGGATGTACCACTGGTCGCCGGGCATCCAGTACCAGCCGTTCTCGAGCTCGCACATCTTCTTTCCGTCCTCTGCCGCGACCCATTTGACCGCCTTGGGGACCTTGGTCACCTTGACCTGCGGGATGAGGGGATTGTTGTCCCTCTCGATGATGCTTGCCATGGCACGGACGGGGTTTCCGCTCTTGTCGCGCAGCACGTACGTAAAGGTGCAGTCCTCCTCAAACTTGCGGGATGCGATGATCTCGGGCTTTGGCATCTTGATCCCCTGGTTATCAGGGCCATACCCGGTTATTTTGTTGTTAAGCTCTCCTTGAAGTGTGCTATCGACCGCGGTGTCGTTGAAGGTGTAGAACTCCTTACCGAACCTGGATGATGGCGAGCACAGGCCAAAAAGCGCGAGATCAAACTTGTTTTTCGAGTGCTGACTGTTGGAGCACTGGGCATCGTAGTAGGGGGTGGTGAAGCATTTTCCCCTGAGAGTCCTGGTGTACGTCCAGGTGATGTGTCGGCAGATGCTATTCTCCGGGCACTCGTACGGCTCTGTGTTGGTGACTGTATATTCAGTCTGCTTGGAGGCCTCGCCGTGTTTGCCTCCTGCCGTGCGCTGGTTGCCGAAGATGGTGGCCGAGAGAGAAGCAGAGAAAAAGCTGATTCCTGACTGTACGCCCACCGTGACCGAGCCGCCGATCTCTGACGACTCTTCCTTGTTCCATCCGTGCCTCTCCGTGTTGATAATCGCCTTGGATGTGGAGATTGTTCCCGTTTTGGGTTTATCCTCAGTGATAGTGTCAGGAGCATCGACATTGGGGACGACGTCAAAGAACGATTGTGTGGCCTCTTTCGAGAAAGAGTTGCGCACATACAAGCACTTGCGCTCCTTTTCCGCAAGGTGATCATAGTTGTCCTTGAACGTGGCCCCAAGGGCGTTCTTCGAAGCCTCCATCTGGCCCTCTGAGTAAGGAAACTCCTTGCCCATAAATTTCTTGGTGCTCGTGAGATGGCGCTGAACAATAGTCGATTGTAGGATAACTCCAGCCAAGTCAAAGTCACCCCCGTCTTGTCGGGGAACAACAGCGCCGTGCGTAGTTGCGGCAGACAAGGACAGAGCTGTCCAGAGCATCATGCTGATCATGGTGGATAGCAGTTGGCCGGCAAGGCGGTTGTGCAAGTAAAAAGAATGTTGCAAAAAGAGTGTTGTGAAAGGAGAGTAGCAGAGTTGTCCGTGTTGGATACTGATTGCTTTGGTGAGGCGAGAAGCCTGGATATAAATACCCGCTCAAGCTACACACGTCCTTGCCCAAGTATACACAACCTCATGATCCTTGACCAAGCATGCACAACCCCAAGTTCCTTGCCCAAGCACATACAAACTCAAGTTCCTTGCCCAAGCATAAACAATATCATTTCGCCGCATGGTCTGACCCCAAAGACTATGATGCCTGTGAGAGTACCTCGTCTCATCCGTGAGCACGTCAACTTCTCATGGCGTAGTTGCCAAGGTCACACTTGCATGATTCGAATCAGGCAGCGTTGAGCTGGCCTGTATATTGACAAGGGGGGAGTATAGAGGTAAAAGGCTATGGTGGGCTTCACTATGAGCGACGAACTGTACAGGATGAATGCCGAGTGGAGGTTCGTAAGGCTTCGAGTCATGAACTCAATCACCAGCATGACGTCCGTGGCTGTGCGGTTCTTAGTTCGGACCATTTAAACTTTCGTCCAACATTAAAGCGCCGGGGTAGAATCAAGCGCGCCAGCTTGGGCGGCCTAGTTTTCTGCATAAAAGGCATAAAAGGCATAAAAAGGTAAAAATGTAGGATGCTATTAAAAATAGGGTTTGATTGCGGTCCAGGCACAAAAGCTAGCCATGGTCAAGGAGTTGTGGCTGTGAGTGTCCAATGTAGCTCGTGGACCCGGAATGCAGCGCCTTATGATCTACACGAATAACATTACACTACTACTAATACTCCTAAGTATACTACTACCCGGACTTAATACCATAAGTGTTAATATTAACTATTAAAGGTGTTGTTAGAGGTGCTATTAATTGCGCATTTTCCCTCACGGTGATCTTTTCTCCCAGTTGCCCAGCCAAGCTTTAGGCAAGGACTAGAGTCATGAAGTAGCCAATGCACTGAGGCAATGGAAGTAGAAGACGTAGTTCGGGATATCATTCCCCGAGGCATGGAAGTAGAAGACGTAGTTAGGGTCATTATCAGACTTCCCTCTGGAGATTCGCATAATGGCCTGAGTCTGAGACGGAAGTCCCGGTATCACTCCAGCTGAAGGATTCCGACTAAGAATCCCAGTCGGTATGCCCAGCGGTTGTAGGATACGTTCTGGGATGTATGGTATGAGTATTTATAGTCTCACTTCCGCCGGCCCAATATCTTGAAAGTCAAACTCTGGTATTCAGGTTGCTCAGTTGCCCAGCGCCTTGCAAAGCAACGTAAAACAGATTACACAAGCTTTCGGTCAGAAGTCATTGTAAGTCCCAGTGCAGCCATTCGGGGTCCCCTCTTGATATGTATTATTAACTGTGTCTTTCTTTCAGCCTTGAGTTTCCCACAGCAACAACATCAGAGAATCTTGTATAAACCTCTGAAGCCATGGAGTTGCCCAAGATCACGGGTTTCCTGTGGTTCTACCTTGGTCTCCTGTTGGCTTTTGGTCAAATCTTGACAGTCCAGGGACAAGGCAACGGAGGGGAATGGGAGCTACCAGCTGAGCCGGCACTCGCAGCGGATGGTCTTCAGATCAAGCTTGACCGTGACCTGTACAAGAAGCAAGGCTCAATTGTCTACGCCAGTCATCTCCATTTTGACGAGACGCCCGACATTTCGGACAGCCAATTATACAAGATTGCTAGGGATGCCTACAATGAGATGAGGAGCAGCGCTACGAAGAACGGCCTTACAGAAAAGATCCCGAATGTCATGACAACCCTCCTTATTGGCAACGAACTCATCTTTGCGTCGTCGGCAAAAGGCCCAAAGGACCCTTATGATCCAGAGGACCAGGTTGTGGGCGACCTGACAGTTTGCTCCAACGCGAATGAGGGCAGGCGTCACAAGAATGGAGGAAGGTGCGGTGAGGTAATGGCCTTTCACGAGTGGTACCAGACCCATGAGGGTTCTTCACGCTTGAACGCAGACAGTGGCGCAAAGGTTGTCGCAATTTCCATGCAGAAGAATCCCGCTGGAAAGAGGGAACCTCTTATCCTGGCTCCCTGTGGCAACGACGTATGTACCTCTCTATATCTTGACAAGTCCATGGACGCTCAGAACAAAGTACTAACTACATGTCTAGAAAGAATGGGGCTGCAACGTTTTCATCAACGGCGTATACGCATTGGATAATGCCAAGGTTGCCGCGGATCCTCGCACGCAAGCGTTTCGATACAAGAACATGATCAAGGAAAAGAAGCTTAAGCCGGCGCCCCCCAAGCCAGCCCAACCACTCCCACCTCCCAACAAGTTGCCGCCGCCCCCGAGCCGGCCGAATGAGAGGCCGAGTGGAAGCAAGCCTGGCCCGCCGCCCAACAAGTTGCCGCCGCCCCCTGGCAGGCCGAATCCCGCGCCGGGTGGAAGTCTAAGCAGCCCAGAAAACACTGGCAAGCCTCCCAAGAATCCCAAGAATCCCAGGCCGCCGAAGGGCCCTGGGAAGCCAAAGAGGCCTTGAAGAAGCGAGCAACGCTGCTACTTCCAAGCGCGAAACTGAACTGTTAGCCAAGGTTAGTTTGTGTCCGGCGTGTGTGGCTGGTATAGATGGACTCGGGTCTTGGTTTCTCTATTCTTCAAGGAACTTCGTATGCTCATTTGGAATGCTAGCTATATTTGCGCTTGGAACCATTATAGATCATTTCTGTAGTTTGTCCTATCAAATACAATCGTCTTGGTTTCGACCTCATCGCAACCATTGCCAAGTTACTACAAGGCTTTAAGAAAGGCTCCAGGGTGTCATTGCTAACAGCTGATTAGCCAGCTCATTCTACTTGGTGGCGATCGGGTATATCCGTCTGCTTATTGTAAGTGGCGGGTACCTGGCTAGCCCATTTATTAACATTGGGAATTATCAAGTGCCAATCTGAATTGTGAAACAATCAACAGCCCATGACACAGCCCCATATGGCTACAAATGTGTCCTCAAAACTAGTTGGGGCATGGTTCATCAATGCAATCGATTCCTTAATTATTCCTTTTGAGCGGCGGTTCCTGCCCCAGCCAGCAGATGTGGCATAAAAGTTTGGGCAAGACTAGGCCCCGAAAAGGTGAGCATTGGCAACTCGTTTCACGCAATCAATGCCTGTACAAAGAATTGACCATAAAAACCAAGCGACAGTCCACCTACCTCTGGACCACAGCCACCTCACCTCAATCGACGGCTCTTGAATTCAATCCCATCCGCCTTTTCACGGAGACGAACAAGTCACCAAGAAAAAAAAAATGGCCCTGTCGCCGCTCAAGGACTGGCCGAGCGAGCTACTTCTGTCTCTCTTGGAGTTGCTACCCTTGAACGACTTGCTCTCCATGACGAGTGTCAACAAAGCCATTCGCACCCTAGCCCTGCCTCTGGTCTACTCGACGGTTGAGGTACGCTGGACCTGGCATCGCCTGCCGCCTGTTATCCTGCTCCTGCAAAGTCTTCTCGAGCGACCCGAGCTGTCTGGCTACATCCGCAACCTGCGCCTCGTGGGAAATGGGTTCGACGACAGGCCCGAACTCGAGGAGCCGCCCATCGTCCCCCTCGGCGCTCATCTGCTCAGCAAGGCATCCGAGGTCATCGAATCCACCAGAGTACCATTCACTAGGTTTTGGATCGATGAGCTGCACTCTGGCAGCGTCGACGCCATAGTGGCACTACTTGTCGCCATGGCGCCGAATCTAACGGCTCTTCATCTTGGACCCAACTTTACTGTTCGAAGCCGACTCTGGGGAGGCATGTTTCGATACGCTCTTTCCGGGCCACCAAACAGTTACAAATTACCGACATATCATAACCTACGCTTGGTCGAGGCCAGTTGGAGGACAAAAGAATGGCACCACAATACCGTCTGCAACGCGGCGGAGGTTCTTGCCCTGTTTTATCTTCCGCGAATCCAAAACCTATCCGTATCGATTGACAACCCGGTCGAATTCGCCTGGCCTTTTTCGCACCCGCCAGCCCCCTCCTCTCTCGTGTCGCTAGACATCTTCCGGCTGCGCGAATCACGCATCGGCCCCGTGCTCTCGGTTCTCAAGGGACTCCAAAGGCTGCATTGGCACTGGTCGTATCAGCCAGATCTCGACGAAGAGGTCAGCAAAGGCGTGCTGGACCTTGACACGGCAGCGATAGCATTGAACCAGGTTGCCGCCACGCTCACCGACTTGACGATTGGTGCCATCACGCGCCCCAGGATATCGGACGGGGATTACGACCCTCCTCCGCTGGAGCTCCGGGGATCACTAGATGGACTTTCCCGCCTGAGTAAGCTTAGAAAACTACGTCTCCCATGGGTCTTCCTGATGGGTTTTTCGAAATCACCCGCTAGGAACCTCTTGAGTGCGCTTCCTTTGAGCCTGGAGCTGCTTGAGCTGACGGCAGACTTGGATGACCATGAGGAATGGGAATGGCATGACGACGATTCTATTATCAACGCCATCAAACTACAGCTTACAAGTCAGTCCATATCGCGCTACACTTGTCTGCGGCGCATTGTTCTGCCAATTCCTTCCGAGTTTAGCGAAATGACGGAGCAGCGCGAAAAGGAGCTATTCACCATTGGCACGAGGGCGGGACTCGAGTTGGGGTGGATCGAGGAGTCTGAAGATGAGGAAGAAGAATACTAGGCAGCTTTGACAGGTCTTCGGTGCCCACGCCAACTTACATTAGCGCGATTGATTCAGAACCTCAGAGTATACAGGTGGCAAAGGCAGCCAACCATGGCCAGTAGGTAGACGACTTGTGAAATAAAATCGGGTTTACGTGAATTACGCGAGACGCATGCGGTCATAAAGGGGGCCTTCGCATCGGGATGCAGACGAGTTTGACAAGTACTGCTCCCGAAGACATCAGGGAGCCGTCTTGGTTCTGCGTGGAAGGCCAATGTTGGGGATTTCTGGCGTCGCTCGCAGTGGATGAGAACCTAAGCATGGGCAACGCTTGTCTTACTATTAACGCTAGATAGCGGCATGCAGAGACTTGCGAGTTGAAAGGCGCGGTCACCTTTCATTACGCAAGGCATTCAGTGTCGATGTTCGGGTTCCAATCCCCAACGTGCGATGCCAGACGCCGGGAATGGAAGCACCGTGCCCATATCCGGGTTCGTTTTCATTCGCATCCAAGGACAGGCTGATTGCTGATGCTCGTTTCCAAGCGCAATCGTGACATTGAGACTGCAGAGAAGATAGGCCAAGGGAAATGTGCTCATCACATTCGCAAGCAGATATAAAGCCGGCATGTGCGCCGGTCGGTCTCTAAGGCCGAGCTCGACTCAATTGCTGGTCGAGCTGATGCGTAGGTAACTTAAATACAAATATCGCCTGTTCCGATCCGTTTCCCTTAAAAAAAAAAGAACATTCGCCATGACAATCCGTGAAAGAATCCTGCCCCAGGAATTTTTGATGTGTGTGTGTGGGTGTCGCGCATTTACCGGACGATACCGTCGAAGCGAGTCTTGAACCAGCGGACAGTCTCGTCGCGCCTGATGCGGTGGGAGGAGCCGATGGTGGACTTCATGCGGCGGCGGCGGGTGACGCGCTCACCGGGACGGGTCATGCAGCAGTAGAAGTCCATGCCGTAGATACCGATGGAGGGGTCGTACTTGATACCGAGATCGATATGCTCAGAGATACCGAAGCCAAAGTTGCCGGTCTCGGAGAAGTTGCGCTTGCGGAGCTCGTACTCCTTGACCTTGAGGCCACGCTCGAGAATCTCCTCGGCCTTGGGGCCACGGACGGTGACGTGGACGGAGATCTTTTCGTTACGGCGGATACCGAAGGTACGGACAGTGTAGCGGGCCTTGCCTGTAATCGGAGGTTAGAGATCGAATTGCAAATCGTAGAGCGCGGGATGGTGAATCGTACTGTAGACAGGAGTCTGACCAGAAAGCTGCTCGAGCACCTTGGCGGCACGGGTCAGTCTGTCACCAGACTCGCCGACGCAAATGTTCAGAACGAGCTTCTGAATCTTGAGCTCCCTCATGGGGTTGTTGGCCTTCTCGGACGCCATTGCTGCGGTATTTGGTTGTCGACGGGGGGGAAGTTGATGTTGTCGTGTCGTGAAGATGTAAACTTAGCGTGGAGAATCGGCCAAAAGATTTTGTGAAGGCTTGGGAAAATTCGAGGGTTTGTCTGCCCTCATGTGTGGCCGAGGAAAAAGTGGGATTACGCTAGTCTATAATAGGTTGAGGCGGTAAAGGGTACATAGAGGATGTACCTTTTTTGGCAGCCTCCCCAATCAGGCTCCGCAAATTCTGGGCCATACCTAAACTTCAGAGCTTGAAGAAGCGTTGAAGTTTGCCGCGGTCGCGTATCCCAAGCTCCGCGAACATACCAATTTTTTTAAAACACTCGAGAGGCTGCTTCTGCAAGCCCTCACCAAATCATTCAAGATGTCAAACAAGCAAGGAAAGATGGTATGTTGACAGCACGCGACCCCCTCCTCTCCACCGCTCGTGATGCAATTGCTAACTCCACGTCTGCCTAGGCCGGTTATGTACGTTTTCCAATGAGGCGCAATGCGACTCTGCAGATGGCCGATACCCAAAGACGATCAACAAGGAGGGAAGACTGACACTCGCGCCTAGATTAACTGGCGGATGCGCGTGACGCTCAACGACGGCCGAGCAATGACGGGACAGATGCTCGCCTTCGACAAGGTAAGATCGCGGTCCAACATGGGAAAGCCTCCCTCTGCTAACTTGCTTCACAGCATATGAACCTTGTCCTCGCAGACACCGAAGAGTTCCGACGCGTAAAGCGACGCCAAGATCGGTCTGCGCCCGGCGCCGGCGGCAGCCTGGTCGAGTCGGAGGAGAAGCGCACGCTCGGCCTCACCATCGTTCGCGGCGCGTACATCGTCTCGCTCTCCGTCGAGTCGCCTCCCCCCGCGGATCCCAGCGCAAGACTAGGAAAGAGCGCGCCCGGCGGGATCCCCTCGGCTCTGAGCGCTGGTCCCGGCGTCGCGAAGCCCGCCGGCCGCGGCGCGCCCGCCCCCTCCCTCGCTGTACGATGACGTCTCCCGGTCTCCCAACTCCCGAATCGAGAGTGTGATCTTTGCTAACTTCCTGTAGGGCCCTGCCCCTGGCCTCGGTGGTGGTGCTCCTCCTCCGGGCCTGCCTGCGTTCCCCGGCGCTCCTGGCTTTGCCGGTCGTGGCGGTAAGTGGTCGAGTCGCCGACACGTTGACCGCCGCAGCATGTCTAACAACTATTATCCAGGCCCTCCGCAGTTCCCCGGCGGCTTCGCTCCTCCTCCTGGTTTCCCGGGCGCTCCTCCTGGCGGCTTCCCCCCTCACGGCTTCCAGCCTCCTCCCGGTGGCGCGCCGCCTGGCTTCAACCCCGGTCCCCGACGATAGGATATATAAACTACAAGAGCATAGGGACGGTTCAAGGGTCCGCGATTGGATTTATGATACCTTTACTACAAGCAAGATATGGTTACGCTGTAGATCAGGAAACCTGGGTCAGGGAGTTTATGAGATTTAAATCCGGTGTCAGGGTAAAAATGCACTTTATTTCTTCGCTATGCCATTCCCGCGTGTTACTAACATGGTGCTCTTGACTTCATCGAACGCTTATAGAAGCCTTCGCCGAAAACCTTCATCAAAACCATCGTCGGGACCTTCATCGAAGTTGGTTAGGCCCTCCGTTTTCCTATAGTCAACATACCTTCCGAGACGGATGAAGCGTCAGGGGTATCGCAAGTTAAATTTCTATATATTGAAAGCTACCTACAGAGCAGTTACGAACATCAACTTCCCCCGCAAGACGTTTCAGATGCCCGTCGCATGGCTAAACACCTTGGCCGCGAGCTGGCTGAGCAGCCTAGTCCGGTCCGCCTGCGGCAGCTCCAGGAACACGGCGTACACACTCTTCCCGCGCGCGTCCCGCACCGCACCCAGCCTGTTCCCCGCCACCGCGCCCGCCACCGCGCCCGGCACGTTGGCCACGATGAAGCCGAGCGCGCCGCCGCTCAGCCCACCCACCACGCTCCAGAACTTGCCGGTCGGCCGGTTGCCGCCGTCCTCCTCCGCCATGCCCTGCTCGCGCATCATCTCCTCGAAGACGTCCCGGAACTGGGCATTCTCCGTGCGCTGCCGCTCGTCCCCGCCGCTACCGCTGCCGTTGGTGAAGAAGTTCCACGCCCACGAGTAGGGGCTGGTGCCGCCGCCGGTGGCGGAGTAGCCGGGCGGGGCATCGTCGTCGGCCTCGGCGAAGGGGTCGCTGGAGGGAGCGCGGGTGAAGAGCTTGCGCTGGGCGTCGTACTCGCGGCGGCGGACGGGGTCGCAGAGCGTGTAGTAGGCGTCGTTGACGAGTTGGAACTTGCGCGTGCGCTCGGCCCGGTCTGGCGAGCCGTCGGGAACGCGATCGGGGTGCGTCTTCAGCGCCGCTCTGTTCGTTGGTAGTTAGCGGTTGTCTTTGATACGGCATGGCATAGACATCATTTACCTCTTGTATGCCTCTCTGATACGTTCCAGCGATGCATTTTCGGGTACTTCTAGAATCGCATCTACACAGGTCTCATGTCAGTAGTGCGGGGCGTTGTCGTACTAGACAGCACTACACTTACAATAATTGGGAGGCGGAGTTGACATTTTCTCTAGTGTATATTGGTATGTGTGTCTTCGGATGCGATATGACAGATGATAAATGCGCCCGTCTTTCAGTTCCCCCGAGGTTCTTGGGTAGTTGAAGGGTATTTCGTGGACGTCACTGTGGCGCAAGCTGTGATGGCATGTGGCTAGTACATACATCTTAGCGTTGCCGCCTGGTGCTGCCTGGCACATGTCGGCTGTTAATAAAAGTCGTGTCTCATGCTGTAATTTCTTTGTAGAAAAACAATTTGTTCTTTCATCTTTCCTATCTTTCCTATCTTTCTTTTCTTTCCTATATTTTTGTCCTCTCTATCTTTTCTGTCTTTTATATCTTTCATTCTTTGTATCTTCTTTATTTCTCCTCCAATTCGATCATTTAGTCCTGTTAAATGCATACCTACTAACTAGAAGTATGTGTACATTGGAAGAGAAGTACTTGGATACGACTTTTAAAAGCTGTCTCCGTACTAGATTTAATTTGAAACCGCGGGCAGTTTGGTTTATCTGCTTGTCAGCTTCGTGGTTTCTTTTCGTTTTCCCCTATAGATCTGTGTAGTTTAACACCCACCCTAGCTGCTATAGCCTGCCATTTGTAGTTTGGTGGTTGCTGAATCTCGTAACCCACCTTTGCTGGGAAGTACTCACTGTTCCCATTCTCGTTACATTCTGCGAGGACTGTTTCGAAGCGAAAAATGAAAGAAAACAGAAGAATGCAATAAATACACCGGAAGCCATCCACAGCCAACAAAATGCCTATAGACAAAAGATCTACAGCCCATGGCACGAGGACGCCAGTTTTCGGCAGAGCTACCCTATACTGAGTGACGATGACTAAGCCCAGTGGGCTCGTTGGACCACCCATAAAAGTTTTCGCGGCCGCGCTGAAGCTACGCTTCTTTTCTTCTTTTTTTCTCTTCGTGCGGCTGGCATAACATGAAAATGTATCCCGTGTTGCTCGAATCCCACTCAATGGATAAATCGAAGCGTCAGTTATGCCCCAGAGGAAATTTAATTGCAACCCCGCCACTCTACCAAACTGGTGTCTCGTGCTATTCCACAGACGTCGCGGTAGGGAGGCAGGACATATCACTACCTAAAACCTGGCACCTTTTTTCCTCCCTTGTGATGACCATGAGTAGATAGATGCCCTGCCCCTTTCACCACTCTGTCGAGACATCACAAACGAACGCCGGTGGTTATTTTTGCTATTTTAGGTCATTGGGCTACGCAAACTGATCGACAACCACCTGCAGAACAGTAGTCCCATCACGCACGTATCATTTCATATTACCGTAACGTCGCTGGCCAGCAAGCTATGTAAGCTATTTCGCTTGGTTCGAAGCACTGACAGAGAAGTTTATTCGTCCTCCCCAATCTTCTGCAAGGTTCCCATTTCCCGCTTTGCGCCGGCTTCACCGATTAGCCTTACCCTGTCCAAGCGGACAGTTCTTGCCTCCTCGTCGCCCGCCTGCACGTATACAATGACACTCGAAATGTTTTGGAACTTGACGAAGCGCAAGGAAACGCTCGCGGTTCCGTCCTTGTTCCAGTCGCCGGGGCCGAGATCGATGACCTGGATCGGCACAGCATCGTCGGCTTCGCCAAAGTCCATATTTTGTGACCGGTTAGTGAAGAGGTGAATAGCGCGCGGTCTCGAAACCTCTCCTTTGTCTTCGGCCGAGGGCAATGAGGTCAACTAACGCAACATTAGCACGCATCTCCAGTCATGGCCGCTGGCGGGTTTCTTACTTGGATAGTGTGTAGCTTGGTAGTAGCCTGAAATGGGATATAGAGGAGTAACTGGTCGTCGGAACCGCTCTGCACCCAATCCTTGCCTGCGCCGGCGGTGCTTTTGCCCTTGTCGAGGGCGCTGGGCTTTGCAGTATCAAACAAGACGTGAACCTTTCCGGCCTCTTCATCGGCGTTCAGGACCTCGCAGTTCCTGGAATCGACTTGGTCCGTGATGTCGGTGTAGCCCCGAGGCGGCTCTGCCCCTCTCCAGCCAGACGCGGTGGCGCTGCTGGCGCTGGACTCGAGGGACTCTGCTTCGTCGGCGATGCCCTTGGCGAAATTTTGCAGCCCAAGTTTGTTCGAGCCGTATGCCTTGTCCTTGAGCCTGCCGTCGCGGAAGATGAGGAAGCAGGGAGCCTTGTTGACGCCATGGCTCTTGACGAGCTCGCCGTTCTTGTCGTGGTCGATTTTGACGAAGGAAATCTTGCCGGCGCGGGACAGGGCGTTGGAGAGGTCCTCGTAGACGGTGGAGAGCAGCCCGCTGAGCTCTGACGACTCGGAGAATACTGGACGAGTTGTTAGCAATGTTTTGAGATGTCGAAGCGCCAGCGCGGTGCCTTGGCTGGCAATGCGCAAGCAAGCAGTTTTGGTGGGGTGACGAGCGGGCGGCAGCTTACCGTTTACAACGACGATTGGGGTCGAGCGGAAAATGGTGCCGAGCTGCTCCGGAGAGCTGATAGATATCGTTTTGCTCATTGCAGCGATTTTGTGATGCGTGCGCGCGGAATATGATGGAGAGAGACGATGTGGCGGGGTGACGGCGTTGGAGAGGTGCCTGCCTACAGGTAAGGGTAGCCTTGGCGCAAGAAGGTGGCTGCTATTTGTTTCTTGGTGTTTCAGCCCCCACCAAACTCACCAACAGGGGCGCATGAACTTTGGATAGAAGTAATATCGCCACCAGTTGTCGAGGAAATATTCTATTTCTCAAAGTGTTAAAATATGGAATACAGAGCAGTATGCCTATGTTTTCCAGACGAGGAAGATCCTTGGATTTTTAATCAGCCACAGGTACCCTGCTGGGGTATTGCGGCTGAGCCACCAGCTGGAAGTTAGCTTCAACGATGGTCAGCAGAATACCAGCCTCTTCTTTCAACGGCCCGGCCCTCGTTCCCGCTCAGGGGCCTTTGCCATTGTCCACATTCCAATTACATTCCGGTTTCTACACGCAACAAACCAACGGCGGTGGACAATGGATCCATATTACAGCAGCGAAGAGGACCGTAGACTTCTTCCCCCTCACCACCGAGCTTACCGTGCTGAGCCGGTATGCGACCCTTGTTTGCTATTTGCCTAAGACGAAAATAAACTAAGTGAACCCTCCAGAGACGAAACAATTATTATGTGGCAGAGCCCAGGAGGCGTAATACGCCGCTGACGTCCAACTACAATGCCTACTCTCGTCAGCGTCGCAGCTCACGCTCGCGGCGGCAACAACCTGTAGCTGTCAACAGTCGCTACATGTCGATGCCGATAGACCGTCCGCCTGAAGTCATTCCGATCATAGGAGACACGGAGCCGCGCCCTGCTGCGTTCGTTGAAGAAGTTCCTGTGTATTCCTCCAGGTACAGGGCCAGCCCCTCACCACCTGCGATTCAGAGACCACACCCAGTATTCGTGGAGCGTGCAAGTAGAGAAAACAGGACCCGCCAAGAAAAGGAGGAGGAGATCCAGGCAAACGAAAAACGATTCGCTTTCGCATCACCCCAGTCGGGCGCAAGCGACGATGATCCTCGCGACCGGGACAGGTCTCCTAGCCCCCCTATCCGTGTGAGAGCGAGGAATCGTTCGTACAGCAGATCTCCTAGCCCCCCTATCCGTGTGAGAGCGAGGAATCGCTCGTACAGCAGGTCTCCCTCTGTACGAGTAATCTACCCGACTACATATGATGTTATCGATTGGGAAAACTATGAGGACTTTAGCTTTGACTGCGAAAAGTCGGAGGCCTTGAAAGATAGCGACTCATTGAGTTTCGATACCTCGTCCGCTGAGGCAGACGCCTCACTGGTGGATGCCAGCCAACTGAAGGATGACTCGAGAGTCAAGCATATTTCTTATTCCCGATACACAGGCGACGCAGAGACGGGAGGCAGCCACACAGCTCAGCTCACCGAGATCCACAATGGCAACGGTGAACTATTCAAATGGCTGTAAGTTAGCTAGGTTGATTGTTGAGTTACATGGCTGAAGCGCATACAGACATATTCAACAGGAAGTTATGAACTTTGACGAATTCTGGGTAAGAGATATACTAGCTCGTATGGATACTTGTTGGCTAACATCTTCAAGGCCGAGATTTTGCGCCGAGTGCATGTGCCAGATACCGAGAGACGAGCAATGAATCGCCTTCGCTCCGATATAACCCGCCTTTGTGTCAAGACACGTTCGAATCCAAAAGGTGTTAATGTTGGGTATATGGAGCCTCAGTTTCTGCAGACACCACTCGAGCCTGCGAAGAAAAAGATTGAGCTCGACGGCGATGAGCCCCCAACTACCATGGTTAGATGGCTTTGCATGCCGTTTTTCATACTGAAACAGTATTCTGGACTTCTAGCAGGCTTGAGTCTGGCTCAATTTCCGTCTCAAACATTGTTGCAGGCTCAATACTCTAGAACCACTCAGCAGCGGGATATGGGGCAGGCAGTGTGCGAGCTGGGCATTGCAAACAAGGGAGAATGCTTTCATATCGAGCAATTGTGGTGCTTGGTGGTTGGCGACAGTAAGTGATGGTACATTCAGCGGGTGACATCAGTGCTAATCTGCATGGCTAGGCTTGCTCGTTACGTGCGGCAGCATGCCGCGGACCAAGCTTGAAGGTGATGTGATCAAGCTTACTTCTGAGCCGTCGCGGGGGCTGTCGGCGGCATCAGCACCAGGACGGATACTCGTTAAGTATGGAAACTCCTTGACTTGGAATTTAAGCCTTGAGCAATGTCCCACGTGGTTTGTAAGTACCAAATCCCGTTCTCGAAGACAAAAAACCAACAATATTAGGATTTTGTCTCCCATTTCACAGCATTTTGGCCCATGGCGTTAGAGTTTAAGAAGGAAGATACTGTCTTGACTGCCGGAGATTGGCCCAAGCTCCTCAAGTTTTTGAGCGCCAAGCGCCACAAGAATGTGGTTTTGACGCTGACAGTAGAGTAAGTAATAACTTACCCTTCCAACATAGAGGCTTGTCTAACAATATGCAGTCGTAACGTACCTACTGCACCCCGAGCTCTCCCAACGCCAGAAGAGGCAGCGACAAATGCAAAGGCTACCTTGAGTGACACACCACTGCACACCTTGGCCCTCATCATCCAGAGCAGCGAGAAAGGGGATAAGCCTGTGAAAGCTTCCGAGCTGAAGCTGCAACTGGATGCCGCTCACAAGTTCTTGATGGAGCAGCCAGCATATGCCACGCAAGCTGCTTACAGTGACTGCTCCGTCACATCGCATGACGCAGCCTTGGAAAAGCTAAAGTCGGATGGCGTGGAAGTTGAGGATGAGAAAAGCGACAGCCGCAAACGCGAGTATGAAGATGGAATAGAGTTGTTCAACATGGCCGAGTCTCTGTTTCAGCTGTTCCTCCCGCTCGACTGCGACGGCCCAACAACAGGCAAATTTTGGGGTGCCGTCCGGGACCTGGCTCGCGGTGCCAAAAGGCAGGATGATAAGTCTCCTGAAACTGCAGCCTCTCGTCGCAGAGGTCGTGAATTGCGGATGAACCAGGAAACAGTCCTGAGATCGTTGCGGCTGATGTACCCCAAGATCAAAATTTTCCAAGGCATCATGTCGAACGTGCCGGAAGAGTATCGTATTAAGCTGGAAGCGCCGCGGCAATTTGTTACGGCCTGGCTCCACGTCATTAGTGGCCTGGTCTTGTGTCGCGCGGGGGACAGTTCATGGGAGTCGCACATTTCCATTGCTCAGAGGAGACTCTTGATGGAGGGAATGGACAAGATGATCCAAGCTCTTCCGGCGCATAATCTGCTAGACAGTGTCGTTTTGCAACCTTTTGAGATTGCCTCGCTTGCCGTGCTGAAGCTGATGCAGGATCGTGCATCGCAGCCTGATGATATCAACGAGACGTACTCTCAGTACCTAGCATCTTTGGTAAGATGGTAGACACTCAGTTTCAGAGCGTGCTGTCAGCTAACATGTAATAGGACAATGATATTACGACAAAGCCGTCTGACAGATCGTACCAGCATCGAATCGATCTTGTCAGACGAGAGATCTCCGCCGTTCGAAGAACAGTCACTCGCCAGCGACACATTGTAGCAACCATGAGGCAAACCATCTATCCCAACGCGATGACCGACTTCTTCCGAGGCGGCGACGATGATGTTTACGTGCCTCGGGGCAGATACACCAACAATGTCAGGAGCACACGCAACGATTACTACACGGAGGCCCGACGAGAAGAGGATCACACAAGCTTCGATTACAACCTGAAGGTGTCGCCCATAGACAAGAACGGCTTCCGTGGCCTGCTCTTGACCGAGAACTCGAAACAACTTGACCAGCGCGACTTTGAGTTTCGACGATACGTGGAATTCGTGGATGACCTGGAGCGGACCGTCGCCTTTAAGATGAACTGGACCAAGGATCGGCAGGAGAACGCCGTGTACGCGTTCACGATTGTGACGATCGTCTTCCTGCCGCTGAGCGCGGTGGCCGGCATTTTCGGCATGAACACGTCGGACGTGCGCGACATGGACTACAGCCAGTGGCTGTTTTGGGTGGTGGCGCTGCCGGTGACGATCCTGGTGATCGTGGTCGGGCTCTGGTGGATGAACGAGCTGGGCAACGTGGTGCGATGGCTCACCGGGCAGCGGTCGGCCGGCGGCGGCGGCGGTCCTGCGGTTGGCACGGGTTACGGAGGCGTGACGGCGGAGTCGGCCGATTTCGGGTACTACTCGGACGGAGAAGAGGACAAGCTGCGGCGGCGGCGCTACAGCGTGAGGCGGACGTTGACGGAGAGCCCTCTGGGATACAGCAGTAGACGATCGGAGATGCGGCAGCGACGAGTGCGAATGCCGTAGTCGGTGGAAGTTAATATGTGGTACGAAGGAAATAAGAAAGTATATAAAATGAACTATAAACCAAATCATGATCCATGACGCCTTCTCCCAATAATAAACATATCTGAAGCTGTTGTCTGGCTCGTTGCAAATGTAGGTGGCTGGGTAACCCACAGCCCGTGTGGGCGATGTTACATTCTCAGTCATTATCAACACCGACAAAAGAAAAAACAGTCATTCACGCCTTGTCAACCCCCTCCACCCTTAGTAGCGGTAGCGGCGCCGCCGGCCGTACCCGTCGTCGTCGTCGTTGTCGTCGTAGCAGCTCTCCAACCGCTCTCGCTCCCGCAAGCGATGACGATGGCGGTCCTCGATGCCGATGTGGATGCGCTCCACGTCGTCCGACTCGCAGGACGTGCTCGGCGGCGACGGCGGACACCTTCTCGGAGCGTCAATGTAGCGGAACTGCGGCGGTGGCGGTGAGGGCGAGGGCGGGCGGGCGGCTTCGATGGCGGACACGTGGACGTGGACGTCGGGTGGCGGTGGCAGCGGCGGGGCCGGCTCGTAGACACGCTCGCGGACGGGGTAGGGCACGGGGACGCGGATGGGCACGGGGATGTAGCGGTCGCGCTCGATGATGCGCTCACGGTCGCGGCGCGGACGGTGGTGGTGGTGGTGGTGGTGGCGGCGAGGGGAGGGGGGGTCGACGTCCACGGCGATGACGTCGATGGGCGGAGGCGGGCCCGGGAGGCATACCGGCGGCGGAGGCGGAGGCGGGAGGCAGGGTTCGGGCTCCGGAGGGGGAGGGGGACAGATGACGATGGGCTCGGGGCAAGGAGGGGGTGGTGGTGGTGGTGGTGAAGGGGGAGCGATGCGGGTGATGCGGGTGCGCTTCCGGAGCTCGTCGGGCGGAGGGCGCTCTAGGTAGAGCTTCTTCTTGTGGTGGTGGCGATGGTAGCCTGGGTGGAATGCAGGTTAGTGGATGCATGGTGTGATGGAAGGAAGGAAGGAAGCTATTCACCCATGGTTTTGATTGTGCGGTGTATGTATGTGCTGTTTCTTGACGGCTGGTGCTGGTGGTGCTGGTGGTGTGTGCTGATGATGTCACCGCACGCTGAAGAGGGTATGCGGGAACGGAGGAGGCGCCAACGGCCCGCGTTACGACGGAACTAGAAGACAACGACGATGCGGTGGAGGATGAAGAAGGGAAGAAGGAAGAGAGAAGAAAAGACTGGAAAACGGGTGGTACGAGATTTAAGCTCATGGGACTATAATAACAAGCAAGACATGCAGAAGGAGGGCAAAGGGCGGGTTGATAAAAAAAAAAAAAAAGAGACCACGAGGTATATCAAGGCGACGCTGCACCTGCCAAGTTTTTTTGCGGGCATCATGGCGTCTATCTTGCTTGGGCTGAGGGAGGGGGACTGTGGAAGGGCTACGCTCAGCTGGGCATCCATCTCATGACAATGACGTTGGCCTTGCGCCCCTCCATCTTTGCGCCCGATTCCATACATGCATACATATATACGAGAGGAAGATGCCGAGAAAAGGTCACATTTGTGCTAGGGCGGCTGTGGAAGCCTAATAAACAAAAACTAGTTGCAATGCCTGCCCAAATTGAAGGAGCTGCCCTGGTTTTCTGGGCCTTTTTTTCCCTCGGGCATGCCCACCGGCTTGAAACTAACAACCAAGGTTACCCAACTTCTGCATGGCCGATTGGGCACCAAGAATATGACGCGCATAAGGCCGTGTATGACTTGGGGGCCAAGGGCGGGGGGGAACTTTGGGTGTGTCTCTGCGCTTGGATGCACGATCTGCCAGGACGCTTTTCTTTTGGCATGCAGTGGACAGGTGTTTGTATGACCCGGCATGGCCAGCATTTGTGTGCAGTAGTTATTATTAGGGTGTCCACGTGGGTTGTGTGAGACAGCGTCCACGCGGCATCACCCACTCACAAGACTTGAAGAAAGGGACAGGAGTACCTCGGCTCGTCCCGCGACAGACGAGATTCAACAATCGACAGCCTTTCCTTTCCATATTTGATTTGGAAATGCTTTTTATTAGCGTTCCTTCGTGTTAGGGTGCGGCAAATCCCTGGGCTTGGCTTCCCACCGATCTGGCACCGGCCCGGGCGAGCGCTCCGGCGGCACCGCCTGTCTCCGGGCGGCCAGCACCTACTAATTAGTGGGCCGGCTCCGGCTGTCCCGGCCTGGACGCTGCAGGGGACGCAGAAGACAAGACAAGACAAAAAAAGTTGACAAAAAAAATGGCAACAGAAGGGTGTAATAATACTTTGTTCTATAGGGCGAACCCTTTTTTTTTTTCTCCAAGACTCATCCTTGTAGAGGGGAGGGGGTGACGTGGATGAAACATGTCCTTTATCAGACGACGACCCGCGAGCCCCGCGCCAGAATCGGGTACGGGAAACCCACCGCCGGGCCAGAGGGCGTGGTCGGCGATGAACAGTAAGAGAAGATAGCCTGTAGTAATAAGAGGGAACCGGTAAGTCGCCCTCCTGAGTAGCCAGCCTCGTCAGCCCAAGGGGGGGGGGCATATGTCATGCATCATGGAGGGGCGGTTGCGTAGCTCTGAAACCAAGGTATCACCTCTGACAAACAGCAGCGGCGCATCCTGGAGAAGAAGAGGATTGTCACTTGACTGAGGAATCTATAATTGGAAAAAACAAATACCTTTGAAAAGATTCAACCCCGTGAGGAATCATTTGCTGATAGAGTTTGGGTGCAACTCGTCCCGACTTTTTTCGTTTGGCTGGCGATGCCGACGCCGATGGCGATGCCGACATCCTGGGGTCCCTCGTGGGAGATGATGAGCTTTGCACGATCGAATCACTTTTCATTCAAGACGGAGGCAGGGTTTGGAAGGAGGGAGAAGCAAAACGGGCCGACCTATCGCACGTCGTCGATTTCGAGGCACAGCACAGACAGCGAGGCCATCCCGTATACTGTCCAACCACTTTTTCGTTTCACGGCAAAAGGTCAAGGCGACACCCCCGAGTCACGCGAGCTCGACCTAAAACGAAAATACAAACGGCGCGCGCACTTTGGGGGAGGGAGGCATTGTTGGACAAGAACAAAAGGGAAGAGAGCTAGGTGGTGGTGGTGGTGGTGCTCAGATGAAACCGACAATATCGAAGGGCGTTGGGTTCGTGAAACGAGGAAGGGAGCAGCGGCGGGCGAGACGCCAAGAATGTCTGCTGGGGTTATATCTGTGAGAGCTATTTTAGAGCGGCGGGCGCTATGATTTGGCTTACCCCAGAGTTTTTCCTTTCATTCTTTGACCAAGTTCGACGAGATGTCGAAGGTTACATGTGGTGGCACTCTGACGAAGGTGGTGCAGGGCGCTTCTGCCCGTGTCCTCCTTGTACTACTCTCGCGTTACCAAAAAGAGGGCGCCAAAAAGTCGTCACCTCTTCTTCTTCATTGTGATGAGAAGGGAGGGCGCACTATTGGAGCGGCCCGCGAATTCTGTGTCTCGGGGATGAAGCCTCCCGCGCTGTTAGTGCAGCCAAGGACCCCTTTGTCATCTCCCAATTCGTAGTTGCTGACAGGTTTGGACATTAATGTTGACTGAGAACGCGAGAGGGCATTCCGAGCTGGATGCAAGGCTCCAGAAGGGGAGAAAACGCACACGCCGTTCCTTGATATGCGACGCGCGAGAAAAATAAAAGGGGGAATGCTGGCTAACGCACGTCTGACTTGCGACTCTGAATCAGTGGTCTATCCACCGTGTGCAACGAATCAGGGGCAAAGCTAGTCGGCATTTGAAAGACAGACACGATGACCAGAAATACCAATATTTGTTTGATGATCCTGTAATCTGTACAGCTTACTTAAAAACTAAACACCTTGAGATGCAATAATGCAGATGTGGCTTCGGTTAGTATTGGTTGGTACACGGGCTGGCTCAAGGGAGCTCAAGGGAGCAGCTGAATGCAGGTCGCAATTCGAGATGAATGCCTGCGATGCATCGGCTAATTGTATGTCTTTGATCGAAACGGCCAAAAATAGAAAACCTAGATTTTTTTCTTTTTCTCGCGTGGTTGGTCATGCGACGAACGCTTCCACAGTGAGACCATTCTTATCCGACAAGTCTTGCACAATGCAGCTGCAGGCCGACAACAAGCGATCAAAGTCTATGACGATCACGTATTCCAACATCACGTACCGTAGTACCCCACGATCAGGTATCCCATGATCACGTAAACTGAAAGCCATTGACGACGTGAAACGCAACTGCATCGTCGGGCGGGGGCGTTGACGTTGGCGTGGCCTGATGTCCGACTGCACGACAGCGACGACGACATGGGGAAAGAAGGACGGGTTTTGGTTTCTTAGTGGGAGAGTGTTTATTCAACAAGGGCACGCATGAATCTTGGGTTCGGAATATGCCGAGTTTAGTGTCGCGTATGAGAAGCGTCTGAGGTGTGGCCAGGCGCATGGACGGGCGATGCATGACGACGGCATTGGTGCGCTGTCGGGCTAGGTGGTGAGGTGCGAAGGCAGGAATGGCGAAGAGAGCATTGTAAATGCTTCAATGGGCGGGCATGAGCAGGAAAGAGTTGATTGAATCTTGGGCGACGGTGTATCTGTAGAGCAAAGTGCAGAACCAGTTCTGCCGGGATACTGCGCGCGCGTTTTGCGATGATGTATGGCACGACAGTACCACCAGAATCTGTAGAGAGTGCATGATTCCTACACTCGATGATTCTGGTACGTCGGTGATGGAAAAGCTTAAAACAAAGAAGAGGCGTCTGTGCAGGCGATGCGATTGGAGAGGGCTTGGCACTCCAAGTGGTTCCTGATCTTGCACGAAATAGGACGGTACCTTCTGTACGGAGCACGGAGCACGGAGCACGGAGTACAGGGCGACTAACTTATTTAGCAGACAGGTACAGTACGCACCCCCCCCTCCCCCCCCATGGTTGGACTGCTAATTTAAAAGTATGGAGAACAACTCGCAGCGAGTGAGTTTGGGCTTCTTCTAACTGGATACCTCTCTTGATTGGAGTTGCTCGTGCACGAGATTAGACGCTGAGAGAGTATTTTTGCAGATCCTCAGGACGCAAGGCGGGCAGCGGCGGTGTGAGGGCGGAGCTCGGAGTTATGGGGATAGGAGACGCAGGTTTACGTATTGTATTACGGATAGTCATAGTCAAAGGGGCACGGAACAATAGATAGCAATACTCAATAATAAACGTTGCTGGTATAATAAGAGTTGCGTGGCTGATCCGGGGGAGCTGCTGTTACACGCGCCGTACGAGGGTGTGGTTGGAGGGGGAGGTGTTGCGCGTGAGAGGGTCCCGTCTTGCAAGGTTCAACCCGCGACCAAGTGTTTTTTTCTCCTTCTTTTGAGGAAAATAAAAGGACAATTTGCTTGGCGGCCCAGGAAAGTTGTTCAGTGGTCGACGGAGGGAATGTGGACAAGCAAGGACAGCAAGATGCCAGGGACCAGGGAGGAAGACGGAAACAGCTGGGGTGTGGGCAAGCGAGCGAGCTTGTGTGCGTGTGTGAGTGTGTGGGCTGAACTGCATGGTTTAATCAATGCGATTTTCTGTGCAGTGCATCCCGAGATCGTGCTTTTTCGTCGTTATTAATTGATGTGGTCAATTGAAATTGCACGGTCTGTGAGGCGGCTCCCCGGCAGGACTCGGAGGATGAGGTCGGAGGCAGGTTTTTTTCTGCATTTTTTTTCCGCCCGCGAGAAGGAGAACGGGATCGGGGGAGAGACATTATTGTCTGAGTTGAGGGCCTCCCGGTTTGGCCGGGGATACGGGCAGCTGGGTTGACAGGATCTGGGGTGCCTGTGTTTGTGTGTGTGCGCCGATGAGATGAGCTATTGATAGCTACTAGTTAGACACGTACATACATACATACATACATACATACATACATACATACATATATGTACCAGTGCGGATGAGCATCCCGTTTGCCGTGATTTGATGTGATTGTATAAAGTATGCTTGTTCCTTCCTGCATGTTTTTGCATCCTGGCAGTAGCAGATAGATAGATATTGGATGGTATATACGAAAGAATAAAATATAATCAAATGAGAGGAACGTCTGATCGCAGGGAAATGAAGTGGCGACGCCAGCTGGAGCTTATTATCATCACGAGGACCTGCAGAGGCGGAACAAGGTTGGTGCATACGCGGGAGTCCTCGGAACGTGCTGCAGCCTGCAAGTTCGGGAAAGAGAAGACAAGTAGCTAAAAAAAGAAGAAAGGATAGAAAAAAAAAAGCAATTAAGATGTATTGAGGCACAAAAAAAAGCATGTCAGTTATCTCCGGAAAGGAAGGAAAATGTTCCAGTGTAATGAATTCAGCGAGGCGAGGCTCCCGGCGATGAAAGCCAGGTTACAAGGCAGAGGCCCACTGCGCCAGCAAAGCACGCCACTTCACAAGCCATGCAGGTTCGGTACATATATTGGGGAGATTGAGGAGGCAGAATCGACAACTGTGGCGCCCATGAGGTCTTGAGCCGGCTGTGATTTTTTTTGTTTGAAACCAGGCAGTGCCTGAATTGATGAGACTTTTCAACTTAATTTTCCCGCCTTCCCTGCGTTGAGCGGGAATAGCTTCAATGCCGCAGCCTCGCATGCGGACTCTTGTACCGATGCGCTGGCTGGAAGCGCAGTATAATTACAGGACCCTTGGCCGCTGGCTGGCCCATGCTCAGCGGCGGCTTTGCAGGCCGTCGCAGCCGTTACATCGGTTCAGCGTTTAGCTCCTCAGAAGGAGATGATGCTGGGGTTTGTGACTGAGGGGAAGGTGGTTTGCTGATGATATCCGGCCATGAATCATGATGGTATGTACGTACGTATGTAACATTTGCTTCTTCTTTGACGGATGTACATGAATGCCACATGCGCTTTCACACAAGACGTGTATACCACGACCCCCAAACGCTCTTGTCGGTGTTTCTTCAGTATCACAATGCCAACCACTCACCACTGCCCAAACTAAAACCCTGCCTGCCTTCAATGTCCATCCACCCCCTTAATACTGTCTACCTAGTTAAGGCATGCCCTTGCCTTGCACCCCTCCCCTAACACGCAGCATTTCATCCCTACCACTGCACCACTTCGCCTTCTCCCACACCTCTTCACACCACTTTTCAACATCTACACCCCCTCCCCCCTCCCCCCCAGTCTTCCCGTCTTGCGTCGTCCCTCTTCACTTGCTCACTTGTTGAGTCTTGTCTTGGGCTCTCCAGTTACTTGCTGTCGCTGCCGTGCTGGCTGCTTCTTCCTCCACACCACACACGCGCCGTGTGATAATTATTATCACGGGCTCTTTTTTCTATTCTGTCCCACCTCATTCACCTCTCTCGTCTTTTCCCTCCTTCTCCCCCCCCCCCCCCGGCTGGCCGACTCTCCCGACGCTTCGTTTGCCGCCTGGGACCCTGCTTGAGCCCATCTCATCCCGGCACAGGACCTCTGTTTGGCCGTCCCTCCACTGCCGGGCCTGGGCAGAACGAAGCCCGCCCGCCTCCCCGTGTACCCTCGTCCTCATCGCATGGCCTCGCTTCACGCATGCCACCTTGCATACAAAAACCGGCTCGCATGTCCCTAGATAATACCATCCGTCATCCCTACTCGCTAGCCGCAAACGACAACCACCACCCCATACTCCTCGCTCCCCTGCCGCCTCCGCCGACCTGGCTGCACCCATACACTCGTCTCCGTTCATGCGCCGTTGATCAGGGTGAGGGGACAGCCCATCTCGAAACCCTCTCTCTCTTGCGAGAGTAGAGCGGCCCTGCCTGCCCAACCTTGTGCCTCCCTCAGGCTTTCAGCACGCAGCCCCCCCGCCGCCAATTGGCCTCCGCCCCCGACTGATACGCTCTCTCGCCACTCAGCATCATCATGCCGGAGTCTGCGTCTACCCGTCGTCGTCCTGCTGCCGCCGCTGCTGCCGCTGCTGCTCCTGCTCATGCGGCTGTCGCCACCACCGCCCCTCCTCATATCGACGCCAATGCCGACCCCAAGCCGCCTGCACATCGATACCAGTATCCGTCCTTCCATTACGCATCCTCGCCGCCCGCCAGCCCTCGACGACAGCCTCCCCCTCCTCCCACCTCTCGGCGCCTCGAAGCCCTACACCACGACCTTGCCACGGCACAGTCGCACGATTCGCGTTCGGATCACACCCTCCCGCAAAACCCCCAATCCCAATCCTCCTTTAACCTCCACGACCTCCACGCCGCCGCATCTCACTCACCACAAACCGTTAATATTAAGCCTTCGCTTTCCGTCCCCTCGATCCTTGGCCCAGGCCCTAGGTCAGTACTTACATGCCCATTTGTCCACGCACCACACAGGCTCCTATATCATTCCAACATTACCTCGTGCTTTCATAAGTCGATGGCCAGGCTCGAGCATTGCCGCACAACTTGGTCCTATCCACCTTCTTGTCGGCTTCCTGTCGCCACTCTGCCACCCCGTCTTCGCTCTATTTACCCTCCGTCTTCTGGACTTTTGCCCCCCCTCGAAGACTTGACGTTGGCCAAACTCTTACCTTCTCTCTGTACCCGCTTTTAATTTGCCCTCCGTTGTGACGCTCGCATTCAGCGCATCATCTGCTACCTCGCACATCGCTTCTAGTTGCTGACCCTTCCTTGCCGCGCCTTCAGATCTCCGCGCCCTTCTGCACCGAGCCCGCTCTCCGCGAACCAGCACTACGATTCCCGAGCCTCGACCAATACACGAGCGCACTTGGACGGCACGACACCTCCCAGGCCTGGTCGCCCCAACCGGCCTGCAGCACGGACAACCTTTTACTCCGATTCCTCAGGCCCTTCGAGCCCAGAGCAGGAGATCGCTGGGTGCGTATCGATTGGCTCAACGGTACAACAGACGGTGCTAACCACTCCCTGCTACAGCCCAAGATTTCCCAATGCGTCACACGACAACCGCAGCGTCTCCGAGCCACTGAGTTTCAAGAAGCCTGTCATGGCTCCAGGACCATCTAATCCTGCCACGGATGGCACCGCTGCAGGCGCTTCGACAGCGCCCACGAATCCTCTGCCGAGGAACTCGTCTGTTGATACCGCCATTTCTGCCTTTTTAAACCGCGATCCCACCGGAAACTCTGCCTCTAGCAAACCGCCACAGTCTTCCGACATTGATCGTCTCATCCAGGCTGCTGGTAGCCCAGAAGCCGTCATCAAGTACCTGTTGAAAGAGAAGCAGTCTCAGTCGCAGCAGAACAGCCAGATATGGACGCTGCTTGATAAGCAAAAGACTATGATCATTGGCCTCAACAAGGACCTCGAGGCTGCCCTGGAGAGTAAGGAGCGCTATAGGAAGAAGCTTCGGGAGTGCATGAACAACCTCTCTATTCTACAAGCAGCTGCAGCCCGCGCCTCTGAAGACGGCATCAAAAAGCCCCGCCCTAGTCCTCGTATCGATGTTGACGGCTACCGTGGCATGAACCCTGACTCTCCCGTGCTCGATTCAGATAGCCAAAAGGGCTCACCTGTCGATCTCACAATGGCACGGTATCCCATCTCGCATACCATCACGCATCCCATCACGCCACCGGCCGATCGCCCCCACCAATCGCCCTCCAGTGGCGTTGCCGATGTTTTTGAATCTTCTCACTCCATGTCGAGGGGACACGATTCAAGCAGCCGCGATCATGACGCTGAAGACAAAGCCGAAGAGCAGCCGCGGAAGAAGCGTAGCGAAGAAACCCAAGAGCACACTCTACGCAACCGCGATTATGAAACCGAAGACAAAACCGAAGAACAGGCGGGCAGGAAGCTCAGCGAAGAAGAAGCGCTGCGTGAGATCCCATTTGGCGCGTCTCTTCCGCCGTCGCGAAGCTTACCCAGTGAACCGCCCAATGGACCGCCTCCTAGGATCCCAGGCGGCTCAGAGTCTCCCCCCCCGAAGAGCGAGGTCAGCTCCAAGCCCACTACAACGCCTCGTAGGGGTCCACCCGCTCCCCTTACGTTGCCTAAAGACCGCCAAAAGTCATCGCCTCTTGCTGTTGAGGAAGTCTATAATTCTGAATCAGAATGCCATGATGCCATCGGTGTGGAGCCACTCGGTTCTGCCGAGCGTGGTCGACGCCGCACACGAGAGAAAGTCCGTGACCTGGCTGTGGACCAAACGGCTGGGAAACAGGAAACCACCATGAAAGACGAGACACTCGCCCCTAACGCTGAGGAGCCCAATCCAACACAAGCTGCTCTCACAATCAAGGGGCCTGAAGCCGCTACCGCTTCCCTTGCAGCTGTTATCAACAGTGACGGAGCTCAAGTGCTTTTCCCGCCAATGATGAGCCCTGGCCTGCCACTGAGCCCCCGACCAACTCAGACTCGCGGCCAATCTCCGCCACTGTCGCCACGAACCAGGATGCCACTCTCACCAAGACCGCCTCGCCAGCCTATTCCTCTGCCGCCAAACACTGCCTTGGTTGCTTCACCCCCTCCCCCCTCCATCGTTCCATCTCAGCTTGCGCAAGACTCACCATTAAACGCCCCAAAGAACCAAACACTCGTACCGGACTCACCATCACCTTTAGATGGGCAGCCAAGTCCGACGGAGCGCAAGCAAATCTTTAAGGGATTAGCGACTGACGAATACCCCGACTTGCTACTGCCGCCGAATGCTCTCCTGTCCATCGACGTCAAGGTTGCTTCCTCGCGCATGAAACCGTCCCGCGCCAGCTTGCTCTCCCTCACCCAACTGGAAGAAGACCCCGTCTTCACGCTCGCTGTCATCTCTAGAGCTGATGGCGGTGAGCTTTGGCGGGTGGAAAAGGACACGGCCTCTCTGTCCAAACTTGACCAGCGCATGAAGCAATGCCGGAGTTTTAAAGCAAAGACGCCCGAGAAGTCTCTCTTTAATGGCCATTCACCTGCCAAGCTTGATGCTCGGCGACGGGCTCTGGAGGCATACATGGACGAACTGCTCAACACCCAGCTTGATGAGGCTACAGCTCTTGAGCTGTGTACATACCTTTCCACCAACGCTCTCCCTCCCAACGCCGAGGAAATTGGCATCGGTGGCAAGTTGTCCCCGGATCAGAGCGCGCATGAGGTTGAGTCTGATGGACCAACCGTGCGGAGTGGCTACCTCACAAAGAAGGGCAAGAATTTTGGCGGCTGGAAGTCTAGGTTTTTCGTGGTGGATGGTCTGAATCTCAAATACTATGAGACTCCAGGCGGTCCCCACCTCGGCACCATCAAACTGCAAGGCGCGCAGATTGGAAAGCAGTCGCATAGTGGCGACAACCGATCGCCTGTCATCAGCAACATGGGAGAGGAATTCGATAACCACTACCGACATGCTTTTTTGATTCTTGAACCGAAGAGGAAGGATTCGTCGAGCCATGTCAGGCATATTCTGTGCGCAGAGGACGACAAAGAGCGAGATGACTGGGTTGAAGCTCTGCTCAAATTGATCGAATCCCAGGATTTTGACGATGTTGATAGCCACCCATCCAAGCCCGAGGCTCAAGAACGACAACACCAAGGCCCCAGTGGGCCAGTTAAAGTCAGAAAGTCTGCACACGCACGAGCTACCACTCGCCAAGCAGGAGAGCCTGACTCACTCATCGGAGTTCGCTATGATTCTACCAATGCTGGTGATGCACCGCAGCATGGCGATGTAGCCCCGCCCAGGTCTGACATGCAAAACCTGAGAGCTGATGCACTCGCTGTCTCCGCCCACAGGCTCACCTCTGCTCCCGAGGATCAGCACTTGATCTCGTATGTCTCAATGGCAAGCAAAAGTGGTACTGGCCCCCCTCTTGCGCCGATTGAGGACAAAAAGCAGTGGAAGCGTAGCTTTTTCGGAATTGGATCCAAAACGAAATCGTCATCGGATGGTCGCGGATCCTTAGCTGGACCTGCGACCAAAACGAAATCGTCATCGGACGGTCGGGAATCATTGACTGGCAGTGACGGTGGAGCGGCATGGCAGGACGCGCCCTCTCAGACTCTAACCAAAACGCCAACGGTGTTTGGATCGACACTGGCTGAAGCGGTAGAGTTCCACCGTCCAAAAGATGTTGATGTGCTATTGCCATCGGTCGTTTATCGCTGCATCCAGTATCTGAAGGCCCATGGGGCTTTCAATGAGGCGGGAATCTTCCGTATCCCTGGCTCTAACACTGTAATTAACGACCTCAACAAACGATTCAATGACGAGTTAGACGTTGACCTCATCACCGACCCGAATTTCTATGACATTCATGCTGTGGCATCGCTCTTGAAGCGGTACCTGCAAAATCTCCAAGGGGGCATTCTAGTGGATCTTCGTCCGGAGTTTGAGGAGACGGCGGCCATTTCAAACCGGGATGAGAGGATTGCGCAGATTGCTCATATTGTGCAGCGACTACCAGAAGCGAACTTGACTGTGCTCCAATACCTCGTGTCCTTCCTGGTCCGCATTATCAACAACTCAAGGGTGACTATGATGACGCCAAAAGCTCTTGTCTTGGCCTCACCGGCATTCCAAATTCCTCCGGGGGCTTTTATGTTATTCCTGGAAAATTTTGAGGGGGTTTTCGGCATCTCCCCAGACAATTATCAGCCTCCGACGGCTTCGGGGATGGAGCGTGAGAGACGGGGTCGTCAGGAAGGCTCCTCGCGAGCTGACGGGCCATCGCGCCAGGAGGTAGCGCCTCGACCGTCGACGTCGTCGGGAAGCACGTCATCGCCTCATAGGCAGGGGAGAGTAGAGCTCGTACGCGTGCCGTCGCGATCGACCCCCACACCACCGCTTCAACACCTTCAACAAAGCAGGGCTCCCGCACGACACTCACCAACGCCATCGACGGCGTCGAGCCGTCCGGCATATGAACCAGCCCACTTTTCTCAGCAAGACGCTGGCGATGCTGCAAGCGTGGCATCAATGGCTCGGCCTGCCTACGAGACAAACCATGGCTTAGAGCAACTGCGTGGTGCTGCAGGCCCTCAACCGACTGCCGCCTACGACAGACCTACTTATCAGCTCCCCAATGGACCTGGCAGCAACATGAGTCTGACGGCGAACGAGCGGGTGAATAAGCGGCGAGAGAGTTCCATGTACGTGAGCAGTGGTACAGGCAACGACCGCTCTCTGTACTAAGACTACTCTACACGCAATGTCTAATTGACCGAAATTGGCGTTTTTTTACATGATACCAGAATGATTCCTTGTTTTCGTTTGCATTTTTCTGTCTCACTGTCACCCATACCCTAGCGTCTGCAGCAGACGGTGATACTTTTCGGTTCTGCACTTCTTTTTATTGATCGGATTTCTGCGCGAAGACGGAGACGGGATGAAATGCCATTCATATGCACAGATTGGGAGGCTACACTTAATTCTTGTTTTGGGGCTTAGGACAAGCGCGGCGTTTTGAACTCTCGGATGATGCTCGACTGGTCGAGCTTTTGCTCTCTGGGCAGGTTTCAGTTTGGGTGTTTGTGGGGTGGTTTCTTGTTGCAAATGCTTTTTTCTCCTTTGGTCTTGGATTGGACAATTATATATCCCCGTCGCATTGTACCACGATGACATGTTGCGATGGTGGTTGGATGTTTCAGCACCTGAATGGACATGGGCTCTTGCATTCTGATCTTGTTTAGATCTTGGGAATGGAGCTAGCCACAGAGTAATGCAAGTAATTCTAAAGACTTTTCTCTGGCATGAGTTGATTGATTCTCGTGTACTGCAATGTGTAGGCTTAGGCCCTACCGATGACGCAGCATCGTCATTCAGCTCATGTCCGACGGGACCGAGATGCGTTGCAGTGCGCCTCTTCGGATGCGACCACGCATCAGGGCCCGAGCAGCCTACCACGCCCGACCGAGCGCAGATCGAAGCTCTCCTCCGAGCCTTGATTGCCCTTTTAACAATCCCGCGTTCCTTTCTGACCTCTTTTTGGCACCGCCATCGCTCTTCAATCCCCAAATCCCAGGTTTGCCTGTTCTGCTGACTAATCACCCACACAAAAAAGCGTCGGAGAAACGGAGCCAACGAGCCTCCTCTCTGGTCGGCATCTCGGCGCCTGCAACCTCCGTGCTACGCGAAAGAAAAGAAAAAACAAGCAGTTTACCAGGCCGGACAGCCCTATTTGCGCGTGGCTCGCCGGCTTTCTGGGGATTCCCTAGTCTCTCTTTCTTTTTTTTCGACTAAACTTCTTGGCGTGTGGCGGCTGTGATCGGTGGGCGGGCGTTTCTACTTCCTGCCCGTGTGGGCGCCAAGATCTATCTGTCTGAGGGCTTGTGGTGAAGGAAACTTGTGTCTCAGGAGGGAAAGGGAATGAAAGGATTTTTTTTAAAAAAAAGAAAACGCGACACCCCTTGATTAGGGATAATGGAGGATAGCGGTGACTCGCCTACGTCCTCCGGCACGCCCGGCACCGTCGCCGCCACCACCACTGCCGGCCCACCATCCGGCTCCCCGGCACGGACGGTGGAGGCCGACGGTCCCGCCGACAAGAAGCTGCGCGCGTGCGAGGCCTGCCGCGGGCTCAAAGTGCGCTGCGAACCGGACCCGCGCGAGGGCGAGCCGTGCCGGCGCTGCAAAAAGGCAGGCCGCGGGTGCGTGGTCACGGCGCCGACGCGCAAGCGGCAGCGCAAGACGGACAGTCGCGTGTCGGAGCTGGAGCGCAAGATTGACGCCCTGACGGCGAGTCTGCAGGCGAGAACGGGCGGCGGCGGGGACGCGGTGAGGCAGCAGCATGGCAATGTGAGTGGAAGCAGCGGCAGCAACAGGGGCCAGGAGCACAAGAGCTGGGACAGCGAGGTGGCGCCGTGGGATAGTGCGCGGCCGGCGGACCAGGATAGCCACTTTCAGCAGCTGGTCACGATGGCGGGCCGGAAGCGCAAGGCCATGGACGAGGGGATCTCGAAGGAAGGCGGCAGCAGGCCGGCGGCGGAGAGCGAGAGCGCCGCGACCGCCGCGGATAACGACGACAGGAAGCCGTCGGCGGCGGCGGCGGCGGTCGGCTGGCCGGCGTACACGTCGCGCTCGACTGACGGCGACGTGGTGGACCGCGGGCTCGTGCCGCCCGCGCTCGCAGCGCGCCTGTTCACGCGGTACAAGACGCAGATGGTGCGGCACCTGCCTGGTGTCGTCTTCGCGCCGAGCGCCACGGTGGCGGAGCTGCGCTCCTCGCGACCGACGCTGTTCTTGGCCATCATGGCGGCGGCGGCGGGCGAGGACCACGCGCTGCAGCGGGTGCTGCAGCGCGAGCTGATGCGCACGCTGGCGCGGCGCGTCATGGAGGTCGGCGAGAAGAGCCTCGAACTCGTCCAAGCGCTCAACGTCGCCGTCATCTGGTACTGGCCGCCGGAGCACTTTGAGGAGCTCAAGTTCTACCAGCTGATCCACACCGCCGCCGTCATGGCCATTGACATTGGGCTCGGGCGGCGGCCACCGCGCGGAGGCAAGTCGCGGGCGGTGCCGCAGGCGGGGTACTACCCGGCGTGGAGGGGCGGGCGGTCGCCGCCGCCGGACCCGACGAGCTTGGAGGCGCGGCGCACGTGGCTAACGTGCTACTACCTGGCGAGCAACACGGCCATGTCGCTGCGGCGGCCGAACCTGGTGCGGTGGACGGGGTTCATGGCGGACTCGGTGCGGGTGCTGGAGACGAGCGCCGAGGCGGCGCCGACGGACGCGTACCTGTGCCACCTGGTCTGGACGCACAGGCTGGGCGAGCAGGTCGGCGCGCAGCTGTCGCTGGACGACCCCGACGCGGCGGCGGCGGTGGACGTGGAGGACGCGCGGACGCAGTACGCGCTGCGGGCGCTGGAGCGGGACTTGGAGCGGTACAGGGCGGCGGTGCCGCCGGCGCGCATGCAGGCGACCCTCAAGATCGGCTTTGACCTGCTGAGCTTATATATGCACGAGACGGTGCTGCACGGCGGCGATGGCGGCGGCGGGGAGGAAGGGGAGGAGGAAGGGGAGGAGGAGGAGGAGGGGTTAGTGGGGAGGGAGAGGGCGGCAAGGCCGCTGTCGGCGCAGCACGTCAACGCGCTGACGGCGTGCCTGGCGGCCATTGACGGAATCTTCGCCACGTTCCTGGCCCTCGACGTGGAGAGCATCCGGTGCCTGCCCGTGTTCAACTTCGTGCGCGTCGCGTACGCGGTGGTGGTACTGATGAAGATGCACTTCTCCGTGACCGCTGCGGCGGCGGCGGCGGCGGCGGCGGGTGGCGAGGCGGGGTCGGACCTGGCGGTCGTGTTTCCCCGGGAGGCGCTGCGGGTCAGGCAGCACCTGGACGCGCTGCTGGACAAGTTCCGCGAGACGGCGGCGGGGGATCGCTGCCGGCCGGCGAGCAAGTTCCTGGTGGTGCTGGCGATGCTCCGCAGCTGGTTCGTCAAGCAGGACGGCAGCGGGAGTGGTGAGGCGCCGGCGTCTGCTGCTGCTCAGCAACGACCACGGCAGCAGCAGCAGCAGCAGCAGCAGCAGAGATACCAGCAGCAGCCGCAGACGACGGCCAACACGCCGCTGGAGCTTCTCTCCGAGGTCGCCGTCGGCAGCGATCCGAGCAACCCCGCGAGCTCCTCCTCGCCGTTTGGCTACTACCGACCGACCCCTCCCCCTGCGGCCACCGCCGCGCCTCCTCCCCAGCAGGTGTTCTTCCCCGACGCCAACCCTGCGACCACCACGTCCCCTGGCGGCGGTGGCACGACGACGCCGTTCACCACCGCAGCTTCCTCCGGCGCAGCGTTTCCGGCGTGGATGATGCCCGACAGCGGCGGTGGCGGGTTCGACGCCGCCGCTGGGATGCTGGCGGGCGGCGAGTTCCCGACCGCGGTGGAGTTTGGCGCGATCGGGGGCATGGGCTTCGGCTTTGACGGCGGCGTCGGCGGCGTGGCGGGGATGAACGCGACGACGAACGACCAGTTCTGGACGGACATGTTCCAGGGCATACCGGACCCGAACATGTTTACCTTTTAGGTCTGGGCCGGTGGTCGTGGATTGGTAGCGGAAAGTCTGGGAAGACGTATGAAGTCTTGTAACGATTTTGTGCGTTTGGGACGTGGCTGGAGTAATGCAAAATCTCAATCATGAACATTGCCGGGGATCGGGGAATGCGAATATGGAGATACCCCTCTGCGAATACTTGATGAATGTCACAGTTTGTGCTATATCTCATCTCTCTTTAAAAAGTTTATACGTTTTCAAAACTTTGCAAATACAGACTATCACAAGATGATTCTTTATTACTTGTAAAACATCTCCTATTCCATCAACATCACGCTGTCACAAACATTCACCTGGATAATTTTAACCATTTCCATTTTAGCTAATCTGCCAGCCAATCTTGATACCCCGTCAGTCCAAACAGGGAGAAATGGCAAATCTGACAAGACTGCGTAAATAACCTTTGAGAAAATAAAACCATTCCACTATGCTGCAAGCCGGGCCAGTCTTGGTTGCATCCGTCTGCCGCGAATTCAAGCCGCGTCCATACTCAATCCGTTGCCTCAACAACCTCTCCTTCCTTCAAAGATTCATACGTTTCAACAGCCAATATCGTATATTCCAGGTGGTGGCCAAGGGGCCAAATAGTGTACATGAATCAAAGCCATGTGTCGCACGAGTGTCGTATGGGGTTATGCTCGTAAAACCGTCTGTCCCGAGACGGCATGATGCCATCGCTCATAAAACAAAAAAGGTAAAAATCAAGGAAATCGCTGCCAAATGGCCAACAGTTTAAAAACAGCCATGTTTTGCACATTTTGTGCCGCGCCATTGATGTCTGCCAAGCAGTGCCAGTGAAAACGAGATGCTCGAGTGGCTCGAGGGTGATGAATCATTGTCATAAAGACAACAAGAGAAAAACAGGACCAAGAGATTCATAATTAATCCATATAGAAATCTCCCTTGAGAATTCTCTCCTGGAATGCGTCGGGCTTGGGCTTCTGCGGCCGCGGCTGGACGGGCGGAGGGGCCTGGGTCGGCGGCGAGGTCATCTCGGAGACGGACCTGGCACGATCATGTGGCATCCTAGGGGGCGAGCTGGAGGCGAATGAAAAGGAAGGCCGGGCGCCGGCGACGGAGCTCTCTGCGCGAGATCTTAACTGCTCGGACCAGTTGAAGCCTTGCTGGTCTGCTCGAGAATTTGCATAGTCAGAAGGGGCTCTTTTGTGCATGGTGAAGCTTGCCTGTGGTAGGGAAGACGACAGGACGGAGCTGGGGCGGCGTCCGGAGACAGACCAGCTCGCCGAGGCGGCCATGGGCGGAGACTTGTTGGTGGATGGACGGCGGCCGAGGACGGGCTGGGGCTGGGGCGGGCCGGGGTTCTGCTGGCTGGCAGGGGGAGGAGATGTTGGGTTGGTATTACCGTTGCCAGGACTTCCTGAGGGGCGAAGGCCTCTGAGGGAGCCGGAGCCGGCGGAGCCACCAAAGCTCATGCGTCGAGTAAAGGGTGTGTTGGGAGCGGTTCTAGCGCTGGCGGGGGCAAATTCGTCGTCCTCAACGGCGGACTCGTCAATGGAGCCCGAGTTGGAGTTTGTGGAGACGCTCTCGCGACGGACAAAGGCAGCGGGATTGGTGGGAGAGGTGCCAGAGAGGCCAATGGTGCTGACGGAGAGACGGCGACCGCGAGGGTCGGTCATGCTTGGGGCGCCGGGCAGCGGGGGGCCGTTGACGTTGGAGGGGCCGCGCTGGAAGAGGTTGGAGAGGGCAGCCTGTGTGATGGAGCTGCGGCGGTGGGCAATGCCGGCGTTGGGGGCGTTGTCGGACATGTCGAAGGGTTCGAAGGTGGCGAAAGCGGCGAAGACGGTCTGGGGTTGTGCGATGGAAGAATATGGTGCAGTGGTGATGCGTGGTCGGTTGGTGGCCGAATGCCGAGCGGGCTTGTGACAGCCGGCGGGCGGGCGGAGGTCGTTGATGAGTGGGCTCGGCTTGGGAAGCGCAAGCGACGTTTGCGGCGGCGTGGACGGCAAACAGGGAAAAAAAAATGGGTTGGAAATCGGGTTCAAGAGATGTCGAGAAGAAAGGATAGAAAGAAAGATGCAAGAATGAGGGCGACAAGAGACGGAATAAATGGTAAAACGAGCAGGAGTGTGAGAGGGGGAGAATGAGGTGGTAGTGGCCGGCGGTGGTGTTATATATAAGACGATTTTGACGGGTGTCGGCACAAGTGGGAGGACGAGGGAGTGGGAGGGGCGTGACGAGTCAATGCAGAGCGTGAGTTGATGGGATTGGCTCAAATGAGGAGACAAGGATGGGAAAGATGCAAGGAAGGAGAGGAGAAGCAGATTGAGAGGGTGTGGGAGAGAATGATGGAGGGGGAAGAAACTAGGAGGAGGAGGAGGAGGAGGAGGGAAGAGAGGAAGAAGAGGGTGGTGGCCTGAGCTGGGAGCATGGAAGCCTGGCAGAGTGAGGAGGGGAGAGGAGAAGAGAAGAGTGGTGGTGGTGATGAGGGTTGTGCCAGCTTTGTTTAGTGGCTGCCTTAGCACCATTTTTAGCGTTGATGGGCGGTGTTACAGCGCCTCCGGGCCTATTTTTACAGCGACTCTAGTGCTCGCAGTGGCGAGATTGAGCAAACGCGCTAAGCCCCTTGTGGTCATGGTTGCACCGGTCCGACATCGGGGTACTTGATAGGCAGCGGCTGGTGCTAGCAAAGAAAAGTACCGCCAGTTTCTGGGGTAAACTGGCTGGCTCTGTGGAGCCGTCCATCTCGATTGTGCCACTTGTCTGCAGCCAAGGATTTGATCCCCTTCCCCCCGGTCAAGGCACAGACTGCCGCAATCCAGTCTAGAAGCGGCTGCAACTCTAATGTTTATCACTATTCCGTTGTTGTGCGATGAATTGAAAAGGGATATACACCGGACCTGCCGGACTTGATGTGCCCTGGGATAGCAACACGATGGCGAGATACTGAGTGTTACCACAAATAGGCACTCGAGACACAAACCCAAGCCCTGCGTCAAGGCCAAGCCTCATGCAAAGCTACAACTAGGGGTTTGTATACCTGTCATATCCTCAATAATAGAACAAGACGCGTAACTTCGTACTGACCGCATCTGCGCCTCTATCGCTCCTCATTTCCCGTAACGCGGGATCGACAAGGGCCCTGGCTGGGTAAGTCGACAAAAACGCAAACCCACCAAAAAGTCTCGTTTCACTTCCAAGGCTGGCTATCGCGCGAAATTCCATGTCTCTGTCCGCGACAGGGGAACTCACCTTCACCAGAGCGCAGTTACTGGCCTCGGAGCCAGCCCGACGCCATGGTGACGAAAGCGGACAAAGGCGTGGCTCCCAGATAACACACGTACGAGGCTGCGACCCCAAACCAAGGTAAAGTGTGGGTGGCAACAGAAAGCGCAGAAAGCCACAGAATCAAAGTGCGTCTTTGTTACAACCACCAGTAGACTGCCATGCACTTCTCACTTCTGCCGTGGTGTGCCCATTCTGGCGCCTTGTGGCACCAGCCAGCGACGGCGACCTCAAGCGATAACGTCAAGCACGTCGGCGCGTGCCGCAAGACAACGGCAACAATCGCGGCAACACGTCAGCAATCAAGCCAAAACTTGGGAAGATGAAATCGGACCCGCGGAAGCGTGCTCTGTGCCTCTTTCGTGTAACAGCCAGCGGCCGAAAGTCCTTTCGCCCTTGCGACGGGTCGATCACCAAAAGCTTGTTCGCACCGCCAATCAGTGACGTAGAACCCTGCTGCGGGGAGAGTTGAGAGAAGCAGCCAAAGGTAGCTTGGCTAATAGCTTTGGTGGATAGGTACATATAGATACTGCGCTGCACCCTGCATACGACGGTGGACTCGAGAGGGGCCGCCGCGATCGGTGGGGCCTCCGCACACGACGAAGGGTCACTGGATTAACAGTAATCTGATGGAGTAAAATGAAAATGAAGACGGAAAAAACTATACTTGATATATGATGTATGGAATGAATCTGCTTGAACACTTTTGATCACTTGCAGCCGTGCTTGATAGTCTGTCCATGACGTTCGCTGACGACAAGCCTTGGGGAGGCAGGTACATACGTACCCGCTGCGGACTGCCAGATGCCAAGTTGCCAGCTGCCAGCTGGCTGCCAGCTGCAATGCAAAGTTCCCGACTTGCATTTTCTCTGCAAACGCAGACAGACAGCTTGCCCGTCTCATCATCATGCTGCGGCCATCTTGACAGCCACTCGCATGACCTCCTGCGCTTGAATAAACAATACACTGCGGCACCGTGTATTGTCTATCCAACGACCGTGGATACCCCTCTGCACTAGATCTGCCCTGAGCCCTGGTCTGGTCCACTCCCCGCTCTCGCCCACCGGCCCAGCGTCTCCTCCCAGATTCACCGTCGTCAGCCCATCCGTCCTCTCCGAACACCACTTTGCGTCATGGTCACCTGGCCATGTTCGTGAGTCCTCACGCCATCTCGCACTCTTCCACGCCGACGCTGCCCAAAGACTCTACCAGCCCTAGTACGACTCCCTTGGCCAGCTCACGTGCCAAATGCTGCGTAACTACCCCGTCAAACGACACCCAACCGCCCTCATCTACCTACCGCAGCATGATGGTTGTTGTCTCATCCACGACATCGGCCCTCCCCGCAACTGACAACGCTACGACCACCGCGTTCACTTGCACCCTCTTCCCAGGAGTAACTCGTCCTTGCTTCGACCATGCTACACACCACCACACGCGAGATGCATCTAGAACTGCATGCCCCCACCAGAACCTGGGCCCAATCACCCCGGCACTTGCAAATCCGACCGTCCAACCAAATGGCCAGCATTTCACAATAAAAATCACCCAAGACCGCTCCAGCCACATTTTCTTTCTGCGGCCTAATATCCCAGAGCCCGCTATCTTGACTGCCTCTGCGGCGCTGGCGCTAGGGGACATGGGCTTCGCGGGGTAAATGGCCGTCGAAGAGTCGGCCGAACTCAACTTTTTAGCTTGGAACACTTTTCTGGGACCATGACCAGCCCTTTCCCAGACTCCCGCACAGACTGGAACCCCGCCCGCACCATGGCGCTCTTTGGCGGCTTCCTCGAATATGCAATTACTGATAACAGCACACGCTCCGCCCTTCGGAATGCCCCCTCTCATTAAGGTGGGAAGTACTCGTGCATGCATGCTGCTATATCAGCCTCGTGTGACTGAGACGACGATGTGGGCGCCATGGACAACGTGGCTCGGCGGAGGCGAATAGAGCCTTCTCGTACGACGACGGCTCCGTGGAGTCGGTTGCAAGCTGCCGCCTTGGCCGGGTGGGGAGCAGTTCAATGGTACGCCAGATAGCACACCCTAACACATTGGCAGCAACCCTACTGGTCAAGCAGTGAGCTTGGCCAGATGCACGAACCTCAGCCGCCCCCGCAGAGCTGGTCGCCCAAAGCATATTGTTTGAGATGCCAGCACTTCGTGCCATGTAGGCAAGCAGTTTTGGATAAGGTGCGGTCAAGGCTTGCGATATTTCGCACCTCGTCAGTTAACCATCCATTCAGTGTAGGGACGTATGTAGGTGCACCCATTCACATGGAGTGCGCCTTGTCCATCTGTTACCCGTAACAGCTCTGTATCGGTGAAGAGGGTATAATTCAACACATGCTTAAATACAGATGATTATTGTCTATGCAGCCCATTTCAAAACCGTTAAAACGCCCGTCTATGCTAGTAGCTCGGACCGCAGCCGCTATCACGTACATCAATCCTTCATAAGATCTTCATTAGTCATTGCGCATCGTATCCTGCTCCCCTCACGGCCTCCGTCCGCCACAGAGCCCGCAGATGCCGCAGTCCCCCGCGTTGACGTACCCCGTGCCCGCGCACGACGCGCTCTCGCACGACCACGCTCCACGCACCGCGTCCGGCCGGAGCACATGCGCGCACGCCGCGCACCGGAGCGCCTCCTTGCCGCCGACATTGTCCAGCGAGCATAGAGGGCACCGACCGTCCGACGGCGACGTCGTCATGGTCGTTGTGACTGCCTCCCGTTCCGTCTTGGTAGTGGGGAGCCGATGGATGGTGATGGCCGGCCGTCTTGCGGCAGTCGCTGGTGGTGCTCGTCGTGACGGCGGCGCCGTCCTCGTCTGCCGTGGCGGAACCGCGTCCCGGATATGTGGGATGTCGTGTAGCCGTAGCGGCCGCGGCGGCGTTGCATCACGTAGCCCGCTTGACACGGTGGCGCTGTTGGCCTCGTCGCTCGGCTCGTCCTTTATTCGCGGCCGCGGTCGTCCTGCGTCGTCGCGCTCCGCCTTGACCGTCGTCGTCGTCGTCGTCGTCGTCGTCGTCGGCGGCGGCGGCGGCGGGTGCGGGTGCGTGGTGAGCAGCACCCGCCGCAGCTCGTCACGCTCACTCCTCCTCGCCGCGCCCTGGTCTTCCTCGCCCTCCTCCTCGTCACCGCACACCTTGACCATGGCTCGTCCGTCCCCGTCCGTGATCCTCTTTCCGTCCCAATCCACCGCCTCCGTCACATCCTCCTCCTCCTCTTCGTAGTCGCTCCCACTCTCCTCCTCGACCTTTTGCTTGTCGAAGCGCGCCAGGGCCGCCGCCGCCCTCAACTCCCTTCCCCTCGCGCTGCCCGCCACGCGCGGCCGCGCGACCACCCTCCTCCCGCCCTCCAACCTCGTCTTCTGCTGCTCGTCCGCGCCCAGCGCCGTCCCCGCCGTGCCGAACCTCTTCGCAATCCGCCTGTCCCTCCGCTCCCTCCACGACAGCTCCGGTCCCGCCCCACGCTTCCGCCGTCGTCGGGAGCGGTACGTGCCGCCGCAGAGGTGCTCCGGCAGCGGCTCCTCCTCAACCTTGACCGCGTCCCGCTCCCACGCCGCCGCGTCGAGGGCCACGCCGCGACCCCAGATGCCCTCGCCCGTGTAGCCGCGCGCCCAGAGCGCCGTCATCTGCGCGGCGTAGGCGTCGCGGACCGCCCAGAAGGCGCGCGAGTGGTTCATCTGCGCGCAGTGCGCGAGCTCGTGCATCATGACCATCTGGACGTAGCGGAAGGGCAGCCAGCGGCGGGGGGCGCGCGCGGAGCGCAGAACCAGCTGCACGACCTCGCCGGCGTTGAAGTTGCGCCCAACGAACTCGCGGTTCGGCTCGTGCTCCTCCAGCGTGACGACGGAGATGTGGTGCTCCTTCATGATCGGGACTGTGTCTTGTCAGTAGACGAACGGAAGGGAAGGGGAGGGGCGGGGGGACGGACGGCATTGGGCGGCGATGCGCTCGAGAAAGTCTTGGGCGGTGGCGGAGTCGGGGCCCGGTAGGGGCTTGATGAAGACGATGTTGGGGTTAGGCTGTGTGCGTCACGCGTTGAGACGCTGGATGCCCACCGGCATGGTGACAACGTGGCCGGCAGTGGCCGAGACGCTCGTCTGCAACGGCAATTAAGAATCGGCAAGCTGTGTTTGCGGCAGGGCCTCGTTACCTCCTAAAGCACGGCTGAGTCGGAATCGGAAAAGTTTTTTTTATTTTATTTCAGTCTTGTCGGTGGCGTTGATGAGTTGCAACCGACGAAGCGTGAATGGACGCGAAAATCGGTTTCGCGAAATCACGTGATTTTAATGACCCTTGCCACATTCACACTTCAAGTTGAACTTTAAATCTCAAGATAGCAGATGACGTAGATGGACTTGCGTATTGAGTAGAAAAGTCTATTGAAAAAACGCATCATCTATCTTATCCGGTGTGAGAAGGATATGCCCAAAATGATCCATCTACAGTAAAACAGCCCAACGCTCCTATGCATGCAGATATGCTCGCTAAAATCAGAAAATGCTAAAGAAGGAAAACTCAAAACTAAGATCCTCCTGTCATGGTTCCGGCGCGAAACTCTTCTCTTGCCTCGACGTTGGAAATGGCGCTCTGAACAGCGCTCGTCAGGTCAATGTGGAAGAGCGGTCTGTCCAGGCCGCTAACGACGGCCCCCTTGCGGCGCTGGCGAAGCGTGGCGGCCAAATTGGGCTTCTCGTCATCACGGCCCGTAGATATAGGCTCGTCCGAGTCGTATATACCCAGATCACCCGCCTTGCCCATCTCCTCATCGGGAGCTTGGTTGTGGCGCAGGGCTAGGGCCAGGTCACGCTCGTGTGCGCTCTCCTCGGCGACAGCAGCGGCAGAGTCTTTGCCGCCAATCTCCGCGACACTGAAGATTGAGCGCCAGCGGTGAGGGACTCCGTCTGAGGGGGCCGTGGGCACGCCAAATCCGCCGGCAATGAGGGCACGCTTGGTCCAGCGGTTGTTAATGCAGGCGATGTGCCAGTCAACCACCTTGGGGGCCGTGTACTTGTCAAGCTGATTGCGCACGTCAATCAGACGCTGGACTGAAGTAATATCGACATTGTTAACGGAGCTGAAGTCGAGAATGATGGCCTTGAGATTCGGCATTCGATCCTTGTCGGTTTCTCTACTCTTGGCCGTCTTGCGGGGTCCGGGGTTGTTCCATGGTCGGTCGCCTTTGCGTTCAAACATCTCAGGGCTGGTGCGTTGTGTTTGGGACTTGATGTAATCGATGAGATACTCCAGGGAGTGGTTGGCGTTGGGGTAGTTGAAGCCCTCGGAGAAGCGGTAGATGAAGACGCCAGGATAGGGATTCTCAAGCTCCACCTCGGGGTTAGAGCCATCGCCGTGGTCCAGAGGCAAGAAGACGTTGCGAGATGAGTTCTCCAGCGTCTCGGTGAATGTGCCATACTCGCCAACAAGCTGCTTGTCGTCGGCACCAATGACATGATCGCCGAGGACGGAGTGGACGCGGACCTTGCCCATAAACCGGCCTTGCGCCTTAAGAATGCGGAAGAGAAGAATGGCCGCAGAGAGACAGACGGTGGCGTACAAGCCTTCTTCAATGTGAACAAACACACTAACAAATACACCGATAAAAAAGACAAAGACCTCGAGGGGAGAGACTCGCCAAAACTGGTAGACCGTGTTGGGAGGTGTAATGAGGTCGCCGACGGCGTGGATGATGACGGCAGCAAGAGATGCGCTCGGGATATAGAAGAAGACTGAGGTGAGAAGATATGTAGCAATTAAGACTACGAGACCAGTGATAATGCCAGCTGCTGGTGTGCGGACCCCAGCTTTGGAGTTGACAGCAGTACGACTGAAGGAACCAGTGGAAGGGTAGCCGCCGAGAAAGGGTCCGAGAATATTGGTCATGCCGATGGCAACCATTTCCTGAGAAGGGTCTATGGTGTAGTTGTTAACACGACCAAAAGACTTGGAAATGGCAATGTGCTCGACGAGCATGACAATGACAGTGGCGGGCAAGTGCGTAGCAAACTTGGAAATGAGAGCGCTGTCTAAGTGAGGAGGGCCGACATTTTGAAAGCCTTTCGGAACGACGCCCAGGACACTGAAGGCCGGGTGCTCACGACGGTTTCGGTTGACGAGCCATGAGATCATGGTGTAGAGCAAGATAGCAAAGACGGTTCTCATGGTGTTTGCAAAGAAGATGATACGCTTCTTGTTGGGCCAGCGCTCGGCGGCGCGGGTCAGGATAAATCGGATGAGGTAGAGTAGGAAGAGCGCGGTGAGACCTAGAGCAGCGTCGAGCTTGACATGAGGAAGGTTCTTGAGAGTGTTGATGATGACCTTGTACGGAGCGTCTCTGTTGGAGAAGCCATGAAGGCCGAGAAGAGCGGGCAGCTGGCTGACAGCGATGGTGATGGCAGAGCCCGTCATGAATGCAGACAGGGAGGTAATGGAAATCAAGTCAACCAACCAACCCAGACGCAGAAGGCCCATACCCAAGACAATGCAACCTGCCACGATGGATAGGGCAGAGGCAATGACGTTTGCGGAATAGGGTAAGCCGGATGACTTGAAATCTGCCACGACGGTGCCGACAACGGTAGAAAGAACGGCGACAGGACCGATGGATATATCTTTCGAAGTACCGAAGATCCAGTAGATGATGACACCCATAAAGGACGAGTAGAGACCGAATTGGGGCTCGAGGTTGGCCAACAGGGCATAGGCCATGCCTTGGGGAACGAGGACAGCGCCAATGGTGATGCCCGCGACAAGATCGCCAGCCAGCCACTGTAAGTTGTAGTGTGTTATCCAAGAGAGAAACGGGAAGAGAGACTTGATATAGGCGGCCGTCTCCTGGCGGGTAGGAACCTGTTCATGAATCCACTCTAAGGTAGTGGGAGGGCCTTCAAAGAAGGAATCGCTGGTTTGGGCGGACATGACAGACTCGCCTCGAGTGACGGCATCGCGGCCGCGGTCGGGGTCCTCCACTTGGATGCCAAGCCCCTTGGTAAGGCCATGGCCGATCCTGCTGGAGATGCGCGGCATGGCCGTGACTTGTGGGAAAAATCTTTGGCGGAGCGGAAAGAGGATGAGGATGAAGAGTGAGGGAGCAGAAGAGGAGGAGAGGGGGATATATCGTGGAATGCGAAATTGGAGTTACACAATCATCTCGGTGTTGAAAAATGACAGCGCGGAGAAAGAATCTGAGACAAGGCCAGCTCGTACCAGCTGAGCAGAGGTTCCAACAGCCTCTTCGGTCCGCGGAGGAGGGTGGGCGTACAAGGCGCTTCGGCGCGGCGGGAGAGATGTGACTTGACTTGGGTTTGACGAGCAAGACAGTAAAAAAGGTAGGGCTGGGAGACCACGGAGGCACGCCGCCGACGTAGGTAGGTAGGATAGATGCTATTTAGCGGGCGGCGCCGTTTGGTGTTGTGGCTTGGCCGGGTGAGGAATGGCGAGCCGGGTCGCAGGAGTGTTTGTGTACGCCCCGACGAGCCACGAGACACGACGACAACCAAGGTCGAGGGTCGAAGGGTTCACGACTTTTCTAAAAATGTCAGACACGGCTGGTCGGCGTGGGGTCAGCAGGGCGCTGACGCGGGGGGACAAGTGACGAGTGACCGCCAGCGAACAATGGCAGGGATAAATTAGGCAATTCGTTGGGAGAGACAGAAAAGGAGGCGTCTGGGGAGGATGCGGTGGATGCTGCTGGGAATCTGTGCGGTGCTCGGGCTAGGTGAAGTCCGGCGAGAGATGAGATTTTGTTTGGGCTCGGCGGACGGAATCGCGAGGTGGCGGCGTTTGGAGGAGTTGTTGGCGATGTTGAATTTGTTCGGATGGGCAAGTCGGATGGATGACTACCTTGGTCAAGTGCCGACAGAATGGAATGCCATGGTGATTTCATTCTCCGCCCCGACGAGCCTTTTTTGCTCGCTCCGTCACCCTTTGTTCCTTGTTCGTTATGGTGGCTCTGCTGGATGGCCGGAGACGTCGTGCAATCACGACATCAGCATGGCGTTGAGGACGCTCCACATGGGACATGTCGCCATCGGCCCCTAACCTGGAGAAGCAAAGAACGATCCGAGATTCCACAAGATACAGTGGGCAGTGGACATCTGGATGTTTTCGACTGGTTTGGGCGAGATGTAGAAAGCACGTGATGATGAGGGATGGTTTGTTGGCAGTAGGATGTACAAGGTACCTCGAGGTTGTGGGAATTGACCATTCGAGGCCACTGTACGTACGTAGGGACCCGCGCACTGCCGACTAATTTCCAGGCCTATTCCGGCGCTTCCAGGTCTTCTTAGTACGATGCTTGTTGATTCAACGCTTCTTATTTTCTGCTGACAAACAAACAGTCGACTGCCTTCCTTTTCATCGTCGTGGCTTCACCATTGCCCGCCGACGATCCGAGTCCCTCATCGCCCATTACCACTGCATTTTTCTCTGGCTTTACCCATCGACCTTGGCCGCCCGCAGACGTCACATCTAGATCCCTCGACACCCCAATCCTACCCCAGCCCAGCACACCGAAGCCGGACACTGCACCTCGCATCTCGACTGGCAATCTCGCCAATTGACCCGCCGCATCAGTCTAATCCACCGTGCTGTGATAACCATGGCATCTCCATGCCGTCTTGGCCGGCACGCCACCCGGCCCTACGCACGCACGGCCAAACTCTATCTCCGCTGCCCACAGGTGCCGCTCCGGCACCGATGTGCCGTCCAGATGTCTTGCTACCACATTCACCCAGCCCTTAGCAACTTGGCAGACGATTGCTCGCGTTTGTCAGAGTTATACAGCCGCGGCCTTGCCGCTCCATTGGCCAAACTTCGCGTCGTTGTTAGACTTGTCTTGCAATTCACAGCTGATTGGGGATACCAGCTACCTGTCAACCGAAGAGTGGCTTTTTGCAGCCTACTTCGTCTTTATGGCATCGCGTTGGCCGTATCATCATCGTTGAAGCCCAAGGGCGTAGGTGCGAAGCAGGTCCGTTTTTAACAAGAAGCTCATCAAGAGCCGCCCACGCCCATGCGAATTCGTGGATACCGGCTTTTCGACTACACACGTATGTCTCCCAGGTATCTGCTTGTGACACCAGTTCGAACAATGCCAGGAAACTCGTCTAACGCGATATTTGATAAAATGAAAAAAAAATGACGTCTTTTTCAGGTTATGGCTAGCTATACGGACTTGCACGCACCGCGGTTTACCTTGTGGTCGATATCCTTCTTGTTCATGACTGGCAGCAGTCTCCGGCAAGCACAGCGACCTTCCCATCGCCTCGCTCCATGCAATACCGTGTAAGTGAATTGTTTTTTGAACGAGAATCTCGTGCGGAAACATGCCCATGACATAATTACCAAGTGATCATATGGCACATACAGTCTTGGCAGGCGCATTCTTGGTCACCTCCCAGGTCCATCTGCTACGGACTCTTGTGACACTCACAGCTCACCACAGTCCGGCATACCAAGCCCGGCCATTGCCCATATGCTTTCGACTGGATCCGGTGCAAGAACCCTCGGCTGAACAGAAATACTACCGCACCGGCGCAGGCAACGAGCTGGAGTGCCCGTGGGTCACGGCCTGGAGCACGCTGAACAATGCAGTCCCTCGCCACTGTCTTGGCAAGCACGTCATTCGAAAATGCTGTGATAAGAGCTATACTGCATGTAAGATGCCCCCGAGATATCGGAGCCGAGCTGTCGGGCAATTGTCCGCGGCACAACTACGCTACGGTGGCCCTGGCCAGGTCGCGGCCTCGCACAAGGCTGCCCAACGCGCAGTCCTGACTTTCTAACACTACGTCAGCGACACTTGGCATGCCATACCACGCCACCTTGCCGAGCGGATATGCAACTGTGAAGAAAAAAAAATGATGTAGCTATGTAACGAATTGCCGAGGTGGCTCTGACTGCGACTTGACAGACGCTCTAGCTTGTTTACCTACTGCCCCCTAAAGCAGTACTCTGATCTCCGAGGAATAGGTCAATATTAAACCTGTGGGTGTTCACTGCTCGATACCTTCATTTGGACAGCCAAAAGTACTCCGTGATGTAGATTTGACCCAGATGTGATCGCACGAAGCAATGCCTGCCACGCCCTGACCCCAACAAACGTTTCAAGGAGAGCGAAGTGCTCTCTGGAAACAACTTAGAAAACATGGAAAACCCGTTACTTGGTATTATTCTCTTATTTGCTTGCTTGGTATTGGAACACGTGCCTGCCCTATAATCTTGTGGTGCGGATTTTGGAGCAGTCGACGCGCATCACAATGCCAATGCAGATTAAATAGATAGCTTGATTGGATATCAAACAATTGTAATCACTAAAATTACCCAAAGAAAACCCAATTCGCAATTAAGGCATTCAACTACGCTCTTGCTGTGCGCGAGGCTGGCTCAGCCTCGTCTCCGCCCACAACCCCAACCTCCCCACTGGCCGCCACCACTCTACGCCTCTACGCGGTTCTCAACGGCACCATACAAACACTCGATGTACATCTGAACTCGAATCCCTCGAACCTCGCCCTCTGATCCTCCCTCTACGGGCCCCCAATTCAGGCCGCAGCCGCCGCTGCCCACGATCCCCATCATGACCACCAGTCCCTCGCGCGAGGGCGCGTCACCAGCCGCCATCGCCACGCCCTCGCTTCCTCCTCCGCAGCACAACTCCCTCCTCCATACCGACCTCCAGCCGCCGCCCTCGCCGCGTACACACCGCGCCCTCCGCCGTCTGCAGTCCGCGCATACCCTCGGCGCCAAGGCCGCGAGCCAGGGCGGCTCCCTCATCTCGCCGCACTACCGCGACGCGCTGCACCGCAACGCCTCGCCCGTGCGCGCCGCCGCGACGACGACGACGACCACCCCTCCGCTCCCTGCAGCGGCGGCGGCTGTGGTCCCTGCTGCGCCGGCTCAACAGCAGCAGCAGAGGCACCGCGGACGCGCCAACAGCGATGCCATCTCGCCGATGATGCACCAGATGAACGCGGTCGGCGCGGCGCGACGCAGCGGCGTCAGCAAGCCCGTCTTCTCGCACGGCCACCTCTCGCTGCAGCAAATCATCCGCGAGGGCCCCAACGACGGCGACTTCATCGGGGCTCTGGAGAGCGCGCGGTGGAAGGTCGTCGACGAGGGCGTCAAGAGTGCCGAGGACGGCATGGTAAGGTTCCCTTTTCTTCCTTCGTTCCCCGAGGCGATGAAGTCGGGAAGAAGACTGACGAAATTACGTGACAGTCCACGCTACGCATCTACGTCTGGCTCGTGCTGCTCGACGCCCCCATCATGCCCACCGACGACTACCTGGCCCTCATCCACCGCGGCGCGTCCCCCGCGTACGCCAAGATCCGCAACGACACGTTCCGCACGCTCACGACGGACCCGCTGTTCCGCCGGCGCGTCAGCGAGGCGAGCCTGATCCGGCTGCTCAACGCCGTCGCGTGGCGCCTGCACGACGCCCGAGAGGAGGAGCGGGTCGCCGGCGGCTTCGACACCGCCCTCAGCCGCCCCGGCAGCAGAAGCGGGCGTTCATCGTCCCGACCGCCGCCGCAGCGGGGCGCGTCCACCACGCGGGAGTCGCTCACCGGCGCGGCCGGCAGCGCCTCCGGCGCCTCGCGCTCCGGCGCGCCGGAACCCGGCACCTACGTGCAGGGCATGAACGTGCTGGCCGCGCCGTTCCTGTACGCCGCGCGCAGCGAGGGCGAGGCGTTCGCCGCGTTCCACGCGCTGCTGACGCGCGAGGTGCCCGCGTACATCCGCGGCGCCATGACCGGCGTGCACCGCGGGCTCGCGCTCGTCGACCGCGTGCTCGCCGTGGTCGACCCGCGCCTCGCCATGCACCTGGCCGCCAAGGGGCTGGCCGCCGAGATCTACGCGTTCCCCTCGGTGCTCACCCTCTGCGCGTGCACGCCGCCGCTGCCGGAGGTGCTGAAGCTCTGGGACTTCTTGTTCGCGTACGGGCCGCACCTCAACATTCTCTGCATCGTCGCGCAGCTCACCATCATGCGCGCCCAGATCCTCCAGTCGCCAAGGTATGTGTAGCAAAAAAAAAAAAAAAGGCCTTGTCGCTTGGCCCTAGGTGTGGTGTGCTAATCGTGTCTTTTTGTAGCCCGAATAAAGTCTTGCGGTCGTTTCCGCCGCTCAATGCCGACCTTATCAAGAGTGTCACCATCGGCATCATCAAGCAGATCCCCGACGACGTCTATGCAGACATCGTCGTCCACGCGCAGTAGCGTCCCTCGTTACCCCTCCTTGTTTCTTCATCTAACGCATTGTACTCGACGACGGAGTTTTGATGATTTTCTAAAGTTTAGCTGTTTACTTGGCCAACTCTTGCAACGCTGTTACGAATTTACGGTTTCTTTGTCTTCATGTGGTTCTTGGAATGGCTGGCACTGTATTAGAACGGATGTATGTTTACTATAACACGGGTTGCATTTGTTATTGCACTAGGATACATGGAGATGGGCTTGAGCAAAGGAGAAATGCCACGTATTTGATTTATGAAAGTTGATTGTATTGACATGTGAAAACTCATCTACTATCCACGCGCTCGTCCGTAAACGTGCGCAGTGTGCTCATCTACTGGATAATGTATGTATGAGAAGCGAATGTGAAGATGCAAAAATACCAAAAAATGTCCCAAACGCCAATGTATGTGATGCAAGTAAATGTATGCAGCATGCTCATGCAGCCCACCCTCCATACGCCGATGGCCAGTCTGACACGCGTGCCGGGTCGGGCGACTTCCATCGTCAATCGTATATCCATCAGTGTAAATAACCCACATCCGTCATGTCCTCCATGTCCAATACCATACACGTATATAGATGCGCCCCCTGCGACCCCGACTTATCCCGTATGCTGCAGATACAGGAACGTGGTCTAGTAGGCAGGGCAGCCGCTGACTGCGCGGCTGAAGGCGTTGGCAAAGAACTGCTGCATCGCCGTGTAGTGGAAGATGATGCCGCCGAGCACCGCCGCGTGCCACAGATTGTGGCTGCCGCCGATGTAATCGAACATGCCGGGGTACCAGCACTCTGGGATCTTGCTCGCGTACACGACGGCGCCGCCAAAGTACACGAGGACGGACTTGAGGATGGGCGAGTAAAAGTCAATGACAAACTCGGAGCCGTGCGTGTAGAGAAGCTGCAGGATGGGCATGAAGCCCGTCAGGGCTAGGCCGACGAAGAAGGCGACGCGCGCCCACGACATGTCCGGTCCGTTAAACCGGGGGTGCCAGGGCAGGATGACGCCGCCGACACCGAGGAAGGCCGTCAGCAGCATGTAGGTCCAGCGGCTGATGGGGTCGCAGTAGAAGGCCGTGTACTCGGTCGTCATGATGGACGCGGCGATGAGCAGGGAGATGCCGGTGTAGTCGACGCAGGCAAAGATGGAGATTGCGTTGACGTCGGCGACCGAGTTCATCGTGTGCCAGATGACGGAGCACACGAGCGTGAGGCAGGCCATGATGAAGAAGACGGCGGCCACGAAGACGTCGCTCTTGGTGCTGAGGGAGAAGTTGGCGCTGGTCGGGTAGAAGTAAAAGGCGACGGCAAGCACCAGCACGAGGCCCAGAGCGTGGGACCAGATGTTGATGAACTCGTTGGAGATGTTGAAGATGGAGCACACGCACTCGAGCTTCGTCTCGGTAAAGCGATAGCCCTTGTGGATGTGCGGGTTGTTGCGCCAGGGGATGGGCAGCTCATGGTACGCCAGGAGTCGTCTTTCCTTTGCCAGGAGGATGGCCTGCTGGATGTGTTCCTCTAGAGACAGGGCGGCACGCTTGGCGCGCTCAAAACCCTCGTCCATGACCTCTCTGGCGCGTTCGATGCTTTCCGTGGCGACACGGCGACCCTCGTCCATGAAGGCCTCGGCGGCCGTGGCGGCGTTGGCGAAGCTCTGCTCGCGCAGCTTGTGTGCGCGCTCCTCGAACTCGGTCAGCATGCCTTCAAGAAGATCGATGCCGACGCAGGCCTTTTCATGGAGCGACTCGGTCGCCGCCAGCGTCTCCTGGTACCGGGTCTCCAGCGTCTCAATCATGACGTGCAGGCGGCGGCGTCCGGCGCCTATGACCTCTTCCGAGGCCTGCGAGCAGCGGGTGCGGACGGCCTGCAGGGTGGAGAAGGCGCGGGAGAAGTTGTAGTCGCGGCTCATGTCGCCGTAGCGCTCGATGAACTCGAGGCGGCGCTCCAGCTCGGAGAGGAAGAGGTCGACCTTGAGCAGCAGGCTTTCCTCGGTGTCCATGATTTGGCCGACGATGGACTTGCGGCGCGGGAGGAAGAAGGAGTGTCGGCGGCGGTTGAGGGTCGGCTGGTCGCTGGATGGTGTGTCGGCGCCCGAGGCCGTCGCTGAGGAGAAGGCGTCGTCGGTGTTGCTCGGCCTGCCGGAGCAAGTCGGTGTCAAAGCCGTGACGGACGGCATGGTGTTGAGTGGCCGAGCGGGTGGTGGGTTGGGGCTACGTTTAACTCATGAGGTGGAGGGGGACGGGTTCGGGCGATGCGAATTGTTAAAGAAAGGGCTTTGCAAGAGAGGAGGCGCAGGCGAAATATTTTCGGATCGAGGTCGAATGGGATTCGGCACGGGCAGTTTGGCCGCTGCGGCAATTGGTTGGGTGAAGAGAGAAAATGGGGGGGACCCCTGCGGTTGGACGGATGCCACTTCTCAACAAAGACGCCGGGTGAGTGGAGAAGGAGGGCGATGCAAGGCGATTTTGCCCAGGGAAATGCGGGTTTTGCTAGATGCGGCGAATCTGATAATTGCGGAATATGTTTCGATAGAGAGCGGAAGAAGGAAAAGAAGTCAGAAAAGACGGAAATGGCGCAAGGTCGAGGGCAGGGGGAAGAATTATTGAACGCAGGCCGGAAATTGTCGTGACGTGCGAACCTTGGCGGCGATCCCCCGTTTGTCAGACGGACAGCGGACGGTCAGTTCCTACGAGTGGTAAGTGGTGGTCTGGTCTGGGTAGAAGAGGTGATGAAGGCAATGAGTGAGCCAGAAATGTCTACTTAAATGTCACCGAGGCGATGCTTACTATCCGTACTATTAGGAGGTAAACTAATTGCCGCACCTTAATAATAATAAAGAGTCAAGCTCAACCTTGTGATGGAATGGCAAAGGAGCGCTGAAATTGCGGGCGGCGTAGCGCCGAGTGCCACATCACTAGCGTGCTGTGGCTGGCACCAGTGTGGCTTGTGTCAGATTCCGAAGTTGTCCCAGCCCAACTGTGGTAAATAGCTGGTTTTAATGCCTGCGCGCAACACCAGCGTCTCGCCCATCCAGACTGCGGCCGACGTCTCTAACAATCGATACAAGCCCTGCATCGACGCCCCGAAACTGCCGTCAAAATGACTGTCGATCAAATCGTCAGCGACCCTATCCTCGCCACCGTCCTGCAGATGTCGGACCAGGCACGTGGCCAGGGGCGCGACCTCCTGCGGCTCGTCGCCCAGCAGTCCGCCGCGGCGTCTCCCGAGAGCCGCGTCGAGATCTCCCGGCAGCAGAACCGCCTGCTCACGAGCCTCTCGCACCTGCGCGGCCTGCACCGCAATGCCTGCTTCGCGGCGCGCGACACCAAGACGCGCACCGCCGAGCGCCGCCACGACGTCGACCGCCTCCACCTGCAGCTGCAGAACCTCTACTACGAGCAGCGCCATCTCCAGGGCGAGATTGTTGCTTGCGAATCATACGAGTATGCTTGATCATATGCGGTTCTCTGACGAAGAGGGAGGGGGGGGGAGGCCGCATGAAAAGGGCTGTTTTGGACCGGGCTAATCCATGTCGATAGTCACAAGTACCAGCAGCTGCCGCTGATGCCGGTGGAAGAGTTTCTCGCGCAGAACCCGGACCGTGCCACGGATGATGAGAACGAGCTCATGTATGCGAGAATCGAACACGAACGAGCGGAGCGTGAGGGCCTGGAGCAGCGCCGACAAGAGCTGCTCAAGAGGAAGCAGAAGCTGATTGCCGAGAACACGCGCCGCAAGGAGGACCTGGCCAACCTAGATCAGAATTTGGAGAAGTTTATTGATGTGCGTTGGCATCACCGTTGGGTCTGCGTTGTGAAACTAACATTCGCATCTAGGCTGCCAAACCGATCTTGGAGCTCTTCGAAAAGGCCCCGTGAGGAAGCGACCAGAAACCCGACAAAGGACAAGAGATTTGTCCCATGTCAATGTCAGAGTCTCTATTACCGGCGCCACAACCACTTGGGAGATGATTTGATCGCAGGCCTCCCATCTCTAGGAGGCATGGCGCCTCAGTGTGCCCACGACGACAACTTGGCTAAGGGAGTTGAGCACCAAGCCACTCTGGGCTGTACATCTTTTACAAGGCTTAGTCTGCGACCGAAATGGCACGCGAGCGAATGATTTCGCTTTGCCTGCTGTGTTGGATATAGGGGACAGCACAGCCTCTTCTCGTTCGACTGTCGATGCAGGTCAATGCACGGCGTGCTCTGACAAGCGGCAGCGAAACACATAGAATATTTTGGGTATGGCGCCCAGGAGTCTGGGGATGCTGAAACGGTGACGGATTTCGGGGCCGAGGACAAAAATGACGATGGAAGGCGCAGCAGCTGTGATATTGGGCCAGGCGCAGTCCCAGAGCGTACGCAAGGCCAAGCTGTGCATTTTGCACTATACCCTGCCTCTTATGAGCTCAGGTCTAGCCGTCTATTCGAGAGGTATAATTTTGACATGAATAGAGTGACATCTGTTTACCAAGGCGCGCCCTTTATTTTCTTTCTTTTTTTCGTTTATTCGAGTGAAACATGATGCTTGTAACTGCTGCCAGCGATCAGTCTTGCTGGGCTGCCTCTCAAATCTGACGCTTCAGCATGGGGGCGCCCCGCGCGCGGTAGTTGATTGACGAGCCCGCCGAGCTGCTGCGCACACGTGGGGAGGCATCTAATCTCCCGAGTCGACTGGGGGGGAAGGCGTGTCGAGCATGGCGAGAAGACGCTATCGCTTCTCCGTTTTCTGTACAACTCGCCTGTTGTCTGTGAACAAGAAGCCCGGGGGGGGTGGCTGGAGAACCGGCATCGAATCGGTGGGCCTCGTGGCGGCATATAGCTTAACCATTGATGCCTTTTTTTTTTTTGCCTCCCCCATGAGAATGAAGCTGGGCTGGTTATTTGGTGTCTCTGTGCACGATGGAGGGGCGTGTGCGTTGGCTAGCCTTTGCGTGTGGTTTTCCAGCCTCTTGATTTGCAGATGATGGCTACCCATGACGTTATCTCGAGCCCATGTGCTCTTCCTAGGTCTTGAACTACGTTGAACGACGTAGTAGACTCTGTAATTACATGATAAGTGTATCCAAGTAAGCTGGCGAAAATCCCCAGGAATTGTGAGGGATGGACAAGATACCAGATTTGTCGTGTATATACGTAAGCCTCTCCGCCAAACGAGAAATCTCGCAAGATCAGCCCACTTGCACGGCAGTCAGCTTCTTGTTTCGAGCAAGATTTGCCCACTCCCCTCTCTCCTCCCACAGGAGAAACAGATATAAGGACCGGGACCCCTGGTTTGGGTGACTCCCCGATCGGGATAAGACCTCACTTACTATTATGGAGCGGCGAGAATCTGGCCACTAAGAAGAGGACCCCAGAAAACGTTGTCGGCATAGTTGGCTGGCGCAGGGCTGGGCCAGGTCCTGGGGCTGTGATACTTGCCTGCAATGTAACTTTTTTCCCGTTGCCTCTTACACAGGGGGGTTGCTTGTCATGCTTTACGATTGGCGATGAGTTGCGATCTAGTTAGTGTGTTGGTTGGCTGATGGATATGTCGAGGTTGAAGATGTCAAAAATCTCTATCAAAGTGCTTTCCATCCTATTGATTTAGGCCTTCATTATCCGTAGAAGTTGGTTTGTGCTGAAACAATTTCTTCAAGTGCCACCCCCCCCCTTTGCTGCGCCTTCTCAACTGGCACAGTCTGGATGTAATAGGAACGCGAAGCCTTGGCACAGACAGCTTTTTTTTCTACCACTATAAGATTAAGTTGGCGGCATATTTCTCATCGAACCAACTAACTAGTTGGCGTATTTCGGGGCCGCGTGTACTTTTGTGGCAGTGCCCTTTACTTGCTCCATGATGGCTTTTGTCCTGCAACATAACAGCGCCTTGAAAGGTCATCAGGAGAGCCAAAATATGGAATAGGGGAAATAGCCATAGGGCTGCCTTTTTTTTTCTTTTTGAAATATTTTTATTTGTAATTTCTTTCGGCCGGAAATATTCGACGCGCGTCTCTGATCGCATTACTGACAGGCAGAGCAGCATCTCAGGGATATTCCGTTTCGACGACTTCTCACGAGACATTTATCCTGTTGCGGCTTGGATGTACACGACGCATCTCGGATCGTACTGCTCGGGTGGCTCTTCGCCAAGAGAGCAGAAAGGTAGTGTCGTGCGAGCAGGCGAGCAGAATTGAAAGGCCATCAATATATGCCCTGCCCAAGTTGACGGCATCACTCTACTCAAACATGCATGGGATAGGCGAGACTGATGAGCCCATTCTACTATAGTTGATCTTTTATGGCTGTAGCTTACACTGGCGTGCCTGTTGGTCGACTTACACCGACTGCAGCCTCCGCCATTCCAGCCATCTACCTCTTTTACCACCATTCTTCACCTTTGTAAAATTGAGGCCGATATAGACATTTTACAGTTCAACGCTAGAATAGGTACCCGGGCCATGTCGGTATGCATACCCGAGCGTGGGCAGTGGAGAGGTACATGGTCGTCAGGTACATCATCTTCTACCGCCACAGCCCACTTCCAGCCGCTAACCTGGCTATCTACCTCGCAGGTTTCGTTCTTTGCCTTGCCATTATCACCCTCTGGTCCCCGTGAAAGAGGCATTCCCACTTGCGCCTCCAAATCCGCCTTGTACTCCTCTTTACCAGCCTTGTAATTCGCTGCAACTTACACCTAGAATTACTTGCACCCGCTTTCTCCAAGAACCCGGCCCCAAAGCCTGGCCTAGTCTTCCGATGGCTTGTGTTTTCCTCCTTTCCTCTCCGTGATCCGGCGACATGTGCTTCCCACTTCTTCACTTCAACTGCCAAGCCCATTATAATAGTCTCGTCATCGTGCCTTTGAGGCGCCTGGAGCTTGTAGATACACCCCCTCCCTCCCTCCCACTTCTCTGCCACTTTCCAGCTGTCATCGCTCAAGCTACATCCCGTCATCTGACTCCTCTACAGAGAGCGAAAAAAGAAGACGTCTTCGATAATTCACCGCCATTCTTCTCCTGCGGTTCATTATTAGAGACTATTAGAAATTTCATACTAGCAGCTTTCTATGGCGTGTGCCGGCAAATCGCCTTCTCCATGAGGCTCTTTATCTCCCCCCTGCTTCCTACACTCCTTCATTTCGAGCTTCCCACACCGCGTTCCCACTTGGCCGATTCAAACTTCCCAAATCCGCATGTCTTAGCTAGTTAGCTAGTGCTTCAATTGCTGTACAATTACGCAGCTTGTGGTGGCTGACCTGTAGGGACAACCGAACGGTGATGATTTCGCGAGGTGGTGATCCCTTCTCTAGACTGCAGAGTCATGAAGCTGAGAGTAAAGAATTTTCTTTCTATTATACATGGAGGACGATTCATTAAAAAGTACTATACTTTTATTTATAAATTTATAAAGTCCAAACTTATAGGAGAAAGGTTGTAGGAGGTACTTGCCAATGGTAGCAGCCCCCCCCCCCTTCACTTCACTCAAGGTAAAGGCTCTTGGCTACACTCCCATCGTCCGCCTCTCAAACCCTTTTTGGCGCTTTATTTTCTCCTCTAGTTTCCAACATCCCGTGACAGTCTTTTGTCTCCTTCTTTTTCTCTTTCTCCCCTCGATAGACGTCGCTGGCCAGTATATTGGTCAACTCTCAACTCTTTTCTGTAGAATATCATTCAGCCATCCTCCTCCCAAAGTCAAGTCGGATTTTCGATACCAATCTTGTCCTCCTTACTTGGCGCCTTTGCATCGCGGCTCAAGCGTCCTGGAATCCTTCTCGACCCGTTGAATCTTTGACTGTCGCCGTCAACGGGCAGCTTCGCTTCTCGTCCGCCGCAAAAAAGGGCACCACCTCAGCCATCGAAGTCATGACTGTTTTCGCTTGGTTCTCGAGACGCGTGGGTGGTTTGAGCCTGATTGCCCTGCTAATCCTCACCTACTGGGTGCTTTCACACGAGTACACCGCCGCTCGACGACTCATCGCACCCGATTCCTCGGACAAGACACCTGCATCACGGTTCAGCTATGGCGCCGGCATCTGGTCCTATGCCTTCGCCTACTACTCCCTGTTTGTTCACTTCCTCGTCTTCATTGCGCCGATCCGCGCGTGCATGGCCGTGTGCGACATTACCGCCTGCTTGAGAAAGGATGCCCGCCTGCATGCAATCCGTGACTACAAGATGCACCGGCCTCGCCGCGAGTCACAGACATCTATTTCAAGCTCCGAAACTCTGACAACGGAGCGATTGAGCATTTCTGCTTCCTCAGTTGAGCCCATGAGCGACATTGAGCTAAGCTCCATGTCCGAGTCCGAGGAGCCGACCGCAGACAGTGTAATTCACGCCATCATCATCCCCAATTACAAGGAAGAAATCGACACCCTCCGGGAGTCTCTGGAAGTCCTGGCATGCCATCCTCACGCGGCCATGACTTATGATGTAAGCTTCCTCTGAGCACCGTGACTGTCGCATGGGGCCGCTAACAGGACTCTCTCATCCTAGGTCTACCTAGCCATGGAGCAGCGAGAGGCCAAGGGAGAAGCTAAGGCTCTTGAGCTAATACAGGAATTTGGGAGGAAGTTCCGTCGCATGGACTACACCACACACCCCAGCGACATTCCCGGTGAAGCTGCCGGAAAGGGAAGCAACATGGCCTGGGCAGCCAAGAAGCTCAGTGAGAAGTACTCGATGAAGTCACGCAACAATGTCGTCATCACAAGCATGGACTGTGAGTGCGGGGACAACGGTTCCGAATGTTATGCGCACTACTAACAAGACGACAGCCGACAGCCACCTCGCGGCCAAGTACTTTTCCGAAATCACCAACCTGCACCTCTCCCACCCAGACACGGCCCTCACCACGCTCTACGCGGCGCCCATCATCTTTGACCGCAACGCACACAGCGTCCCCGCGCTGGTCCGTACGGCCGACGTGCTGTGGTGCGCCGCCGGCATGTCCGGCCTGTACAACGGGTCCGTCCTCTCGCCGCCGACCTCGGTCTACTCCGTCCCGCTCGCGCTCGTCGACCGCGTCGGCGGCTGGGACACGGACGCCGAGGCCATTGGCGAGGACCTGCACATGTTCGTCAAGTGCTTCTTCGCGACCAACGGCCACCTGACATGCCGCACCGTCATGAGCCCCGTCAGCCAGAGCAACATCACCTCCGGCAGCGGTGCCGGCATCCGCGGCGCCGCTCGCGACGTCTGTGCCCGGTACAACCAGGCGTTGCGACACATGTGGGGGGCGCTCGACTCGGGCTTCGCGCTGCGGCAGGGCGCCCGGCTGTGGCGAGACCGCAAGCTGACCGCGCGGCGCTTCCGGCCGCTGCACCAGACCACCGGCGACGAGGCGTCGGACTTTTACCTGCCGGACTCCGCCGAGGCCGCGGCGGAGGAGGGCGGCGTCTTCTCGGACGTGGTGCAGGAGACGGTCCGGGCCCCGCACTGGGAGCGCATCTTCTACATGTACCACCGGCTGTTCGAGGCGCACTTTTTGCCCGTGCACATGGCCGTGCTCGTAGTGGCCTCGGGCGCCTGGGCCTGGGTCACCGAGGGCAGCGGCGACCCCAACGGGCTCAACTGGACCTTCACCGTGGCGGCGATCCTGCGCACCGTCGGCTTCATGGCCATCGGCGCGTACCTGTTCCTGTACGAGAGCTACCACCGGCTGGCGGTCAAGGCGCGGGAGCGCGATATGCGCCACGCCGGGCTGGACGCGGGCATGTCCTTCTCCCACCGCAGCTTCAGAAATAACATCCTCGACTACACGCTGATCCCGCTGGTGGCGCCGCTGTACGGCACGGTGCCGGCGATGCAGGCGGCGGTGGCGCAGCTGTGGACGGTGAATCTTGTATATCAGGTCAGCAAGAAGGAGAGTCGACAAAAGGTCGAGAAGCCCTCCGTCGCTGACATGGCCTAATGATGTTGAACTTTTTTTTTTTTCACACTTTAATAACTAATTCGATGGGCGCATTGCCCAGGTGCGTTGATCTGAGGTGGGCAAGACTTGTTTTCTTATTCTCTCTTTCGTTTTTCGGGAGACTTTTATCCCATTTACTGGAGGGAGGCTCATTGCAGGCCAACCTCCCCTTCGCATTCGACCTTCTTGACATTCGCTTCTGCGCCGGCGACGTGCTGTCTTTTATTTTCTGTTGCTGCACTCAACTGCATAGCATTGGCAACTCTGTCGCACCAAACCCCGGGGTGGTTCAAACATCGGCGCCACTTAGAACTTTTTACAACTTGACCGGCGGGAGTTTTCATGGGAATCTTTCAGGGCATTTACAACAATTTAGAGGTGACAATCAACAGGCTGGTCAGTTTCACATTCGCTTGGAGGGGGAGACGGTGATGGTGGGGCGGGAGTGGTGGAAGGATGTTGACAGCAATGTACTTATGAAGAATAATGTTAATATCAGACTGTTGATGGCGAAATGAGCGTATTGGATGGGAGTGATAGACATTCCATGTCTGTGTTGTTCCCTCGGCGTCGGAGGACGCATGGCATCTCACCCGATTTACGGTTTAATGCTAGATCTGGCGGCGCCGGGTATCGTTCCGTTGACGGAATACTATAAAAACCTACGGGCATACTTGCAAACCTAGACAAGGCGCTACAACTTTAGAGGGTGAATATTTGGCTCAACTAGTGCATTCCACGTTGTGGCCTATTGCTGTCTAAGTGGCCGGCCGTTGCGCAGGTGTGGAGGAACGGACCAGCTGTTCGGGGCTTTGACAGGTCAACGACGAAGAACCTTTTAAGCCCTTTTTTTCCCCCTAATTTATGTATTCCTCCGATTTCAGTGTACCATCTGTACGAGTGAGTGCAGTCTACCCGTGGCTTGTATGAATGCCTCGCTGCCTCACTGCCTCACAACACTGAAGGCGGTGGAAAAAGGTCGATTGAATGACCCACTTATTCTCTGGCGGGGAGTTCTTTGGTTGCTGAGACAGCCACTATCGTAGACCCGATATGGCCTTATCGCACTTTCCCATTGGCCTCTACAATTTTTGGCGGGGCTGTCCCTGCCTGCATCATTTGTTGGCAGAAAAAATACTGGGCAAAGAAATTTTCTAAAGCCTGCAGCGGCGCAACGTGAAAAAAAAAAGCGACAGCTTCTGTTTCCTCCATCCCTCTTCCAACCTCTGCCCACCACGTCTTTTATCCCTACCTGGTCTTTGATTGCGCTTCGTTGTAGACTTAACCTTCTATAAACGAACCTCTTTAGATCTTCATTTCCCTTTTCCGCAACTCCTTCACATCACACCGACACAATGGCTGGCATTTCTGGTCCCGTCTATGGCCTCGAGGTCCCTCCCGGCGAGATCCTGATTCCCGCCGCCATGGACTTCCCTGCCTCTGTAAGTTGAATCAGCTCTACCGGCGCTCGATCTTTCTGTTGCAAAATACGACGCAACTCGCTGGCGATACACCTGCATCTGCTTCGCCGACGCTGGAAACTGACTTGATACCTAATAGTTCCGCATTACCATGGCTGCTGTTGACCCTACTGAGGAGCCCGAGGCCGACGAGGATGGCAACGTTCCCAGGGTTCCCCGCTCTACCCTTCGTCTTGTCAAGCGTGCCTTCCCCGGCCTGGACGACGACGAGGACGACGTGATTGATGATGAGTATATGAAGGCGCTCCTCGCTGCTTCTGATGATGACGACGAGGATGACGAGGAGGCGAATGGCGGCCCCAGCGATCCTAAGAAGTCTAAGAAGTCCGGCCAGAACGCCGCCATCGCGAAGCTTCTTGCCGCCACCCAGGGTGACGACGATGACGATGAGGACATGGAGGATGCCCCCACCAAGTCCAAGGGCAAGGGCAAGGGCAAGGCCGCTGAAGAGGATGAGGAAGATGATGAGGATGACTCCGACGACGAGGACGACTCCGACGACGAGGAGGGTGCTGACCTCGAGAACTTTGTCGTTTGCACTCTCGACACGGAAAGGGTACGCTTTAAAAGTGCAGCACGAACGCCGCCATCTGGCTAACCTTTCACAGAACTACCAGCAGCCTCTTGACATCACCGTCAACCAGGGCGAAAAGATCTTCTTTGTCGTGTCCGGAACTCACACTGTCTACCTTACCGGCAACTACATCATGGATGACGACGAGGATGACTACGACGAGGATGATGACGAGGACGATGACGACTTCGACATCGATGAGCTCGAGTACGCCCTCGGCGAGGACGATGAGGACGACGAGAGCGACGATCTCGACGACGTTGAGGATCCCCGCATCACTGAGCTCGGGTCTGACGAGGAGGAGGCTCCCCAGCTGGTCGACACTGCCAAGAAGGGCAAGAACAAGCGCTCTGCCGATGAGGCCGAGAACCTCGACGACCTGATTGCCAAGGACGGCGCCAAGCTCTCCAAGAAGCAGCAGAAGAAGCTCAAGAACAACCAGGGCGAGGCTGTCGCTGCTGACGACAAGAAGGACGCTAAGAAGGTTCAGTTCGCCAAGAACCTCGAGCAGGGCCCCTCCGGCTCCGCCACGGCCGCCGTTGGTGTCAAGGTTGTCCAGGGTGTCACCGTTGACGACCGCAAGATTGGTACCGGCCGCATCGTCAAGAACGGCGACAGCGTCGGTGTCCGCTACATTGGAAAGCTCCAGAATGGCAAGCAGTTTGATGCCAACAAGAAGGGCAAGCCTTTCACCTTCAAGGTCGGCAAGGGTCAGGTCATCAAGGGCTGGGACATTGGCGTCGTTGGCATGTCCATCGGTGGCGAGCGTCGTCTGACCGTCCCCGCCAACCTTGCCTATGGCCGTCAGGCCCTGCCCGGCATCCCTGCCAACAGCACGCTGGTCTTCGACGTGAAGCTGCTCGAGATCAAGTAAGAGCAAGCGTCTGTTTTGTAATCTCGCGTTTCCTTTGTATTTATCGCCCGCTCAGACCACCAGGTGGTTGAGTTGGGCTGAACAATTTCGGGCTTGGAGTTTACATGTTGTTATCTATCATGCGATCAAGAGCCTGACACGAAGATCGACGGCTGAAGGGGTTCCGCGGTGATGTCGAGGTGAGGACTGCATTGCATGGGTTGGCGTAGAACTAATTACTTTGTGTACGATCTATCCTGATGCTACGGCGGCCTGTGGCGAGATTTGTCCGGCCGCACGTTGTCACGAATAAAAGTTGAATTCAAACTATATATATATGTTTTAACCGCTGAAGTTCTGCGCTCGAACCCGAGCGCCTTACAAGGGCTAGTTATGTACTCCCCGTGATGCAGGAGCCGAGGATGCCAACGCGGGCTCCTTCCTTCCGTCGCCCAACCTAAGGGCACCACCTACTTCATCACTAATTGCACAAGAAATGCTGTACTTTACCTTGTTGACATCATCACAGTTATATCGTCATTCCTTTTCTACCCAACAGTCATAGTCTATTGTGCCAGGATTGCCCATGACCGGCGCCTCGCGCACTTGGGCGAGCCGTGATTGATCGCAAAGGCGTGCTGCTCAGACCAGTCTTTCCGGCCCGAAGCATCATTCGTTTCCGTCGCTATGGAGACTGCAGAGGCAGCGCCAGTTGATAAGAAAATTTACAGCCTGGTCCCTGTGGACTCGGACATAGTTAAGCTGCGGCGTGCCAGCTCCAGGGTATGGTCAGATTTGCGAGGAGCGATCAAGGCGATTGGCGGCAAAAGTAAGGACACATCAACGACCAGCAAGTGACAATTCTAACTTTGGGCAGCAGGCTCACATAACTCGAATGGCTTTGAATACAAACCAGAAGACGCCCAGCTGGTGCCTGTAAAACGAGGCCTTGAAACACAAGATGTGCATCCAACAAGCAAGGAAAGCCCGATGACGCCTGCGGAACTTGTCAAGCGCCTACGACTCGACACGTTTGGCATCACACCCAGCACCACGGTCATTCTTCGAAGTGCTCCGCTACGTAACAGGCGTCGAAGAAGTTCAATGCAAGCCCTTAACAACATGTACCCCCAAGGAGGAGCTGAGTCGCAGACGCCGTCGACGAACAACACTGTCAATCATCAGTCCCCAGAGGATGGTGGCTCATCTCGCAAGGCATCAATGGAGTCACTGGTATCTACGACGTCGAGTAAAGACGGGCTGAAGCGACGCAGCACCCACCGATTTCTTCGCGCCAAGTCGAACCCGGAAACACTGACCACGATCAAGGAATCAAGCCAGGATGCGTTCACTCCAACGATTCTGACGACTGAGAAGGCGGCCGCCGTCAAAATTAGCATAGAAACCTACTATAACGAGTTGTTGAATGCGCCAAATGCGCGACTCCATCGGTGGCATAATTTAAAAGCGTGGCTCTACTACCGTCCGCAAATGTCGGAGAGGGAAAAGGAGGCCATGCGTCAAGCGTTCTTCTACGAGGAAACATGCTACCTGAGGCAGTGCCGTGTCCTCAGAGGGCAAAGCCAGAACAGACGAAAGATGAAGAACAACGCACATACTTGGCAAAACTTTGAACCAGTTCAAGTCTTGGGCAAGGGAAGCTTCGGGGTGGTACGGCTTGTGCGGGAGAAGATGACGGGCCCCAAGACATCGTCGCAAGTTTTTGCCATGAAGGTTATCCGAAAGTCGGAGATGCTGTCGAGTAGCCAGGAAGGCCATTTGCGCGCAGAGCGTGATTTTCTGGTCGCAGCAGAAGGGTCGAGCTGGTAAGTCGGGTCGATGTATTGACGATTTTGACGAAGCTGACGTGGGCAGGATCGTACCGCTTGTGGCCAGTTTCCAAGACTTTACCAATCTGTACCTCGTAATGGAGTACATGCCTGGCGGAGACTTTCTCGGACTGCTGATGCGAGAAAACGTGCTACACGAGACGATTGCCCGATTTTACATTGCAGAGATGATTTTGGGCGTGGAAGAGACGCATCGGCTCAAGTTTATCCATCGGGACATCAAGCCCGACAACTTTCTGATATCTCCCTCTGGGCACCTGAAGATCTCGGACTTTGGCCTCGCCTTTGACGGTCACTGGTCGCATGATGCGGCATTTTACAGCTGGCATCGGCATTCTTTGTTTCAGCGCTTCCGACTGTCGGGAGCTGCGGACGACAAGGACGACAACGGAAACGGGACCAGAAGCCGGAGCAAGAGGCTTGCAGTGAACGAACAGAGAAGGGGCTACCACACCGCATTCAACGATTTGAATCACTTCAATCCCAGAAGCAGCACCAGGTGCCGCGCCACGGCATACTCTGTGGTGGGCACGAGCCAATACATGGCACCAGAGGTGATTGCGGGTGGCGGTTACGATGGAAGATGCGACTAGTGGAGCATTGGGATTATCCTGTTTGAGTGTCTTTACGGCTTTACACCTTTTAGAGCAGGCAAGGGCAGGAAGGAAACGAAGCAGAATATTACCGTGAGTAGCGGCATCGTGACAGCGACATGGGATGCCATGAAGAGGTTGGGATAACTAACAATGTGCCAGAAACACAAGGAGATATTCTGCTTCCCGACACGGCCGACAGTCAGTGATCGCTGCAAAGACTTGCTCTTTTGGATGATTCAGGACAGGGAAAACAGGATCTGCTCGAAACGGTACCAGCACAAAGATCGATGCCCGCCGGGACCGAATCGGATGACGGACCTGTTTGGGCGACACGTATTTCCCGACGACGCCGAGGATATTAAAGTACACAGATGGTTCAAGCATTTTCCATGGGATCAAGTAGGCACTATGACGCCGCCGTTTGTCCCGAATATATCAAGTCCCGAAGATGCACATTATTTCGAGGATTCGGAACCGGTAGACGACTGGTCCGAGTCCAACGTGGGTGCGTGTCCAAGCTCGGATGAAGTGCAAACTTTGCTGCGCGACTTCCGACAGCACGTGCGGCAGGTAGCTGTTGGACTTGTGGCGGAGCCGCATAATTCATCAAGCTTGCGGATGATTGACTCGGAGTTGGAGAATTCGCCAGACTTGTCAGCGGGCGAGAAGCACATGCTGAAGCGATTCGTCAGGCTGTACGGCCGACGACAACGGAAACGGCCACGGGATGCGCTGCTGCGGGATGACAAGATCAGGGATGTGGTGATGGAAGTGAGAAAGGGGTCGGCGTTTGTAGGATACTCATGGAGACGACGTTCGCCGTGCGGATTCGCGGCCGAGTTGCAGCAGTGAGGTCTTGTTGCCGCGCTGAGCTGAGCCGAGCTGCGCTTAGCTGGCGACACTCTGCTGCGGCCTGGGACTTGCGGTGGTTGGGTTGGGTTGGGTAGATGTGAGGATGAAAAGGAGTTGGTTTTTCTTTCAGCGCAGATTATAATGTATTAATTCAAAAGAGTTATTAATATTATACATTAATGGCAGAAAATGGTGGCCGTGGCTAGTGATGCAAGTGTCGCTTGTGGGAGTGGTTGGAGTGGTAAGACGTGGTGTGAGTGCCAGAACTGTGGTGGATGGTGGTGGTAGAAGCTTGTCATTTCGATTTCTTTTTCTCGTTTCTTTACCAGTTTACCATGACTGATTAGGAAATCCCGTAGGATAAATTTGATGGCGCAAAAGAAAAAAAAACGAGGGGTATTTGGTAGAGGCTGTCTGTATGTATCATGACGTCGTGGGCTGGAATGGGCATGTGAAAGGGAGCGTGGTGCAGCGCTGGCTTGCAGCAGGGCCAGGCCCCCTACAGGGCGTTGCCTACAGTACCTAGGTATACAGCGGGTGCTTGCAGGAAAGCAGCTTACCGTGTTTGCTGCGCGCATGAACAGCTGGCAGGCCGTTTTCCCCCCCCCTACCTTATGTACCATTTTCCCTCTTCCCTTTTTATTTTATTTTTATTCCTGGTGTTTGTCTCGAGGTTAGCGTCGCTGCGCTGGCAACAGCTGTGTCCAAGTTGGTGGGCGACTGGCAACAAACAGAACGTGGCAGCCCAGCCAGATGACTGACACACAAAGGGGGCAGGAAAATGCCTCTCTGAAATATGTCGGAGTCTGGGATCAATAGGTCGGGAATTAAAGTATTAGTTCATGCTCTCCGGAGTAAATCCCATCGCATGTGCTTTGCAGCATATGTATAAGGGTAGATGCAGTCTATATACGGAGTACGTACATACGTACATGACGGCGGCGGCGGGGTGCAGGATGGATGGGATGGTGGACGGGGCATGGCATGGCCAGAGAAGGATAGATTCGGCTCAATCGGAGGGAGAGGGGCACGCTAACAAGGCTGGCCTGCCTGGGTGGGCGGATTTCAGTTTTGCAGCCACTTCTTTCCATTTCGCTTTTGATCTTTTTTGGAAGGAAAAAATCTGCCCGGCTCCGACACCCGCTCGGGGGGGGGGGGGGGGGGGGGGGGGGGTCGCTCTTTTGGTCTGGTACGGCGCCACGAACTTGCACCCCCACCATGATGATATGGGAGGCTGAAGACGGGATGGCAAAGGGTATGAGGAATTTTTGAAAAGAAAAAAAAAAAAAAAAAAAGAAAGAAAGAAAGTGAGACAAGGTATTCCGTTCTCGGTATGAGAAAATTACCGCAGCGCAAAACAAAAAAGACGAACCGTGCTTGCTGGGGGAGGCAACGTGTTACAGCCCACCGGCGCCACTCGAGCCCCCCCCGGGATCGGCCTCGCTGGCTTACTATAGTACTGTACATACTACCAACTACGCCGGGACCACTGGTCTCTGCTGGGCCGAGGCGCGGCCAAGCCAAAATGCTGTCATCGTTAGTAGTGTACCTAGAGATAATGAGATGAACGAACCCCAGACTGATAACGATTTTGAGAAGATCGATCGCCTTATCAAAAAGGCGGGATGAAACCGATAGGGAGACGGATGGACAGAGATAAGTTGACGAACGATTTGATTCCTAAATATTATCGTGTTGTTGTTTCGTCTCTTGTCATGTCGGACGACTGGTGCCCCCCCGACACGTGCCCGTTGGCTGCAGGCCAAGGAAACAATCACGCAGAGGCAATTAGCTGCGGACAGCTTAAAAGAAGAGTTGTTCTACTAACTACGAAATACCTAACTAGTTAATGTTGTGCAAGGTACTTGGTATTTGCCGTGTCGTTTAACGGGAGAGAAGAGCCAAAAAACAGGTGTTTATTGCCACCCTAGCCCACTGGCCTTTGGCACCTCGCACAAGCCCAGCCCAGGCCAGACCATTGTAACCCGCACCCACCACCCCCGAATACCGGAACGATGAAGGAGCTCCAGTTCTTTGGCCCTTGCTTTTCTCTGCCATGTACTAATAAGAAGTACAGGTGAACAAGTAGTAAGAAAAATGGCATCTACGCCAATCGGGCAGGTGGACGGACGGACGGGCTTACTCTTGTTGTATGTAACTTGTACTTTCGATGCTAGCTGTATTTATTTAGTTGAGAGGACCTTCTGTTGCCCTCCTCCAGGCAGAAACCGGCCGCCGGAGTAGTCCATCATCCATCTATATCGTAGCGCGTCCTCAGTCCTCGAATAGCCGCGTCTTTTATTATCACTCCCTCTTCCATCCATCCTCTCTTCCTGCTCTCCTCCTCTCTTGCTTCCCCTTCCCCCTCTGGTCCTCCGTTTCCCGCTCTTCTATAATTTGCTGCCCGCCTACCTCGGAGTATTATTATAGGTCCCAGTGTACCTTGAGACCAGGCAAAGAAGAGGACCCTCCCTCCATCTCCATACCGCAACCGGGGCCGTTTTGGTTTCCGTTTTTCGCTTTTTCCTTTCTCTGCTTTCCTCTTGTTCCCCGACATTTGGTCCTCGTCTTTGTTACCTACTTGCGACTACCACATTCCAACAATTCTGGGGCGACTTTTTGCGCTTACTTTTCCATTACTACCTCCCTCCTCCGACCACCATCACCCACCCTGCCCTGCCTTCGCTGTCTTCATCCTCTGCGCACCTTCCCACCTACGCTCTTCTCCCACTTATTCACCTCGACCTCTTCTATCCTCCCTCTCTCTTTTTCCTTCTCCCCCCTTCTCCCCTACCGTCCCCCCCCTACTTTTTCTACCTCATCCTCTCCTCTCCTCACCCAACATGGCTACCTGCGAAGTCATCCAACTCTCCGTCGTCACCTTCCGTCCCGACCTCTCCCCGCCGTACTCGCCACCCGCGCCGCCATCGGCCTTCCTCGACGTCGCCGCTAAGCTGCAGGCCGTCCCCGGGGCGCGCGCCTCATACCTCGGGTACCAGCTCGAGGACTCGCGACGCTGGGTCTGGGTGGTGCGCTGGGCGACGGGCGCCGCGCTCGACGCCTTCCTGGCCAGCCCCTCGTATGCCCGCTGGCTCGGCTCGCTGCGCGCCGTCGCCGACACGTACGCCAGCTCCCGCGCCTTCTTGAGGGGCGATATCGCCGCCTCGCTCAACAGCCCCTGCACCGAGGTGGTGACGGCGCTCGAGGCCGACCCGGGCTTTGTGGAGGATCACCTGAGGCCGTTTGCGCGCTGCTTCGAGCGCGAGCCGGCAAAAATCCCGGGTTACAGGGCCCTCTCGTACGGCCAGTGGCTGCCGGTCGTGCATGACGGCGTGGTGGCCCCGGTCGGCGTCTCGGCGGGCATGCTCATCGGCTGGGAAAGCAAAGAGGCCCATTACGCACAGCGCGGTGAAGGAATGCGTACGTCTGCTCTCGTTTTCCCGGGATCTCTTCCCTCCATTTTATGGCTCACTCGCTAACAACACTTTAACAGTCATTGATCGCTACGTCCATCACATCCGCGGTGGCCGCAAATCATTAGGCCTGGTAAGCAAGCACATCCACCCCTCCTCTTACACGCAGCAGCTCCAGGCTAATACACACGCAGTATCACGTCAACTTCACTCGTCTCTGACACACGGCCGAAACTACACTCACTCTCACTCTTCCCTCCCATCTCTGACGAATCCTTGATGATACATTAGCGTTCACTTTTTTCCTTCTTTTTTCATACTTGCACGCCCCCCTGTTGCTTTTTTCGTTCACTTTTGCCGCCACAGGAATAGGCCGGCCATGAACCTCCTCCCACAAGGCAGCTTGGGACTTTGAATACAATCACCCTTGGCATCTGCCAAACTCTGGTTTCCTATTTGTTTTTTTTTTGGGCAAGACGAGATGCGTCCCTAGGTGTAGAAATGCTGCCTATTTCCCCCCTACCCAGCCAGGCCAGGTTGCACGCGGGGGCGACGTATCGCGATGACTCCGATACCGGTCCAGCACCACCAAACTGTAAATGCGACGGTGCCGACGACTGTCTGGTGATCGGTGACGGCTAACTGTCTCCGCCTTTGTCTGTTTTCGTTTCTCTACTTCTTCCTTCTCCCCTTTCTTTCTTTTCTCTGTTTTTTTTTGCGTCAACTCTGGTATCGCGTGAACCTTGCTGCGACTGAAACCAAGGTGTATCAAGTATCTGTACCTGGTATTACTCGGAGGTGGCGGCGCTTGGACTCGCTTCCCGATCGGCCCAACCGCCGACTCCCGGGCATCCGTAAACGTAGATGCATACGCAAAGTCTAAACCGGTGACGACATGGTGTCAACATGTTGCTCACGAATATCGCTCATTGTTCGTCGGCGACGAATGAGACGTGCCATGTGACCATTCGGAAAGCTAACAGTCTGCCCACCACAGCCCGATGGCCTCATTACCAGTACCGCTGAACCCAAACGTGGCATGATTTGTACAGCCGTATTACGACCTGACCGTTGAAACTTATTTGTCGCCATGGCAGTCGTAGTCGCCTCTGGTTAACAGCTAAACGTTTTGACATTCGAGCAACAATCGTCTTTGTTCGCAGCGAGGCCATCACTTGTCTTGGCTTGCATGTCCAATGCCCACGTCTCCCCCCGATCTGACGCTCTGCATGCCCTGCGTTTACTGGTAGAAAGTCGCCTCATGTCTTGCAGCCACACAATTAAAAAAGCAAATAAAGTTGATTAAATACAATCAAATCAATATACTATACATAATGCACACGACAACGTGAGACATGCTTCTGATCACCAATTACGCTTAATTCATTCTAGCTTGCGCCTTCCCGCCCGCTCCCCCTGTCAGATCACGGCCCAGCCAAACCCACCTTTGCTCCGATCCTTTTTTTTTCTCCTTCTTGTCTCCACCCAAAACGTTGCCAGCAGGACAAACAGCAGTGACTTCAAATCATCGAGAAAAAGGGGGACCAAAGAATCACAACCCGCCTCATCGACTAGCCAACGCGATACCAAACAAGGTCGATTTGCTATTGAGCTCCAAGCGAAGCGACGCGCGATTGAGCGACTACGACTACGTGATTGGGTATGTCGCGGTGATTACCCCTAGCCGGACGAGCTCGACAAACGTCGACATTCATTCCCCTCCGACTCGACGAAATCATCTCGACCCTGAATCATCTCGACGAATAACACGCCCCGTATTACAATCTCCCCATCGCTCCCACGCACGCACACACACACACACCCACACACAACATCACCGCAAATGCCACGCATACCCTTCTTCCGCTTCCCGACCAAGCTCCGCCGGCGCGTCCGCCGCAACCGCATGGCCACGCTCGCCCTCCTCGCGCTGCTCGCCGCGCTGCTGCTACTCGTGCCCCTGTGGTCGCTGTGGTGCGTCTACAAGCCGCCGCGCTTCCTGCTCGGCCTGCTGCGCGCGCGCTACCCGGACGTGCTCTTCGAGGCCACCACCGCCGAGCGCCTCGTCGCGCTGTCCCTCGACGACGCGCCCTCCGCGCACACCGACGAGATCCTCGCCGCGCTGCGCGAGCACGACGCGCGCGCCACCTTCTTCGTCATCGGCGAGCAGGTGGCCGAGGCGGGCAGGGAGGAGGTGTTGCGGAAGGTGGTGAGGGGCGGGCACGAGCTGGCGAACCACGGGATGCGCGACGAGCCGGCGACGAGGCTGGCGCTGGACACGCTGGAGCGGGAGGCGGGCGAGGTCCGGGCGAAGCTGGTGGCCGCGTACGAGGCGGAAGGGAAGGTGCTGGAGAACAACTACTACCGGCCCGGGTCGGGGTTCTTCAACACCAAGATGAGGGACTTGCTGGGGAACAGGGGGTACAGGATCACGCTGGGGAGCGTGTACCCGCACGACCCGCAGATTCGCAGCCCGGAGCGCAACGCGGCGCACATCCTGAGCATGGCGCACCCGGGCGCGATCATCATTTGCCACGACAGGAGGGAGTGGACGGCGCCGATGCTGAGGATGGTGCTGCCGGCGCTGAAGGAGAGGGGGTACAGGGTGGTGACCATCACGGAGCTGGTCAAGGCGGCGGAGCCCTTGGGGGGACGACGGTGAGAAGGGGGGTTAATGTTTAATTTACTTGAATTCTTTGCTGGGGGAGAATGGCGGACATGATCACTTTTTGTAGAAATTATTGCAAAGAAAAGGCCCGCATTGCATGGGCTGCGTGGCATAGATATGCAGCTGGGCGTTGGACGTTTTTTTATTTTTTTTTATTTTGCCTTTCCTCTCTTTTTTTTTCTTACCTGTTGGAACTCTAGCCATCGCTGTACTTGAGAATATATACACTGACAATTCACTTGTTTTATCGCTTGTTTTATCGGAGCTGTTGAGCATGATCCGTGAAAAGACAGTCAAGAACGTGGCTACATAGGAGATTGGGGCAACCCCCTTCCTGGCTAGAGTGCCCTGCGCAAACAGAAGGAGTGGCCACTGAACAAGGTGCCTTTCTTTTCTTCTGTGTTGCTTTCCATCCTGACTTCTTCTCTTCATTTACTTCTTTTTCCAATCTTCACTGCAAATCAAGAAACAGTTCGAGAGACCGACCTCTTCACCAACAAGCTCAGCCAATCAGCTTACACCATTAGCCGCCGCCGGACAATAGCCAAGTCATCTCGAACACCTAATGACGACTAAGCGGCAATGGGGTCTCAAGCTCTCTTATTTTTAGCTCGGTGTGACAATGAACTCAAGCTCAGCAGCGGATATGCGCAACAAGCTCATTCGAGTAGCCGACACGATGTAGGACCTGTTCAAGTGCAACGAGATACTGGCAAGCGTGTCACTACACTGCGAAAGAAGGGGAGCAGGATGCGTGAGGCTATTCACACAGAAATTCCCCGGCATCTCGTGGCACTCGGACTGAATTGCTCATCACCAGTCGTTTTTTTGCGTCACTCACAAACTCATGTCGTGATGCGCCAGGCTGTGGCAACTCTATGACCAGGAATCGCGGCGACGTGGAATTTGCGTAACTACAGTGGGTGGCAACATGTATTTGTCCCTTGTCCTCTGCTAGGTATCTCACCTCTCTTTCATCTTAGGTATTTATATATCTTAGGTATCTTATTTATCTTAGGTATTTCACATATCTTCAGTGTTTTACATATCTCAAGTTATCTCAAGTATCTCAACTTTCCCAACTTTCCCAACTTTCCCACATTTCCCACATTTCCCATCTTTCCCATTTTCCCATCTTTCCCAACTTTCCCAACTATCGTAGAGCAGGTCAGATACCTGGCACAGGGAACAAGACATGTTGCCACCCGCTGTAGAGGTACATAGCACACTCGTTTTGTGCTCCATTGCACACAGGAGCTTGTATCTCGCAGTCTGACACACGGAAAGGCGGTTATTGCGAGTCCCACCAAACCAGGGCGGCTGGGCTGCTTGTACAAGTGTGACATGGCAGGCGAGAATGCCCATGCCCTGTCCCCTGACGAGGGATAAATACAGCACGATGCCGCCGCCATCTTCAAGGAGAGAGGAAGAAAAGCCTCTGAGAAACCTCTCTCTCTGGAACCACAAGCAGCTTGAAATCGAATGAAATAAAGCTCAGTCTTGATCAAACCCGCAATGTCGAGCCAGGATTCATCCAATAGCTCTTCCACTGTGCCCATCGCGGAGCTTCCGTCGTTGTCAACGGCCCCAACACCACATTCAAACAACGACGAGCAGGTTGTCTTTCATCACGGGGCAAAGCGGCCATGTTTTGGACTGCTCACTGTGCCAGCTGCCCAGGAGGTGCAGGCGGGTGAGGAGGAGGCGGAAGATGAGGAGGCGGAAGATGAGGAGGCGGAAGATGAGGAGGTGGAAGATGAGGAGGCGGAAGATGAGGAGGCGGAAGATAAGGAGGCAGACGCGGAGGAGGTCGGCGAGAAAAAGGCGGGCGAGGAGGAGCCGCAGCTACCAGCCCTCAGGCCCGAAGACAACAGTTCCCCGCTTGACTTATCACCGCTACCCCTTCATGCGTCTCCAATTTCCTCTTCCTCTTTGACCGAGTACGGGGCGGCGGAGGACGCCGCGGCGGACAAGGAGAGGGAAGTGGAAGAGATGTTGCTCAGGAGCCTTGCCCTCATGACAGTGACGGAGAAAACTCTCCCGGAAAACGTGCGCGCAGCCGTGTCGGTCCCGAAGTCGGGTGACCCGAGTGGCGTCTATAAGGGTGGCTTGGAAGTCGGCACCGAGAGCACCGAACGCACCGAGAGCGGTCTCTCGCCTGATCTCTTTCCGCTTGTGGGATACGGCACTGAGGATAGCCTCTTGCCAAATCAAACTCAGCTCTTGGGATTTGGATCCGAGGGCGGCCCCGCGCCTGACCTGTCTCAACTTTTGGGATACGGCACTGAGGGCAGCCTCTTGCCAAATCAAGCTCAGCTCCTAGGAGACGGCACCGAGGGCGGCTCCTGGATTGATCAATTTGGGCTCTTGGGAGACAGCACCGAGGGCGGCAATAGCGAGCAGCGGAAGAAATGGAACATAGTGCAGGGATCCGCCATCATAGGCTTCGACTTGCACATGCAGGCCGAGACGCAGGCAGAGATGCCGGCTGCGACGCAGTACTGGTGCAGCTTCGTCTTTGACCCGGCAAGCGATTCTGTGATTGCCCGCAACCAGGGCAACGGGGAGATCAGCCTGTACGCGCTCCATGTAAACACAGAGACACCAGCCGTCCGCCGCGAATTCTACCGGTCGCTGAAGCCCGACCATCACACGCGCATCTCCCCGGGCTACTGGCTTGTTACGGCAGACCACACGACGGACCAGAATTGCTGGGCCGAGGTGCGACTGCTGCCGCGCAAGTTCAGGTGCATCTACACGCAGGTCGTGCTCCCGGCCTCCAAGCGCCCCAGGCCGGATGACGACGACAGTCAGGCCATCACCGACATCGGACAGGTTTGCTTCCTTGACCCCTATGATCCTTTCCTTGTGCTCGCCGTCTGACTGACATTGGATGAATTAATTAGAGCTCTGCATTGGGTGCCATGGCCAAGGAAAACCCGATGCTGATCCCGCAGACGACGAGGATACATGTCTTGTCGCCCGTCTTGTCGCTGGAGGCGAAGGTCGAGGCGAAAAACACGTACACGCTCGACTGTCACCGATACATCGTTGGGCCGCACGGCACGAGAATAATCTTCCTCGCCACACATTCTGGGTATCACGAGTATGAAGAGCGCGTTGCAGTAAAGCTCATCAGAGGGAACTCTCCCGACGATGTCGCGACATTGGCGAAACGCTGGACGAAGGAGGTTTTGTTTCACACGCTTCTACATGACGTATGTTGAATCCCTCTGGACCTTGAACACTTGCACAGAAGCTAACTACGGCATAGCCCTCGATTGTCAAATACCTCGGAAGTGACAGTCGCTTCCTTGCCATCTTCACCGAGTACCTGCCCTACGATGGCCTTGCAGACACGTCGCCTAACGGGATGTTCAAAGGGTCCGCAGAAGATGCAGAAAGAGTGCTCAAGGACATTTCTTCGGTGCTCGTGTACCTGGAAGCCGAGGGCATCTTGCACAACGACATCAAGCCGGGCAACATCCTCTACGACAAGCAGCGAGGCGCCGTCTTGATCGACTTTGGGCTGGCCTCCTACGTGGGTGACGGGGATCTCTCCGGCGGAACATTGCCGTACGTCCCCCCAGAGGTGGAAGCGAAGCAAGTCCGGGGGCGGGAGGATACCCGGTCTCGGTGCCCGAAAAGTGAGATATACTCGCTCGGGGTGACGATGCTGTATCTGCTGAGGAAGACAGATCTGCCAGACATGAACCGCAAGAAGTTCGTCTGGAAAATGTTTTCGGGATCCCTCAAGTACCAAAAATGGAAAGCCGAGGTGACCACAATGGCAGAGAGCATTCCTGGCAGAATCGGCAGCATTGTTCGGCGTATGCTGGCGGAGTCACCCCAGGACCGAATATCAGCTCAGGAGATTCTCGATGAGCTGGAACGGAAATGAGACCGAGGGCCACCGAAGATGGGAAGGAAAGAGGAGGAAGCGGAAAGTGTAGGTAGGTAGAAGAGCCAAGCAGTATAGGGAAGAATAACAAAGGCCGTTTGTTGAGGAGATGCGAGGATGGTGTCTTGGGCCAATGTCCTTACTAACCTGTCCACGCGGGCCACCTGGGAATCGCATGCATGAATAATTACTATCTTTATACAAGTCGTTTGATGACGTCCAATGCTCTGTGTCCAGTAGGCAACTAGTCATCAAAATATTGCGATCATGTCCGACGCCCTCTGCCTAGTAGGTATCGAGTCATCCGTACCACCTATGCCATTGTGGCGCACAAAAGTGCCCAACTAAAAGACAACGGGGTATAAAATTAAAGTGACTATCTGAATATGTAGCCGGCAATGTACGTACAACTATGGCATCTCTTCTATCTCCCGTACTGCGCGGTCTATGCACCTTCTGTATCCCAGGCCGCGGCGACCTGCACCCGCAAATCTCAGGCTGCGGAAGCTTTCATCAAACCAAAACACCTCATCCCCAGACACCCTACACTCCATGTCATCCCTGAAAGATGACAGCGGCCTGTTCGCGGCGGTCTGGGAGATGCGAGTTTTCTTGATCCGCGGCCGGGCGGGCGCACGTGTGCTGTCCTTGTTCTCCGGGGTGATGGGGACTCTGCTTTCGGAGACGGGCGGCGCGGAGATGGATGCACCGGGTTCGCTCGGGCCATGGCCGGCATCTACCGGTGGTGTCGTTACGCGCTGCCTCTTACCGTCATCAGTGCTGGATCCTGAATCCTTGCATCTATCATCGGACACGGGCGGCGCAGGGACGGAAGCATCGGTCTTGCTTGAGCCATGGCCGGCGTCTGCCGGTGGTGCCGTTGCCCGCTGGCCATTGCCGGAATTGATGTTGGATCCTGAATCCTTGCATCTATCATGGGAGATGGGAGGCAGAGAAGGGGAGGCCCCGGGCCGAGTTGGGCCATGACCAGCGTCTGTTGACGGTGTCATTACCCGCTGAATCTTATCGTGACCTGACCTGGATCCTGAATCCTCGAGTTTGTCAATCACAGTGGGATCCGGGTTGTTTTCAGAGATTGGCCGCGCTGACGGGGAAGCCTCGGGGCTGGTCAGGTCTTGACCAGCGTCTTTCGGCGGTGTCATTGACTGCTGCCTCTTATCGTGACTGATGCTGGATCCCGAATCCTCGCATCTGTCTTCGGGGATGAGCGGCGCCGACGGAGAAGCCTCGTAGCTGCTCACGCCTTGGCTGGTCTCTCTCGGTGGCGGCATGGCCCGTGGCCGCTTACTGCGACCGGCCTCAGACTCTACATCCCCGCGCTTGCGCTTCCTTGTACCGCTAGTGCGTTGCTCCGTTGCGCATAAGTGATCATCTGGTGTCATAGTACGCGGCCTCTTGTCGCGACTGCCCTCGGATTCTGAATCCTCGTGCTTGCGCTTCCCTGTGCCCTCGGTGGTATACTCCGTCGAGGATGGGTGACTATCCGGCTCTGCCGATACGACACCCGGCTGACTTGGGGCATCGCTGGTTGCTGTACATTCCGCGCGAGCTTTCGGTTTTTGTGCTCTCTCTTCTTCTTCTCGCTCTTCTCGCTCTTCTCTCTCAAGCTCCAACGCTTCCACATTCTCTGCCGTCGGATGGTAATTAGCTTAGGTATGGACGGCAGTACAACTTGTACTCACCCAGCCAGGTTTGTTTCCTCTCTTCTTGAAGGATTGTCTCCAGGTGTAGGAACAAAAAGGCAGTATCTACCAAGGTGCCGCTTTCATGAAGCCTTGCTATCTTTTGGGAAAGTTGGTCAAGTTGCTGGGCGCGCATTTGAAGTCGCCTCGGTGTCTGGACACTTAGCCCAAGATGCCAACAGGACTCGGTGTCAGTAATAACAGAGACGCATTCGTCAAGCCGCTGCTTTCGGCGCTTCTCCAGCTCTGCGTGCACTTCGTCGACATTTTCCGAGGCTGAAATGACGTCGATCACGTCACTGTACCAGGCTGTCTTGTCCATGATGACCATGGGCGCCGTGTTGTATCGGTCATGGAGAGAGCCCCAGATGTGATCCTCATTGAGACCCGGAAACTTGTCAAGTGGCACTCCAGACGGCATCTTGAATGGTTGCTTTTTCCAGTAGTCTTCACGCTCCTCTGAGCATTCAAATTCCGTGCGGAATCCAGATTTTTTCCAGGGCATGTTTGCAGTCTTGGCTCGAGGGTTGGCAGACTTGGTGGGGGTGGTGGTATTGGTCGTGATGGTAAGATGATAAGAATGGTAGCGGCGGTAAGGATGATGATAATGATGATTGTGGTGATGGTGATGATGGCAATGGTAGGTTTGGCCACTTGCGAGGAGGATACAGCGGGTGAGTTTAAGGGGCGGCGGCAAGGTGCGTCGTACAAACGCAGCCCGGGCGCCAATATCGGCTGCCCTGCTATCCCGTGACCTTGGCACAAGCTGCTGGCCATAAATAAAGAAAAAGCTGAACGGGATACAAAAATCTATGCAGCAAGGAGCCAACCCCGGCGATACAAAAAGCGCTACACTACCACGGCAGCTGCATGGAGGGATGGAATCGTACTGGGCCTACTGTTCCACGAGGAACAGAAGGCGGGATTTTGCATTGGGTTCGCTGGTTATGAACAATCCAGGACAATGAAGAAGCAAGGACCCGGATACTCTTTACCTTGGTCGGATGTAGAAGAGCAAGCTAATGCCCGTGAATGCAGACCAAGCAAGCCCCCGTCCGGTCATCAAGTCGCGCTCTCGGCCTCGGCATGCAGAACGATATCTGCCAACTTGCCCTCCAGCAACGCCTTGCATCGCGTTCTTTGCCTCTCCATATGCTCCTCGTCGAACTCTGTTTCAGCCGCCACTGCCTCTACCGCACCCTTCAGCGTCGCCGCGACCTCAGCCGCCAGCTCCGCCAGCAACGAGAATCCGCCAGCCAAGCACTTGCCCACCAGACGCTCCAGCGGGGAGTCGCTTTTCGGCGGCCGCACCATGTCACGCAGAAGGACGTCGGCTTTTCCAGGTGATCGATCTCGTCGTAGAGCTCCGCGCCCGTGACCACGTTGTGCAGCACGGAGCCGTACGCAGACGGCTCCGTCGTCGCGCCGCGGCGCCCGTAGAAGCCGACACGGTCGAGGACGCAGGTGACGCCGCGGAGGTGGTCGTGCTGGCGCGCCCACGACGGACCGCCCTGGCCCTGGTGCGCATGCCCAGCTGGGAGTTGCATGGCGGGCTGTGGATGAGGAAGACCATGCTGATGTCAAACGTGCGAAGCGCAGCTGAAGCTGCATCAGAGCGTGCCGCCGCTATTTTCACCGCGTTTAAATACCGAATCTCGGCGAAAACGTCGGTGGACGCGAGGGCGGCCGGGGAGAGAGCGAGTGAGCCACAGCAGCTCGATGCCCATGGGAGGTAGCTACTGATCTTGAACACCTGTGGCGGGCACATCGAAGGGGTACATGCAATGGAATATTTTATCCGGTAGATGACCACATTCTAAATAAAACAAGGGAGATATTTCTCGATATTGACAACCTTCCGCGTTGGTAAACGTGTGAAGCTGACCAGGACCGGAAGACATCGAGTCGACAATAAAGCGAAACAAAGCTTGAGCATGACATAAAGAAATTGGATGGATGGTTAAAGGCTGCGACTATTATTTAAATTCGCTGTTCCAAAAAAGGACGTCGTCCGATACCGCCCTGACAGAACCATCAGCCGGAGCCTCTTCCCTCTGTGTGACCAGACTGAGCTACAGGAGTCGGAGACAGCTTGAAACAGGGTCGCATGCGACTAAAGTGAGAGAGCCAGGCGTAAAAAGCCCTTGTGTTTGCCAAACCTCAATCGAGTTGACCAAGAACTTGCAAGGACGCAAGATGCGGCCATTCCAGGCCATGATCAAGAGAGCCACTGGTGCTGTAGCAGTTGCGCCGCAGACTTTCGCGCCGCCGGGTCGGTTTCCAGCATGCCTCTGACAAAATCGATCAAGGTATCGACTTCAGTCTCCGGCATATCAGGAGGCCTAACGAAGGGCTTCTCTTTGCCATTAAGTAAGCGCTCAAGGCTCCATACATCAACACTGGTATCCCAGGGGGGCGCCGAGGATTACTTCCAGTGCCCTCAGCGCGGGCGGCTGGATTCGATCCGACAGGTGCTTTTCCCGCCAGGAAGCTAAGCGCAGGGTGAGCTAGGCTTTCCGACCAGAAAAGGTCGACAGTCACGTACCGAGGCCAAAGTCAATGATCCTGACGTGAAGCGATGTCATTTCGGAGCCGGGCCGTGTGGTGATGACCTCTCGAAGCGGGACCACATCACCGTTTTCGCGATCCATCGTTCGTGGCGGACAACGTTCAAGGTACTCAGAAACGGTAGATTCTGGGTTTTCTAGCTCCAATAATATATTCGTCGGCTTGACGTTTATTAGACTGTCAGCAGCAAGGCCAACGAACATGCCATGCTAAGCTATACTTGTGTGAATGACACCGCCTCTGTGTGAAGAAAGTCTAGTCCTGTTAGGAGCTGCCTTGCAATTTCCTTGACTGGCTTTACGGGCAACCTTCCGTCTTGGAACTTAATGGCTTGGAAGCCTAGATGATGTCCCAGAACATCGAAGACAAGGCAGACATGGTCTCCATTCGGCCCTCTATGGTTGAATTGCTCAAGGAGATGCGATACGTAATCGCGGCCTTTATGAGAACTCTTCCGAGATACGTCCAGGATCTTGGAGAGAATTTCACGCTCAAAAACATCGTGGGGGCCGCCATAGCAATCGGCCCTCAGCATCTTTAGCGTCACCTATCGCTAGCATCTGTATCATCAGTAAGGGTGTTTGCTAGGATAAGAAATAACCGACTTTGAGTCTCTGGCAAGCCAGACGGTGGAGTATTGTCCATATCCTAATTTTCTCAGGACAGTGTACCGCTTCGAATCGAAAGCATCGCCGAGCGATACAGGATGGAAACCTCCACGCCGGTAATAATCCGGTTCCTCTAGAGATTGTGGACGGGGAGCCGGCTTCGGCGATGAAGGTTGCGAAAACGGCGGAAAGAGGCACAAAACGCGACTGCGAGCATTTGCGAAAGTTCCTCCTAGCAGATTTATCATGTCGCTGAATTGTTGGAACGTCTTGGCGATCGCGTCGCGCTGGACGCTGATGAATTGTTGGTGCACGTCAGGCGGCTAATTGTTATTCTCCTGTCGCAGCTGAGGTTTTACAAAGATAAAAATTATACTATGCATATAAACTAGAAACTGATTTAGATCTAGTTTCAAGGTATTTTTGAAAACATCAGGTCCTTCGATGTTGTACAGTGTAGACAGGTAGGGACCTTGTCCAGAAGACAGTGGAACAAGAGAGTCCCAGCGAGGGGGCTTCCGTGCTCCCGTCTACGCCTGCGTTAATTGTAAACTTGGACTAAAAGCCGTGAATCATATCACAATGTTGATCAAAGTATTGTCTAACAAATTGCAGTGTGTCTGGTAATGACTGGCCTCTTGTCATACCTGAGAGATGCCCTTCCTATTGTTGGTTCAAGCAAGATGAGCTTCGCAACTGCAGATCTGCGCAAGGACAAACTTGTTGCTTGAAGTAAGAAACACGAAAGACCTAAGAATGCGCAAGTCGATTTGTTTCTTTGGCTTGTATCGTAGGTTCCTGTGTCAGGTAGCGTTTTCTTAAGTTGTATTACACACCACATGTAGCAACGAAAGACCTAAGAATACACAAATCGATTTGTTTCTTTGGCTTGTATCGCAGGTTCCTGTGTCAGGTAGCGTTTCTCAAGTTGTAATACACACCACTTGTAGCATCACTCTGCACCTTCGACTTGTACAATCCCATGTGCTACGCGCAGCGTAAAAGATGGGCCCATTTTGCTCTTCAATAGGTTTGGGCAGTCATGAAGTTTGCCCTGTGAGAGCATGAATGCGCGCCCAGATGCGCATTTAGCAGCCTCAAATCGCCGTACTAGAGCGTGTCACGGCTCAGCAACGAGTTATAAAAAGGGTCCTCAACTTGACACTTCTTCCAGGCTGTTAATTCACGTCCCCCCTGTATAGCAAAGTCAACAGACCTTGAAGCATCACTCATAAACTTTGTCCTCTCCTTTACAAGAAGAAAAAGACCACACACAACAGGTAAGCAACCCATCACCACTCCTCCTCGGAAAAAGACACCGTCGCCAACACACCGCCATAGAAAAGATGTGCAAGACCGCGGTCCTCGTTCGACGGTACATGTGCGACGAGAACCACACCACGCCCCCGGAGCCGGGCCCGATGGCCCCGGTCCACGGCTGCGGAAAGTGCGGCATCGTCACGGTGAGGGCGGAGGTTCAGGGGGAGCCGATCCGCAGGCCGTGTCTGCAGTGCGAGCCCGAGTGGGAGGTGTACGAGGGCCGTTGGATGCGCAAGACGACCGCCGACAGGTATCGCGCCGTCGCCGCCGTCGCAAAGAGCCGGTAATTTTCCAGCCTCGAGTCCGTGGCCGGTGGACGGAGAGCCGGCTCATGGTGGACGACTCTGAGCACCTATGGAGAGGAAGTTTATAGTTCAGGTAGCCCATCAGATGAATGTTGATGATTATAAATAAAATAATGGTCATGTAAAGAACACCAGCCTCGAGTATGTCTTGTGAGCGTGGAAGTGAGCCGTGTAAGTCGAGGCCATTGACGGAGAGAGTGGCGCTAGCAGGGGTCCAGTCGCCAAACAAACGATCTCCCCTCCACTTCTTCTCCCCCCGCCCCATCTGCGACAAGAACAGACCAGCCCATCGGCCGAAAGAGGAAGATTGTCCATCCGCAGTCTCGTGACGATGGCATGGTTGTGCGCTGTTCCGCATGACGTCGGCCATGACAAAGGCGCACTCGGGTATCGCACGGGTTGGTAGTTTGACGTGCGCGGACGGTGGTCATTTGTGACGAATCAACTGAGTCGCTGGCATGTGGGAAACTCTGGCTCTTTGTCCTTGGTAAATGTGTGAGACATTGTGGCGCTATATTGACACATGTCGAATCTTGTTCTTCGCGAAAAGAAAAGAGGACAAGAAAAGCAAGGAAACAAAACATCACGTCGATAATTGATACAAATGAGTAGCAACAAGCAATATAGTGAATGCCGTCGAGGCCATGGGTATAGAAATCAACTAAACCCGTCCTAGTAACCATACAAATAAAAATAAATCGTCGAATCAATTGTCAAGCTTGTTCCCTGGTCATCCATGGACCCTGTGTCTATAAACGCCATCACCGTAAATCACCGTAAAAAGACTGCCTCAAAAGAGACGGGGCTTGTAGCCCGTCGCGCAGGCGTCATTCAAATCGCTGTCCTTGTTGTTATTGAATCCCGTGTCCCTGTGGTCCCGTGTAGTTGCGCAAAATAGAAAAACGTTGTGCAGATGTGCATTCGCCAAGCAAATGAGTTCCCCGCGGTATGTCGTTGAATATGTACAGCCGAAGATGCAAGAAAATTTGTCGTGCCTATCCTGTTTGGATGAGCAGGCTAAATCCAGAGAGGCGCAGGAGCCGCCGAGTGGTCAGCGAAGAAGGAGCTGCTGATACCGTGGACGATGCCCAGGTAGTCGTCGGCCGTGAACCTAACGAGACCGCGAGAGCTGAAGTAGAGCTCCTCTTCCTCATCAATAGGCCCGAGCTTGTCGCCGACACCGTACTCCTCGGCGAGCTCGCTGACCTGAGCAAGCTCCTGGCCGAACGGATGCGACTCTTTGCCTGTGTTGACTGGCGGGGTAGCAGGGGCCAACTTTTGCGCGAAAGAAGACGAGGCCGACGACACCCGCGTCGACGTGGACGATGCACGAGAAAAGGTCAAACCAGGGCGTGAAGAGGTTGACATGTCCGAGTCGCGGGACTGGCGAGAGATGGAGCGCTTGCGAGCCAGCGCCTCGTAGCTGGCCTTTTTTGTGTGCGATGGCGAACGCTTGGGAATGGCGGGAGCGGAAGGGTCCGGCGTGGCCGCGCGGGCGGCGGTCTGGAAGTAGCAGGACAGGTGGTTCGGCTCGGGGGTCGGCGAAGCACAGTCACGCTCAGCGGGGGATACATCGGGGCTGGTGGGCGGGGTAGACTCGGCAGTCATGAACGTTTCCGTGTCCGAGTCAGCAGTTTTGGAAGAAGCCGAGTTGCTGCGGGAAGGGCGAGGCAGATCCGGTGCGCTGTATGTGAGGATGTTTGTGGTGTGAATAAGCTCGACTGGACCAGAAATCTTGGGACGAAACTCGGGTGCCTTGGTGGTGTTGCTGCGTCTCATGAAGCTTGGGGCCGAGTCGGTGTCGAGGCCGAGCTTGCGGCGGGATGTGGTAAAGGCTCGCGACAGAGACATGGCGAGATATGATCGCTGTGGTGTATGAAATTTGAAAAGTGAAGACACAACGATTGCGGCCGGCAGATAACAGCGGGCGTCCTGTTGTATTATACAACCACAATGAGGACGAGTTTGAGCAAGTGGATGCACGAGTGCAGGTAGCGGCAGGTGGTGGAGCGATAGCGTCAGTTAGGCACTGCTAGGCACTGGCTAGGCGAGTCGTGAAGGAAGGCGGGTTGACGTGCCGTTAGCGCTGGCGGGTGAGGTGGTCTGTTGAACCTGTGACCCAAAGGTGAGACGGCGGAGTTCTGTACAAGCACGGGTAGAATGCAGGACAAAAGATTGTGGCTTGGCGAGAAACGTTGCAGAGAGCCAAGTGGTGCAAATCAGGCGAGGTGCAGAGCGGTGGTGGGATTGGTGGGATGCAGCACAGGATGCAGCAGCGGGATGGTGATGGTTTGGTGGCTCCCAAGTCGGAAGGTGACTGACGGTGTAGCGCTGATGAGCAGGTGCGGCGGTCAGCACAGTGTCGAGCGGGGAAAAGGACCGAGGAAGATATGCAGAGGAAGCGCACGAGACTGGATATTGACTCTGCGAAAAATCCTGAACGTTTTTGTTGACAGCGCACAAGAGGCGGACAGGAACAATAATTCAAAGACCACAAGGATCCAAGTGGTTCGGTTCTACCAAACGAAATAGGGCGCTCCGAAAGTCTGTTTTGTCAGACACAGACACAGAGTCGCGAACTGTAGCGAAAAAGTGGGCGTTTGTGTGTGAGTGGACTGCGGCCTTTTTTTTTTTTGGTGGGTTCCGTTTTGGGCCAGGACTCCGGAGTGCTGAGAGTTTGGTACCTGGCAGCTGCGAAGCGAACTAGCGTCGGCGCCGTTTGCTGGTCGAGGGCGTTTGTCGAGGGCTGACTGGTGGCCAAATTTGAGGGAGAGAAGACGATGAAGAGAGATGTGTTTCGATAAATAGAGTGAGCTGAAAAGCGAGATGCGATGATCAAGGAGTGCGTCGACGTGGCAACAAGCGATGCGCAAAGAAAAAAAAGCCGGTGTCGTTGAACGGTTTGCGACCTGGTTGTACAACTGGTGTTGTTTTGTGTGTAGGCGTTGGTGCGTACGTTGGTGGTGCAAGTGTAGCGTAGAGTGTAGTTGTTTAGTCGCAGACTAATATAGAGGGAGAGGAAAGATCACGTCTTCGTCAAGGAGAGAAACAGACGTGAACAATGCAGGACGAAACCAGCGTTTGCGAAGGAAAGAAAAAGGATTGACAAAAGTTGCTATTCTTGCAAAGAATATGAAGAGAAAGGGAAGAAAAAGGTCGGCAAACGGAAGGGGGGGACGAGAAGAAGAAGGGTGGGAGGACGAGATGCAGGGCCGCTGCCGTAAGATCCATCCATCAACGATACCCAGTAAAAAAAAGGCCACTAACAAAGAAACGACGAGAAGCCCAGCCGGTTGTTTACAAAAGGATGCGCTTGATTAGTCTTGGTTCGTCGTCGTTGCGCCCAGACACACACCTCTTCTTGACTGGTCGGCAAAGAGGGATAGAAAAAAAAGGTACAAGCCTCGATGCAGGGAGATGCACCCCGTCGAAACGTACCGGCGACGCCACCCAGCAGGCCGACTTGGTTGGTACCTGGCCGGCTTGCCGTGGAACTTTCCCTGCCCCCACTGTAAACCTGACGGCCGATCCACCCCTTGGACCCGGACGCAGCCAATCAAGTCGATTTTTGTCGTTCGGTTAGCGCCAAGGGCCCCAGGCACGAAAAAGTTAGCTGGGGGCCCCGATTTCTCTCATCCATCCATCCCTGGGAAGCCAGCCCAATCCGCCAATCAAGGCCGACGCCCACCCGGTTGGGCGCTACAAACCTGCAGGCTTCCAGCGAAGTTGCGGCGCGAATGGTGTACCAGTTTAGTGCTTGCAGGCCGGGACCTTTTCCCCCTTGTTGCGCGGCCTTTTTCTCTTCCTTTTTAAACTAAAAAAAAAAAAAAGGTCTAGACTTCTCATCGGTACCAGTAGACTTTGTTTGTTTTTTCGACCGGTGATGAGCTGATGAGCTGAGAAAAAGGCATTGTTATATCACAATAAACTAAAATGTCTCGCACTCGTCCGGCCCCGCGGGCAAAGACCAGGGCATGGTCTCAGCTCCCTCTCACATGCTGACAGAGGAGAAGCGATAACAGGCCACTAGAAAATCAATTAAAAACCCGGCAATACGCTGTAATCTATTCGATTTTCGCTGGGGTTGGCCAAGCTCCCCCGCAACAGCCCAGGTTCCCAAGCCTCCGTTTCATCACACGGACGGTGACGGGAAAGCAGAGGCAAAAAAGGCTGTGCATTTTCTTGTTGGATTGTACGGATACCCGGTCTTCGCACGCTGTAAACCTTCTGCCTCTCGCCTTCAAGGTAAATACCAAACCGGCTTCGCGTTTCCATCTCGTCCTCTCCGACGCTCAGGTACCCGCGCCCATCAAACTCTCCCTATCGATGCCGACGCGTCCCCCTTCCCCTCCGTCCCCTCACCCTCACCCTCACCCTCGCCCCTTTTCCCCTGCTGCCGCCGGCCCTCTGAATGGCTGCGATGAACTCGCCGACTTGTCACCTTGGGCTTCTCGCCTGCCTTTTCGATTGCCGTCGTCCAATGATGCCCTGGCCAAGCTCTGTATGCGCGCCAGCCCAAAACAACCCCCTGTCCATCCCGGGTTTCAGGTACCAACCTAGTCCGAATGGGGCAGGTTTGTACCTTGCCCATACAAAGCCCCCGAGGGCGGTACTTCTCTGTCGATCTCGTCCCTGCGTCGCCGCCACCAAACCCTTCTTGGGGCTTCTGGTCGGCCTCCCCTCGGAAATCTAGGAATTCCTCCAACATGGACCTCGTCGTCAGACCTCATTGACGGGCCAGCAAGGTACATATGCATCTCGAGGCTACCAAACTCTATCTCGCTCTTTCTCCTCTTGCCCAGCGCTCGTCCCTCGCATCGGCCCGGTTTCTTGTTTGCCCCGTGGGAAAGCCTTGTAGATGGTAGCTATGACAGTCGACATCCAGACTTTGAGTTTGCAGCCGCCGTGTCAGTAGTCTGCAGGTCCTCACCTTGCGCATCCATATAGACAATCCATTGATCCGTATGCAGATGCATATGCAAACGAGTCCGAGACATTTCAGCGATGCGTTGCAGTCGGGATTCAGCCCAACGAGACCTTTGGAAGCATGGGAGACTTCCAACGTGGCAGTTGGGAACTATTCAATTCTATTCAAGGGGTGCTGATGTGGTGGCTGAGAACCGTTCAATCTATTCATGAGGGGACTCTAAAATGCCACCAGTAGTGATACTATTTGTGGTGCAACAAAACGCATGCTCGTCCGACAGCCATCCCTTTCTTTCTTCCATGATATACCACCCCCCTGCAAACGTATTACTCCACGTACCTATTCCGTCTTCTGTTGATGACAGAATATTGCCCGTCTCCAGCGCCTATATCGACGGTACTTGTCAATATTGGCCGCATTAATGCCACCGAACCCCTCGGCCTCGACACCCTTTGCGCAGCATAGCCTGCACCGCAAACTCTTGCCATGAACCATATCGCCTTGTTCTCGGATTTTATTGCCTTGGTCTTCCCGTGAACCTATGTATGCTATAATCTTATCCCTTGCATCGCCTCATCCCGCCCCCAAATGTGCTGCGCCGCAGAGGCCAAGAGCTCCTCCATCGCGAGCACCCGGCGCATTGATGTCTCCCTTGTCAAGAGAACGAGACTTCACGCGAGCGAGTGCCGAAAACGTAATCACGGGCGTCGAGTCTGTGGCCTGGAAATATCTTACCTTGGAGGATCCAACTTGACACGTCCTCCTCATTTACTCGCGGCGCCTAAAACAGCGACGAAATTGCTTCATTTATATTGTTTCCTCGTATGCGGCAGCTGTCAGTTTGACAAGCCGCCGAGTTACCGGCCAACCGTTATAATAAGTTGGAATAGCCCACCTGCTTCATTCGAATAGCACTGCCCGCCGTTGCCACGATGCAACTGGTTCCTGACTAACAGCGACGTTGATGCTATTTTTGCTCTGCATGAACCCGAGTGGAAATTACAGCGCTACTACTAAACCAGCCTGCGGCGCCGCCGTCTTGTCTCGGCCAACTGAGCCGCATCACCAGTCAGTCCCCTCATCCTCTGTTTCGGATCCCTCTATTTTTTTTTTTTTCGTCCTGCACGTCTCACAGCTTGCTCAATTCCCATTGTTGTCAAGAAAGCTGCTTCTGGCAAAGCAATTTTATGCCTCTCGATTTCACCCGTCCGTCGCATCTCGTTTCAACCCGGGGGGGCCGACCCTAGCCCGTCCCCGCCGCGGCGTGTCATCCGTCGCCCAGGGCAGGGCAGCCAGGGCCGTGGGCTCTGCCGTCAACTTGAAACTAGACCGGGCCCCTGAATCATCATGTAATGGCGTGCATATCGCTGGGGTTTTTTTTTTTTCCTTTTAATTGCTTTCGTCTCCAGGGTTCCGGGACCCCTCGAGGGATGCACACATCCAGTAATTCTTTGAAGAGGGCCCCTGCTGTCGTGGCTTGGGGAAGCGGGAACCAGTCACTCGATGAGGGATGGAAGGATTCAAGTGGCGGCATCAGATGTTTAGTTAAGGCTGACCAGTCACTAATAAAACTCTGCTGAGGGACATGTCATGGAACCAAGAAAAAGTTGCCTATCAAAGATGGGCGCAGTAGCAATATCTCGCCATTGCAGTCTCAGTTTACGAAGGAGTGAGGCATTGTTGCTCCAAGCCCCCAATGGCCGCTCATGATGCACGTACTCGTGTCATCGCAACTATCAGAACGAACAAAAGACGGCATCGTCTAGAGCAGCCGTCCAAAGACGCATGCAATCACTTTGACACGTGCGATCGATAATGCCATTCTGCATCATCTCAAACATGAAGGAGCGCAAGTTGTCACTTGTCCTGGTCTTTCCACGTTCCGTATCAAGGCCAGCTGTGCAAGGCACGACACACCTTGCCCACAGCACGCTGGACTGGAGATGCTGCTGACGACACATCTCCATTCAACAGTTCGCTCCCAGCGACGTCAAAAAATAAAAATGAAAATGAAAAAAAAAAGCCGAAGGGGTCCCGACTTTATTCATCCCATCTTATCACCTGGGGCGTTTCTCACAGGACCCGGGTATAAAACAGCAGCGCCGGGTATACGGAGCACAGACACCACATCCGAGCCCCCGATGTGCGGGCGGTGAAGACCTTCCTCCCTTCCTCACTTCCTCAAGGCTTGCTTGCACAACAACGACATCCTTTTGCGGACTCATGATGCGAAAGAGGTGCCGAGAAGTGATGGTACGATTCTCAGCCAACAGGACTTTAGAAATTGACGGAGAGCATCAGCTCGCTGACATCTGTTCCACCTGCCAAGACTTATTCCTGCCCTCAGCCCTTCAGCCTTCTTTATATTTCTCAGAGAACTGCGCTGCGCCCCTGCGGGGATGGGCCAGGATAGCCTGATTTTTAAACCATATTCTCGTCAACCCGTTTCTACCGCCCGTCCAACCAGCCCTCCGATAGCCGATGATCCTTCGATCGTAATTGCATCACGCTTACCCGCCTCGTCTACCGCCTCGTCTACCGCCTCGTCTACCGGTTTAAGCAATTGGCCCAACACCGAGCCAATTGACTCATTCTCGCCCGTGCCACCATAATCACTGACGTCGCTCGTTGGCAGCCTTCGCCGCTCCTGATGCCCCTGACAGATCGGATTGTCGCCGGATCGCTGGCCCTTCTACCATCACCATTTAGCGCTTCACCATCAATATCGAGTCTTTGGAAACGTTCATTATGACAGAGTTGTCTATCAAAGGCGTCAACAAGGCGCCCTCAGCAGGCACGACCGAGGATACTTGCACGCTGGCGCCCGGCCAAACACAGCCGCGGCGGAAGCGATTCGCCCCCCGAACGAGGACCGGGTGTCTAACATGTCGGTACGCCAACTGCCCCCTGATGACCTCCTTCCATACATCCCTTCCCACCTACTAACACCCCTCCTTCACCTTCAACAGCGTCCGCCGGATCAAATGCGACGAGGCCCGACCCGCCTGCCAGCGGTGCATCCGCGCGTGGCGTCCCTGCGGAGGTTACCACCTGCCCCCGCCGCTCACCACGGCTGACGCCCAGCTGCAGCCGGCCCCCGTGGCGCCGGCCTCGGCCGCCGAGCTCGCCCTTTCACGGTACTACGCCGCCGAGATTGGCGCCATCGCCGTCGACGAGTTCAGCGGTCGTGGAGCGCGAGAGCTCCCGCCAATACTCGGCGGCGGTGCGGCACATCCTCCGGCTAACGACGACGTCGTGGGCCGCCGACGGTGAGCCGCCGCGACGGCCGTCGCCGCGAGACCAGATTGCCGTGCTTCTGGCCAGCTTGGTGCTCGCGAGCTACGCCGTCAGCGTCGGCGAGCGAGCCGTCTTCGCCAGCATCGTCGCCGCCAGCCGGCGCCTCGTCCGCCAGTGGGTTTTCTGGGAGTGCTTGGACGTGCCGTCCGTCGCCGCCGCCGCCGCGCAGATCCTCTACGTGTACGTCAAGGCCGAGCGCGTCGCCGAGGAGTTCCACCTCGAGGTCTCCTCCTCGCAGGCCGCCGCCCGCCCGCCGGGGCGCTGGCTCGACGCCCTCGCCGCCCTGCAGCGGCGCCCGCTGACCTCGACGCTGCGCGCGTGCCTCGAGCTGGACATGGTGTGGAACAGCGTGCACGACGTGCTCGACGCGCTTCCTCCGATGCCGACCGCCGGCGACGCGGCCGCCGCGCACGCTGCACGGCAGCCGTTCGCGCCGCTCTTCGCGGCCTGGGAGGCACGCTACGACGCCTACGTGACGCGGCTGCGCGGGGTCCGCCGCGGTGCCGAGGTGGACATCGCCGCGCTGGATCTCCGACGCGCGCTGGTGAGCATCCTACTGCGCGTCCCGGTCGGGAGCCCCAGCGAGACGTGCTGGGACCCGTTCGCGCGCGACTTCGCTGCGGCCGTGGCGGGTCTCGAGGCGGCGCTACCGGCGGCCACGGCGGCCGCGGCGGCCACGGGCTTGGTGCTCTCGACACCGTCCATCTACGCGAGCTGCAACTTCGAAGTGTCGCGCGCCCGGTCTTCGGCGGCGGGCGGCGGCGGTGCTGCGCAGCCCGCTCGTCGCCGCGCTCGGTCGCAAGATTTCGGCCGGTGACGAGGAGATTAACGCGCCGCCGCTGATTGTCGACCGCGTGATGCTGGTGGAGGAGAGCGCGTGGGAGGCGCCCGGTAAAAGGGGGGGCTGCCAGCCGGGTGACGGGTGCGTGCCGGGCAGGTACATCTGCAGCCTGCACCGTGTGGCGAGGCTGCACATTGACAGGACGGTGGCAGGGCCGCCGGAGATTACATTTCTGACGGTGGGTGACATCTTGAATGGCTGGCCGGGGCATCGAGAGGCCATGGACATTTCACTGTCGAGCTGCGCCATGGGGGAATAATAAATCTTGCTCTATTCAGAATGCCAAGTCACTCTTTTTTCATGTTCCAAACACCCCCACGACCCAAAAGAAAATTTCAAATGATAGATGTCACGACATTAAGCTTCTTCCATATCCTCATCATCATCCTCATCCTCATCTTCATCCTCGTCATCCTCCTCACCCTCGGCTCCGACGCCACCCTCCTCCTCCTCCTCGCTGGAGCTGCTCTCGTCGTCGTCCACGCCGACCAGGCGGTCCTCCACGTCGCCCTTTTGCTCCGGCACGCGCTCCGCGAACGCCTTGCGGACGGACGGGTTGGTGCTCGTGTCCCAGACGTGCATGCTGCCCCCGCTGCCCGCCACCGCCAGGCGGAAGCTGACCTCGGCATCCGGCGCGAACGTCGCGGCGAAGACCTTGCCGACGTCGAGGTTGCGCGAGACGACCATGGACGGGCCGGCGCCGTCCTTCACGTTCCACAGCTTCACCGTGCGGTCGGTCGAGCCGGTGGCGATGAAGCCGGGGATGATGGGGTTGACGTCGAACGCGGAGACGGACTCGTCGTGGGCCTGCAGCGTCCAGACGGACTTGCTGTCGGCGGGCGTGGCCGGCGCCGCGCGGGCGTCGTAGTAGTGCACGGCGCCGCCCTCGGTGGCCACGAAGAAGTAGTTGGCGTCGTGCGGGTTCCACCGGACGCTCTCGACGTCGCTCTCGACGCCCCAGCGCGGCGCCTTGGCGTCCGGCGCGCGCATGTCGGCGGCGACGACGGTGCGGTCGTAGCTGCCGGTGAGCAGCACGGTGGGCTCGGCGGCGTGCCAGGCGAGCGAGCAGACCTTGTCGGTGTGGTGGGCGTAGGATGCGGCGCACTTGGCGGTATGTAGGTCCCAGAGCTTGACCGTCTTGTCGGCGGAGGCGGAGGCGAGCAGGTTTCGGTGCTTGCGGTTGGCGGCGAGTGCGAGGACGGCGTCGACGTGGTAGCTGTCGTTGGCCTTGCTGGCCTTGGACTTCTTCTTCTTGGGCTTGACGACGCTGGGGTCGGCATTGGCGGCGCCGGGGCCGAGGATGGCGTTGGGGTACATGCAGTCGATGGTGTCGAGGTCCCAGATCTCAATGTCCGGGTCCATGGTGGCGACGGCGACGGAGTTGCCGCGGGCGTCGGCGCCCGCGGCGGAGGAGCCGTTGTTGCTGACGGGCATGTCGATCCACTCGACGGCGAGCGGGATGGCGGGGAGCATGATGTCGTGGTGGACGTAGAGGTTGTCGCTCGCGTCCTCGTACACGTACACCTCGAGGTGCGCCATCTCGTCCTCGACCTTGGCGGAGAGGATCAGGTTATCGGTGGCCAGGATCTGGACATCTTCCGCCTCCTCGTCGTCTCCGTCCTGGAGCGTGATATAAGGGTCGTCCTTGTTGTCCTCGTAGTAGGCAAGTGACTTCATGTTGCCGAACATGCTGAGGCCCTGAACATCCTCGGTCACCTTGTCGTCTTCGTCGTCGTCGTAGTTATCCAGGTCGTATTCCTTCAGGTCCTCGTCGTCATTGTAGCTGCAAGATTAGCGCAGAACCCTCACCCGGTCTTCCATTAAACATACTTGGTCTCCGACTTGGAACTCTTCTTCCCACCCTTTGCGTGCGCCTTGTCGGCCATGTGGTCATCATCGCCCTCCTTCTCTTGCGCTTCCTTGAGGTCTTCCTCGGCGTCGTCAAGCTGGAGCTTGGCCAGCTCGGCTATTCTCTCATACTCGGCCTCGTCGAGTGTATATTTTTGAGGGAACGGCGCAGCGAATCCCCTAGGGACCCACTGGGCAGCTGTGATAATCGACATGTTGTCTGATTGGGTATCTAGGAAAAAAATGTATTCCGCAGCTTGAAGCCCAAGATTTTAATCTCGACGTGGGGCATTTCCCACCGAACTCCAAAAACTTTCAGTGGGGCCGTTACTTATCGATAGCGCGCGCGGCAAAACTTCGTGGGCCAGGTTCATCGCGCCGCGACAGGAAATCCTGAAGCCCTCATCGACACCATACAGGGGAGCGATCGCCATCTCGCCATGGGAGAAGAGCGAGAATACGATGGGTACAATCCCAAGAGACGCCGCCTCGATGGCGCGCACTCCAACAATCGATTTCGCAACGACTCCCGCGGGTCCTCACAACGCGTCGAGTCCCGCCATGCGCCAACCCAAAAGCGCCAGCAGGAGGACGACCAGCAGCCTGCCGACGAGGACTGGAAAGCGCTAGATCGAGACTGGTACATGCAAGACGAGTTTGGTGGGCATGCGTTTGGCGACGAGACGCACAACCCGTTCGCGTCGTACGAGACGTCCACCGCCGAGGCGCTGCAGGTCGAGTCCGCCCAAGCCGAGAAGATGGTCAGCCGATACGACGCGCGACAGGAACAGCGGCGCAAGGAGAACGACGCCTGGGAAACGAATCGGATGCTGGTCTCGGGCGTCGCCCAGCGTCGCGACATGGCCTCGGACTTTGACGACCAGGAGGCAACCCGCGTGCACCTGCTCGTCCACGAACTGCGGCCGCCGTTCCTGGACGGCCGCACCATCTTCACCAAGCAGCTCGACCCGGTACCGGCCGTCCGGGACTACCAGAGCGACATGGCCGTGTTTAGTCGGAAGGGAAGCAAGGCGGTCAAGGAGGCGCGGCAACAGCGAGAGCGGCAGAAGCAGGCCCAGCAGGCGACGAGCCTGGCGGGCACCGCACTCGGAAATATCATGGGCGCAAAGGAAGATGATGGCGACAGCGCGCTTCCCGCGCCTGTCGAGGCGGATGTGGACAGCGCCGAGCGCAAGGGCAACAAGTTCAGCACACACATGAAGAAGGCCGAAGGAGCGAGCGACTTCAGTCGAAGCAAGACACTACGAGAGCAGCGTGAGTACCTCCCCGCGTTCGCGGTGCGAGAGGAGTTGCTGCGCGTCATTCGAGAGAATCAAGTCACGATTGTCATCGGTGAAACAGGTTCGGGAAAGACGACACAGCTGACGCAATTTCTGTACGAGGACGGCTACGCCAAGACGGGCATGATCGCCTGCACGCAGCCGCGTCGTGTTGCGGCGATGAGTGTAGCCAAGCGTGTAGCCGAGGAAATGGAAGTAGAACTGGGAACCACGGTCGGTTATTCCATTCGTTTCGAGGACGTCACCAGCAAGGACACCGAGATCAAGTACATGACGGAGGGTATCCTGCTTCAGCACTCCCTGACTGAGCCTGACCTGGACCGGTACTCGTGCATCATCATGGATGAAGCCCACGAGCGTGCTCTCAATACCGATATTCTCTTTGGTCTGTTCAAGAAGATTCTATCGCGCCGGCGCGACCTGAAGCTGATTGTTACCTCTGCGACCATGAACGCCAAACGCTTCTCCGATTTCTTCGGCAATGCCCCGGAATTCACTATCCCCGGACGTACATTCCCGGTCGACGTCATGTTTCACCGCTCGCCCGTTGAAGACTACGTCGACCAAGCAGTGCAACAGGTTCTCGCCATCCACGTTTCCATGGACCCCGGTGACATCCTCGTCTTCATGACTGGTCAGGAAGACATTGAGATTACCTGCGAGCTGATCCAAAAGCGACTGGACGCCCTCAACGACCCGCCCAAGCTGAGCATCTTGCCCATCTACAGTCAAATGCCAGCGGACCTACAGTCCAAGATCTTCGACCGGGCCGAGGCGGGGGTGCGCAAGTGCGTGGTGGCGACCAACATTGCCGAGACGAGTTTGACGGTCGATGGCATCAAGTACGTGGTGGACGCGGGGTACAGCAAGATGAAGGTGTACAACCCCAAGATGGGCATGGACACGCTGCAGATCACGCCCATCTCGCAGGCCAACGCGTCGCAGCGGTCGGGTCGCGCGGGCCGTACGGGGCCGGGCAAGGCGTTCCGGCTCTTCACGGAGAAGGCGTTCAAGGAGGAGCTGTACCTGCAGACGATCCCCGAGATCCAGCGGACCAACCTGTCCAACACGGTGCTGATGCTCAAGTCGCTGGGCGTCAAGGACCTGCTCGAGTTCGACTTCATGGACCCGCCGCCGCAGGACACCATCACGACGTCCATGTTCGACCTGTGGGCGCTCGGCGCGCTCGACAACCTGGGTGAGCTGACGCCGATGGGCCGCAAGATGAGCGCGTACCCGATGGACCCGTCGCTGGCCAAGCTGCTCATCGTCGCCGCGGAGCAGGGCTGCAGCGAGGAGATGATCACCATCGTGTCCATGCTCTCCGTGCCCAGCGTCTTCTACCGGCCCAAGGAGCGGCAGGACGAGGCCGACGCGCAGCGCGAGAAGTTCTGGGTGCACGAGTCGGACCACCTGACCTACCTGCAGGTGTACCAGGCGTGGAAGGCCAACGGCTTCTCGGACGGGTGGTGCGCGCGGCACTTCTTGCACTCCAAGTCGCTGCGGCGCGCCAAGGAGATCCGCGAGCAGCTGCTGGACATTGCGCGGATGCAAAAGGTGGCGCTGGCGAGCTGCGGGATGGACTGGGACGTGATCCGGCGGTGCGTCTGCGCGGGCTACTACCACCAGGCGGCGCGCTACAAGGGCTCGGGCGAGTACGTGAACCTGCGGACCAACCTGCCGGTGCAGCTGCACCCGACGTCGGCGCTGTACGCGGGCCACCCGCCCGACTACGTCGTCTACCACGAGCTGGTGCTCACCTCCAAGGTGTACGTGTCGACCGTCACGGCCGTCGACCCGCACTGGCTCGCCGACATGGGCGGCGTCTTCTACTCGGTCCGCGAGAAGGGCTACTCGGCGAGGGCCAAGCGCGTCACGGAGACGGAGTTTAACCGCAGGGTCGAGATCGAGGCGCAGATGGCGGAGGACAAGCGCCGCGAGGAGCGGAGGCGCGAGGAGGAGGAGGAGCGCGCGGTGGCGGCCAAGAAGAAAGGCGGCGCGGGGGACGGCAAGAAGTTTGTGACGCAGGGCGCGGTCAAGAAGCCAGTGGTGAAGCGCAGGGGGCGAGGCTTCTAGTTAGAGGATTCACTGGGAGATGGATGATGTGTTTTTTGAGCATTTAGCGTTGTGGCGTTTCTCGAATTCGGTCTTGTATATAATCAAACATCTGTATTCTCTGATTGGTTTTCCCATGGACGAGAGGAGCTAGTGCTGCTGTCAATGTCGAACGGTAAACTCTGCCTCGTCGGCGATAGCATCACGCGCTTCCTGGGTGAGCTTAACGACGGTGGCGCCACTAGGGCCTTCGTCGACGTCCTTCATCAACTTTTCGACAGAAGATTCCTCGCCTTGCGCTTCGCCTTCGACCTAGACGTTGTCTCTCTTCAGAACATGTGGCAGCGCAGATGTAGGCATACTAATCTTACCTTGTTGTCGGTGGTGTTGCGGCACCAGCCCGTTAGGCCATATGCCCGCGCCCGCTTCCGCGTAAAGTATCTAGCCATTGTTAGGGCAGGTGACAAAATGGAACAGCCGAGATGCTTCGCGTGGCAACGTACCGAAAACCAACTCCTACGACGGGATGCGGTCAGTCACTGAGAGTTAGCTTGACGGATTCCCATACATACCCTGCACCGTGCCGCCGTGGGCGACAAAGTATACCTGTACCGGCATAAGCGCATATCCAAGGGTTATCAGGGTACGAGGTCCTCTTACTCTTTTTGTCATCGTTGGAAGAGAATGAAATTAGTATGGTTTTTCGATGCCTTGTTGAATTGGCTGGCTAAACTGTACCATGTCAATATAGGTTTTGAGTTGCAGGTTGGCGACTAGTGCCGATCTCTCAGAGACGCATCGGCCAATCGAGACCCGCAAAACGGCACCACCTTTTCTCCAAGGCCGTCAACTCTCGCTTTTCAAGTCGCAACCCTTCCTCTTCCAACAACCTTCTCCCCATCCAACACAGCCATGGAGCCGGACGAGCCTGGCATCCGCTTCAAGGCCAAGAAGCGCACCAAGACGCTGCGCCAGCGGGACGCATCCCCCGAGGCGCCACCCACGACGACGACATACGACGCGCCGCCCACCGCCACGCTCCCCGACCACAACGACGACAACGGTGACGAGGTCGCGGATGGCAACGAGGACGCGTCCGCGGTGCAGGCCGCCCTGAAGCTACGTCAAGCCCGCGGCAAGAGCCGTCGCCTCCGCGGCGGCGTCGCCTTCGGCCGCGACGAGCAGCCCGCCAGCGGCGCCCCCGCGGACGACACCAGCCTTGTGCTGCGCGACGCCGTCGCCGCGCAGGGCCTCCCAGACAGGTTCATGCACCAGACGGGCTTCGTCGCCGACGCCGACGACAAACACTTGTACGTTTGCCCTCGTACTTTGCGGAAGCAGCCCAAGTCGAAGGGGACAGAGCTAATCATTCAGGATGGCCTATGTAGAGTCGCGACTCTCCTCGCGCGCCGCCGGGGCCGACACCGCCGCCGCCGCCGCCCACACTGAGCTTGCGACCGGAAGTAGAAGCAAGGAGCCGCTCGACGGGCGGAGGCGCGAGCACGCCCCCGGCACGGTGCAGACGGGCACGTCCACGACCAGCTGGCCGAAACTCGTCGAGGTGCCCGTGCCCGTCGACCCCCGCGGCACCAAGCGCAAGACGGCCAGCGCCGAGGCCCAGACGACCACAACTCCGCAGCCGCCGCGACGACGGCGCAACCGCCGCGGCAGCGATGACATGAAGCGCGACGCCATGGTCGAAGCCTTCCTGCACGAAAACAAACGTACGTCCCCTTCCCCTCCCCCCGTCACGCAGACACACCTCCCAATATTGACAACACCGCTTACAGTCGACGTATACGACGTCCCAACCACCACACCCGCCACCGCCACAGGTGGGGACGTGGACGACGCGCTCGCGGCCGACTTCCGCCGACAGTACATGGACGAGGTCGCGGCGCGGCGACAGCGCCGCCGGCCGGCGGTCAACCAGCCGCGCATGACGCAGCGGCAGCAGGCGCACCAGCAGGCGGTCGCGGCGGGCGAGGTGCTGCGCGGGCCGAAGCTGGGTGGTAGCAGGAACGCGCGCGCGGCGGTGCGCGACGCGCTTCTGCAGCAGCAGGAGCAGAAGAAGAGGGAGGGCAGGTGAACAGGGAAGAAGTAGAGAAGGAGGATGGCAAGGGAGGGAAGGGGGTGTTTCATCGGGACTCTGTTGTGGTTTTGTTGTACTTGGTTAGAACCGGCGTTATTGGGACTTTCAGCAAAACAGAGCTACATTTTTGGAATAAATCAGAAATTCTTCGTCGTGATTGCCTTTTCCAAGTGGCAATCACTCCATTTACATCACGGCACAAGTGAATCAAGAAAATAAGATCAATCTCGTTCATTGGAAGCTAGTGGCAGTGTACAACATTGTGTAACCGACAATCGTTCAAAAAACTTGTGGTTAGAACGGGGAAAGAACGCAGTGGGCAAAGCCACCAATTTACAAAGCCAAAAACGGCTGTCCTTACAGAAATCCAAATAAAATCTCAAGGAAAAACGCCAACCGTCAGAAACCCAAGCCTACCGGAACCGTATCCAAGGAAAATACTCAAAAAGCCTACCTCAATAAGAAAAAAAAACCAAACCGGAAAACAAAAGCAAACCAAAGAAGCTTAGGATAATAAGGAAAGAAACCCCGGAAAAAGAGAGACTGAATACGAGGCAGCCAGAGGACTGATCGTGAGGCAGCCAAAACTATGAAAGAGAAGACCCGAGGTCAAGAGGTGAAAAGGACAGTGTAGTCACAACAGGGAAGAAAAGACAAGAAATCATAATGACCAAAGCACTGGGCTTGTGTCCAAGAAGAAAAGGCAAAGAGCTCTGTCCGTGAACCCAGTGGAACGTGCAATCCAAGAGCAGGGGCTAGCCCAGAAGAGAAGTGTATCGTTGTATCGTGAATCCGAATGCGCCGTGAAATGATTTGCAGCCCGTTGCCCAGTACGTCTAAAACCGAGAAGGATATAGCCCAGTAGAAAGAGGCAGTGAAACGAAAGCGTGTAGTCTAAGTCATCAAAGGAGTGTCGTCATGGAGCGTGTGTCGTTGGATAATAAGGCGTAGGCATTTACCGAATGTCGAGCTGAAAAGGCTTGAACCGACCGCCGATGGTGGCGCAGCGGGGGCACGTCCTCCGTGCTCCTTGGCCAGCCACGATTATCTCAACGCAGGCAGCGCACAAGCCGCTGATGCACTCAGTGCAAGCGTAGGAGCTCCTGAGCGCAGAGATACTCTGACAGGCGGCACAATAGATTTGGATGTTTTGAGATGAGTAAGTGGGGGATGAGTCCGACAGGCCGGTGGCGCCCATGTGAAAGTTTTCGCCGTTCTCGACACTTGGATAGGGCGGCGGGGTTAGAGCTTGCTGTAGAGGTGAAGCCTGGTAATTGCTTTGTTGTAGGCCTTGCTGGGAAAAGGGCGGCATGGAAGAGCGGTGGATGGAGATGGGTGACTGTGGCATGGGAGTGCGGTCTTCGAGATCGCCATTGGCAGAGGCGGCGGCATCGACCAGCTCGCTCCAGCGCTTGCCGAAGTCTGGCGAGGGCTCAACGGAGGCTGCCTTACGGGCGTCGTCAGGTACTGTGAGCTCCTCGTTTTGAATGTGGCTCAACCATTCAGCTGCCGTGGCAGCAGCACGGGAGGTCTTCCGCTTGAGATCCTCCTTGGTGGTGCGTTTGGAGATGGACTGCTTGCGTGGGTGGTGAATTCTGGGGCGTTGCAACGGCGGTAGGGTGGAGGAGCGGCCGGGTGGTGAGCCAGAAAGAATCGAGGGGAGCTGGCGGTTGCGGAAGGGGTCGCTAGTGACATCATGATTGATCTGGTGGAATGGTGGGAGCTCGATAGAGGTTTTGAGAATGCGACGACCGTCCACGTCGGAATGATAGCCCTAGAGGGAGAAAAGTTAGAATCAGTGCTAAATCAGTAGACAATTGAGAGAGGATTGAGGGATTGCGATGCGATGCCAAATTGTTGATGAAATGTTGATGCTGGGAGGGAGGGAGCTATTGATATGGCGCGGGGCAGCTAAGGTAGGTGGTGGGTGGGCAGGTCGTTGAACGTTTGTGAGGGTTGTGAGGTGCCAACTTACCGCATCCATGTCGATATCTCGGTTAGATTTGCCGCCCTGAAGCTCGGCGAGGACGGTGGCAGCTCCGATCAGAGGGTTTGTAGGCACGTTGGGATATTCGTCCGAGTGTCTGGGGGTAGCCGGGCCAGAGGAATTGTGTCGGTAGTCATTTTGGCGCTGATGTAAGCCTATGACAATTAGGTTAGCTTGTGTGTTCAAATGCTGTATTTTGGCTCTTTCGGATTCTTCTCCTTCCGAAGTGACAGGAAGGACATAGGAAAAAAAGCATGAGAAAAGAGTGAGAAAAAGAGGCGGAAGATAAAAGAATACGCACCTTGTGCAGAGGGAGCTGAACTTGGGTCCGCGGGGGGGCGTTCGGAAGGCGGCGTTCGGACCATTAATAGAAAGCTCTCCTCGGTGGCGGGTAGCTTGGGAATATAATGCTCGGGATGAGCTCGACGGATGTGTTCCTGCATGGAGCGAAAGCGTTTTTCCTGGGGAAGGAGACGGTCAGGGGCCTGATGAAGACCAGCAAAGCAGCGATTATTTTGGGAAAATGAAGGTCTTGGCGATGGCTGACAATGCTCCGCCGAGAACGAGCGGGCGGCGAGCAATGGGTAGGAAATGGACAGGCGGGAGGATGGAGACTTACGCCGACGCATCTTTTACGGCAGCTGGAGCCATCTTGATTATTTAGAGGGCAGATGACCTCATTGTCGGCATCCGTGACGGAAAAGGACGAAGTTAGAGATGAACGAGGCGGCATCTTGACCCCACCATGCGCAACTGGGTGCGACGCCGTGATGGGTTTGGGTATGTTGATGGGTAGGTAAGTAGTTTGCGGGAGCTCGGAGAAGCCCAAGGCGTTGCGGACGAGGTCAAATGCGAGCAAGCTGTGCGGGCGCAAATGAGAAGGTTTGGTGCAGGCGAGAGCTCAAACGAGAGTGATGCCTCGAGGAAGTGTCAAGCAGGCGAGGCGAGACGGCAGTGGTAAGAAGGTTGTGGGCGAAGTTACATGCGTTGAGAGCTGTGGCTATCGGTAGCATTTATGGTCGAAGATGAGAAACAGGTAAGGATGAATTTGAATAAAATAAAGAGAACAGCGAGGCGAGGCAAAGAGAGAGTTTGAGTAGCGGCAGCGTTTGAGTTGGTAGAGTTGGTAGCGGGTGGTCACTGGTGCGCGGCGGCGGCGGTCGAGTGGGAAGCGGATGCGAGCGAGGCAAAGTAGAAAAAAGCTTAGTCCGAGCCGGAGACGATCTAGAGATTCGAGAACCAAGCAAGCTTGGAGAGGCGAGCAATCAATATTGGTAGCGTTATGGTAGCGGAGAAGAGACGACGAAGTGAGTCGGAGGTCAGAGGGCGAAGAGGGAGAGGGCGCGAGCGAGAAAGCGAGAGGAAGAGGAAAGAGGAAGAGGAAGCTATGTGAGTTTTTGGTGTGGGTGGATTGGGCCCGGAACCAAGAGAGGGAAGAGGTGGACGGCAGGTCCGAGGAGAGTTGAGTGTTTGAGGTGAGAGGTGAGGCGGTGATGGCAGCCAAGGCGAGAGATGACGAATTGATGCGGTTGAGAATTGATTCGATAAATTCAAAGAGAAGAATAATCAGTACGGTAAACGAAATAGAGACAGAATCAAGGAAGAAAGAGAGCTGAAGAGCTGGCAAAGCCGAATTGGCCTGTTTGTCACTGGCTGGCAGCTGGCAGCTGGCAGCAGCTGGCAATCGGCAGCTGTGGCCACCCCCCACCACCCA